TAGATCGTATAATATCAAGCGTAGGCGACAGCCCTTCGGCATCCTGCTTCAGTATGCTATTAAGAAGGATCTCCTCCTCGATTGGAGTGAGATTGCTATTCTGTGGCATATAGTCCTCTCGAGCAGGACTTCCTTTCAATCTCCGAAGCAGCGTTGATTTTGAGACACCGTAGGTTTTTGCAGCAGCATTTACAGATCCTATGTCACCTGATCTGAAAGCTGATATTGCAAGCAGTACACTCCCTTCGTTTGAGCTCTTTTGGACGCGTTTTGATGGTGCCATCGCGTGTTGAAGTTGTTGTTGTTATGGACACGTAATTCGTGGACCACGCCGTGGGGTGGACCGCGCTCTGGTGTTTGACGTTAGTAGGTTCCAAGGTTGGTAATGGGGAACCTCCGGCTACGATGTACTCTTCAGGGCCATGAAATCAATCACGCCGGGCGGATATTCCGTCGGAGCATTCACGAGGCGCGCCCCCAACGCGGACCTGGCACCAACCAATGGATCAAATTTCCACGGTTTCTATCTCTACGACAACATTGGCAATGCCGTATTTAATAAGAGGCATGGTGCTCATGCAGCACAAGATCTCCACTGTCAAGATATGATCCACCGGCAGAGGCCATCAACCACCTTCATATGAGTAGTGCGATGATACATGTACGGAAGAAATGCATGTGCTGTTACCCCCCAGGGCTGGAAACGACGGTCCCCTTTTTAACGAGGGACGCATGATGACGCCGGGTCATAGCTCCACGGATTTGTATCGTCCATCGGAAATATTGTCGCATACATCTTGGCTGTTCCCACCGCTGAGATCTTCGCTCAGATGAAACGAGTGTGGTGCACCCGTCGTTGAAACTACCAATACAGCGACGTTGTCAGAGCTTGAGCTTCCCCAGAAGAGCGAGCGGGAACCCCCAAACCAGCAGAGCCGCAAATCGTCACCACCACGTCTTTGTTTGATATCGCGTACGAGAGGAGCCAAAGATTTTTATTGTGCCTGTTACACACAATTTTAATCCCCGTGCCCGTGGGATAGCTACTACTTACTGCCTTTATTATTGTTGGAATTCGCAGACCGGATTCTTCATTCTCTACCTTCATCTACTTCTCCGCCCATCACTGCTGTGGTCTAGCACGCTGCCATTTCATTTCCTTCTTTGCTCCTCTCGCTGGTCCGTATCTTGACCGCTTACATCGTTTGACAACTTTATTTCCTTTCTTGCGTTTGCGCCCATAGATATCCTCACAAAACTCTCCAGTAGGAGTTTATCAACACAATGGCCTTCCGATGGTGTGTCTTCTTTGTCAACATGAGACCTGAAGCTCGCCGAGTTTTCATGGTCCAGCCGCGAAATGCTAATCAATGCTCCTTCCTAGGTACCAAGCGAAGCTCAAGTCGAGCCCGCTGCTCACGCAGTCCGTTACCACTGCCGTCCTCTTCGCGACTGGTGACACCATGGCCCAGCAGGGTGTTGAGCGCCGTGGCTTCGCCAACCAGGACTGGGCACGAACTGGGCGGATGGCTTTCTACGGCGGTTGCATCTTCGGACCGGCCGCAACGACCTGGTTCGGTTTCCTCCAGCGTAAGGTTGTCATTCCTGGCCGGCCGAACCTCGAGATCGTCGCTCGCGTCGCTCTCGACCAGACTGTTTTCGCCTCCACCAATTTATTCGTCTTCCTGAGCACTATGGCCGTCCTTGAAGGCACAGACCCCAGGGAGAAGTTGAAGAGCACGTATGCAACGGCGCTGCAGAAGAACTGGATGGTATGGCCTGCGGTACAATTCACCAACTTCAAATTCGTGCCTTTGGACCAACGTGTGCTTGTGGTCAACGTCATTTCACTCGGTGAGTTGGACATATATGAGACGGGCAAGATTGTCTTGGAAGCATACTCTGGGACACTTGCAGTTTCCGCGCTCTAAGCTTTTGACTGTAGGAGGACACTTTTGCTAAACCATTGTTAGGCTGGAATTGCTACTTGAGCTACCTCAACACCCAAAGCGGCGTCGCGACTGCAGTGACGGAGAAGAACCCAACTTTCCCGCCTGATGCGTGAGCAAATTTCCGATAGCTGCCTGGCCTCGTTTACTTGTTCATGTTGCAGCTACCGATCTGGCGCTTAACCATGTGTGTACGGCGCGGCGCGGTCTACATCTCAAATCTTGAACATACAGTAAGAGTGGTGGTCGCACAGAGATGTCTTGCATGTATTTGGGATCTCTATCGGGTTGGAAGAAAGCTGGAATATGACGATTCTTCGCAGGATTCTTCATGTCACTTGTACCTCTCGAGGCACCTGCTGTCAGGGATGGCACCATTCTCTACCTTTTCATACGGCGTGACATGGGCTTTTCGGGATAGATTCTGTTTCGTTTCTAGCGAGATCAAATCACCAGACAATTCACGCCGCAATGTCCACGTCGAATCTATATAACAGCGCTAGAATGTGGAGGAACAGAAGTAAATGGAGCGACTGGCTGTCGCGCTCCTCCTGCAGTACATCTGATTTGAAGCACGTCACTCTGATACAGCAGTGGAGGGTGCTTGGCCTCGAGATTTCTCTTCCTCGGCCACCGTCTTCGTGCGTAACTGCAATGCATGTACGCCACCTTCGGCCGCCATTTCGTCCTTGAGGAGCCCATACACTAGTCTATGCCGTGCAGGCTGTGGTTTAGATGCGAAAGCATCTGATGTGATTTCTAATCTGTGAGACCAAGCATGCATCCGGTCAGCGGATCATTTGAAGTAGTCCATCAGTGTAACCGCCAGACGATGATAGGTTTGATGATCGATCCTGCAAAGGCACTGCCAGTCATTCGACCTACCGGAAATGCGTTTCTCCAGATGTGCTGCCGGCCATAGCCTTGTGATGCGAATGGAGGTGCGAATCATTGTAAATGTTCAAGACGGTGGGTTGTAATGCCTCGGTGATCTTCAATTTGATATCAACATGTGTCTGTCAAATCATCCTCATGTTCAAACAGACCTTGCGCCGGATCGAATCTTCCATGGGCGTTTGCGAGCTCGAATTGCTGGTGGTCGTCATCGTGGCGAGAAGTCTTGAAGGTCGCTTTCGGAGCAAAGCGATCCGCAGTGAATATGATCGAGCGAGCATTTAGTTTCGACTGACAGTATTGGTTGGACAGAATCGATAAGTAAGAGAAGACAAGTGACAAAAGGCGATGATGAATATCGCAAGTCCCTGTCAATGCAAGCCCTAAGCTTTCGATACAAATTCCCCAGTAAGATAAGGCCATCGTCACAGTTCTGGACTTCAGGGCTGTTCGCACATCGGAGCTTAGCCCGGTTTGCCCCTGCCTTCAAAAGCGTCATTGCTGACTCAATGCTCAATCTTCGGTCAAGTTTCCAGCGGAGGTTTGCGCTCTAAAGGCGGCTCCGCGACGACAACGTACCGATACATCTCGATTGCAGGCTCAACTCATGGAAGCATGGCACCAATACGGCGCTATCTCAGGATAACGAAATATTCGGTCCTCGAGGTGCGCATCTACCTTTCGAAACCTTCCGACATCGCGTGGCTCCTCTCTTCACGCGATCCGGTACTTCCTCGCATCATCCAAGAAGTCCGGCCAAAGGTGCTGCCCAAGCTGCGCGAGGAAAACGAGAACGCCAAAAAGAAAGGGAGCAAGAAGAAGAAAAGAGGCATCAAGGATGTAGCTAGTCAGGGTACGTAGAAGAAGTGACAAGGCAATTCGTTGGAATGGTATGAACAAAATGCTGACATATTCTGCCCGTTAAGATGACTTTGAAGTGTCCATTTTCCTCAAGGAGACTTCCACGCGCCACTCCTTGCTCACCAAGCAAAAGATTGCAGGCGATAAACCACGGTTGAAATCTACTGGAAACAAGCTCACCAGCTGGATGAACACTAAAGACGATCCGATCACTATAGAGGCCGATGCGCCGGCACATAGGATCTTGCAAGAGGAGGACAATGAAGAAGATCTTGTCGAGCTTGCGAGCATTCCTCCACCCGTGACGGGCAACAAGCGAAAGACCCCAGACCCAGAGGAGGATGATGCGCTGTTCGTGAGCTCCAGCGACGAGGAGACTTTTGCGACACAGAGGGCGGCACCGAGGAAGCGTAGAAGAGTTGATGATGCTCAGGCGACTGATGACGAGGGACCTGAGGCAGGTGGCGACGACGACAAGAAGAAGCTCGCATTAAACACTTCATATGATGGCTTCAGCATCTACGGGCGAATACTCTGCTTGATTGTCACACGCAAGGGACAAAAGAAGGATTCGGGCGCAAAGGGCTCTGTGGCAGACACATCGGCTCTTGGTGGCAGCCAAATGATGGAACAATGGGTCAGTACACAAGCCGCACAGGAGAACGCTCTTCTCGAGGATGATGAAGGCTGAGCGGTCCATGACTCGAAAATATACACGTCATTCATGGTGCATACGACTCGGCGCCCAAAGAACAAGCTGGCGATTTTCTTACATGACCTGCTTTGACGGAGCCTGTGGGTCGAGAAGCGGGAGACCTTCGCCTTCGGCTTCCGCGCTCCTGCCACAACCACAGAGCTGCTACCGACAGCTAAAAGTCATAGCCTCAGATCAACACTGCGGCCAAGAGGCCACGATGATCGGTCGTTGGGAGCCGCGCCAGGACAGCGATCACGCTACTCACTTGACGACAGATCACATTTCCCATACTATGTATTGAGGAAGACAACACTGTGGGCAAAGCCACGCTGGAAGCAGTGGCCGTGGTTTTGGAACTATCGAGCTCACCAGTCATATTCTCGATGAGCTACGATCGACTGCAAACAGGGAATAAGACAAGAACACATTCTCAACCCCTGCTTCAACTACAATCTACGACAAGTATCTTCCGGTCAGCAGCCGCGTACGAGAAGGGAGCACACCATCAGGTTTCCTCAAACCTCACGCAAAGCCGCAGCACACACGAATGATTATTACGATACGCATTGTTCCCAATGCATTCCAAGCGTTACGACAGCCACAAACGGCATGCACGTCATTGGACGGTGAGGTGACATCGCTGCTGTCACCGCGACCACGATACATTGAAAGTGTGAGCTTCGCGGAGGATTCGTAAGAATTTTGAACATGCAATTCCAAGAAAAGAACCTTGTTTTTTCATCTACTTTTCCTACCTGTGGGGGCTGAGTCTGAAGGATGGCAACACGTGAAGCCAGCGTCCAGCTAGAGAGACGTGCGTGCGTCCTGTATAAGGCGCATGGAACCGCATTGCAAGAGGACTATCCATGCACTATTTGTGGTCATTCATTCTAAAGGTCGTAGGATTGATGCAGACGTGACGCCATGCATGTGCAGATGCGAAGAATATGAGTCAGACATGGGTGGAGACTGATGATGTGTGGCGGTGATCATGCAGAATGGTGAGATATGTGGGTAATGGTACCTCGCCTAGAAGTCTCTACAGGCATCTCAATCGTCCACTGTTCGCATCCGGGTTCTATTGACGAACATCTATCGAGTCGCTCGCTCGAGGCAGACATGGGTGGAACATGTAGTGCAATGTGGCATAGAGTTTGAGCGATCTTGGAATCCTGCAAGTCAATCACGTCGTCGATGATGGACTAAGCAGCTCGATCAATGCAATACGGGAACGAGTGCGACACCAGATGCTCTGATCCAGCGTGGCAGGCGTGGGAACATTGGCATAACCCTGAGAGTAGGAACTGTGACTGCCCAGGTGGTCCTGGTACGTTCATTTCGACCAAATTCTCTCGTGCCGTACTGCCTGCTGGCCTATGTAGACATCCCAAACAACATGGCGTCAGAGGGTGCTGAGTTTCTTGATGGAGGCAGCAAACTGCAAAATAGGGCGGGACGAAGAATTTCGGCGGGATGTCATAATCGTTCGTCATGGACTTGCCGTTTGCCAGCGGGAGGCCATGGCAGGCGTTGTCAAACCTTGGAAGCAGGCTGAAGGTGGCTGCCCGTGTGTCGGACGGGAAAATCGGAGTCGCCGAGTCGTCAGATGTAGCCAAGATTGTATGTGGAAAAAGATGTCATCGACATCCCGGCATCGTCGGAACCAGGATGCTGAACAGGCGTGCCAGGATTGCCATCATCGAACGATGTTCTTCATCACGGCGTGAACTGTGGATGACATAATGACATCGTCAAGACACGGATGCCATGGCAGAACACCGGCGTGATTGATCCTTCGATGAACACGCCATCGATGAACATGTATCTTCGATTGATTGCCTATGTGAACTCGGGGGAGATCCGGGAAGGTTCACTTGTCGTATCGTCTCAGCTAATTAAAGGTCTACAGCTCCACCAAGAACACCGCCTCTGGGGCTGCATACGAGATAGATTATTCATATACTTAAGCGAAGTTGTCTCATTACGTCCCACCACCTTGACTGACAAGGCGTAGCCGGTGAGAGGATTCAGCAAGGAGGACATGGTGTGCAGCGTTCTCGTGCATGGAACGCAAATCTGCAGCAGAACCTCAGTGTAGCGGTCGTTATCGAACTCATGGCGTATCTATCGCGACGACTTCCCAGGTACGAACTGCAATTGCCTACTGCTAGGAGTGTGTATAGTTACATGGACAGAAGAGGATCGACTCCTCAAGTGTTACTGTACAGTATACTAACAGGCAGCCGAACCTGTCACGCCTGTTGGACATCTTTGCAAAGCATCCGGCCCAATGCACAGACGACTGTGGCTGATGACCCACTGCGTCGGAAGCGACGACTCTCTAAATTGCATGCTCCCTTTCGACTGCCAATGCCTGACATTGAGGGAACGCTTCAAATCATCGTCACCAACATACCGTAATTTCTGGAGCAACGCCGGCTCACATTGCAGTGCTGACGACAGCTGCCAAGCATCACAAGCATATTTCATCAACAACGCCGACGACCTCGGAAACGTTTTCGGGATCCCGTCTGATGATAGGCCGTGGGGAGGAGTTTACCAAAATGACCACCTGACCATCTCGAGAGGGCTTGCCTGATGCAAAACGGGCGTTAAGGCGAGTTAGATGACGTCGCTTGCCAGGGTCCCCACCAAATGATCGCTGATCGGGCACCGTCCAGTCCACGCAATCCGTTGCGCACGGAAGGGGGCAGGGCGCGCGTCGAGCGAACGAGGCACAAAGGTCCAGTTCCAATGCTGTGAGGCAACGAGAGGCAACACCCCTGGCGATCTCTATGCAGGAACAGGACCGCTGAATCTCACGCAACCCCCAAAAACGGAGGCGTTTCACGCTTTGCTTTGCCTTGCATTGCACATGCATCTCAATTCTCCGTCGGAGACAGCGCCACCACGATGGGCAGCATGATTTGCACAATACAGGACCAGGGAAGCAAAGATCGCGAGCGGATCGGGGGACGATGCAAGGGTAAATTTGCTTCGTCGCTGCATCGACATTTGAAATGGCGCAAAAAGGAGGAGTAACGACAGCACCCGTTGCAACGGGACAGTGCGACGTTTTTTCCCCTCTTCTTTTCACACTGCTTTTCCATTCTGACCCGGCCACGTGGGCGACGTTTGTGAAATGCGAATTTCTGTTCCTCGTATTCGCAGCGTCGGGCTGCTGCTACAACTCAAATTAAGAGTCCGTATGCGCATGCCACGCCATTAGCTGCGTGATGCACCTCGACATGGACCAGCTTCAATATGCTTTTTCACAACCTCATAGAAGCTGCAAGGCGTCCAGAGTCCGACATCGTGTGGCATGCATATGATGAGAGCGGCATTGGACTCGCATGAAATGTAACACCCAAACTCCGAGATGCGCCTGGCAGGAACGACCGCGTGACCGACGCCCTCGCTCAAAGCTAGCCGCATGGGCTGATGAGATGATGCTTTCCTCCGAGTTGTTGGTTGTCATCATCCGACAAAAGCACAAATTTTCTTGTCACAGCACATACATACTAGGTGCATGAAAAGCTGACAGCAAGGACATCCCCGAGAGATGCCGTAGAGTATCCCGTGAAGAGTAGTGAGTCTCTGATCGGCTGAGGTTTGCATGGGTCAATGTATCATGGATGCGCTACGATGGGCTTTGGGTTTTTCTTTGACGTGGCATGATTGCATAACAAGGCGCCGTTATCGACATCCTTGTCAGTCTAGATGATCTGATCGTCGTCCCCCAAACAAATAATCCTCGTCTTTCGCAGTGCTCCCTTTTGACATCGTCGGATACCTACTCGAGGGAGGCGCGATGCCCTATTTGGATAACGATACGTATGTCCTCTCTGAAGGAATCAACGACATTTCATCATCATCCCATGTCAAGACTCTGGGGACAATTTCCACCGAAGATCTTCTGCCCTGTTCAGTAAAATTCCACCAGATGCTGCACTTGCAACAATTGTTTCCATCATTTTCGATTGCCCGCCTACCTGGGTGGGTATGTGTAATATACAAGCAAGATTACCAAATCTAGATCCGGAGAGCCGAAGGGATATGATACCCGTACGGTGAAATTTCGACGATGAGATTTAATTCCCCACGGATTCCACCGTTGAGCTAGCGGAGACTTTGACGCTTTTCCGGGATTCTCATCCTGATGACATGGAAGCTTCGAATGAGTCACGACACATTAAAAGCTGGCTGGAGGCAGGGGTGCAGTAGTCTATGTATGCCTGAGCAGCGAGAGGACGGTCGAAAGCCAGACAGACGGTCGACACAGAAATGTCTTCGTCCGGGCACCGGTGTCCGGGCTTGAAGATCTTTCGACATCTGAAACGCCCAGCTTGCGTTGATTTGCATAGAGTTCAGAAACCGCCACCACCGTCGCTGGCTCCGAAGCTTTCCACACCACGCTAGAAAAACCATCATCCGCGCGCCCCTGTGCGTCTGCGTCCGTTCTGGATTTACGAGGTGATGATTCACCGACGCTGAGCAATTTTGAAATATGCACTCATGATGTGATCTCTAGTGTTGCGCGGATGCCAACACTCCCCGGCAGACTATGACGGTGTACGGATTCGGCAAGTGGAATTATTGGAAAATTTGTTCCATGTGTGGCAGACATACAACTGGGCAGATTACAGCAACAATCTTGGAAGCCTCGGAATGGTACGGTTGGTGCGCATTCGGACTTGCCGCAGCGGCGGCGTCGTTGCGCCTCAAAGGTAAATGATCCCGCTTACAGTCTGACAGGCAGGCACAGCCTTGTCGTCATCGTCATGTGCATTGCCTCTGAATCCCAATTGGCCCCGGTGCCGAGATAATTATAATCCGTCCAACACGAAAGCCGATAAGGAAGCCGAATGTCGCCGGGCTTGAGCAGTGCTTGTGATGCTCAGCTGCTGACACGGTGCCCATAATTGGGTGGCATCGCGCACCATTCGTATAGTACCTAGGTAGGGAATAGTCTTGATACTCGGCATGATCACGATGATGACTTTGGGTCTGACACTCTGGGCAGAAGAAATTGGCTGAAACGGATGGTAATGGGGTGGCAGCCATCATCGCCGTCATGTCATCGTTGCGTCGTCATCGCCCAGTCAGAGTCCTACCGAAAAGCCTCTTCTTCGGATGGACTGCGAAGAAGAAGCCAGATGAAGCAACCGTCACAAAGCCAGCCCAATTTGGTGCACCGCAATGGACTGTATGTTGTAGGGCGATCGACATGCCCGCCGTGATCAGAGCTGTCAGCCGTTCGTCCCGCGAGCCAAATTTCAGGCTCTCGTCCTCGCCTTATGCCCCATCTACGTATGGTTTCAGCTGGTACCGACCGACCGCTCCGGTTGATGGCGCCCGTCGTCGGATGTGCCTCCTATCGTTTTCGCTCGCTTTCTTCCACTCTCAGACTCTGTGCCTGAGGGTAGTCCAAAAGGGATGCATATTGGGGCGCTCCGTGTGCGGCGCCGCCGTCTTTCGTACCAATCCCCACGTAATGTGTGTGTGTCCCGGTACAATCGAGTACTGCACTGCACATTGATGAACACATTCACCGAGTTGGCCGTGGTCTGACCCGGGCGGGTGGACCGGCTAACGGATGGGCGTTTGGGACAGGAGCATTGATGATGAGACTGTAATCTACCGCCATGGATTGTACCGACACACCTACAGTTTATCCAACGCAATCCTGATTACAGTACGCTCATTGTGACGATGATACCTGCAAAAAGAAATCAAATACGATCGTCGGTCGAGTGCGGGTGGGTGGTGGGCTGGTACCATCCATCGCCGGACCGCTGGGGGAAAAACCCTCCCTCTCCCTTCTCATCGTTCACGCCTTCATATGTATTCGCCTTGTTATTTCCCCCAAATGTGGCCCTTTCTCTGACTCTGCCCTGCCCTGCCCTGCGCCCCCCCTTCTTTCCTTCTCTCCCTGTTCTGTTCCATCCTGGGAAGGTTCGGTTCTCCTTGGCTTATCTCACTCACCGCCGCTTTCCCCTTCCTTCGTCCCAAGGCTGTCACACAAAAGGATCTGCCCGGAATATGGCCTGGTGCAACGTCTAGCCCTGCATCCCGGGAAATGACTGGTGGTGGAGGGTATGGCGTAGTTGATGCGTCTGACATTTGATTTTTGTGTGTCGCTCCATACCCGGCCGGGCGTGTACAGCACGGTACTTTATGCGCACGGCTGTAATCATACTTCACACACCCCCGTCCGTCACCCACATGTCTGCCTGCTTGTCTGCTTGCCTGCCTAAACGTGATTTCTTATATCTATCGTCTTTCTTCCTCGATTTGTTCTATTGTGTCGCTTATTTCACTCCGCCTTCAACGACAAACTCAACGTCTACCACGCACATAACCTCCAACCAAGATAGATCCTGCCGATACTACATCGACAATCCTCGATCATCACCGTGTCAACCAACCAACACGACTCGCACCAGCCCATCATCACCGAAACTTGCGACTGACGCAAAGTCATACTCTCTCTCACATTTCTCAAGTCAAACACACAATGTCTGCCACCACTCTGCCTCCGTGCCCTGGCCCAGCGCCAACTCGCCCTCTACCACCAATTCCAGGCCAATGAACGATACGCTTTCGAGCTACAGTCGTCGGTTCCTCGCATCGCTCACGGAACGAGGCCCAGGACCACCTTGAAATCTTGGCTAGAGGACAGTCTTGTCGAGAAAGGTCTCAATCATGACTGTCATGGCGATTGAATCTCTTCCGACGATGGACCATCCTCCACTCCGAAGTGGCTTCCACACGACATTCCCACTCGTCCGTCAGCTCAGAATGCTGGCCGCACATCCCAACACCCATCACAATTCAAACTCATCGCCTCCGCACATGTTCCTCTGGGCACAACATCTATGGATTCTACAATTTTGCGTGCCAGTCCACGACACAAGCACGTTCTCTCCATAGATTCGGCACGACTCGAGAATATGTGACACGGCCGGCAGACTCCATCCAATTTCTCTATGCCGGCTTGTCTATCCGCCACCCTTTTAACGATCACGCACCCATTCACTTTGGCCCACGGCTCTTACAATTCTTCGGGCGGCATCAATGTCGACCTTCTGTTCTCTCATAAGGGATCAGTTTTGATACACCTCTTTTTTTCTTCTAGCGCTTTGCCTCAATTGGCTTTCGTGATCCTTTCGGGGATGCACGTCGTTCGACACTTTTTTCTTCTTTCTGCCCTACCATGGGGCAGTGACTGAACTTCCACGGGAGCAGTCTTTTTGATGTGTGATTGGCAGAATATACCCCGGACGTCATGGCAGCAGCGAGTTGATTTACCGCGCGCATGGTTCGACCTTGTTTTTGGTGTTTGTTGTTGAAGGCGGATTTTGTTAGCTTTTTACTTTCTCAACATTCTCTCCTCTCGCTCGGGAGCAGCGTGGACAATAGCTGGCTGTTGTTCTGCTCGGTCTTTGTCGAGCAGGTGGACGAAATACACACAATTGCGCGATACGCGCTTTTCTCTACCTCGATCACATTTCCTACCGTCTTCAGCGTGAAAGCTGTGCGTGCCTCCGTCGATAGCATCAATTCAGAGTCCGAAAGCTGCACGTGCATGTACACGGCGAATACGGCCAGATCGCCCTGTTCTGCTCCCTTCGCGGGTGTTGTCCGTGCAGGGCTCAAGGATAGCCCTGCTTGCAGGTACTGTATCAGTGCAGGACTGATCGCAGGCATGTACCTGTCGTTTACACGGCTAGAAAGCGTCACATGCATTGGAGATATCTCGTATTGCTTCGTTCGTCTGCGCGGGCAACCCATGCAGGTGAGAGTGGCCTCGCGGAACGTCCATACAACGCGCGACGAGGAGCTGCAAGCGGCAATCGAAAGATGTGGAATGGGGACTTGTTACACAATTGTATCTCTCAAGTACAGTCGGGAGTACTCTCTCACGTCGCTTTCTCTCGCCAACCATCCACCCTTCGCGGGGGTGGTATACAAGTACATGAGGCGAAGGCACTGCAGCGAACACAGCCTTGCGCCCGCCAAGCGGAATTCCCAGATATCAACCACGATCCTTCCCACCGAAGCATGTCGCCAGCTCTATAGGACGCTATCGTGATTGCAGTCGCAGCCCGCGCTCTCAGGTGACTTTACCAAACCCCACAACAAGCCATCGACTCTACATGGACGAGTCCGCCACTGCGTACATGTGCGGCCTCTCCAGTGCACACAATGTCGCCCGAGCATGGTGTAATCAAGCACGACCTGTCCGCTCATATGTCAGGAGCTGTGTATAACTGACGGTGCATCGTGCTACATGTCAAGCCATGTTATCGTAATATTGACACCTGCGGTGCAACATTGCCATCGCCGTTTGCAGCGTATCATGAGGCCAAGCCCTTCCAGCCGCTCTTCTCTACGCATCATCAACTTTCCGGAGGTCGGTTGTACAGTGTACAGTATCACAACCTTCGCATACGGTACAGAGCGGCAGTATCGTCCATCAATTGCCGAGATTTCGCCACCGGGACGCGAAAGATACTGCTTGAAGAAGTCTGACCACCATCTCGTTCGTCATCCTTGCGTTTTCAGCTTCTAACACGAATCCTCTTATCTCAACACAGCGTTCACGAAGTTCATTCACCAGCGATAAGGCATCTGAAGCATACACGTAGAGGAGATTGATTGGGTGCGATGTGGGGCCTTGTCCGTCAGAGTGTCACAATGTCAAAAAATTGACACGGGTTCGCATTGTCAATTGTATACCGTAGAACAGCTGGTGAGCACAGAGATGACATTTCCCTCGTCATTCACCACCGGAGTTCGTGGCATTGTGTCCCGCCAACATTCATGACAGTCCACAATTCTTTCCGTCTAATGACCATCCAAGCATTGGTTGACGCGTGTCATGTTGTGCAGTCGAACGCAGCGAAATTACCTGCATTCCTTTCTTTTGCATTTCTTATCGCTCACCCCGTTTGCACATACATGATAAGCAATACGGACCCTGGATTCCACCGCACTCTGGGCTCTGTGGCTTCATCAATGTTCCGTCCTTGTCCTCATGAGACAACCGTATCACATTCATTTTGACAAATCATGCATCATCCCATCGGCGGGAGGAACTGAATAAGTACGACAGGGAAACACGAAGTCTACCTCCACGCCATGACGACGAACCATCGTTTCACAAGCCGCGGCGATAAAATGCAAACTGCAGTACCTCTCCGTCGATCATACAGTAGCAAAAGCGTCGTCCGCGGAAAGTTAAGCCTGCCTAAGTCACCGGGTACCTGCATACAATCTTTCACCCATGACGACGGGTCCGCGCCGTTCGAGTGTTTCCAGACTTGTAGATCAAATAGGTCCTTGCGAAGTGGAGCCATCTGCATATCATCATGTGGTAGTGGAGGCCCTTTTTCCCCTCGAAACGTTAGATCAGCAGTCATCGTGAGACGTAAGCGTCTTGCCAATCTCTTCCCGCCCATTCCACCTTATTGTCGGTGCTGTGTCCAAAGGAATGGTAATGTCCCGTCCCTGAACGATGATGAGACATAGGTGGGAGAGGGGGATCAGCGCACCACCCCGGCAAATTTCTTCAGGGTCCAGATTTTTTTTCATCTGCGCCCCCTTCTTTGGGAACAGGAATGGATCTCGGACAGGAAACAGTTTGGAAAATTTCCCGGCCCGGGAAACACAAGTTCCGTTTTGGGGGGGTTTGTTGGTGGGATTGATGAGGCGTTTCATAGTAGTCTTGTCGTTTTCGGATCGCACCTCTTTTCGGGGGAACTTGCAGTTCGTTGTTTCATTGCCTGATTCGGCGAATGCGTTTCCGATACGAACTCCTCCTCCTCCCCTCTCTAGCCCCCCAAAGCCACCGCGCCGATCCACAGATGCAGGATGGAGGAGAAGGCTCATCATTCCTTGTCGTGTTCTTTTATTGTACAGTATGCGCTTGTATGCATCTGCGTGACATGATGCAGAAGGAACAATGGTCTACAGTACGTTCAATGCAGTCCGCGAGATTCTTCTTTGAACTCACGTGCTGACTGACATCTTTACGCCGGGACGGTCTTTTCAGTCACTCCCTTTCGTCACTCCACACCTCATCATCACACACACTCTTGGATCGAGGTCCGCTTGCGAGGCAGCATGCATGCAATCCACCGAAATTTATTCTCTCGCTCTCGCAAGCCTACACCGTGCACGCTTGCTCACCGAGACTGTCGATAGATTATCGTATGGTTTCTGTCTCGAGCTTCTGGGGCGTCGGCAGCTGTGTTCTGCCCCAGCGATGGCGACATTCCCTCGTCGTTGTACTTCATACACACCTGATGACTCGTCTCGCCGCGGTGACGGATGAGTCTGGAGAATGACAACGTGAGCCGCATAAGCAACAATTCGTAAGACGATACAGCAGATCAGCGGATCACTGCCGCGATCGAGGACGCTGGGGGCTTGTGCTCTCATGTAGATTTCATGTCGCGGTCTATTCCATTTCATCGCTACTTCAAACATTCAAGACTAAGATGCCGCCGCGGCTGCCCCACCGGCTGCACCGCCCGCCGCAGCTGCTGCTGTAGGGAACGGCTTCTCATCTGCTTCCTCCTCGTCCTTGCCGTGATGCCTTCTCTTCTTCTTGTCGTCCTTCTTCTCCCGCTTAGCGGTAGCTTCGGCCATGAGCTGCTCAAAGGCCATGTATTCGCCTTCCTCGTCAGGGTCACGTTGAGCCTAGGGGTGAATATGTTAGTACATGCGTGATCACAGGATGGGACGGGTAGATCAGGACTCACCTTGGCAAACATTTCGCCGATGATGACGAGAGCGTGGGCCCGCTCCAATCGCTTCTCCACCTTGACCTTCTTGTCGTAAAGGACGTTGTCGCACACGTCGCGCAGCACGCCACCGATCTCAAACCGGCTGCCTCGCCACGCCGCGGCCAGGATCTTGCCCGTCACTCGCTTCTCGAATTCCGCGCGCTTCTCGTCCGTCCAGTCTTCGCCGCCCTTGGCCTCGGCGCGGGACATCTCCTCGATCTCCATCTGGGCCGAAATGGCGGATGACAAAGTTCCCCAGGTGTCCTTAACGACCGAGCCGCGGTCTTTCATGCGAGAGAAGAAGCCGGACACTCCTCCGATGATAGGTTTCTGAGATTTGATGAATGTCGTAGCCTTCATGACGTAGGTCTGACCGATGGCGTGAAGGATCTCAATCCCGAACGACTCCATCTTGAGGTTCTCCAACTCCAGCCGCATCTTCTCTGTGAAGGCCGCAGTGACATCTGCGCCCTTGTCCGTCTCGGTCCAGACGCTGACGCGGTCAATCAGCTTGGATGAAAGTGTGTTCACTCGTTCCTCGCGGATTCGAGAGCGCTCGGCCTCAAAGGCTGCTAGCTCCTCGCGTTGCTCCTTGGACAATCCACCTTTGCGCTTCTCCTTCTCCCGCAGCTTCTTCTCCTCTTCAGTCATGCCTGCTGCTGTAGCCGCAGCATCTTCCTCGGCCCTCTCGGTGAGAGCAAGACGGGTCGGGATCCCCGCTGGACGTGGTGTAGATGTACCTGAGCCAGCAGGTTGCACGGGCTTCGTCTCACGGATCGGAATCTCATGTGACGCAGCGGCGGGCTGGGGTTGGGCAGCTTCGGCATCCGGTACAGCTTGCGCAGAGACAGGAGGAACGTCAGGAGTTGCTGAGGTGCCTGACGCTGCGCCGGCGGCGGTTGTGTCTGCCGCCGCCGCTGTTGCCGCTGCTTCTGCCGTTGCCTGCTCCTGTGCCTGTTCGTCGGCCTCCCTCATAGAAATTTCCATGCTCTTGGTCAGATCCTTCATCATAGAGATCTCGCCGATCCAGTCGACGAACGTCTCTCCGCCGAAGATCATGGTGAAGAACTCGGCCGGATCCTCGAAGCCCGAGTCGGGCTTCGCGCCTTCTTTGCCCAGCTTGTCATACTGTTTTCGCAGATCGGTGTCGGACAGTACTTGGTAAGCTTCACCGACAGCTTGGAACTTCTCGTGGGCGGTAGGGTCGTCGGGGTTCTTGTCTGTGTTCTGAGCCTCAGCACGTGGAAAGACGCTATGAGCGAGCGAGATGATAGTCGAGCCTCACATACCTGGGTGGAGTTTGATCGCAAGTTTCCGGTACGCCTTCTTGATATCAATCTCAGTTGCGGTGGGTGCTACACCAAGCGCATCGTAGTACGCCGTGTCGACAACCATGGTCGCCTCGGTTCTGACACAACTCCGCGGGACGACGTTAGAATAGTAATGGCGGCTCGAGTCGCTAAGGTTGGGTATGCGCAGAAGTTTAGACGACGCAAGGGTATGAATCAACCTGGGCTATAGTTCTTCCCGCGAGAGCCGCGTGTGCGCGCCTGGGCTATTTTTTGACTGCAGATAGGAGCGTTCACCTCTGCCGATACCAACGCGCGGCACTTCCAGGATTCTGTCAATCGGCGGTGGGCAAGAAATGATGACGCGGGGCAAGCGGCGCAAAATGTGCAGTAGTTTATAGTGATGATTTCCCTCTACCAGCCAGAATGTGAAGTAATGAGATTACCTACATGGTGAAACCATACACGTGCAATGTGCCATGCCGAATTGCATGCCACCAGATCATTCCGCATTTCATGCATGCTCAACCTTTTATATGCCAAAATGCATTGTTTGTGGTAATTCTTCAGATTCAAATATTCCGTTTAGCTGAACAAAGTGTTAATTTTGAATTAGATGAAGTACGAAAATAAGTAAATTTCTATGATCTGGTATGCTCTCAGAGTCAAATGCTCAGAAGATATAAGGGGCGCCGTCCAAAAGCGGCTTTTGAAAATATAATAGACAGCAACGAGAAAAGTTTGAAAAAAAAATCGGCCTCCATCAGATCTACCACAGATTTCTCGGGTGTCTTCGTTGACGAGTTGCAGTGGTAGTGGAAGTGCCGTTGTTGACGTACACCAACACACGGTTGGCTCCACCGCAGGCCTCGGTCGAATTACCCCGACATGGGAAGCTGCATCCCGCAGCCAATGGGTCGCTGGATCCGGGCGCGACTGAAGATGCTGAGGGAGCGGTGTTGCTACCGTAGCACTCTGCGTAGTACTCTTCACCACAGTAGGTGTAGCCCGCCGCAGCGCAAGCTGACAGACAGTTGGCGATTGTCGCATTGTTCGGTCCACCGGTGGCGCCGAGGTTGATGGCGTTGGGCAGAGTGCGAGCGCTGGCGGAGTCCACGTAGCAGGCCATCAGGTTCCATGTCTGGAAGGAAGGACGAGCAAAGAAAGTCTGCACCCAGTTAAGATCCTGGACGATGTTGATGCGGTTGCCCGCGCCACAGAATTGCGTGTTGTCACCGGCACAGGCCATGTTGCATTGCGAGGAAGCAGTGTTGGTGGTCGGCTGGACATTGCCACAGTAGCACTCGTTGCTGTACTCCGTGCCAGAGAACCGGTAGCCAAGACCACGGCATCTGCTAGCACATTGAGCGGGAGTGTTGGTGGACGATGTTCCATTGGCGATGGGCAGAACACGACCACCGCTGCCATTGTCGATAAAGCAGCCAAGAGCCGAGAAGCCGGTCGGGAGAGCGGCTCCGGCACTTGTGGAGGTGGTGGTGGTAGTGGGTGCGGCGGCGGCAGAGGTGGTAGTTGTTGGAACGGCAGCTGCAGAAGTGGTGGCCATCGTAGTAGTGGAAGATGTCGTGGCAGACGAAGTGGTCGATGCTGATATGACGGAGGAAGAGGTGGCAGTGCTGGTCGTGTTGGCCGCAACCGTACCGATCAACTTAGCGCCGAAAATGTTGCTGTTGGGGTTGGGCGCTCCAATGGAGTTTTTCATGTAGCAAGCCGTGCCGGAGAGGGCGAGTGCCTGGCAGTTGGGAGCCACAGCACACTGCTCCAGGCACTGCTGGAATGTGACACCGAAAGCTTGCATGAAATCGCCAGCAGCATGGTCGATGCCGCACTCGATGAGGAACTGATCGCCATTGGCTGCAACGTAGGTCTGGCCATTCGAAGCCGGGCAAGAGGGCGCGCTCGATGTGGGCGAGGCAGCAGTGTTAGTGGTAGCACCTGACGAGGTGGCTGTCGTTGTCGCAGTGGTAGCTGTAGAGGCCGAACCCCCAACGGTGACGCTCGACAGGCGGGCGCCAGCAAGGCCAGAGTTCGGAATAGCTGCTCCGAGGCTGGATTTCAAGTAGCAAGCATTTCCGGCCAAGACAGCGTCCACACACTGTGCGTTGTTCGCACAGGCATCGATACAGCCCTGCAGACCGCTCACAGTCAATGAGGTAAGATCGCCGCCCTGGTGATCAAGACCGCATTCGATCGTGAAGTTCTTGCCGTTCGAAGTGTAGATCTGAGTGTCAGAGCCAGGGCAAGATAACGTATTACCTGAGGTCGGGGTCGACCCAGCGCCGCTGCTCGTGGTGGTGACAGCTGGCGCACCGCCTCCGACGGTCACACTGGACAGTCTAGCGCCGGCAAGGCCGGAGTTGGCGACGTATGCTCCCAGAGAGGACTTCAGGTAGCAGTTACCGTTGGCAAAGACAGCATCGACACACTGGGCGTTGTTGGCGCAGGCATCGATGCAGCCAGCGAGGTTCTGGGCTCCGACAGAAGTCAAGTCACCTCCGGCATGGTCGAAACCGCACTCAATTGTGAAGTTCTTGCCGTTGGAGACATAGGTCTGGTTGTTAGAGTCCGGGCATTTCAGGCTCAAGCTGATAGGGGCGACGTAGTTCGGGTTGGAGTAATATGAGAGGCGGTTGCCAGCACCACAGAATTCGGATTTGTTGCCCGTGCAGATCATGTTGCAGTCACCCACATCGGTCACATTGCCACCAGCAATGCTGTTACCGCAGTAACACTCCCTCGCAAATTCGGTGCCGAAGTACTTATAGCTGGAACAGTATGCAGCGCAGGACTCCAAGCTCATGGTGGAAGAGCTGGTGGAGAGTGCGTTCAAGACATGAGTGCCGGCGGGCTCGGCCAAACACCCCTGGTAACTGTAGTTGCCAATGGTCGGTGGCTGAGACGGTGTTGGGTCGACGGAGGGAGCGCCATTGGTGGAGAACAAGGAGATGCGTTGGAAGCCACCACATCGCTGGTTGGAGTTGCCGGGACATTGCACAGGGCATGAGGTGTCGATGACAAGTCGGGCCGAGAATGAGAGGCTGCTGCCGCAGAAGCATTGCGCGCCGCTCATAGCGGCGATGGTGTTGCCGCCAGAGATGCAAGCAGCTGTGCACTTGTCGATAGTGTTGGAATTGTCCGAGTAGGTCATATTAGTCAGGGACACGGGGTTGTTGTTGGAGTAGCAACCCTGGTAGGTCATGCCGCCAGCATATGTGCCGTTCTCACGGGGAATAGGGGTATTGACCAGCGACGGGTCGGGGAATGGATCATCACCAGCTTGCTGTCGTGGGTATCCAAAATCGTAAGCACGAGAATTATCGCCATAGAAATTGTCCTTGAAGAGACGAGCTTGCCCGGCCGGTGATGCAAAGGTAGAGCCAGCGTCGTGACCGAGGGGCACGAAATCGACAGTGTCACAGTTGCGACCAGCAGGGTCAGGGCAGCTAGGTGTAAATTGCTTGATGTAAGCAAAGAATCGCTCTGTCGGAAAAGTTAGCACTGATGTAACCTCAACGTAGAGAAATCTGCCAGCTTACCATTGCGATCGCCGCCCTGCGTAAAGGGATCGCAATCACTGGAGTCGTCCCCTGTGTCTTGGGTACCACGGACCCACGCAATCTGCTTGCTCTGAAAGTTCGCAACAACGGCGTCGCGCCCAGACGCGACGAGACTAGTACCGTAGAGCATCCTGCCGGACTTGCCGTACGTCGTGTAGTTTGTGAAACCGCTTCGCCACTCATCATATCCGGGGCAGCCGAGCGTGACGAGAGGACGGCTGATACTCGGCCAACCATAACTGTTTGGGTTACCGATCCAGTACGTCAGTGGACTCCTGGTGTTGAGGTTGTTTCCGACGAGAGCATATCTTTGTACGGTCTGGGCACCAAGCGAGTGACCGGCAATGACAATCTGGTTCATGTTGGGGAAGACGGTCGTGTTGTCGAAATACTGAATCAATTGGTCCAAGACGTCATATGATGATATTTGGATGGATTTGTAGGGATACTGGTTGGTCCCGCCACCAGCCCATTGCGACGCCTGCCAGACGAGGGCATTGGAGATGGAGCCTTGGTTGGCTCTCAAGCCATCAATCCATGGGTAACCTGAATATTTATCATCGCCGTTGGGAAAGTATGGCGCAATGATAGCGACAGAGTCCATATTGATGTTTGGATCCGACTTGACTTGTGCCAGGGCGCTCAGCATGTTAGACATGTACAGCTCAGGGTCACGGTTCTGTCCATGGACAACGACGATTCCACGCTTGACCTTGAGAGGGTCGATTCGCTTGGAGCCACCGACGCCATGTGAATAATAGTTGATGAGGGTCAAATTGCTGTTGGTGCCCCGGGGATCCTTGATCTTGAAGAAGGCGACCTCAGAGCCGGGCACAGCCGGGAGGGTATTGTTGATGTAGTCGCCGGCGTACTGCTGGCCGTTCGCAGAAGCGAAGAGCGAGGCACAGAAGGCCACCGCCGCAGCTGAGAAACGCATGTTGTTGTTCTGAGGGCGGACACGGCCGCGGACGTGTGGGAAAAAGTCAGAGACAGCTGCGTTGATGAGAGAAGTCGCCCGATGTCAGCTTGACCGTCAATGGCCGTGCGCAGAGTCAGGAGAGGCTGCACAGTGAGCGTGAGAGCAGCGTTGAAAGCTCGCACCGTGGAGGTAGAAGTAATGAAAAGAACTGTATATCTCTGTTTTTCTGATGTTGTGATCGGCGGCGGCAAGGCGTTTTGTATATGTTGGGTTCGTGCCGGCCTTCATATCCACAGCTGCACAACGTGGGAATGGCGACCGCGAAGTCTGGCCGCCACGCGAGACGTTAGCGAATGAGTGCACAGACCCATCATGCAGCAAACCCGGGATCAGATTACGGGCAGCAGTCCTGTCAATGCTTCGACTTCGGAGCGGCCATGTCTCCTTTCGGTGGCATGTTCGTGGCGTGTGTGCCTGCGCTGCTTTCGGAAATCCACCTGCATGGATGCACCACCATCCTCACCACCTATGAGAGAGCATGCGGCGCGAGCCCTGCAAAGCCGAGACGCCTACAGATTGAGGACGTTGTGCTGCTAAAAGCATCTAAGCTTTTCCAGGCCTGTCCTGATCGCATGATGTAGAAGAAAGGGTGGCGTGAACGGGCCTGCCAACACAACCTGAATTTGCGGATCTGCGCGTTGGGACCGCGTCTTGTCCTGCACCCACACACACCAGATGGGACTGACCACCCTCAGCCGACAAATGCATCCAGGATCCCATCCCTGCAGCGAGAGCGAATCTGGCCTGACTGACACGTACGCAGCATACATCCACTGCCCAGGCTCGCCGTCTTCGCCAATGTTTTATGAGATCGAGTATGGCCAGTGTTCTATTGATGATCTGATATGGGCATCGGTGCAGGACCTTGCTCTCCTAAAAGCATTGCTCATTAGACTCCTGTGCTGTTGCGTGATGCTCTACGCGGCTTACTACAGAACGGTCGCACTGTCGATAGGGCGGGGATTTTCACCTTCGGAGAAAGCCCGAGTGTAGTGGTAGGATCGGCCACAGCAAGAGCCAAAATTGGATGCTCACCTGGGCAATCATTACACCCGACCAGGGAGTGGACGTTATTATAGATGTAAGATACGAGGCGGCTCGTCCCGCCCTCCATTCGCTTCCCTGAAGCCCATCAATTTTCACCTGAGCAGTCATCGGTTAGCGGGCGTGCGGCGTGCTGCGGGCAGGCCAACGAAGACTTCATGATGAATATGCTGTTCATGTCTTTGCGCACATCAATCTTGGCATGATCGCTGGGAAATATACCACTATCAAACGTTCCATCCACGACAGAATGCCATGTTCAGCGAAAGACCAGTATGGTTACTTTGATGTGATGCATCATCATGCTGTTATCCCACCACTTATCTCTCATCGTGCGGGAGTGATCGGCCGTTGAGCTTTCTCTAACGTCCTTTCTCGTGTCTACCGCGTTTGGTGTGGTCGAATGATGACTGACAGTCAAGCAACCCTGGAACGCAAAGGACCGATCAACCAATCTTCCCGGCAGCTAAACAAAACCGCGTTTTGACTTCCCGGATTCGATAATTCGCATGCAACTTGTGTCGTAGTGTTGGAATTGATATCCTCTCATCGGAGGCACGTTTGCTCAATGTCTTCGGGACGTTTGCGCATGTAATACTCGTATTCCGCATGTGCTGGCAAGCAGTGAGGGCTTTTCTACCCACGTTGCAGCGCAGTATGACAGCTGTAACTCTACGACTTTCCTCTGTAGCGTTCACGCTTCTGCACGCGAGAGTCGTACTACAGAGTGGACAGTCCCATCGTCTCAACGTCAGCGCCAGCGAGCGTAAGCAGTCCAAAAATGCATGCCGCCCGATACGGCTCTGCCATGACAACGGTGATGAAGAATATCCTAGAAAATAATGATCATCATCTTCCTATCAGATCGGATAGGTGTGTGTGAGATGAACGCTGCGGTGTACCGCGCAGAGAGTGCAGGTGCGTTGTGTGTGTGTCTCGGACCACCACCTCCCGTTTCTATTGTAGAATTGTCGTCCGATCAGCCCACCACCTTTGCAGTAGGGCAAAACAGAGACCTGTCCACCCTTTCCAGCTTCCCTGCACCCATAACACTTTTTACACATGAAGGAGTATCGACAGCAAGCAAAAGATGTCCCGGCTGCGGCATCTATGCGGCATCGGACATATTATTTCCAATGTTGCGTGCTGACCAAGACGCAGTGAGCGATATGATAGTCGCCCACTGCTCAGCAGAAATCTTTAGTAATGACCCAGAAATTCTGGGGCTAGAAAGCATCTAGGTGCATCTGTAGAACGAATTCTAGTTCTTCTTCGACCAAGACGACGGAAAGGTATCGAGGGTCCGACCGAGGTGAGAATATATTCCTGCCTGTGATATTCGCGACCGGATCAGAGAAACATAGACGAGCAGGAAAGAAAGCGAGATCAGATCCGACGAAGCCTGCACACGCGCGCTCGTGGGTTCAACCAACATTCTCCCCTTCTATCCGATCGTGCCGCGGGGGTGGGAATTTTCGCTTCTTCGGGGCGCCCTGCAAGTGGCTTGCAAGTGTCCCTGCCAACCACGTGGGTGTGGCCTCGCTCGCCTCTTTTCCTCGGCGCCGTGGCGGCCTGGAACATTATCATCGAATTTCCACTTGCGCCTCTTGTCGGCATCACCGCCTACAGACTTCGGATCTCGTTGCCGCGAAACAACAACAACAACAACCATCATCATGTCATGTGCAGGGACAACTTCTCCGTCTACGTACGGTCACGGCGTCACCGCTCCGACTCAGACCATCTCCAGATCAAACGCGTAGCATTTGGGCATCTCGGCTGTTCGAAAGCAGCAATATGGATATGCGCACGATGAATTTCCCGTGACTGCATATGCCGCGCGTCTCTTGGAGCCACATTTGAGGGGGCCATCCCTCTTGCCTTTCCGAAGAATAAATCTGCTCATCGCAAGGACAAGGTTTTCGTGTGCTCCAATTATTTGCATGCGCATGATTAGACACTGTCGGTCGCTATAGCACAGTCCATGGCATTGACATCCAGATCTCCTGAGCGGTCCGCTTCTTCGTCAACATCTGGCAACGACTGGAGCGTGCACGAGCGTTTGCGAGGCTGCGCAAATAATTGAGACATGTGCAACGTTGCGAGCTACCCTACTCTGTGTGAGATACGGCATGTTTAGGCGATAGCACGTTCTAAAGTGGACCTCGGGAGTCTTTCTAATGATTACTATGTGCTCATGTGGCACTCTCAGCCCATGAAGTCTACGTTCGACAACGTCCCTCAAGCTTCCAATTGACGGCTTACCATGGCGTCGTAGGAGCGGGGACAAAATGCGATGAGGCTGCAGACGGGCTTATCTCTGATTGTGATAATCTTGCGTTGTGCTTCTGCAACCTTGTTCGGCGTACTTTGATATCCTGGGTCAGATCTCCCACAACACAAACAATGGCGGAGAATGGCTTGTCCTGGCGTTGCGGGGGTTCTATTGGCTGACTTACCACTGATGAGGTGGCTTGCTTTGCTCAAGGAAGGACTGTGGACTTTGACTTGACCTCGTCCTCGCAGATTCATCTACCATCACGAGGCCAATTTCCACGAATGGACGACAATCGACGATTGTGTTTGTCTTGAGATGGCATTTCAGTAGAGATTGGGAAAATGCAGACGCACCCGCCGACTGTACCTGAAGCATCAAGCAACTTCACGCGCAATCAAACAACATGTCAAGCCACGAAAAATGGCCGGGGACTTCTGCGGATTCGCGAGTGTCTACCAATCGCCAGGATGGCGTGGCATGAGTACGAGGTCATGTCGCCGACGCGCCTGCAATGTTCGTGTTCTGTCAGCACTTGACTCTCCTCGTTAAACCAGTGGCGAATGCCTGAGCAAATCTGCCGGGACATTCAAGCGATGCTGGAATACATGCCTGGGAACCATTTCCGCTGCATCGATACATTCTTTCGCCGTCGCCATGTCAGAGAGCTTCGAGATTCGAGCCCAACGAAGGTCAGGGCCATGATGCCTCGCTCGCTCATCGAGCCCAACCTTCGGATTCGAGGAAGGTCTTGATAGGTACAGTGATGATGAACACGATCGTTGTTTTGCCTCGTGGTGACGGGCCCTCTCCATGGCGAATCAAAGTCTGTATGTTGGGGACCTCTACAGTCCGGTGTTACAGGATGATCGGGCCATGTCTTCCTGATCGTGGTTTGTCTAGAGGGGTGCATTCATGTCGGATCCTCTGTCCTCGGTTCATGTCCCTTTGCCGACGATCGACTGTGGGATGTTGTAATTGGGCGGGGATCGGCAACCCATCGATGCTGGTGATCGGTATCCGTCGGTTTCGCTGCGGATGCCACTCTCATCTATAATCAAAAGCCCTTTGCTTGTCTCTCTGTTGGTGCCAGCTCTGACTCTCGTGGGCTTAGGCTTGTTGGCTGTTCATCCTGAGTATACGAGCCGAAAGCCTCTTGTGGAAAGGACTTCCTCATCATCAACCGGGAGTTTTCAAAGTGACCAAAAGGTTGAGACGTATTGCTGAGACTTGACATAACTTGTCGCTGGCTTTTCGCGTTTTCAGCAGCTAGAGCATCGTGGGTGGTACACGCGAACGCCTTCCTATGTCACATGTGTTGGGAATACCGAATTATCGTCAAGGTCTGCCATCAACCAAAAGTGCTTGACTTCTCTGAACTGACCTTGTGGTTGTGTATGATTGTTCATCTGTTGAACCTCGCATCGCTAGCCCAGGGTTACAACACAACCCTAATCGGGATGGAAGCTGAAGTTACCTTAGGCCTGGTAGATCATTTCATCTCAGCTCTCGTTTGTTGCACAGAAGACCGCCCCGATGCAATGCTTCGCATTTGAACAACTGGTAAGTATAGAGTAGAGCATTACCAACGGTCCGGACCTCTGACAAACCCCTCGAGTTGTAGTTCTGCACAGCCATGACTTGAGTAGGCGCACACGAAAGTTGACGCTCATACTGATGACATATTCGCATCCGCCAGGGCTACCGGATCAAGAGCACGAACAGTCGGAATCAAACGTCACCGATAGGCTCCGAAGATACAAACGTTATCATTGTTTCCATAACACTATACAACTCAGTCCATCATCTCTTCCATCTCGTACATTCGTTTTCGACAAACGTCGGGGTATCGTTGCTGTGACCGGAGCCTCGTTCCAGCCGTCGTTGAGATGTTCTCCGCTTAGACTTCAGCCTTAGCTTGCTCGCGAGCGGTGGCGTTGTCAACCTTTCCACGCTTTCCGCGACCGACGTCGGACCAGGGGAAGTGAGCCACCGGGATGATGAAGAACGAGTTGCTCGGGTCTGCCATACCGGCAAAGGCGTTATACCTGTGGAAGAAGATCATATTAGCATTGGGGCCAATCCGCTGCACACAAATGGCAGATGTGCGGAAGTGCGTTGTCACTTACCAGGCGGCAAAGGCGGCCAAGATACCAAAAGCGCCTCCGGCACGGATCAGGGCCATGTTGGGGGTTGTCGCGCCAGCATTGTATGTCGGGTTCAAGTATCCGACTCCCAAGCATAGGAAGGCCAAGTCGAGTGTGAAGAAGAGGAAGAAGAATGCGACCGTGGACTTCAGTGTCAGAATCAGGAGTAAGAAGGTGAAGATGAACCAGCCCTGTGAGGAATGTCATCAGCGAATTGCACCACAAGCGCAAGCTTCGAAAAGCTCTTACCATCAAGTAAATTCCGAAAGCAGTCAAAAATTGGGACCCCTGGAGCTCCTCGATCTCGAAACCACCGGGAGTCAGGATGATAGCAGTACCGATCCAGAAACCACCGTAAGATGAGAGCGCAGTTGCACCGAAGGTGTTGCCGATAGCCATTTCCCTAGGAACGATAACGTCAGCTCGCTATTCGAACTTGCAAGGTGAGTGCCAGCAGGCGGATCAGTTTAACATACCACATGCCAGCCAAAAGCTGAACGAGACCACCGTAAGCAAATGCAGCACCGACAACAATGTTCGGCTTGCTGAGACCATCAGTACCCAAGTTGATGATGGAGAGCACAAAGGTGGTGAGCGCGAATGCCGACAGGCCGAGGGGAGCCGGGTTGGCGAATTTGCGCTTCTCGGTCGACTTGTAGAGACCAGGTTGCAGTTCACCACCGAATGCCTGCAAGCGCACCGACTCGCCGGTGTTCACATGGGCAAGTGGATTGCCGCCGTAGTCATACGGCTTGCGCTGCTTCTGCAGACCAGTCGCGTGGTCGGCAGTGGAGGTAGTTCCGCCATTGACGGTGTCGCCGAGTCCGCTGTTGATAGCGTTGTGTTCCTGAGCAGTAGCCATGATGTTGAGCTTGTCTGAAGAGCCACGCGAAGAGAGTTGTAGGTTGTACGTGAAGTGGTTTTCGCCAAAGTCAAGTTCGCCACGGTCAGAAGAAAGAGGTCGGGTTGCGCATCCAATGCTATCTATATAGCTCGAGGTCCCTGAGCTCGTATGCGACCGCGATCGGGTGGAAGGTGTTCAAAGTTCCGACTATCCGGCAGCATGACGAAAGCATCGATCCCGTGCGCATTGGCATCTGAGTCCTTGTTGCGTCCGTTCACCCGACCAGATGGAAAGATTGATGTCGAGAGACATCGTTGTAGAAAGGTTTCCCTCCATGATGCACCAAGCTGGGCGCACAGGCCATAGCTTCTTGCTGGATGAAGCATAGAAAGCCCGACCTGCGTCTTATCCGCTTGTGGAGCCGCACGCGCTACCAAAGACAGAGTCTGGGGAAAGCGAAAATCGGTCTCGGATTATCGCAGAGGCACGAGACTATTTGCTGGAGAGTTTGATCCACAACCGCCACCGCAACACGTAGAAGAAGTCTCATGAGAGTTAAGAAGCAAAGACAGTGTTTTCAAAAACACACTCAGTGAAAAAACGCCATGGCGCTGAAGCAATCGGTGCACTATGACAATGTGGTGACAAATTCTGGCAATATCGAGGAGGCATTCGCACTGTTCGCCGGGGAGAAATTGACCGCTGCTGAATGCTGGCCCTTCTTCTCACCTCTGTCAGTCTGCGCCGAGCAAAGTCCGATACGTGACTGATATACAGCACATGGATATAGTGCTCTATCATTATAACGGAGGACAACTTCACCACGTTCCAACCGGGCGGCAGGATAAACGACCCTCGGATACGCGTGGACCAGTCGCACCGTGCAATCACCAATTCTCGATCTGTGCTGATAAATCGAAGCACACAGCAATCGCAGACTCCTTATGCATTGTCACTATTACGTAGCTTGTACACCCTCGTTCCGTGCTCCATTCGGCTGGGCTGATGCGCATTGTGGAATCTCTCGAGGCTAATATTGGCTGCAGGGATGGATCTGAGAGGCTCGTCCAGTAGTCATCACGCTTGGGAGCTCACCTAGGCAATCTTAGGACTGCGCTTGGGAAACATTGGCCATCGTGATGGACTCCAGTTACGATACGACCCGTGGACGTTAAGACCAGAGTACCTAATCAATTGCTTGCTTACCCCACCTCTCTTGATGTCATAGCGTGGACGCTTTGGCCCCGAGTACCTAGGTAGCGTAGAAGTGAAGCCAGCCCTGGGAGTGTTGGACATTCGCCGAAAAAACTATCGACCGTTCTGGCAACCGCCGCGAATCAAACAATTCGAAATGAAACAAAAGCAACGATATCGTACCCGTCATGGCCAATGTGTCGGTTGATGAAGTCGCATCGTGACAACTTGCAATGTCAGAGGGACTTCGCACACCGGCTCCGAACGCGCATGGAGTCTTTTCACGATGCGGAGCTTCGTCACGACTCATGAGATATCGTTGTAACGAGGCTAGAGGATCATGTCCGATGACGTTGTCTAGTCGCAATCTCGATCTGAGTCTGCTCGGGCCTCAGAGTAATTTCGAAGTCAGGCTCAAGCCACCACAGTCCAGGCATCGAACAATTTGTCAAGTCTGCGGCCTGCCCATACAAGTGAGGAACAGAGGATGTACTACATGCTCTGAAGAATCCAAACAATGGCTTTCTTCTGCGCATGGATTTGTGAATGCTCGCACAAGAGATGGCGCCTAGGCGGCATCATTGCGGGATAAGCATCCGCCACGTTCTGGTAGCACAGAGAAAGCCCAATAGGATCGTGAAGGCGTATGTTAGGTGAAACCGACGATGTGGCCCACAGACACATGGCTGATCCTAAGTGAATCTAGACGGCTCCTGCGAACCTCTGATTTGGATTGTTCTGCATGTAATTGTCCATCTCAAGATTTACTCCGCAATTTTCGAGAATCTCGACCTCCACATGTCTAGCGCTCCAGACAAGACATCAAATTTACCAGATATCAAGACAGCCTTGAGGCGACTAAAGTGGATCTGTGCAGTGCCTTTTCACGTGTTCCATTATGGCATGTGCACACGACAGCAGTCGGACATTTCTATAGCGACTAGATAGAAAGCGAAAAGTCAAATGTGCACGCGCGTCGGGGTTGGACCGCACGAGCACTTTCAAGGCTTCATCGCAGCTCGACTGGAAGAATCTAAATGATGCCCCAGCAAGCCATCACGCATCTTACAGATTCTTGTCTCTTGACCAATACTGTCTTTGACCGTAACTTGATCATGCGGCAGTCGCGCCCATATCGGCGGTGACAACAGCTATCCATCGTTCGCGTTAGTATGGCGTCGATATCTCACACATTGATGACAGGCTTCCTTTAAACTCACCTCCGTTGAGCATGCTGGCATCATCCGAGCACAAATAGGCGACCAATTTGGCCATCTTTTGCAAGTCGACCATCGACTTTTGTGGATCCTCAACTACAAAGCATCAAATGATCAGCGTGATGGCACACAGTCGCCTTGCGGGTGCATATCTTACATTGCCTCATAGCCAGTTCGAGGCCCTGCTGGTTGTATCCTCCGGCCATACTGTTGCCGATATTGGTCGCCATGGCGCCCGCCTGGATGGCGTTGCACCGAATGCCCTTGTTATGGTAGAATGCAGCCGTGTTCCTCGTCAGACCAAGTATACCGTGTTTCGATGCGGTGTATGCCGCGCCTATTGTACATGATCAGCACCTCAATATCCTACGACGTAATTGCCCACCTACCAGCTGCGCCTCCCTTGAATGCCGCGATTGATGCGATGTTGACAATCGCACCTCCCTGGATTTGGTGCTTTTGCATCAAGTTGATCGCGCGCTTGGAGATCATGGTGGGAGCGATGAGATTAACGGCCAGCACACGCTCAAACAGTGCCCGGTCGATAGTTCCTGCTGGATCGAATCTGTCCATAATGCCGGCGGAGTTGACTACGTAATCGAGCTTGCCGAACTTGGTCTCGATCTGTGCGAAGAGCTCATCCAGCGCTGCTTCGGATGTGATGTCGCATTGAACCGCCAGCGTCTTTTCAGGATATGCTGATGTGACCTTGGCCGTGAAGTCTGCGAGGAGCTCGGCATTGATATCGCAGGTCACCACGTTGGCGCCGACAGACAAGAAGTGTTCCACAATAACTCGGCCAAGGCCGCCTCCGCCTCCGGTCACCAATACCGTTCTGTTAGCATGTTGTGAATTTGAGACTGGTGCTGGTGCAGCCATGATTTGTGAGTGATCTGGCTAGGAGCAGGGGTCAATTGTTGCGCGGTATCCAGATCTTTTCCACACGTGTAGACTTCTGGTGTAAAAGAGGCGATCAAACTTGGGAGGCTTGAATGAATCGTATTCATATACAGCACGTTCACTAGGCGCTCACATTTAACCTGCATACGCTCTCGTGTTACCTTCCTGTCTCCTCGTTCTTCGTTTATGCTGCCACACCCACATAGGCTTCGAGCAAAGCGACCATTCAGTTCACGCCGAGTCTAGGGACGCTTCCCACTGTAGACCCTACATAAGGGTCTCCGAGGTCCCCGCCTGTTCAGTTGAAAAGGCACATGTTTGGGGCCCCCTGACATGTCGCTGTTTGCCGACTGGCCACTTGCACCATACTTAAGCAGGCGACTATATCGATAGTTGTCGAGATTATGGAAATCGTGAATACCTTCAGACAGGGCCATGATTGGTCTGTTCGTGATATTGAACTCTATCTGCCAATTACGCCAGCACCGATACGAACACTGGCACCTGAGGCACCAAACACAAGGGGTCAGTCCTGACAACCCTAGGGTTAGCCTCACTGCAATACTTACCCAGGTGAGCCTCGCGACGAGACTCACCAACCAGCTCACGAACACCTAGGTACTCCATATGTATGTATCTCAACTATATAGGTAGACAGGATAACCTTAAGTTGTCCTGTGTTCAACTCATGTTCCATACTCACTGATTGGAATCTCAACTTCACTCCGTACTCGCATTACCGCATCGTTCTCCAGAACCCTCTTCTAGTAGCACAGACCCCAATCTAGGCCTTTGGATCTTAAGAAGTACTTATAAAGGTATAGGCAAGGGACAAATTGTGTTAATGATTATTCAGATTAACGAATACCTCGTTGGGATCTGCTATACGGGTAGGAAGTCGCAAACAGTCTCTTGGATTAGAGAGATGGCAGTCCTGACAAAATTACTCGAAACGTGATTAGATGGGCTTTATAGAGTACGCGTTTATCACCAGTAGCAAGGTCAAGAACGTGGGGTTATTGATCTTGGACAGAAGAGGGCGATGGAGAGACCGGTGACAGAGAGATGGAGATGAGTAAAGGAAGCTTTAGATGGAGGAAGGGGAAGACTCATAGCTGTCGTAACTTGTGAAGGATTGAAGAAGTTGAAATCACTTGATCCCGCTTCTTATCCATCCTCGATTGCCAGAAGCCTGAAAGAAGACCTACAGATCGCGTCTCACTAGAAAATGGACGAGATTCATAGCATTACATGCTGCCATGGTAGTGTCATGGAATTCTTCGCAGTGTCCTTGAGAAACTCAAGAAATCCCTCAACGCCATCCGCTCCGATCGTCCAGCCATCCTGCTCAACATAGGCTATGAGCATCTCAAGGATGTCAACCAATCGTAATCGTCGGTGCGGGTTCCACGGACAATCGATGTAAGTGTTGGAGTCGTCGAATGGCTGGAAAAGCTTCCAATCCGAGTGATTTGAGTCGATGCGACCGCCAACACCCTGAGCAAAGTACGAGACATGATCCATGCGAGGATGTCCACCGTGGATCAAGTGAATGCCCTCCGCCTCGTTGGAATCCCGAGTCGCGAGGGTAGGGAATATGATCTGTGATGTGATGCTGCTGAGACCGAGCTCGAGTGCTTGGACGCTTGGGACTGTCAGACCAGGCGCGATGCAGAATGGACGGCCGGATTTCAGTTGTGGGGGACGACGGGCTCGCTCGAGGAAGCCCTTTGTGAACGTGTATCGCTGCGCGACGCCGGAACGCATGTCCACATGCAGAGGTATCTCCGAAATCCATGGTGTCTGCTCGTCATCTTGAATGAAACTTTCCGCAGGCATGCGTGCCGTGATGCCGTCCAGAAGCCGTGTCCACGTTTCCAACGTCCGATCGAGCTCGCTTACATTCTCCGGGTGCCAATTCATGAAACACGGTCCGCCGATGTAATTGGGGTCCGTGGGATCATCGCCGTCATAATCCAGACATATGTGGCCTAGATCCCACATGTCGAGCCAATTTTCGAATATTTCTTGCAGCGGCACCCACGCATCGTACGACCCATCACCTTCACCTCTAGGAAAACTTATGAATCGGGCGCGTCCAGTCGTCTGGTCGAGGAAAAGACCTCCTTCTCCGTCATGTGATTCACGACAGAGACACAGGTAGTTCTTGGAATCTTCATCGTCAAACCAGTCTCGATACATCAGGAAGAAGCCCAATGATAGAGGGTTGATGAAGGGCATCAGTAGTGTGTCAGCTACGATCCCATCGTACAATCGGCATTCCTTCACGAATGCTGCTACCTCGGGCGTGACACGGTCCGCGATAGGCCACTCGGGAGAGGATCCTTGAGCGATGTCATCGTTCGGGACGGGATGAGCATTCGCTGGGTTGAAGAATTCCGGTCGTAGGGCGGCAGCTTTTTCGACAAGCTGGTTGTAGAGCTTTGCACATACGTGTGGATCGAAGTCGGCAATATCCAGATTCTCGAGGGATGGGGGGTCAGACGACATACTTGATCATGTAATGCGATGATACAGGGGGAGGTCATAAATCATAGAACGCATCTACCTAATGTAGCGCTAAAAGAGGAAACTAGGGCATTTTACTATTAGAGGCAAAATTACTATTTATTTTAACTATCCGGCTTAGCTAAGGGCTAACATTAGCTACGAAGGGTCACTTCCTTAACAGCGGGGCCGGATGTGAGCTTGAGCAGCGCGCCCCATATCGTGAACACTCGTGGCTACATCAGCCCACGACAAACCTGGGCTAGGCATATTAACAATGAGGTAAAGGGCGTTGATATGTTTTGTAACCCGTATACAGAATCGTCATTCTCTTTCAAATTCGACCAGACCATATTATATAAAATGGCCGGATATCGACAATGTAGCCGTCCAACAGGCAGCCATGGTCACTCCCGCAGGCATCTGCCAGATGCGGAGCCGATCCTTCGTGCCAGCAAGCTTGCCTGACGATCATGTCAGACGTAACCCATACCGCCGCCAGCAGCCCACAAGATCGGGAGGCTCTTTCATATCACAGCTTCTCAGGCACGACCAAAAGTCTCACGTTCGTCATTCACACAAGGCGGTTGTAGACTCTCGCCTTCCGCCAACGCCTTGATTGCTTCAACATGACCGCCGGCACGCCAACGCGACACCTTGCAACGCGCGGCGGTGCTGCTACGAAGTACTTCGACCATGCCAGTGCTCCACGCGTCAACACCGATATAATAGTCGTCGAGGCTCTTCGTCGCGAGTATCCTCAACTGCATCTCACTGTAGTGCCTCAATTTAACTGCAATATCCTTGGCTTCGCTGCGGCGGGGAACGCCGCTGCAGCACCAATCGACAGCGAGCAAGATCGGCTCTCCACACGCACATATAGTGCTCCACCTAGCAGACTGGATGAGAGCAGAGGTAAACTTGCAGACTCGGTCGCGTTCGGCAAGTTTCTTGTTGACTGGAGGAAGAAAGAGTACGTGATATTTGTGGCAGAAGGAAGAGATGGAACTGGGCCTTATCCAGTCTTGAATCAGTATGTCCTGTCACCTTCTGTCGAGGCGACAAACAACCTTCTACTAGAAGTGGGTGCATGGAGCAGTCAACTTCACAACGAAGTCTGGGTCTTCGATGGTGGACGATGGCAGAAGAGTGCCGAGTTGTGGCAAAGTGTACAGAACTCTCACTGGGAGGACGTCATCCTGGATGAAAGCATGAAAAAAACATTGATTGACGACGTGGCCAATTTCTTCGACAGCCGCGATGCTTACGCCCGCCTGAAGGTTCCATGGAAACGCGGTCTCATCTACTATGGTCCACCTGGAAATGGCAAGACCATAAGTATAAAGGCTACGATGAACAGTCTTTATGCTCGTGAACGACCCGTGCCGACTCTCTACGTACGGACTCTCGCGAGTTATGGTGGCCCGGAGTACAGCCTGAACCAGATCTTCCAGCTCGCTCGTCGCGAGGCGCCCTGCCTACTCGTGTTTGAGGACCTCGACAGCATTGTGAATGACCGAGTTCGCTCTTACTTTCTCAACGAAGTCGATGGGATCCGCAAGAACGATGGTATCCTCATGATCGGCTCCACCAACCACCTAGAAAGGCTGGATCCTGGCATTTCTAAGCGACCATCGCGATTCGACCGCAAATACTTATTTCCGAATCCCAACGAAGAGCAGCGTGCAGCCTACATGAAATACTGGCAAGGGAAGCTCGCAGACAACAAAGATCTGGAATTCCCGGACAAGCTCTGTCCCGCCATTGCCAAGATCACGCCCAAATTCTCCTTTGCTTATCTCCAGGAAGCCATGGTCGCGACGTTACTTGCTATTGCGCGCCATGGTCAAGGAAAGGTTGCGACTCGTACAACTTGCGTGGGCTGCTCGCACATCCACGAGAAAACTGCTCCTGGCGCTGTTTGCAATGTTGAGCCTGTCGAAGTGTTCACAGAGCTATATTATTTTGCCTTGAGGGTGCGTGCTGTGGACAACGACGATCCTGATTTGGACAATTACGTCTTGTGGAGGGAGATCAAGCGACAGGTCCGAATTCTGAAGGAAATGATGGGTGCCGACGATGGGACCGAATCCGAGCATTAGAAGTAACGACTTTGTACGAATTTATGATTTATCTTCCTTGAACTTTCCGGCAGTCGTAAGTCGCTCAACGCAACCTATGATATTCTACGCCGAAGCGCGTCACTGCACATCGACGATACTCCGATTAGACTCGGCCATGTGATTCATGACCCGCGGATGAGTACATCTTACCGCACAAGCGCACTCGCACTACGGAGGGAAGAGCGACAGACATGAATGGCTGAAATGTCCGCCTCAGATGACGGTGGTGTCTTTCGAGCCCGAAAATGCTTTCGCACATCTGCTCGGCGCAAGGATGATCTAGGTCAACTACGTTAGCCCTACAATGGCGTCGATCGTGATCTTTCACGCGGTTGATATCTGACATTTAGGGCTATGTGATGGAGTTCAGGGTTGGTCACTCCACGAGACGAATAATCCGCTCCGAACGCTCTCATTGGCGGTTCAAGCACGATACTTTTGCTTCGCTCTCTTTCCGAGTGTTATACGCACCAGCAGGGATATAGTTCGACTGCAAGATGGAGTCGTTTCCCCAGTACCATTCTGTATCCTTGTTGAGACCTTTGCTCACATCATTACAGACACTAATCCTTCTCAAATTTGGATGAGCGATTAATGAGCATGTCGGCGGTTGCGACATCGTCTCCTGGGGTCACTCCCACCCCGACAGCTTTCATCCCCGGCCCAATCAATTATCTCCCTCCAGATGCTCCTGTACAATGGTCCTCCGATGGCCACGGCACATACTCCGACCACGCTCGTAGCTGCTGGACTGCATACACTGATTGGCGCAGATCTTCAGCCGACTTCGAAGCTTCAGCGTCGGCGGCCAATATCACCGTTCGGGTGGCTCGCGTCAATACCACGCGTACCTTTCTTATTCCCACTAGCACAACGATATACCCTACAACAAGCGTCAGCACTTATTCGCTCTGTGATGGTTCCGTTCGAGCTGATATCTCGCCCTCCACCTCGCATTACCTGAAGACTAACGTCGAGCTGCGACCGTCATTGAGCACAATATCACCTTCTATGGCGCCTAGCCGATGCATGCCAAATGACGATGACTGCGCCTTCTATTTCTTTCGATCCAACTTGGGCAATTACAATACTACTTCCAACATTACTCAATGGCTCGATGTCCAATGTGGGCTCCCAGTAGACTTTCCCAAGCCTTGTATTATACAAGGGGGCCCTGCACAGCTGCTTTACTTTCCGGTCTCTGAAAGTAATCGAGAAATCTGTCCCACCACGAGCGCAGCATTACTGCAGCAGCTTCCACAAAACGCGGCGGCGAACAACGCTCCTCCCATCACGACCCTAGGCCGCACCTTCTCTGCTGGGTCGGCCTACATCTCGTTCGAAACGTTATATGCCGGGTTTAGAAGTCATGATGTACCTGGCGGCGAGGCCGTACAGATCGGACCAACATTCAGTAACGCCGTCTTCGAATTTCGCTCCGACGAGATTTCCACAAATTGCTTTGCAACCATCGACCCTGTCGCGACCACCACCGCAGGCTACGGGCTTGGGACGCAACTCAATTTCGCTGACCTTAACCTGCCTGTTGCAGCATCAGCGTACAAATGTCAAAATCAATGTCGATCTTGTACACCGTTTGTCCGTTCCACCGTTTGCTCAGCAATAAATGTTTGCACGACAATCTGGGACAACTTCAACCCCCTACTCGCTGTGCCGACACGTCTCCGTGAGATTGTCCCGGAGTGGTCCACCTGCTCATTTTGGGACGACCGTATCGCAAATATCATATTTGATCCTCCAATCGCTTTGCAAGTTGCAGATGCTCCAGCACAGGCCACTTTGCCTTCATGGTTGATGACTGCTATGTCTGCTCGTCCGGCGTCAGTCTCGGCGACACCGACGACGACAGCACTTCAGGAAACTCTTGATACGGTACAGTCGTGGTCTTTAACTGGTAGTCAAAGGCTCCCTATCCAACCAACTACAGCAGTCTCGTCGATACCGAGCGCCACATCTACCACAACATATTCATCTAATAGACGGACCGGAGCTTCTGAAAATCCGACGTCAAGTTTAACGACACCGAATACAACTTCGCCCTTCAACAATGCGGCCATTGGCAGCAGCTCGAAGCTCCGAGAGATCGGTTGGACTTATGCATATGTGGCTGTCTTGTTCTTCGGAACGCTGCTTGGTAGCTTGCTTGAGCAATTTGATGCGTGATGAATTATTGATCAGGTTGAATGTAGACATGGTTCAATCATGACGAAGGATTTAGAGCGAGATCGTTAGATTAGAAAATAAATGTGTCGTCATTGCCATTTTAATGTCCTTGCGAGGCTATGCTCGAAGTCGCGCAATCAGAAATGACGTCTTGAAATGGCTGGCTTCCGTGACAGGTCTGTGGCTGCCGATTATGAATCCAAATGGTTTGTGAAGCTTATCAATCCGCGGCTCAAGCGAGCTTGTGCTTCCCTGAATGGTCACAAAATCGCCTTTTCTGGTTAGACCTGTGCATTACATATCCTGAAGTGACCCCGAGCGAGCGAACGTCATGGTCTCGTTGGCGTGAATGTGTCGGCTGTATGAACATGAAGTTCCATTAAAGAATATGGAGTGGACTCATGGAAACGGCTCCTACATGAGCTCGCTCATTTATTATAAGCGTCCTCGGCCCAGATCCACATCTCATCAATGATAAAGAAGTTCAAATAAAATTAACGTCAATCGATACAGTCGATGTCGGTATCGTGACGCGCGGAACATCTCCGGAGTGTAAAGATGCGGTCTGCCAAGTGCTGACCAATGTCATCACGAGAGAAGGAGAACGATGTGTGGTGAAACAGAAGAGCATGGAAAATCAGTGCTGGGTCAATGGAGAGATAGAAAAGAGCTCATGTCCCTCTTCATTTCAGATTCGCATCGGTACCATTCAAACACTATCCAGAGCAAGTACACCTGACGCGACCAGCACCGCACTCGCCTTGCCCATACTTCACCGAAACCTCTCAGACCTTTGAAATGTCAACGTGGGCTATCATTGGCGCCTCCCGAGGTCTTGGGGTGTGTCTTTTTGTTGATAGGCGTCCGGCAATGTAAAGATGATGCTGACAAGATTGACACTCAGTATGAATTTCTGCGACAGCTATCGGCTGATAGCTCCAACACCGTGATTGGTACTGCTCGCACTCCAAGCAAGGTCGAAGAACAAATCAAGAAGGACAACCTTGCACCTGCCAAAAACATCAAAAATTTCGCCGCCGATCTCGACAAACAACAGTCCATCTTCAATGTTGCCTCGGAAATCGCGACAGCCGGTCACAAGAGCATCGATTATCTCGTCATCAACGGCGGCTTTGTCTCCGAAGCCACTGGCGGAACAACACCGACGGCCTTCCAAGGCCAGGAGGATCTCTTCGAGCGAGAATTGACTCAGAGCATCCTCACCAACACGATCGGACCTCTTCATACGATCAATGCTTTCTTGCCACTCGTTTGCGCCGGCCGTGCCAAGACGATCATCGTGATTTCCACCGGCCTGGCCGACAACGAATTCACCAAGCTCTCTGGCATCGCCGCCTCAGTGCCGTACACGATAAGCAAGGCAGGGACCAACGTTGTGGTGTCAAAATTCGCCGCAGAGTTGAAGTCTGAGGACATCTCCGTGGTCGCGCTCAGTCCCGGACTCGTCGATACAGACAAGGTATGTCACCAAGTGAGGAACGCGACTAGGTCGAATCGATTCGCTGACACCTGGCAGGATTCCGGATACATGGCAGCAATTGCTGAGGCGATGAAGCCGTATGAGCCTGAGTTCCGAGGTGCTATCACGCCGGAACAGAGCGTCAGGGCCATGCTCAAGGTGATCGGCAACGATTCACTGATCAAGGAGAGTAACGGTACGATGATCAGCCATCTGGGTAATCAGCGCTGGATCTCGGCCGATGGGCGTGGCGATGAAGTTGAAATATGAATATTGCGGCTGCAATATGCTCACGAATTGCTGCCACATGCTGCCATTTGCTCGCTGGTTGCAGCATGCAGACCCGTCGGTTTGTTTTACACTGAGATGAAGCACGAATTCAGTGCCACATGTAAACAATGAAGTTACGACTTATTAGCTCATCGCCGAGTTTCAAAGAGACATCTGTTTGTGTGATAATAGCTCTTCACGAACGCAGAATTGAGCCGTAGCATCAAACGTCAAAGACGAAAGATATGATTGATATGACTCAAAGTTTCATTCATGAGCCCTAAATATGTGCATGTGAACGCAATCTACAATTGCGGTAGTCATCGGATCATCAAAGACGTTGAAAGGAAATGCAACGCCGACGCCAATGCTGTAGTGAGATGATGTGGCCGTGGATCGGATGACGCTAAAAAGAGAGAGAAATGTACGCAACCAGCCCATCAAATTCGAAACTCAGACACGGAACCTGACATCCCGATCGATGTTCTCCCAGAATTTCTTCAGCCAAGAGACGACGCTTCCACCACCGACGAAGTGTCGATTGCTCGCCGAGAGCACGGCTTTCGACGCAAGTCCTTGATCGGCGACGAGCGCGATCAGCGCCGCTCCGACACCGCTTCCGTCTTTTGCGATGCCGATACGAATGCGTTTCTCCCCGCTGACGCCGATTTCAGGCACGGCCCGAAGTGCGGCTCGGAGATGATCCTCGAAATTGGGATAGAATTCCACTAGCGAGCCATCGACGCCGACGTCGATGATCGAATTGTCTTCGCTCTCGTTACTATCCGAGGAGGTGGAGTTGTCGGCAACTGAGGGAGCAATCGATGTGATTGTTGTGGGACTTGGCGTATTTGGCGAGAGCTTGCCCGTGGAGAGAACAATGGCCGCGACAGCTACGGCGGCTAGACGAGCGGCACGTTTGCCAATGGCTGATGCGATCAGTCGAACGGCTTCGGCGTCTTCGGCGCTCACTGCTGAGACGCCGTAGTCTCTATCCAAGGCCTGACGGGTAGCTTTCAATCCCACACTAGCATCAGCCGCAGTGATAGAAAGAAAGGACGTATCTAGACCCCATTGCGAGTGTAGCGGCGAGTCAGGTGCGACATGAGTGGTGCTGTGAATGTCATTATCATTGCTGTCTTTGTCGTGGAAGAGCGGGACCTTCGGGTCCTCAAGGAGCGCAATAAGAGCACGTCGGAGGATCTCGCCCAGGAACATGCCGCTGACACGCTTCTCGAACATTTGAATGCCAGGATTGACGCTTTCCGCATCAAGTGCTTGGTCGTAGGGAGTATTTGGTAGTACTGAAAGATGATTGTCAAAGCTGCCCCATTCGGTGTTCACGATCATGTCTTCGCTCGGCGAAGTTCCGGCCTTAGTGCCTGGCTGCTTGAGCTTTGTGATACGTTCGAGTTTCTCCACATAGGCGCCGTTCGTTCCTGTTCCGAAAATGGCACCGAGCAGCGTTCCAGTCTTGCCAGGAGAGGTGTATGAGCGTGCCATGAGTGTCCCTACTGTGTCGTTCACCAGTGCTGCCACTCGGACCGGCAATCCCAGAGCATCAATTTCTGCCTGTAGCAACGCGCAGACGTCCTTTCCGATTGCATCGGGGATGTCGAAGCCTTTCGTCCATCGAATGAGAGTACCCTCGTTGATGCTCACCTGATGCACTGGGAAGCTGAACGTGAAGCCAAGGCTGAAGATTTCTTCGTCGTGGACGCCCTTATACACAGATGCCCTCCGCTCTTTGTGAGATTGGTAGTGCTCGCCGTGATGCTGTATGAGAAATGCTTCGATTTGATGTGCGAGAAATGCAAACAGTTCTCGACTCGTCTTGGCTTGCATCAATGCTCTCGGAATTGCGACCTTGTTCTGGGTCAAGCTGAAAGAGCTGTTGCCGTGCAGCTGGACCGAACACACTCGGAAATTCGTACCGCCGAGATCGACAGCAAGAAACAGACCTTTCTCTGTGCCGTTCGGTACCGCCGTAACGTATGTTGGAATTTGACTCATGGTGGCGCCGGTCTTTGTCAGACCTTCGTCCATTTCTCGGATGAATTCTTGCACGCTCCGATTGACCTCGACATCAGGATATTCGAACTCAGCGGCGACGCGCTCGGCGGCCCGAGCGAGAGCCATGCTGCGCGGCGAACGGCTATACCAGCTAATAGGAACGTGCTGCGGCGCGCGACAATAGAGCTCTTGAACGAAAGGATTCGGCGAGGGACACGAAGGCGGAGGCCGCGTCGGAAACGGGCGTAAGTAGGGGGAGCCGGCAATTAGTTGAAAGATGACAAGAGCCGGCACAATCAGCAGAAGAGCGAAGAGGTATTTCGTCGGTCGTGCCGCTTGCAAGCGCAGGCGTGCGACGACCGAAGTCCTCTTCGAATCCCGAAGGTCGCGTAGAAATGGCAGGTCGTCGGGAATGAACTCTTTGGGTATTGGTCTGCTTCGCTCTCTCGCAGCTTCGGCAAGCGACGAGGGCAGGGAGAGAGAGCGATTCAATTTGGGTGCCAGTTTGAAAGAATGAGCCAGGCTCGGGTGGGTACAGGGTGATATATAAGGATGCGTCCCAGTAACTCACACCAGCTAAAGTGTGTGTGGTCGGTTCGGTCAGTCAATCGGCTCGGCCAGAGGGTGGTCTCACACACAGCAGTCGTAGCCGTACTGTAGCAGCTTTTCTTTCCCGCCCGTGATAGAGGAATTGCAGTACAAAATGTATGTGCAATGCTGCATACATGGGCACCACCTAACAAAATCTCCACACGCCCATGAAGATTGTGGAGAAAGCTCCAGGCGTGCCGAACCGCTGCACGTGCGATCAGGTCATAGCACCCTTCGTGCCTTCTTAGCTGCGCCGTATCGGCTCGCGACGGGACATTTTTCCCTACTGCAGCCGTCGATTCTTGCGCCCTTCGGTCCGACTGCTGGCCACTGACGAGCGTCTTTCCTTGTCTTGGAAGTAGGCGTATAACCACGCAAGCGTCTGGTGTCGGGTCGGTGGAATGCCCATACATGGACTATGAGCTAGACATCCTCAAGTAACGCCAAGTCTGACAGACACGTCTAGCCGGGTTATGCGGGCGGACTCGACCTTCGTGCAGCAACGTGCTCTGCTCCACAGCAGGGCCAGCAGTTCCTTGCATGTGACATTGGATCGTCACGCTTTTTCAGCCACTGCATGTACCAAGGTGGAATTGAATTGGTCTTCGCTCTGAGTAAAATCAACTTTCCAAAACAACTATAAGCCACTGTGGAAACGATGACGATGATGATGGATTGTTGTATGATCTCTTCGGTCAGGTACAATCGCGCACATGGTGATCCGCAGAAACCACGGTATGCTAGTTTCCCAAAAATATGAAACATACTGAAAGGACACCGTATGTGAGCACAGCAAGCCGGGAGTTCATCATATCTCCAAAGTTGAGGATGCAAAATGGAATCGAAGACATCTTAATGCCTTTCGAAAGTGAATGGCCTCAGACTAATATCTCAGAAAGAATAAAAGTTAACATGCTCGAGCGCTTCTGACGCTAGGCATCCAGTACCCAAGAACGCCTCGCCTCAACTTGCTCGAAAAGAAACTGGTTGTACATCGTCATCGTCAAACATCGCGCAGGCTTCACTGCATCGTCCGCTGGCCTGGGTACTGCGGCTGAGGAGCAGCGCTCGCTGTAGGGCTTACAGCTCGGTTTCGAAGTGATGGTGGTATGCTAGTTTCATAACCATCCTGCTGGTACTCATGCTGTTGTCTGTTATCGTATTCCCCCTGCTGATACTGACGCTCTTGTGGTCTGCTATCGTATCCACCCTGCTGCGGTCTGCTATCATATCCATCCTGCTGAGGTCGAGGCTGTTGGGGTCTGCTATCGTATCCGCCCTGCTGAGGTCGAGGCTGCTGAGGTCGAGGTTGCTGTTGTCTGCTATCGTATCCACCCCGCTGAGGCTGAGGCTGTTGGGATCTGCTATCGTATGCAGCCTGCTGAGGTCGAGGCTGCTGCGCTCTGTTATCATATCCACTCTGCTGAGGTTGAGGCTGCTGGGGTCGGCTATCGTATCCACCCTGCTGAGGTCGAGGCTGCTGTGGTCTGCCGTCATACCCTCCCTGCTGAGGTTGAGGCTGTTGTGGTCTGCTGCCGTAACTACCCTGCCCATATTGAGGCTGTTGTGGTCCACTGCCATATTCGTCTTGCGGAGATTGAGGCTGCCGTGGCCCACTATTGTATCCACCCTGTCCATACTGAGGCTGTTGTGCTCTGCTACCGTATCCATCCTGCTGGTATTGATTCCGTTGTTGCTGCCTGCCATCGTGTCCATACTGTGCTGGTTCGACCCTTGAGTCCGTACTGCTGTAAGGCATTGCAACTGCTACATTTGTCGGGTTGTGTGCTGCATACATGGGTGGCGGATTATCTGTCGTTCGCTGACTGCTATACGGGCTGGGCGCAAATTGACCACCTCGGCTGTATTCGTGGTATGGCGCGGCGGAAAGAGTACCGACATCACCAGAGGACGCAAGATCTTGATGTGGAGAAGCGACTGGCGATATCGGTGTTCGGTGGTTGGCAAAATTGTCATCACCCTGCCGACGAACCGGATACGCGGCAGGCGCGGGATGGTTGAAATTCTCGCCATAAGGACTCGCGTTCTCTCGGCGCGGCAGTGTCTGCGATTGCTGTGTCGAAGGACTTTGAACTCGAGGACTCTTGAGCCGGGTCATTTCCATCTCCTCCGGGTGCTCTTCAGCGGATGCTTCGATGCGCTTCTCGCGCGCTGCATCCCAGCTCGGCATGGCGGGAAGAGCGTCATCATTATGGGACGTCGTGCTGACGGTCGTGCGGGCACGACTGGGTGTGTCGAATGTAGCCGTCCGCGCCACTGCCGGTGCGCCGGAGCCATATTGCATCGATAGCTTTTGCACGTATTGATCTCGTGTCGGGAAAGGTTGCGCGGGGGGCAGCGGAGCTGGCGTTTGCTGATATCCTTCACGACCTCCTCGTCGACGTGGTGATGGACAGCATGCATTGCAGCATTTGAAGCAAGCGCAGCAACATTCGACTCCACAGCATAGGCATCGGAAAAGACAGGTGAGAAGCGAGATGACGATCAGCGACGCCACGACAATGCCTATGATCGCGGGCCATTTACTGTGAAGTCTGAGGTGAATACTCGTTCTCATTGCGCGTCGGAGAGAATAGCACTCACCAGTAACTCTTTTCCATGCAAGTATCCCATGATGAATATGTTGTCTTCACATCGGAGATGCTAGAGCCTACGTCGCGCTGCCGTATTGATGTGGTAGCCATAGGCCCTGAGGATCGCGCACGCGACCAATGTGTTCGCTGGCGCAAACCCCGGCTGGCTTCCACTGCGGTCGGAATGTCGCAAACGACAGACTGATGGATAGGCAAAGTGTGCAGACGTGAGGTGCCGCGCCGGGAGTTTTATCGCATCGCAAGGTCGGGTCTCATCGAGGGTTGAATTTGAAGATAGTCAGATTTGACATCTGGTCAAGCAGTCGAGAGGCGATCAATGCGGTTCGTCTTCATTGCCAAGCCAGGCTCCTCTGTGGCCAGTCGTGGACGCTTCTCACTCATCCACCTCCAGATGGATGCGCCAGCGGGCCATGCAAATGTAGGAAGACGGCCAGACCTGCCGAAGGCGACGTGGTGTGCGTCCCAATTGGCGCCTGCACTATCAGATGCAGGCACGCGACGCGCCCTCTTCCCTCGGCAGCGGGGCTGAAACGACCTTGGATCCCTTTTCATTTTCAATAGCTAGGGTCAGAAAGTCTGCGGGATTTTGAAGCACAAATTTCAACGGCGTTTAGAAAGATACCTCGCAATATATTCGGCAAATTTTAGGTTTTGTAGCTCTCATACCGAAGAATTTGTTTGTCGAAAATGTAGCTTGGGCATTTGCCTTTCCAACCAGAAAAATCAGACGCGTTTGTCAATTTGAATCTCGAGATATCGCTATTTGAAAACATGACAAGTTTTGGTGAGATAAGTACGAATCGCGCAGACTTTTTGACTAGTCATGTAGCGCGACCTGGGCTGTATGCAGCCCTTACATAGGAGGTGATAATGATTGTCTGGCTTGGGGCTTATCGTCAGGGGACGCGCACGCCGAGAGACAGACTTCAGGAGCCACTGCATTCCCCGTTGATGTAAAAACCGTCTGGTGCATGATTTCTGAACATCAGGCATCATCGGCCACATATGGGCAGAGGTCGGGAAGGCCCAGATGACTCATCCACATACATCGTCTTCGATGAGTCATCATGACAAACAGTTCAACCCCTGTCCACTAGGCCGGCACCTGGAGTATAGAGCGTGAGACATAGAGAGCTCGCGTCTCAAAAGCTCGATGTTCTTGATTTTGATGATTGTTATTAGGCATACTCGGTAACAACCATTTCAATCTTGTTTTGGCGATGCTTGATACGCGAGGACAGCGTCTCCGACGAGATTGATTCTTTTTCACAGCGTACATCATCTTCAACAAACTGCAATATGAAACGACATTTGGCATGTCTACGCTTCAGTATGAATCAGGAGACCCGACATCACAGAGCCGGCTTTCTCGTGGTGATCGTGGTGTTGATTTGTCAAGCAAACGACAGAACAAATCCAAGGACCAGCGACCGCTGACTTCAGGAGATCAAAGTCTGTTGTTGACATTGCCCATTTCCTCCTGACTTGTGAACAACACGATAGTCCAAGAAATCACGCGGTCCGATTGAACTTCGAACGAATAAATCTGTCCGAAGCGAAGATTCATTTCTCCTTCGTCGCCCCATCCTTCTTCCCCTCACCACTTCCCTTTAACAAAGTCGAAACTCCCTCCGCACCCTTACCGATCGTATTGCCCACAGTCGAAGCCCCGCCCTTGACACCTCCCACCACAGGATCCGTGGCTGAGCTCACAGGTCCACCATAAGAACCATCGGCATCCTTACCACCACGCTCAGCGCGGTTGACGCCCTCCTTGGAAAAAGCGTCGCCGACGGGCTGCAGCATGCCGGCAGGTCCGAGTTGACCGGCGACGGTATCGTTGATACTGTCTTGGAGTTTGTCGACTTGGTCGTTGCCGGAGAGTTTGGTTTTGTCGAGGTTCGCTGCTCGGGCCAGGAAAGAAGATCATCAGTACGAAATCAATGCAGAACAAGGAGAGACGGGCAAGCTCTCAACGACACCAGGGCCAAGAGCGTCAAGGGGGAAATGCAGCGACGTTCATTTTCCCCTCCCAGGAAATTACCTCTCACGTACCTCTCGTCGCGTAGCTCGCCTTGTTGTCATTCGTGAACCACTTCAAGTACAGATCCTCGACCCACGGCATCCAGTTCTCATACTGGTGGTGGTAGCCCTCCTTGACCCATTCGTACCAAATCGTCTTGCCTTGCTTCTTGTCTTCGGGCAAAGCGTCGAAGGCCTGCTTTTTTTGTTCGTCGTTCATGGCGTCCCATTTGCTTGTGTCGATGGAGTCTTTGGTGGCGGACTCGGCGGTTTGGGCGCCGTGGCGGAGGGTGTTGGCCATGATTGGACGGTTGATGAGGGGATGGATATTTTGTGACTGATGTTGTAGATGGGTGTAGATGGGAGGTTGGTGGTGTTGAAGGTCAGGTAAGGTGACTCTCCAAAACAGATTGTTTCCGAGAGTCAAAGAATGACAGAAGTAGCGAGTGAAAGTCAAACAGGTTCCAAGGTTTGGTTGCTGTTGTGCATCGGAAGAGCAAGGAAGCGATCACAAGTGACGTGGCAGTACAAATAAGTACACATGGGCTTGTTATTGCGGCATGATCTGGCAATCCTGCGTCACTCGTGATACATATACTTGCACCAATTAATGATGTACATATACGATATGATGCCTTGGCGAATTTCGAGTGAGTGACTACTTGCCGTCGGTGAAAGTAGAATCGTACCAATATCAGAAATCGCAACGATGCATCTCGAGATCCTCGAGATCAGATCACAATACGACGATGAATTCCTCGAGGTAACGACACAGGAGCCTTACGCAATCACGATCTTGCCATGACAACATTTGAATGTATGAAGCAGCAAATGCCACCAAACAAAGCCCTTTGCCTTCTGACGCGAGGTGGATCATCCCTGGCTCTTCATCATCCGGAACCTGGCAATCTTCCGTCCCGTATGGCCACAGCGATTCTCTTTATCGCCATCCAACCACAGTCGCCAGGAGGCTTTCACTCGATGAAAATCCAGCTTCTAGCCAGAAGTATCGAACACAGTCCTCGCCTGGTAACAGCCGACTTGAAACATTTCGAGGTCACTCATGCACAGCGGCGTTCCGATACTGCGGTCGAGTATGCTGCAGGAAGTTGTACTTCCCTCTGGTATGACCAGATTTTCCAGATGAACGAGAGGTGTGATGGTAGTCCGCATGAGGACTGGATTGTTCATGCCGGAAGCGGTTATGATGAGGATCGTATCAACGCGGATGACTTCCGAACAATCTTCCGAATCATGGCTATTCTCATTGAATTGGCGTCCAATACAATAAACGCGGCATTCACAGCGATCCGTCGCTGCCGTGTCAACGAATGCGGCGATTGGGAGGAAGCCGAGGTTGCGATAGTCTTCGTTGGTAAGGAGTCTTTTGTGGCATGTTGGAGAACTTTGCTGTTTCTCGGGTAGCCAGCGAACGGGGTTCCAAACAGTTGTCGTGTCTCGAGAGGGACGGTCTGGAGCGGGTGCTGTGCTGCAAGTAAGCTTCTTTTTGCGTAGGAGACACCTGGGATACTCGGAAAGAAAACAAACCGCTTGTGGCCAGCTTCTTCTTGTCACATGTTGCAGCTTTCTTGGAGGTGGTCGTCGTAGTAGTCGTCGTGGTCGTGGTTATCGTGATTGTGGCAGTCCCAGCACCGGTATCGGCGCTCTCATCTACCACCGTCGTCGAGGAAGGTATTTCTGCATCGATAGCATTGTTTCGACGACGCTTCGATGTCCGAGACGGCATCGCGGCGAATCCACAGATGGAGATTCTGTCATCCAATGTCAAAATTGCTGCCAGAATGAAATGACACCACCTTTGATCGAGGAAAGGGGTGTCAGCTTCAAGGATCGTCATGATCACCGAATTGAATACATTCTCTCCAAGCTCTCTCCTCAGGGCCAGGCAACAAGCGCGTCGATCATGCGCGCAAGTGTTGCTTTGCGTGAACGCGCGCGCGCGAGGTCAGAAAGGTACGCGTCATCACACGGACTAGGAAACTTTTGTTTGCGGTCGCCTTCGCCGAGCTCAGGCAGCGAGCTTATGCAAAATCTCAGAGTAGGCAGATTCGTCGATTAATCACTGACAGAACTTCATCTCCCGTCAGGAACGCCGTGGAGGAGCTCGCCGAGGAGATCTATGCTGCGTGGAGTCACGGCGTCATCTTCGGACAGACACGTTTCGGAGATTCGCAACCCCTTAGAAGAGAATAAATACTCATTTGTGACATGTCCCTCTTTAATCGTTCCTATCGTCAGTAAAGAAAAAGGAGGATGGATCTCAAACAACCTCCTTGAACTCCCTTCCCACACCGCCATCATCTCCACCAGCCGCCTTCTTCTCCCCATCACCACCACCAGGCCCATCCCTCCTCGCCGCCGCCGTGCCACTGACACTACCCCCAACACTTCTCCTCCGAACCTCGCCTTCCTCCTTCTCGATATACAACGCAGGTCGCTTCGCACTCGTGGCTTCCGGGTCGCGATGGACGAGAATGTTCGAGTGATCCCTGAAATACTGATCGATATCCTCGAGCGTGCGGGCGGCGGTCTCCGGGTAGAAGAAGTACACCAAGGGCACGAAAGAGAGGTTGAAGACGGTCCAGATGATGTAGAAGCGCCAGCCCAATGTTTCGATTCCGGTGGGTGTGATTTCGACGACGATGAAGTTGCAGAGCCAGTTCGTTGCGGTGCGTGGAGAGAGGAGAGAAATGTTAGCTGGGAGGTTTTTTCTTGGTGGGAATTATTGGGAGGATGCAAGGAGGGATGGGGAGGGGGGAGAGACATATCTAAAGCGGCACCTTTGTTGCGCATGGCGAGGCCGTTGATTTCAGCGGGATAGAGCCAAGGAACTCCTATTCATCGCACAAAAGATCAGTAAAAGCATTCTTGATCCGAGTAATAGGTGAGCCCCAGGGAAAAGAAAAAGGAAAAAAAGAGAGAGAAACTCACCCTGGAAGCCGATCCCAAAGAAGACGTAATACAAGAAGAAAAACGCGACGCTCGCACTGGCGACCTCCTTGGTATGCGGATACCCAGGCATTTCGTTATACCGCAACAGGACCGTGATCATCAGATAACAGCACCCCTGGCCGAGCGCGGCGTACATGAGCATCTTCCTGCGACCCCAGCGCTCGACGTTGGGGATCCCGATGAGCGAGAAGAGCAGGTACGATACGCTGTTGCAGGCGGCGAGGAGGCGGGCCATCTTGTTGTCGAAGCCGACGGAGGAGATGAGGACGGTGGGGAGGTAGTAGGATGTGACGTTAATTCCTGGAGAGCGAGAACAATCGGGGGTCAGTTTCTTTTCTTTTGTGCGAGTTTCATCATCCTTGGGTGGAGAAAGAAAGCTGGTGATGATTTCTTCTTTGCGGGGAGGATTTTTGCTTTACCGGAGAATTGCTGCATGAACTGCGCGCCCATCCCCAAAAACAACCGTCTCAACGTCCCCGAGCCCGCGCTCGCGGTCGCGCTCTTCTTTCCTCGGAGCAGGTCGCGGATTCGCACTTGGTGTTCCCGCTCGTAGGCGGTGGTGAAGCGGATCTCCTTGAGTTCGGTCTGGACGTAGGGGTTATCGATGGTGGTGCCCTCGATGTCGGCGAGGATGAGTTCGGCTTCGTCGATGCGGTTCTGTGCGACCAGCCAGCGCGGGGATTCTGGGAGCCAGGGGACGGTGGCGAAGAGGATGATGATGAAGATGAATTGCAGCGCCAGGGGGATGCGCCAGGCGATCTGTGAGGAGGGATTGGTTAGTTCTGTGGGCTGCAAGGTGGAAGTTTGATCAGGTCGATGGTGTGTCTAGACTTACGCCGCCTGGAAGAAAGGAGAATCCATAGGTGACCCAATTGGATAAGCTGAATCCGGCAATGTTGAGGATCAATTCGATGACGATGAGCTTTCCACGCCACGCGGCTTTGGAGGTCTCGGCTTGCCACGGCGGTGCCTGTAGATAAGGAAATATGTCGTCAGCTTTGACCCTTTTCTCACTCCCACTCCCTCTCCTCTACCAAAGGCTCAGACATACGGTAGCAGTGTTGCAACCATTTCCAATTCCAGCAATGATTCTGCCCACGATCATCTGCGGGACACCATATGCCGTAATCTGCAGCAGCGCGCCAACCGACATGATCGTGGTGCCGAGCAGGATGGTCTTCTTTCGACCGATCATATCGCCGATGACAAACGCCATGATGGCGCCGAAGAAACAGCCGATGTCGTAAATGGCGGTGATGGTCCCCTGGAGGGAAGTGTTTCCCACGATCCCGAGGGTTTGGAGGAAATCGTCGGTGACAATGACGCCGCCGAAGACACCTTTTGGTGGAGATATGTTTTTAGATTTCTGCTCGACTTCTCTTGTTCGCGTGGAATTGTCCATTCCGAACTTGGACGCTTACCTTGATCGTAGCCGAATAGAGCTGTTGGGGGAAAGATTGAATGTCAGTCGACATCCTTTGTATGGCCTCCTATCGAAATGGGAACTCACTCATATCAGTACCACAGGCGACGGTCAACCAAAAGGTCAACCAGCCACCCCGGGCCCCAAAATACCGATCCTTCATGAACGCCATCGTGGACTCTCGCGTCGTGTATCAAGACTCGGACAAGCGTACACAGAGGAGACAGGCAAGGGAAGATGAGGTTCTAGCGAGGAAAACCACAATGGCCTTCGAATGTATATACACACACAGTGGAGGGGGCGCCAGAAGGAAGCTATATATGCATGGAAGCTCACGATTTAATAGATGAAGGACAAAATCGATCGACATTGAAAGTATACCCAATCGCGTCTCCACCAAGCCGACATACGACATGACGAACGGGCGATGCTTCCACGATCATCCGCTGTTATGCTGCATCTCTGCATGAAGCTACAGCAGCACTCCATGTACTCCGGCAGAAGCGCATTGCCGGGGCCCGATGGGTGGTGTTGGCGGCGGCGGTTGCGGTGGTGTTGGCGGCGGATGGTTTTCACCATGCATTGTGAGATCGTCATTTCAGCAGTGTAAGCGAGCTCGGATCGCCAACCGGGCCGGTCGAGCGGGTGTTATTGTATGCGTGCGTGCGTGCGTGATTCCCACATCGTTTCTCTCCGTGAAGTACTACAGTGGAAGTGCGAGATGGCCATAGGACGATATTGCCTGCCCACTGCCCGTGCTAGGCTCCAGATGGCAGCGCACTACCGCAGTCACACGGATAGTGCTATAATGAACGAATGCCAATGTGGAGAGTCCCTACTGTTTATTGTATAGGAAGGTTTGAACCGTCAATCATCGGCAATCGAAGGACGACCAAGAGCGGAGAGAGGAGGATGCCAGCGAATATGGGGTAAACAAGGTGGGAAAAGCCTCTCCTCCCACCTGGGCATCTTTCGAGATCGGCGGGCATTTCTTTCCACCATTGGATTTCGGGCTGGAAATGATTGATTCACAAGGACGGCTTGTCATTACTGCTACTGTACCTAGGTAAGTAAAGACAATTCATGGGAAAGGCTTCGCCGAAGCACCAAAGAGAGCTGGTCCTCCGTCTGCTTCATTTTTCCATGCGGGTGCTACGTCAGTGGTGGAGGAAGTCAGTCACCAAGTGGAAGGATTCACCCACTACCTACCTAGCAATAAGTGATAACCACCCACTAGTATGTGAATCGAGTGTGCTCGAAAGATCGGCGAATTCGCTCGGAGGCGTTTTCGGCGCAATTCTGGCGGGCCCCAAGTGCTTTGAGGCGGCGGTCGGCGGCAGTCAGGGCTAAAATTCGCCCTGCACATGGCCGTTGTTATCCTTTCCTAGACCTCAGGCAAGAAAGGGATCTGGGAGTATTAGATCTCCTCGTGATGCATGGATTCGCATTCGGACCGAATGGGAAAAGGGACACGGGCAGTATGCAGGAGGCTTTGGATTGTATTTACTCTCTCTCTCTCTCTCCACCGCCTGTCAGGAGTGATGTATCGATTACACTTTGAAGACTGCACGAAGGGATTCCGATGTTATTCACAGTGACGGCATTTCAATTGATAACAGGACTTATTTCGTTTGTCTCACTCTCGTCGGCAAGTGACGGCAGATATCCACCGCCGCTTCTTCCCATCACAACTGACCGGCCCGGGGACGAATGCAGCCGTGATGCTGTAGATCCTCGGCAGCTGCGTCCAACAGAACAGTAGTACATGCATATCATATAGAACAGTATACAGTAAATATACACGGCTTTGCCATCCCACACCACATGAAAACGCCGTCGTCAACGTCAGTCGAATGCGAGCAAGTCGGACGTCATCATCGAGCGGGATTCGTTTGGGGGAACGATCCCCAGAACTTGAACCGCCGCCCGTATGCCATGACATTTCCCACTTCTCCATCTACTGCCAATCTTTCTCGGGATGGTAGTGTAGGCTTTATTGTCGGCGTGCCTCCCAGATCAGAACAGTAGAAGAGGGCGGCATGGTGGCAGTGAGCTGTCGTTTTGTGTGACGATGGTGGAGCTCTCGACTGGCGCAGGTACGGTTTCGCGAAAAGAAAAACCGCGCTATGCCTGGGCGTATCATCAGAAGAAGTATGTCTGTAGAGACACAAAAGAACCATCTCCACTGCTGCTCCCGTGGTTTCTCGCGCCAAACAGGCCAATAACGAGGTGAGTGATCCAGATCGTATTTCAATCCCGAAACATCGGCTTTTCCCTCATGATCATCGTCCAAACCCACCGATCGCACCACCACCGATCTGCGCCCCCAGAAACCCCAAATCCAAAAACTCCGGCAAGCGCACCGCCCTCCTGGACAAGAAAATCTGTGCGGGCGCTCCGCTCGGCCAGACAAGTACCCCGCGTCGAAAGCACAACGTCACCGCCAAGCTCGCCGCCGTGATAACAGTCAAAAGGATCGTAGGGCGTAGGAAGGAACCTAGCAAGGTACTGCGAGGAGGAGCGGGAGCGTGTTGGAGATGTAGCGTTGAGGTGGATGACCCGGGGAAGAACTGATGCAGAGGCGTCGGCAGGCTGTCGAGGATTGCGGAGGAGATTTCTTGCAGACGCTGGGCTATGCTGGTGGGAGATTCTGGGGCGCGGAAGGGGAGGCCGGAGGAGGAGGTTGTGGGTATCGTGGATGGGCCGGATTGGTGGAGGGCGGTGATTTCTTCGGCGGGGGCGTGGAGGTGTAGGCGCTGTCGCAGTCGCTCCGTGTAGGCGACTAGTCGGGGATATCTGGCGCGGAGACGGTCTGCTAGCCAGGAATGCGGAAGGGTTGGGTAGAGCATGAGTGAGAGATATCCGAGCGCGAGACAGTCCAGCGCGTGCGGTTCGCTCGCGTCCAGCAGAAAGCACTCTTCTCTGTCTTTCCCTTCCCCGCCTAGAAGATCCTGCAACGGTGCTAGGACATCGTCCGCCAGTGCGTTCAATTTGAAGACCGCGGCGTGCTCGGGCTTCTTAAGCAGTCCCTTCAAAGTGTCCTTCTTTGGAAGTAGTAGACTTGCCCTTTGTCGGGTAGCTTCCGCAAATGCCGTCTCTTTCCCAGATGAAGTACCGCCAGTCTCCGTGCCTGCAGGGCGATCACTCAAATCCCCATGGACATCGTCGACATCGATAGTGGTCGCGATTCCGAGATGAGCAGTTCGTGCGCGGGCCGCTGCTCTCCGCTGTGGTGGGAGAATGTAGTTCGTATGCCAGGGCAGTAATCTTGTAAAGGCCGGTCGAGTGGCATTGCGGTAGTTCTCAAAGGAGACGTAGAATGAAACATCAAGAAGGAGGTTGGCATTGGTTTCAAGGAAAGCAGTCGCTGCGATCGTATCGGCCTGCTGGATGGCCGAGAGGGTGCTGCGCTCTGGACTGATTCGCTTGTCAATGAGGTGTCGAGCTATGTTGTTGAAACCCCATATTCTTGAGGCGCCGTCGACCAAGTATGGCAGTCGAGTAGCATTGTGATGGGTAGGAATGATCGTGTAGCTTTCGGGTACGCGAAGTTGAAGGAGAGCGACTGCGGCATTGCATTCAGCGTCGATGGAGGGCAGGCCAAACGCAGGGCCAAGGATATAGAGTTGCATGATCATGCCATCTGTGAAGGCCATTGCATACGGATCGGCTAGATATTGACGAGGAGTACACCTCAGGTTCTATCAACGTCAATGATGAGACGACCGATACATCTCTTCAGCGCAAACGGAAGGTCCACTGTCGCAGTGTTCCAAAAAGGTGATGCTTCGTGAATAAATTCCGTCTTCCGTCAGTATGAACATGCATTTTCATGACTCGCGTTATTATGCGGGAGTGTTCCCCATGTGGTTCAAGCCGCATGCGCACGCCGGGGGCTATTTTCGCGTTTCTCTTGTCGCGGCTTCGAATTGGGTGTGGGTTATTATTTGTATCTTATCTTTGACTGTAAGAACACATTGGTCGTCGTCCAGTCATAGAAAGTATGTAGTGCAAAACTCTGCACTGGTGCGTGGCATTGACAGGATTTCGCCTCCAATGGCCAAAATTCTCACGAATGCGTCGCAACATGCTTAGTGTTGAGCAGGTGGAATTCATGACATCGCGCAGACTCCATGTGGTTTACATGCCATGAGTAGCAATGGAAAAAGGAGTTCCTGAGAAGTTCATGATCGAACAGGCAGGGAAGATCAAGAACTACTATAGTGAGCACTCGTCATATCTTGTGGCTCATTGAGCGCAACTAGAGAATGGTGTAGCGAATACGCGAGTGTAAAAGAAAATGTCAAGGAGTTTGTAAATTTGATTCGCCCGTACCAAAAAAAAGAAGTAGAAAGTAATCAAGAAGAAAGAATAAATACATGGGATTGTACCTCCCCCAATCTTGGCCTCGCCGCTCGTAGTCTAGATCGAGAAAGATTTCGATCCAGCGTGCAAAAGTCTGTCGAGATTCACGCCATTTCAACGCCTTGGATGTCTATGCCGCCGTTCACAATCACTTTCGTCTGCTGCCAAAGCTTTTATTTCGCTGTATGAATGATGGCCATGGCGGTGACGACCGGAGGGGATGCAGCTCTAGGATGCCTGCAATGCCGTGGTTGTAGAGCTCGTGTTTGTGTGTCGGAAGCCTCGGTGGTACCGACTCGAGGTGCTGATCTACGCACCGATTTTCGAATCGTGGGCGCATCGCAGAGGACCTCACAATGTCATTATTCACCTCATTCTTCCTTCTTCTCCTCCTCGGCCGGCGGAGGAGCGCCGGCAGCCTTGTTGTGCTCCTCCATCTGCTTAGCGCGAGCAGCAGCGGCGGCCTCCTCTTCCTCACGCTGGCGAGCTTCCTCTGCAGCGCGAGCCTCAGCGGCCTCACGCTCCTTGCGGCTTGGCTTGCGAACGGGACGAGTGCAACCTTGCGTCTCGATGAGCCACTTCTCGGATCGCTCACGGTGCCATCCAGCAGTCCATGAGCGACCATTCCATTTCTCACCTGGGCCCGGCTTCTCCTTCTTGTCAACCTGCGGCAGACGCTCGATACCGTATTGGAAGCGGCTGTTCAAGTAGCAGCGGTCCTTGTGCTTGTCGATGTACTTGTGGTTGTCGATCTCGGTGATGTAGCGTTCGTACAAAAAGGAAATGCAGTTCTCGTTGCGAGCGCAGGCCAGCTCGCAGGAGGTGAAGAATCGGTTGGGGCTCTCGAGGTCGGGCTGGTCAATCGAGGAGAAGTAGGCGAGTGTACCGTACCAGTTTCCGATATCGCCCTCGCTTCGGTCGGGAGTTTCGAGACGTCCCTTGGGGTTCTCGGCGAAGTTGTCCCAGTGGCTTCGCTGGTTCAGAAGGACCGGCTCCCGTAGAATCTCGCAGTAGTCGATGTTTCCATCCTCTGTTGGCGTCGGTCCGCTCTTCGTCGCGGCGGTGTTAGGATCTGAGCGACGTTTTTCGCCTGAGGCGCTGACGCCAGGGTGGACAACGACATTGCTGGTGTCTGGTTCGCCTTTTAATGAGATGAAGCCGATGACGATGACGGCGATGACAAGGACGAGAAGCGTCTTGGGCTGAGTGAGCCGGCGAGGGATGAATGAGGAGCTCATGGTGATGATGGATTATCGAATAAGGATGATGGAGTTTGCGCCTACTCCAATCAATAGCCTCCTTCCGACAAAAGCAGAACGCTGGCGAGCAAAGAGGTCGGCGAAGGGTGCGAGCAACTGCAAACGAATGTCGTCGTCTGCAGAGGCAGTGAGTCGGTGTGTCGGATAGGCGACGTGCAAATAATCAATGATGGGGAAAAGAAAGGCTTGCGTGAATTGTTGTCCTCAGGGCGATAAAGAAACCTTGGGGACCAACAAGGAGTTGAGGCGATCCCGCCGCCCCCAGAGATAGACACGACGCCCTGAATTTCTTAGTCCGTTGTTAATGAGGAGAACGCCCAGATTTACTGCACTAGTCCCGAATCGGGCAGACGATGGGGGATCGTTCGGCAAACGTTGGACGCGACCAAACCACGAGATACAGCCAGATGAACCATACGGACTAATGGTATAAATGAGGATGATCGTCGAATGAACTACAACAGCGCAGAACAAGCAACGACGGTTTGGCTATCGACGAACATACGAGATCTTAGTTAGACCTGCAAGCAATCGCGAGCAGCGACGCAGAGAGACATCGCGGACTCAATGGCAATGCGGAACCTCGTCTGGTTATTTCGCGTCTTTGTTCGCAGCGCGGGCCAGTCCGCCTGTCAATATTCAAATTTCCGAACTGTAGCTGCGGTACCGAACAAGAACAGACGCAGACAGCAGTGTTATCGCGAGATATGTATGCGAGAATGAAGGCAATGAGTGTATAATTGCGGTAGCCCAAGGAGCGTCGTTGGCTACGAGCATTCATAGTGATACTGTAGTGATAATCGTTGCAATGCAAGCGTGAATCTTTACACTTGGCTTGTTGCGGTAGTGTCTTGCGCAGGCCTCGGCTGGCTTCCCCTGATTTTTCCCCAATCATCAACCGCTTAGCACTAGTCCATTATGCAGGAACTTATGCAGGTGGATAATATATGTGTCTGATGCATACAGTATATGCAGTAGCTCAATGTGTTTCCCCTTACAGACCATGGTTCTTAATCTGGTCCAATGTGATTCTAAATTCACTACAAGCAAGAAGTTCTTTGACAAGAAAAGGCCAGGAGTACCGAGTTTCAACCTCGCGGAGGCAATTGTAGAATACTACCTAGGTAGGTGCCTATGTCAAAAGCGTGGAGGGTGAGAATTCTTAGTCAGCAGGCTGGTGATGTCTTTAGGGTTACCATTTCCTGCTTTTGACGAGAGACGAGGTCGACGACGAACACCTGACGAGTTCGCACTGGCACATGTTTTCTTTGTCGGGACTGAAGCCAAGGTGTCGCGGCTCTCCTACTGCTAGTATCCGAGGAGCCTCAAATGTGCGAGTGAATATGTGTTCTCGGGTTGAGGCATTGGCATTAGCATTGGCATCAGCATCTCACAAGTGACGAGACATCTACAACAGAAGCGAGCGCACAAGTTCACGCGCATAGTTAGTTCTGCACAGGAATACATGGCATTTCATTATTGTCGACATCATCACAGATACAAAACTACAACTTCGGCTTTCCAATCGTCAACTCACCGCTCCGATCCAAAATCCACCTCGCCACATCCCTCGCAAAGGTAACCTTATCCTCACCGGGCTCCGAGTGAAGCTTATGATACCAACCCTCATACTTCCTGAATTCCTTATCTTCCACCTTCAACGCCTTGTAGAACTTCTCACACGCCTCGAACCCACAAATCGCATCCGCCGTGCCGTGGCCCACCCACAACCTCGTCCGTCCGCCCTCGCCCAAACCCTCCCCGACCACCACCTTCCCATCCTCGAGATCCCCCGCGCGGTCCAACATGCCCGCCAACCCGGCCAATGTCCCGGTGTCGTGGCAGAGGGCGTCGTCCTGCCACACGCGCACCACCTCCGGGTCCCGGCAGACTTTGCTCGCGTCGAGTTTGTTCAACATGGGCATGTTCGGCAAGAGTTTCGACGCGAAGCGGCCGAGGGTGACCGTAAGCCGCCAGGGCCGGGCATCCGGGTGCAGCGCGATGAACGGGCTCTCGACGAGGTAGCCCCGGATGGTCTTGGTGATCTCGGAGGGGCCCTGCGCGGCGTACACGAGCGTTTCCGCGCCACCCATGCTGTGGCCCATCAGGAACAGCGGGAGTGACGAGGCGGGCAGGTTCCGGATGAAGTGGGTGATGTCGGCGAGCACTTGGGTGGTCGGGCCGGTCTGGCCGCGTTGCGAGGTCTGGTGGACGCTGCGGCCCCAGCCCCGCTGGTCGAAGGAGTGCACGATGATGCCTTGCTCGGAGAGCGAGCGGAAGAGGTCGCCGTAGAAATTGCAGTGGTCGGAGAAGCCGTGGATGAAGACTAGGCGGGCTTTGGCTGGGACGCTGGTGTTCCAGGTTTTGGTGTAGAGCTCGATGCCATCGGGGGTCTTGAGCGTGCCTTCAGTGAAATTCGTGGCGGTATCCATCTTGAAATGAATATGCGATGATAGATGTGAGATCGCAGTCTAATCTTTATTGGAGGTCAGTGTTGATCAATATGATTTGTTGTCGCTGCTTCCGAGTATGACGTACAGTCAATAGGGAATCCAAGCTTCTAGAGCTGGCTGAGGAAGCTTGCTCAAGCTGCAACCCTCGGCTCTTCATACACGCTTTCGACAGCACCTCTTCACGTCTATCCACGCACCAGCAATGCAGCATCATCACCGTACCAAATATCATCAATAATTTGTGCGTTCTGGGGACGATCAAACGTATGCTTGCTTGCTTTTTCATACAATCTCATGAAGAATAATACACGTCGTTAGCAAAAATAATAAAGCGACCGATCGAAACAGTCCTAAGCAACTGACCACACATTGTCATGAACTTCAAATTCGTGAATGATCTCGTGCCCACGACTCCTGAATGAAAGATTCAATGCCTGACTCATCAGAGCATATAGTCTTGCTCAGCTTGAGCTTGCGATTACTGCCACGTCCGCTCGACTCTCAACCTTCGTTTCCATGCTGGGGCTTTCCCCCGTGCTCGCCTTGCCCCCCTGGGGCTCTTCAATTTGAAGCACATCTGCGCTATCACTTTCGTCTTCGCCGCTCAAGAAATCACTAGCTCCGAGCAGACCTCCGCAATCCATAAATTCCCTTTCCAGCCTGGTATAGATCTTGTCCGCAGCCTTTTGACGAAGTGCCCAGTCTCTGTTATCGCGCAGCTTGAGCTCGAATTCGAACTCCTCCAGCAGGCGCGCACGAGTCACTCCACGACTCTGATGAACTTTGGAATTAATGATGTCGAGAAATTTGTCGATTTTGTCCTGTGTGGGGCCGAATGTGGGTAGCGGGGTCGTGGAATGCACGGTTGAGACTTGAGACGGTCTTGATATCAGGAATTTGTGCCGTCTCAGTGCGATATTTCTGAGCTGGCATCTATGCCATCTGCCGGGTTCATATCTGTTCAGGCGTTTCAATTTGGACCGCTCCCTCGCCGTGAGTGGGGGCGGAGGATCGGCAGGAGGTGGGCTTCCTGGCCATTTGAAGAGTGTCGCCCAGAAGCCTTTATTTATTGCAGGTAGAACTCCAAGAGCACCATCAAACGCTGTCCATGGCAAGACCAACGGCGGGTGCACCCTTTGAGCTGCTGTCTCGTCGTCTTCGGTACCTCTAGTATGATTGCGCTTGGTTCCCGGTGAGAGGCGGAGACCGCGCTTGACTCGGTCCAAGCGTAGCTGAAGTCTCCACCCATTTGCTTTGCTTTTGGTGCAAATCCACAGCCGCCCTTTTGGCGTGTCATCTACGAAAGTGTGGAAGCGGATGAGACCCCCGGGGAAAATTGTGCTCGATTTCGAAGCACCAGTAGGGGAAGGTCGCACATTGTTGTAGACTGTCGGCGGCGGGGGCGGCCATTGAAGGCTATGTAACGGGGTCGGGGCGACGGCGAGATCAAGATGCTGCAATGATTTATCGGTAGGGGCCATCAATGACGATGGACCGGCACTAAATGGCGAAGGTCCTCCCAACGATGAGCTTGGCGGGAAGTGAGAATGCGCACCTCCATGAGTTGGTGTCGTTCCAGGTCCAAACAAAGGTGGCGGCAGGGGGAGCGACGTGGTACCGCCAAGAGCCCCAGAAGCTATCGGAGGCTGCCAGCCAGGTGGCGGGACAGTTTCTGATTGTGGAGGCATTGCTGGAGCTCCACCGGTATCCGCAAATATCCCATTTGAGACAATCCAATTGGGTGGAGGTATGGTGACCGCTTGGGATGGCAGTGATGAATTAGCAGCAAATATATCATTCACGGCAGCTATGGCCGTATTGCCAGTGGTCGGCATGATTGGAGGCATCCACGGATCTGGCGGAACTGAACCGGCATCAGAAGGTGAAGGCGGTGGCCATGTATTGGAGAGATCGTTGACCGGGGCGTTGAGAAAAGTATCGAAATCGAATTCGTTCAACATATCAGGTGCATCGAAGGGTGGCACCATACCAGCGTCAGCTGTAGGGAGATAGGGAACGCTGTCCCCAGCCCACACAGGATTGTTCGTGCCGTGGAATGGCATCTGCATGCCTCCGTGGGTCACCCTGACGGCCACGTAACATTTTTTGATCATCAAAGGCAGACAGGCGGCGATTTCCCAGCCTGTCAGACATACGTAGCTGCCTCGGCCGGAAGGCGTCCGGATGCTGTGGCGCGGCGGCCTGAAATTAGGCTGTTTAGTAGAACATTTGATGGATGGGGGAGCCCAGACGAGTGGTCCTTCGGGTAATGAGGTCGATGTCCCGGGTAGTGGCCATGGCAATGGACCTGTATCTTCAACGCCGAGAGTTTTGAAAGTAGGGTCGGCCGAATCCGCCTCTTCCACCTTGTGGTCAGTGATCGGCCACTCATTTTCAAGATTCCCAAGGTCATAGGACCCAACACCGAGCAGAGCAGAGTGTGTAGGTCTGGGACGACGTCTTTGAAAACGCGCCGGCTTTTCCATGGGGAGGAAGTATGTCATCTTCCCTTCTTGTGTCAAGAGCAGGAGATGCAAATGATTCAGCCGTGGCAGTTTCGATAGAACTTTCAAAATCGACGACCATGATCCGCTCTCAAGATTGACATTCTGCATCTCGATGGTATGTGCAGAGTTCAGGTTGCAGAGGATAGCCGCGAGGTCGCGATAGTTGATGTTGATACTGACCAGGTGGAGCTGTGTCATTTTTCTCAGCTCAAGCCGCTGCACGATGGCTGCACAGGTAGTGCCTGACAGGGGTCCCGCATCGCCCAGTAAATGGAGCACTTTGACTTTTTCGAATATTGTAGCGAACGTACGGGCGCATTCAACACTCTCTGGAGGCTCCTCCCTTTGCGGATCAATTGGTCTTTCCGATCCATTGCGCCTTGTACGAAATTCGAGAGACAGGCTCTCTACTTTGTCGAAAGATTTCTTCAGCTTGGAAACAATCTGAGGGTGGAACCTGAGATCTGTCGAAGGAAGTAAAGCGTATTTGCAGTATGAAAATACGGTCTCAAGATGCTCGATGGTGATGCCACTCTTCGCAACGGCTGTCAGCGTGGTCCTCCATACATGAGTAAGCCATGCACATCCGATCCGGTCGGTAGAAGAATTGTACACATGGTGCGTGGGCCAACTCGTATAACTATGACGAAGCTTACGAGACCACTTGTTGAGACCGTGACAGATAATGTCGGATGCCAGAGCGTGAGCATCGTCAACGAATCCCAGGAAGGACAGCGCTTTTATACGCTGGAATGCTCGCCGGAGCAGGTATTCATCGCCGCCAGGTTTCTTGCCAAGTCTATGCAAGTTCGTCTGATCTTGCCAGAACTCGGTGTGAGCATCGGAAGTGTAATCGCAGGAGAGTCCTTTGGGGGCAAGATGGTCAGCAAGCTCATCAATCCAGGAATGCTACGGCGCAACTCACGATAGGGATCAAATGTTCGATCGCGCTTGGTAGTGGTGAGTGTCCACGAGAAGCCAACTGTCAACAGATACACGTCCTTCAGGTAATTAGCGAATCTGCTCTCCGTGATCTTGACAAAGGTCTGAAGGCTTTCCGTAGTGAACATGAAGCATTTTCTACTAAAGTATTCGAGAGCGAACTCAGAGAAAATCCTGGATTCAATCTCTCTGCAACATAGGCGAAGGGCGAAACAGCTATCGCTGTCAAGATATTCGGTGATTTGTCCTAGGATCTCCTCTGGCAGAGCAGCCAAAGATGAGGTCTGAACAGTGGCGGGCATGATTGAACGAGCTGAGGATGTCGCAAGAGGGAAAAGCTGACTTGAGGCGTTACGGCAAACTCGCACCGACCGGAAGACTCATGCTATTGAGACCGATCCGAAGGACGTTGGTGCTGCTCTGAGGCAGTGCCGTGAGGCAGTCTCGACCTATGCGTTGAAAGGCTGCGCATTAAGAATGTCGGTGGCTTCTGTTGCCGTAGAAGCTCGAGGCGCACACGAATTTAACGTTGTAAGATCGCGCAGCGCATTTGCGACGACTAGTGAAAGGATGCGCTGTGTGCGCTGGCATGAAATGTATACAGCAATATGAACGAATATGCATGGAGGTGTGCAGCCGATGAAGGTGGGCGGACAGTGAGTTGGGGAAGTCAAGTCCAGATGCGCCAGGAATAGATAGAGTGCAGGCGCGGCCCGTGCCTGCGTTGTCAGCCTTCTTGGCGATCTTTGACCTGACACAAACTTCAATCTCACCTGGGCACCATCGACTCCAAGGCGAAGTTACTGAACATGTCTCAGAGGACGTTGCTACCTGAGCATCATTCAGAATTTACAGTCATTCGAATGATCAGCTCCCGCTCAAGCAACTTTCAGGCCTCGATGTTGAGTTAGCTTGCGACATGCAGAGAAACACTGGCGCTTCATGAGTCTGTTGAAGCTAGGAGGACTAAACGCAGGGCTACTGCAGATGATCGAGAATGGCGGCTCTTTTAGTGCGATAAATGCGATTTCAGACTGAAGATTAGATAGTAGCTAAGCCCATGACAAAATTCCAAAGTCGTGCCAAAGCAAGGTCCAGCCTCGCGCGCGACAAACCTCCTTGCTGAACTCACACAAACTTCGAGACAATCACTCTATCCCAAAGTAAACCTATCTGTGATGACGGTAAAATGCAAGACTCCGACGAACATTGCGTGCCACCGCCATCAAACAGCCAATCACCTCATGGTAAGGGTCCACTCAGCGCTGCCCGCTGCACCCCAGCTCGCATATCGCTGCTTTCGACTTGCTATGGTGTTGTCGTCCAGATAGCCAATCCATATGGCATTGGGGTTGTTGTAGATCAGAATGCTAGAGTCGCTGTCCTTGTCGTACAAAGTCTGAGTGCCGGGCTTCTTTTCCGCAACGATGGTTCTGATCTCGTTGAGGATAAATGTTCCTCGGGCGTCACTGCCCTTCATACAGCGGGACTCAGCGGGGGCTTGGTTCATGATGTAAGTGCAGGCCTTGTCGCGAGGGTCGACACACGCAGCATTTGCCAGCACAACACCATTTCCATAGTTTGCAATTCCCATGACGAATTTGCTAGCTGGGACATCTTTCGTGACCCAACCGAAGGTCTCAGTGACCCTTCTGAGGTCCATATGGGGGCGTAAACAGTCTCCCCTTGGGCAGTCGTATTTCGCGGTAGCACCCCACTTGTAGGAGTAGTAGCCATATGACATGACGATGAAGAAGTCGACTTCTTTTGCCATTTCCTTGAGAGGCCATGTCAGAACCGAGTCATCAACCCGAACGTCAACGGACAAGATCTTTCCTGGGCCAAGTTTGGAGCGCAGCTTGCGAACGAAGTCAAGGTAGATGGTATTTGCTTCATTGGCGTCCGGGAATTCCCAATCAATATCAAGACCGTCGAGGCCTTTGTTCTTGTCCAAAAAGTCGGCGATTTTGTTAACGAAGCCATCCATGTCCTTCTTGAGAGCTGTCGCCAGATTGTGACCAACGCTGTCGCCACCAAGGGATGCAAGCTTTTTCACGTTTGGCATGGCGAGAAAATCCTTCCATTGTGTTTCATCACCAAGACCAAGGGATAAGTCATCTTTGATAGTGAGGAAGCTCCAAAGGACGTGGGTATACTTTGTGGTGTCTACCTGTTTGGCCGTCATCGCACCGCAGGGACGGCTGTAGCCCCATGCATCGAAGAAGCCGACAGAAAGTTGCTGAGCCGGTGCACGCTCGGCGACCAGCGCCATAGTGGGCAAAGCAGAAGCGAGGAGTGTGGCGAGCACAGCCAGTCTCCTGGGAGACGGTAGAGCCCACATGATTGGAGTATTCGGAGTTCAGAAATATGATGTGTGTATTTCAAAGGAATGCCGCTTCGATGCGTGTGGAGGAGCCTGCCTGTGATCCTTCTACCGAACAGGAGGATGCATGGGCATCTTTATACCTGAGCGAAGGGAAACAGAAGACAGTGCGATGCCTCTCACCGGAAGCACGGCATATGTCTGTCGCAAGCAGCGCTTGTTGAAGCACAACATGCCCATCAAACTTACCATCTTCAAGAGAACGAGTGTGACGGACACAGAACCTTACCTACACACTCCAGAGGTAGTAGAAGCGGGACAGGTTTGGGTAAACGCGATCGAACACGGTAATGGTGAGCGATCATCTACTGTCCTGTCAGCTGTGCCACGACTCGGGACGAGTACCACCAATGCGATGAGAGTGCGTAAAGTCGTCGACGTGGTCGCATGGCCGGGATGAGCGAGCTCGACAACTACAAATCGCCATACTCGATGTCAGGGACGACTCGAGCGGAGTGAAGACCCGACCTGACCGGAGCAGTTCAGCCCTGGAGTCACCAGCAGGCGCCCGACGAGGTGCTTTCTCGGGACGCACGGAGGCGTTACAGACATTTAATAATTGCTTGATTGCTTGATGAAACCAGGACCCCCTTCGCGCATCACTCTTGCCGATCAATGATTGTTTTTGTCTCCATTCTTCCAGCTTGCAGCGGTAACTCAGACAAATTGTCCGTAATTCATGCGTCCGCCTGAGATGTGTTGTCTTTCCATTGGGCCATGCGGCAAATCCTAGGCGCGCAGAAACTGGGCATTTACCGTGTCAAGTTCTCGCGGACTTGTCAGCTTGCTGCTGCGCCGCTTGTACGGAAGGAATTTCCGTCGTCGTCGCCGTCGTCGCCTGTGATCGCCCTTATAGGCCTTGATTCACGGGAATTACTGCATCAAATGAGGAACATGGAAACACTATGCTCCTGGCACAGGTTTCTGGTGTCGCACATGTGGTGTTCACGGGACGGGACATGGTGTGTGTGTGGCTATGCGCGTGGCACAGGGCACACGTGTCAGCCTGAATTTGAACATGCTGATTTGACGTGCATCACAAACAGGACTGCACAGACGAGGGGGGAGAAAGTTTGAATACAGCGATGCGTTGTCGCAGTGGCCCGCTGAACGCAGAAATGATCTGGTCCTGATCGCGGCCTTGTCAGGTGATATGTTGTTGTGAAGTCATCCTCTCTCGGATTTCCTTTGCGGGCCTCACCTGCAACGCCATTGTGAGCGAGCCGCTCTAATGCATACTCGACGAATTGAGATCTTGGATCACCAGCCAGCTCGGCCGGAGAAATATGTCCACGACAAACGCCCTGAGCAACAGGTGAACTCCACGGAAATGACGCCCGAAGAAGAATATCGAAATCGTTGCGCCAGCAATACCAACAGAGACAAATTTAGAAATATAAAAACCCCGAAACCCATCTCCCAACTCCATAATAGTAGCCCGGGGAATGCCCGTCAGTGGAAGAGTTTCCATACCTGATCGCTTTCACCCTCATTGTTTGCAACCTATTCCTTTATAGCTATGCGCCATTTGATCGTCCCGCAATCATGCCCGATTTCACGCCCTCTCCCTCGCAGCGTCTCCTTCGCCGTTCCGCTAGGGGGCGGAGGCAATGCCGAGATTTCTGAAATAAATCAGCAAAGTCTGGGTGGACATGAAACTCTCCGCGAATCCAAAGAGTCAAATCTGGTGCCTGGACCCTCTGACCATTGCGCTTGAAAAAGTCGTTCGTCGTCGTCTTCGCCAGGAGGACATGAGCGAAGGTTAACCTCGCAAATCCCCCCGATCCGCACCTTTCCATCGCCGCTGGCTGGACTCCTAACACCAAGCCACATGTCAGATTTCTCCGACTCATTTCCGCGTGCAACGTGCGTGGCTGTGTGCTGAAATGGTCCCAAACGAATTCCCACGGTAGTTCCAGTCCTTTCTTGCCGGCATGCTTTGCCAACCCGCTCAATTCCGAGTATCATCAGAAGCCTCGCAGGCGTCGAATTCACCCAGCCAAAGTTCATGAGAAGTGACTCGTTCCTAGATCCAGAAAAAAAGAGTCGATCATCCTTAATAACTCTGAGGAGCTTGATTCTGAACAGGCTATTTTTTTTTGAAAATTGCATCGGTCAGCATTAAGATCACGTGGTGAGAAAGAAGCATGTCGTAGAACATACCGGTGAGTTGACCATGTTGGCTCGCTTGTTGCGGCCCTTCTTGATGTGACTCTTCAGGGCGCTAGAATCCAATGGCTTGAGCAGCTCAAAGGAGCAGAGAAGTTCGCCAGAGACGCTCATTACTGCGCCCCAGTTGTCGAATTCTCCACAGTACTGTTAAAAGAAAGTAAAAGTTACGTCAGCAAAAGATCCATCTCCGAAAGCATTCGAATCGTAATAGATCCGGAGGGAAGGGAGGTCACTCACGTTCGGTGCTGAGAACACCGTGACCAAGATCCGTTCGTTGAAGAACTCATATCCGTCTTCAACCACCATGTGCGCGCGACAGACAAGATCAAAGTCATGCTTCTGCAAGAATTCCATAATGACCTTTTTGCCAAAGCAATAGCTCACACCACGCTCATTCGCTTCCCAATCGGCCTCCATATCAGCCGGGTCCGACCATAAGAGATCGTTCAGGAGGCCGTAATCCGGGACATCGGTGGGTCGGGCGATGTTGCGGATGTCGTCCATATGCGACAAGGAGGGCGACAGACCGCCGTGTACACAGAAGATCTTGCCGGCGACGATGCTGGCGATGGGGAGGGTGTTGAAAGTGTCGACGAAGGTCTTCCAGACTTTGATGTTGCAGCGGCGTTTGCATTCGTCGTAGAAGCCATAGACGCGGGTGACGTTGGCGCATTCGTGGTTTCCACGCAGGAGGAAGAAGTTCTCTGGGAATCGGAGCTTGTAGCACAGAAGCAGCAGGATGGTCTCCAAACTTTGCTTACCGCGATCGACATAGTCTCCGAGGAAGAGGTAGTTGCTGTTTGGTGGAAACCCGCACATTTCGAACATGCGAATTAGATCGGTGTATTGGCCGTGAACATCACCAACAATCTTTACTGGCGGCGCTAATTCCAACAGAGCTGGCTGGGAGAGGAAGACCTCTCGCGCAGCATTGCAGATGGCCGTGATCTCTGCGTTTTTCAAACAGACCGTCTTCGTGACCTTGCCGGCATAGCCAGCGTCGACCAGCCGCTTGATCATATCATCGAGATCGGCTGTCTTCAAGGTTCCAATGTCCATGTTCGATGTGCTCGCATTTAAGCGCTCATTCAGGGAGAGCTCAGCGATCGCCAGGGCGCCTGCAGCTCCCTGAGATGGGAACGCAGAGTGAGCGTTGGGCAACTTCTTCTGCAGAATTGACTCGGTAGGTTCCGTGTTGCCAGAGATGTGTCCGTGACCTTGTGGTGGCGCGTCCGATACGGCGTCGACCTCACCGGAGCGCTTCGCATCCTCCAAGTCTTTCTCGCTGTGTCCAGCGACCACCGAGGCGGATATGGTGGGCGAGGGCGGCACATCCACCTCTTCATCCCCCTCGTCACTGTCCCTCCGGGAGCCATTGCCTTCAGAGATAGATGTGGAGGCGCGATGTCTCTGCGACGATTTTCCACTGGTGGAAGACTTGACCGATTGAGAATCGACCTTGTCAACACTAGTGGAGGATGCGCCGCCCGTCAGTGCAGTCGACGATGCTCGGGGACTGTCGTTCGATTTTGCGCCCGGGATCTTGGTGCGGATCGAGTCACGGAAGGACCTTGTCGACTCTTTGGTTTCGGACTTGCCGAAGGAAGGGTATGACGACAGCTTTGGACCGGAAGATGAGCCATCTTTGCTATCTTTGGATGGTTGGTTACCCATAACCGCGAAGGATAAGCTGAAGCTGGATTCTCAGGGATTTGAAGGTGTCGAGTGCGCAAGCAGTCAATAGCGTCTGCGAACGAATGTCTGTGTACGTTTGTTCCCCAATCCAAGCTTTAAGGCGGTCTGTAAAGCCTGGCCAGATAGGCGAGGCTATGAGTGTTTGACGAGGAGGCGTTTACTGCTTTGACATAGAAGCTTTCTGGGCCGGCTCCGCCAGTGTGGCTCAGTCTGACTGGTGGAGGCCTTTGTTTTCTTTGGCGGTCCAGAGTGGTGTGTGCCTCTGGCGACGGGGATCAAGCGCTGCGCGGTGACGACGGGCGGCGAAGACTCTGTCGCAAGAGCAACCCGAGTCGGGAGAGGGGCGGCGAGTGTGAAGTTACTAGGTAGGACTGAACGAGCGAGGTCGTGCGACAGGTGAACTGCGACCACGAAATGTCAGCCGTGGTTTCCGTGCAGGATCTTCAAGCACGCGAGACCGGGCAGGTGGGCGGTATCGTAATTGCCAACCCTTGCTCATCAGCGGCCCCACCTCGAGAGCGATATGCGAAGAGACGACAGGAGAGTCTAGATGGGAGAACACGTGGAGAATGCCGACTTACAATATGCAAGTTTGGTGGTGTTGACGGCACGCGAGATGGCACAGAAAAGAGGAAGTGTGTTGAGAGAAGTAGCTGTGAAGATCGTTCGGTTGGTGGGCGTAATCGGCGTGTGCAAGTGGATTGGCGTGGGCCCGCTATCACAGCCAAGCATACAGCAGGAAGAGAGGAGCAAGCAGCGTCAGTCAGCAGCAATATGATGATGATGAGCAACAGCCGCAAGGTACAGTACAGTACAGCACAGCACACAGTATAGGGCAGTTCGGGGCAGACCAGACGATGCGCACTTGAACATTCGCCGCACCTCCAGCTTGCTTCTATCACACCTGGGCGGTGCTATGCAGTACTGTAGTTAACGATGGCAGAGGATGGATATCTTTCGGTCTATGGTACTCTGGCACGCTGGGCCAACGGCACACCAGAACTGAGGACGTCATGCGATGCACGCCCCGGGCCTTGGCGCGCTATTATGTTGCGGTCCCTATCTGGACCAACCCATCATGCACCAATTGCAATACCGGATGATGATGATGATATTGACGATTAAAGCCCGGGACTCCTGGCCATGCTCGCCAACGACGCTGTAGACGGGTAAAGAGCGAGTTTGCCGGGTGTGTACGCCAGAGTGTCGCGAGCTCAGTAGGTGATCACTGCCATATCTATGCTAAGGACCGCTATCATGTTTGTCGCACGAGTCTAGAACCCGCAGAGATAAGTGAACCCGTTTGTGTCATCACCCCCAAGAGAGAGACAGAGGAAGAGTAAGAGTCCCTGCCCCTGCACGGCCTGCCAACCCAGCAGTGAGATTCCACAGCAGGTCTCGTCTCAGTAAGGGAAGAAAAAAACACGTGCATGCTCCATCAATTCCTTCTCTCCATGAATCAAAATCCCTCCTCCGCATCAAGCGCCACAGGGCCCAGGGTCCGAAAATGCCGCAGGCCAGACAACGATGAGAGACATATTTCCCTCTCTGCGCCGCACCCGACTATATTATATCAGTCAATCGAGCATCTTGGCACAATCAATAGCCACACGAATATGGACTGTGATAGCCAGGCGCAATCAAGGTCTCGTCGTCATGGCATTCCCGAATGTGCTCGCTACAGATTTCCGTCTGGGCAAGGGTTCTCTGGGTGAACGCCACGTGGGAACCCGCCGATCCTTGACGACAGGGATCCGGCTGGTGTATATTTTTTGGTTGGTAGGCAATCGTCGGGGCATGCGTATGGTGACGTGCATATACTTTGAAGAATAGACGACCACAGATGTCACAGGGCAAGATCGGAGCAAGTGGAGTCTAGCGCAGAGCGATGGAAAGGATCGTTGAGAAATTGGTATCATTGAGATCCGGTTTCTACGGACCGAAAATCTTGCGGAAAACTGAAAGGATAATCTAAAGTATAGCGAATGTGGTACAGGTACAGAAAGCACAAAGTGTGCGTGAAAAGAAGCAGAAGATGTCGAGAAACACGTATCCTCGGGAGTTCTCGCTCGGGAATCCGGAGGGAGAATGCGCTGGAAGAAAAGTAAGGAATTCTATCTCTTCTGATGACAATTGATCAGAATGAAAAAATGTGGTGTGCCGTCAAGTGAGCGCAAGCGACCAGACAGGAATCATTCTCGCATAGAGAATGATGGTATCCTGTGAGTGTGCCCAAGAGCAGGATGAAAGTCGGAATTGAGGATAGCCTCGAAGCTTCAGCTTAAAGAGCTTGGGGAGGGAGGCGGGAAATGGGCGGCGCTTGCGCTCTAGCTTGTGGCGTAGGAGAAAAGTAATGGGTGGAATCTGGTCAGTCGAATTATGTATCCCGGCCCAGCCGGTCTGGTCTGTTGGGCCTTTGAAAAGAAATTCGTGATCGTTCGTGTATTGTTATCGTCAATAGGCGAGTGGTTCTACGTTTTGATTTTCGCGAGAAAAGGATAGCAGGCTCTCACATAGAGATGATGTGCTCTCCTTTTCCGCGGTAGCGTTGTAGTTCGAGACCAACTTCACGCATTCGTTCGGCGCCCTTGCCGGGCTTGACCTTGTAGGCCTTTTCACCCTTAGTGGCGGCTTTGGCGGCGGCTTTCTGGAGCATCTTCTCGCGCCGGCGTTGGCGCTTCTTTTCAAGGCCCTTGACGATGTCAATAGCGCCACGCTTTGGCAAGTCTTTATTGGCGGCGGATTCTGTCTCGGCAGAGGGAGTTTCTGGCTCATCGTCTTCGCTGATGTTGAAAGAGTTGAGGCGACTCAGGACAAATTCGCCTCCTCGTGGAAGTGAGGAAGCGACTTGGGAGAGCGTCGGCACAAGACTCCCAAAAGCACCGGGCATGGCGAAGCTGATGGACGAGGTACGGCTGGTAGGCGAGCCAACCGCAGTGCCGACCGCCGATGATAGCATCGATACTGGAGCAGGCGACCGGGCTCGCTTTGGCGAATGGCCCATGGCCTTCTTGGGAGGTGGCGGCGATCGAGCAATGGAGCGGCGGGTTGGAGGCGGTGGAGAGCGACTGGTGATGCGGATCTTGGTAGGCGCAGGTGATCGTGCACGGCTGATAGGAGGTGGTGGCGACCGTGTGTTCTTTCGGGTGGGGAGCGCTCGGGCGAGAGGCGCTGGTGACCGAGCTCTGGCGGTCAGTTTGGTAAGTGCAGGTGAGCGGGATCGTTGAGCATTCTTGGCCCTCGGACGAGGTGATGCTCGTCGAGGCTGAGCGACATCGGATTCTAGCTCCTCCAGTCGTCCATGCATGAATTCGTCCGGGCTCTCCTTGGACTCGATAAGGTCTTCATCGTCTTCCTCGTCCATCTCGGGATCAGAAGTTGGGAAGCTCGGATCAATGTCTTGAGGTCGAGTGATGCGCTTGGCCGCTTCGCGCTGCTTCATGCTCTCAAGGAAAGCCTGCTCGACAGGTCGGTCTTCGTCAAGTGTGCCGCACACGAAGTCAGTTGAGTCGGGAAGGTCGGAAGCGTCAGGGTCGCGCGGAATCGCAACAGAATTGAGGTCTCGTTTGCGGCGAGATTGTCTGGGTTGGTCGGGTGCGACGTCACTGGAAGCACCAGAACCCACGGATGAGGCATCGATGAGATCGGCAGCAGGTATTTGCGAGAACAGACGTTCCATGTGTTCAACAGAAGTGGCGGCAGTTGAAAGTCCTCCAGGCGTCCACCAGTCAGCGTCACTGTCCTCTCCATCAGAATCGGAGTCTTCCGCAAAGCCACCTTCGTCGTCCGTGTCGAAGCCATCATCCGAATCATCCTCGTCCCCAAGTCCCAGATCATCTTCATCGTCCTCCACGTCGTCTTCGTCCGCTGCTTCGTCATCGTCCAATTGTGCTTCTTCGTCTTCATCCTCCTCCACAGCTTCTTCCTCGACTTCCTCGCATGCCTTTCGGAGAAGGTTTTCCTTCTTGAGCACCTCGCTCATGGTAAGGCGACTGCGGTATGCAGTCGACTCCTGGCACCAGTCTTCCTGTTCGTCTTCGCTCGATCCGAAGACGTGGAATCGAGTTGCTTCTCCTGACTCGCCTACATCGTCGGAGAATTTCCTGTTTGTGCGGGGTGGTGTGGGTGTTGCAGCAGTGGTCACAATGGACGGGCTTTGGCGGGATGCCTTTGGTGAGGCATGTCGAAGAGTGCTGTCGGAATCACGGTGGACCTTGGTCGGCGATCGTATGCTTGAGTTGTTTCTCCTTGCTGGTGGAGGAGGGCTCATCACGCGTCGGGCCGGAGGGCTGGTCACCCGACGGACGGGAGTCGTCGGCCGATCAGTCGCTTTCATGGTCGAGGAGCTCCGGGTCGGGCAGACAAACTTTAATGAGCATTTCCGTTTTGGCGGACTGGTTGATGTTTCAGCGGCCTGTGGTTGTGGCGGTGGCACTCGGGGATGTGAAGTCGGTGGCTGAGGTCCTTTACCGCCGCCACAGGCGAAGCTGATGCAACGCTTCCGGCCCAAGTTAGCCTCGAGAGACTTTTCGGAGATAGGCTCCAGTGGTTTGTGGACAGCACGGTCGTCGTTTGCGACGATCTTCGGTTCCGGAAGAGGGAGCTTGGTGATAGACGTAAGGTCCGAGGAGATCATTGCAGGTGGCAATGGCGGACTCAAAGTCGGGCTAGGTACGCTTTGCCCATCATCACTAGTCAGCTCAGCAGTCGACGCCATGCTATAGGTCGACTGTGTACTGAGTGCGCGAGGGCGGTCCTCGATTAGTTCTTCGTCGGTCAACTCATTCTCGGACTGAATCTGTCGAGTCAAAAGAGATTCTCTTCGCTCAAAGACCCTTTGGTTGGCTTTACCGAATGAGGTTTGAAGTGGCGCGAGATGTGCAGTGGAATCTGAACGTTGATTTAATATTGACTCAACAGCCTTGTTGTGCAATGTCTCGTTGGCTCCCATGGCAGATGCCTTCGAAGACATGGCTGATTAATTTCGAAAAGGGTCCAGGTATCGGATGGCGGATGAGGTGGTTATATGTTTGTTTGAATTTAATTGATGTCGAAATGGTCGATGGTTAGACCCTTGCGAACGGTACTGATTGTCGAATGTGCTGATGGTGACAGTATCTCCTCTACCACTTAGAGCGGCGAGTTATGAGTGCGACCCAACGGGCCACCTGGGCTATAAGGTGACGAACATGACGACCAGTGTTGCGAAAGTGGTGTCGCGAAGGTGAGATGCCCAGCAATTGATAGTCGCGGCAACCGTCGAGGTTTCAGGTGGCGAAACCCTGTCGGGGTCTTTGCTGAGAAATGCGACAGTCGCTTCGAGAAGGACAATGTCAGTAGGCTTCAAATCGCGATTACAGGATTGTAATCAGGTAGAAATATGTTCGAAAGTAGTCGTGCAGATGGCGAGAGAGGATCGTGGGCAATTGTATTTGGGGAGGGCTGAGAGCAAAAATATGGAGGGGAATGTGTGAGTAGAAAGAGGACTGGTGAGTGCTGGTGACAGAGAAAGTTTGCCTGGTCGGGTTTGCAGATGGAGGCGCGCGAGAGAGAGAGCCCCGAAATCTCCTCCCGCGTCTGGCTGCTAGAAGGCGTGGTAGTGGTGCGAGGGCAAGTGGGCACGCCCAAGCGCATCTACGCACCCGCCGGGGGATACACACACAGTCGCTGCTCTCCACGTCGACAGAACACCACACACCGAATCCTTCTGCGACCACCAGTTTGCTGCGCCAGAAGCGACACTCACTCAGCAAATGAGTGCTGATCGCACTCAAGCGTAAGACGACTAAACTCCCAGCTCTGGTGGGCAGTCTCCGGATGTACCGTGACGATCGCAAACGGCTGAGCTTGGCAAGACTTTTGATTCCCGAACTTGCAGCAGCGTGGGTAATGGATGAACGTGTTTTGGAGACAATCTCTTGGCCAAAGAGAAGAAGGATGATATGCAGTGAGGAGCATAATTGTGCCAGGTACTTTCGCGTCTTACCTGCTTTGTATAACCACAACGCAATCGATTCGCGAGACAAATTGGGAATGGGAAGGATGATCAAGAAGTGTGCGTGGGTTGGGTCTCCTCACGAGGCGCGGACCAAGGATACGGATCGCTCTTGGAATAGATCGTTGCCGTGCAGGTGCCGCCGCGCAGTGCCGTAACTGGAAAATTGATGATGTCGAAGTTGATGCGGTGGCAGTTTCCGGTGGGGTTTGGGCAGCCGCACTGTTGATATGTGAGACGAGACGCTCATAGAGGACGGTGGTGATCGCGTGTGCTGTGTGATGAGACGGCCGAGAGAACAATAGTGCAGTCCCGTAATAACAACCTCCAGCTTGGAAGATAGTGGTAAATAATTACCCATCCCACTGGCTACTCGCCCATTTCATTGCTGGAAATTTCGGGTGAACACCGCCTGTGACTAGATACAGTCCATCTCCAGTGCTACCGTAACGTACCAGGAGATGTAGCGCTACAAAGCACTGCACTTTATTCCCGACTTCGCTACGAAGTACTCGCGGACGGGGAGAATCTATGAGGGAATGGTCTCCTGGCGGCCCGTTTCTACATCTCCATGCTGAGCGGAGTGACGATGCACACGGGACTTCAGTCCCATGGTATGCACACATACCAAATTGATCCAACAACCCAGCTGCTCGCCGTTTGCTGCATGCCGCTGCCGGAGAAACGCAAAGATCAGGCGATACTGCCCGCGCTTCGTGGCTCTGCAGAACGATCGGTGGTTCGTCTTCTACTGCATGTAGTGCGCAGGTCAGAAAGCACAAAAGCATGAATAATGCAAAGCCCTCGCGCACATCAAATGCAGATTGGCGGGCGAGGATGCCACTGCCTGAACGGGCCTGGCTTTCGAGGGCTGCCCAAGTGCCCAAGTGGTTTGGAATTTTTCCAAGCGTCCTTAGTCGTGTCGTAATTTCGCACTGGTGAGATGGACCCGGCCGGGCCAGACGAGGCGCTTGTTTTTGCTCTCTACTATTGTACTTCGTGAGACCTCAACCTTTCCAAATCTTTTGGGCTGTCTTTTCTCGCCGAAATCGCTTCCTTGGATATGACATTTTCTAACGAACCAGTGTGAGCTAGTGAGCGACCTCGATCGAAGGCCATTATCATACAAAATATAACCCTCGGCGGGGAAGAGCCGGCATCTCGGTGCTCAACGGTGGTTCGCTTGGCTGTCATGATGATCTTGCTGATCACAGCGTAAATTCTACACCTGTCATCGTGCGGCATTACCTATGGATGTAAGCATCGTAAGGCTACTTCCGAAGATAAAATCAAAGTGGACACGTCGAGTAGGGATAAATGCATAACAATCTCTGGAGCGAACGCACGAGTGGACGGTGCCTGATCCAGACATGCCGCACGCATGCGCACCAATGTGTTCGAGTGACGATATACCGAACTCCATAACCGCAAATATGTGAGAGAACTCGACACTCTGCTCGTATGTCTAGCGCTCTCGCTGCTGGCAGAATTGCTCATTTCTCAATATCCCACATGGACTTGCACATGACCAAAGCGGACGCATCGGCCCTCCACCTCCCTTGAGTGATGACAGTGGCCCATTCGAGGTGAACCTTCCCTCTCCTCTTCTCAAAATAGTCGTATGCGGTGCGGCCACCGTCATCATCATACTGCAGAGCACATCGCGAACATCTTCCGATTTAACCGTTCAAATGTAGCACAAAGAGGAATAACAAATGTCATAGGATGTACACATGAACGCGTACCTACGTATGCATCGTTGCAGAAAGGATCAATCACATGTCTCAGAAATTCACACAGGACAGTGAGAATGACGTCGCTGTCCGTTCGATACATCACATGGCAGAGATTCCAGCGGTCGCAGTACTTTTGCCGAATATTACATGGACAATCTGTACAATTGACGAGGATCGGCGGTGCGTGGCAGTGCTCAGATGATCATCAGCTCACAGCCAGCCAGTCGACATTTCGGACTCGGACTTCGGGCTTCAACACCGCTGCTGCTGATGGAGCCAGAAGGCGCATATACTGTAGATGTTCTTCACGGACGCATCCGTGCCGTGAGCAACGCAGGCCGCTCTTTGACTCTATCCGACCACGGATTTCGCGCTGCTGGCTGTCATTCAAGCTGATTACCGCAAGCGGCCAATTCGCATCTGCAGGTGAGCCATTTATTGCTGCGTGGCCCAGGCGCTCATGCTCGTCGGTGGCGTCGAGGGTCCGTCGCGCCATCTTAGATCCAGCATAGCGGGTAAACGATCGGAAAGATTATCCAATGTGATTACCTATCGCGAAGTGTTTTATCGTTCATCATGCAGTTCTGAGTTTGGGGGCTATCCGCGTAGAATTCTATCCGTAGACGGTTGGAAAAATATTTGATTTCATGACCCTCCAACTTCGCGAGATGAGGCCAAGCATCGCCAAGCACGCCAAGTAGATTACACTGCTTCGATAATTCAATCACCTGTGAGACGCTTTCGGGTGATCTGCCCGACCCACCTTGGCACATATCATCTGCGCAAGGATAGGATGGCTGCTGTTGAGGATGCTGAAACATCTGATATCAAATACTTGTGACGGGCTTCTTGTCCACGTGACATGGCAACCAGTATGTACTGTACCTTTTCCAAATGTAAGAGCATCACGAGTTGACGCGAGACTTATTACGTGCAGCGGAGGTGCGCTGTCTAGGTCAGCTTGACCAGGTACACTCGCTTACTACAAAGACTGTACGGACGAAGGCTATGGATATGTAGCGTGACGGACGTCAGGTGGCTTGCCCATAACGAGCAGAGCGCGCAAAATCCGAGACCGATGGGAAAAGGAGCGGTCACTGACTCGCAGCAGGAAAACAAGATATCCTTTAGGGCCGGACATTTCGCGGGCACAGGCATCGGGTCGTGGAGGAAATGAAAGGATGCAGCAGTGCACGACCTACGAGCCTTTCCAATCCCCAAGCTCGAAGACCCGTCGCATTGATGAGTGGAGGTAGTTGGTGGACCCAACGCCGAAATCGCATCGATTCCTCCTCTCGTTGTCCGACCATCCGCCCATTTTTACCAAGGCAGAGAACAAAGCCCTGACCAGCTGCTTGCCGCTCTGGCCCTGTTAGCTGCTTGCTGCATGAGCGGTGCGTGAAAAACGCCTCGCGTCTATTAGCTTGCGGTATTTTCCAACTCTGCATTCAATCTCGCTTTTCCGTCAGATCTTTTGCGTGGAGAGAGCTGCAGGTGGCCCACGGACCTTTTTGGTCGTTTGTTAGAGCTCGTGTTCTTGCGGTCTACATTTTTGATGATGCAAGACATAGTTCGTTGTGTTGAGCCTAGCTCATTAGCGTGCATATCACGTGCCGAGCGATGCTTGATGCACCTCTCCTGTGAGATAGAGCCTGAGTGTGAGCGCGTGGCCAAGCCAACACATGTTTCTGTTGTACACTGTTTCATAGAAAAATTCCTAAATACAAACGCCCCTGTTCGTGTTCATCAAGCGACCTATTCAGGACCTACATGACTCCTTCAAATCCATATTTCAACCGGCGGTAAGGTAATTTGACCAGAATGAAATGAGGACGCCAAGGGCGCCTCTCCAGATCAACAATGTTACGTTACATTTGCCTGGACATATGATCAGCGGTGATGGGTCAAAGGCGTGACTGCTGATCTACAGAGCCAAAGGAAGCGCTTGACTTCGACACGCACGACGTGGCACCACAGTGGCCATCTCGAAACCTGGGATCAGCACGGCAATTTGCTGCTACGGTGTTTCATCATGGATGATCACAACGCAGAGCCTGTCATGCCTTCTCGGTGGGTTTTTACGAGTAACGCCTGTTTACGTATGATTTCGGGGCCATCCTCCACGTGTTCCTCGTTCATAACGTTCATGGATCGCTATATCTTTCATCCCCGGTGCTTCAGCCAAGAACTTTCGGGGTTGAGATCTTCTGCGGTGACGCCCAAGGTTCATGTTGATAAGAAATGCGTCCTTCATCCCCGGTTCAATCACTGCCATGCCCGATACAAATTCATGCGCCATGGAGATTGGAAGACCACTGGTAGCGGAAGCATGATCCCGGGCACGCATTGCATGGTTGCGCGTGGTCGTGAGAGTGAGATGCACCCTCATGCAGCTGCTTGCATCATGTCACCACACCTCCCCGCGAAACCGGGCCTGTAGCCCGACGTTGCACAATGAAGCCACCAAGATCCTTATCGCCTTCTTCCTTCATCCAAGGGACTATTGAAGACTATCGACACCCGCCAAGACGCATTGAACATGAGAAAAGATCTTGTTTTTCGTCAGACGAGGCGGGTCCTTGTTTCCCTTTTCCCCACGCGCGGAGAGATCTATGGATCGTGATCCCTTGTGCATGCTCGCACTGTATCCTTTTAACCACCACCTCAGCGCAACAACAGTGAAGGATTCATATTCACGTCCGAGCACAATCCTTCGCGCTTTAACCTTCCCACGTCTTTGACCGGATTTGAAGAAGCTTCTGGCACCGAATAGCCGTACCCACGTCGTCAGTTGTTTGTTTCCCTCCACTTTGCATGTCATCGGGAGCAGATGATCGCATGCATCTCGTCGGTGGGATGATGTTATTTTGAGGGGTCTAGTCTTGTTCTCCTCGTTTTCCCCACGGACGAAACAGCCACCAATGAACGCCTCGTGGTAGGCTTAAATCTGACCTGACCGTGGGGAAGTACATATGCTGTTGACGAACTACAGGACTGATTTGTGTTGCCTCGCTTGGAGATGACAAGCCGACAACCTTGGCCTCCATGGCTATCACGACGGTCTAGTCGCCCACTTCGCCTGGACCATCGGATGCCATGCAGATGTGTGCTTCACCTCGTTCTGCCAGCAAAGACAAGAAGCGAGATACGAGGACTGTTGACACCCAAGTGTATGGTCCTGCCAGCGAAAGTCACTGAACGAAGCAGTCGCGATCAAATTACCTCTCCCCCTTCTCCGTTGTCGATCTCGACATAAATCATGCATTGCATCGAATAGAAACTCATGACGTGCTCATACACATGTAAAGGTAAGTGCAATGGCGAAGGCAGTCATCAACTCTGTGCTTTGAGTATGATTACGAATGGTCGTCAATGGCATCATCCACGATGTGACATCGACATATCGCGGTCTGTGGATAAGATTCACGAGCATGGCGAATCACGAGTATCCAGCTGGTGGACATGGGTGAGCCGGGCTTTCGATGCTCCGATAGAACTTGTCGCCGAATCGGCAGAGAATGCTCGCCAGCCGCACACGGTGACGAAGACATCGTACGACTGTAGATATTTGCCATTCCTTTCGTCCGTTAGCTTGTAGGTACGATTAAGATGAAAGTCGTTTCTCGTCATCGCAATGCATTCGACGATGGGAGTGTCGAGCGTCGACATGGACGAGCTGCATGTTTCCGATTCAAGTATCAGGCTCTTCTGCCATCATAGTATCTTGATGTTCCAAGTCTTGATGTGCAAATGCTGTCACACTCGATATGGTATAAGGTTGTCATGAATGTGATCAAGTAGGTCGCACAAAGTGCGAACTCGATGGTGCAGCCTGAGGACTTCACTCCACGAAAGCGCACTGCACTTCAACTCTTTGCCGAAGAACTTCCTGACCTACAAGTATTTCATCACACATAGGCAGCTATCTAAAAGCCACGAGTCTGCTTTCGCTGTTGTAAATTCATTTATTCTCTTCGAGCTACAGACGAACTTCACGTCCGACTATGCGATGCTAAATGAAACGGTTTAGATTGGTGCGCCGCCGCCTTTTGTCACAGCTTGCGCGCACGATACGCAATTCGCGGCATCTCTCACACCAAACACGTCGAGTCACGGCACGGCACGGTGCAGAGTATCTCCAAATCTTGGTGAAACCCTTGGAAAGCCTTCAAAGTGCGCATCTGCGGGACGTGAGATGCGGATATTCAGCTGCTTCGCCACATACCATTCGTCAATAATGAAGCAGAAAGTCAGTGTTGTCGCTGAACGAGGTGGAATGGTAGGTGAGATCGACTGAAGAGCCGCTCTAGCCTCAGAGTCAGGAGATGCAATCGTTCCCGTTCTGTTTCGCGTCCCCGTCTCGCGTTTAGCGAACAGTTTTACAGGTGATGCCTAGTCTTTTGGACTGTTTCATTGGGGTGATGCTTGGCTCTGCCGGATCAACAGTTCCCTCGCCATGACCGAATGACCAAGGACAAGAATCGCTAGTCTTCGCGGCGATGTCATACAATCGTGAGACTGCATGCAAGCTGCTTCTTGATCGAGGCACGAGGTGTGGCACAGCCGCACGACATTCAGCCTCCGAGACCTTTGAGGATTATTGGGACAGCGGCAATTCGAACGTCTCCTGCAAGTGACATGGATGGAGTTTCTCACCCTGTACAGATAAGTTGCTCCGGACGTGCCAACTCGGGAAGCTGTCTCGAGATGTGCCACCTTGACTATGCGCTGCTCGGCAGTGTGCTGTTTGAGAGCTTGCACTTTGGAGGTCTTCAAACCCACAATGTGCTCGTTCCTGCCTGTACGAAGCTCGAAGATAATCGATATACAAAGATCGGGCCCAGGCCCACGCCCTCAGTGTTTGAGCTCTTACTCCCCTGGTCCTCACTCGAATCGGATAACTACGAGCCCACCTAGACGTATTGCGATTCAAATTACAGCATGTTCACGATTCCTGATCTGCTTCGAGCACCTTCTATGAAGTGTATGATATGGCTTTTCGCGCTTTTTCTGATCGTGGCTCCTGTCCTGGGCCGGAGCATTGAGCCTGATCGCGCCACGCATGATCAGCAAACAGAACCAGATTCCGACTCGAAGGGTGATCAGATCAGTAACCCATCCACAAGGAACTACACTCTTGTCGATAGATGCAAGAACTACGTTATCGCTTCCGGCGACTCTTGTCAGTCCATTTCAAAAAGCAACCGGATTTCCTTGGCCGCTTTGACATCTTACAATAAGGACACCTGGGGATGGACTGGATGTAAGACTTTGGCCAAAGACACCAGAATCTGTGTGGGAAAAGGCGCTCCACCAATACCAAAGACCAACTCGAACGCACAATGTGGTCCCACGAAACCTGGCGTTTCATTCCTCACGCCATACCTCTACAAAGGCAAGCTGGCCGACATGAACCCTTGTCCTCTCAACGCCTGTTGTGATACCGAAGGCCAATGCGGTTACACATCCACATTCTGCAAAATGAAGCCCGGGACAGGCACTGGATGTATCAGCAATTGCGGCACTATTGTAAAGAAACAAAGGCCGCCAAAGGACACGATCACGTTAGGGTTCTTTGAGGGATGGGCGTATGCCCGGGGCTGTGCAAACATGAAGGCAAAGGATATCGACACGTCCAAATACTCGCACATGGCGTGGGCATTCGCAAATGTCGGACAGGACAATTCAATAATCGTCACAGACCAAGAGCAATACAAGGACTTTCTTGCTCTACCGAAGGTCAAGAAGATTATGTCGATCGGAGGCTGGGCAGCCAGAGACGCCTTGCATGCAGCTACCCGACCAGAGAATCAGGAGTCGTTTGCGAACAAGATTCTTGACTTTCTCAATGCAAACAAAGAACTTGATGGGGTCGATATCGACTTCGAATTCCCCGATAATGCTGAACAGGCTGGCTGGTTTCTTTCTTTTCTTCGACAACTGCGTTCGAAGTTGCCTTCATCCAAATCACTTTCCATTGACATCCCCGCTGCATATCAGAAGCTTTCACATTATCCTCTCAAGGAACTGGCTGACACGGTGGACTACATGATCGTGATGAGCTACGACTACTTCTCACACAACGATTACAATTACGGTGTCTACACCCCTGACGACGGCTGCCCCCATGACCACTGCCTTCGCAGCCACGTCAATGTCACACAGACCACTTCCACCATGAGTCTACTCACTTATCACGCCGGAGTACCCGCGTCGAAGCTCGTCTTGGGCGTCGCAAGCTACGCCAAAGGTTTCGTGCTCAACGATGCCGCATGCACAGACCCCAATAACCCAGTATGTACCTACAAGCCAGATGGGCCATTCAAAGGCTGTCTTGGAGAAGCCGGCGTCTTGTCAATGAACGAGATCAACTCTATCATCTCGGCGAAGCAACCAGGGACTTTCACGTCTTATGATGTTGCTAGTGATTCCAATTTCCTGGTGTACAATGCTGCAACCGAGAAGGATTCCGCACCTGTGGCGCAGTGGTATGGTTATATGGATCGGAAGGTCCTTGAGAGCAGGAAGAAGCTTTATTCGAGTTGGGGTGCTCGAGGAACGGTGGAATGGGCGACCTCTATGGAGTAGAGCATTGTTGTATTGGGTTGACTTTTATGGTTACATCGTAGCGACTGGGTTATTCTTAAGGTGCAAGCGTGATACAACCGCAGTTGGCCTAGAATTGGGTCTGGCTTGCGTGCATTCTACTCTACCATCTCTGGGTGGCATTGTTCCAAGGACGTAAGGATGCTTTCGTCTGTGCACCCATCTGTCTTCTGTCGATGCTCGAACCTAATGACCACAGAACAATTATCCAAATCTCCATTTTGTCGGAATGATCTGTGTCATACTACATGATCGGTGCGGCCGGGTTGCTTGAATTTGGCATTGAGCGCGGCTTCACCATCGGCACACGTCGTCGATAGGCCGAAGCTCACCCCGCAAAAACCGCGTGCTCGTCATCGCGGCTCAAGCTCCACCGGGCAACTGCATTTGACCTCGAAGCACCACGGTTTTAACGTGACAATCTCACGATAAATCGGCCACGAGTGAAATCCGGGACAATTCAAGCTGGAGCTTCGTACACCGAAACTGTTCTGTGCGAAGCGTCACATGTGTCGGAATCACAGACCTGAGCCAACGATGACGTTGAAACCTGATTGATGCCCATCACAAGTCCGACTCGCCACGGATATCTGAACATTTCGTCACACACACCGACGAGTCTTGAGCTTCACCAGATCTTTCACAGTCATGAAGAATACTCTGATTGATAGGCTATATCGTCGTGAGACATATGGCTCCAACATCGCTTCCAACAGCTACCGCAAGCTGTACAGCGATCGCCGCCTGATCGACGACCTGGACATTGTTAATGAACTTGATGGTCATTCTGGATGTGTCAACGCGCTGAGCTGGTCTAAGTCGGGTAGTCTGCTGGCATCAGGCTCAGACGACCAGCATCTGAACATATACGCCTACCAACCCACGACCGTCAACAGCCAGTTTCAACTCACCGCGACCGTGGCTACCGGTCATACTCAGAACATCTTCTCGGTCAAATTCATGCCCCACAGTCAGGATCGAACAGTCATCACAGCAGCTGGAGATGGAGAGGTGCGCATCTTTGACCTGGAGTACTCGGGACAGGCAAGAGCAGCATCTCGGGCATCACATCTCGCAACGGAAGGGAGGAGGCGTGGCCGGAACACAATCTTCGATGGAGTAAGATATATGAGCGATGGAGATACCAATTGTCGGGTATATCGGAGTCATGGAGATCGAGTGAAGCGGATCGTGACCGAGTCATCGCCCCATTTATTTCTGACATGCTCGGAGGACGGCGAGGTTCGTCAATGGGATTTACGCCTGCCGAGCTCAGCGTATCCGTCACCTCGCGACGCATCGAGCGGCAACATCCCGCCGCCACTCATCTCGTACAAACGCTACAACCTCGATCTGAACACCATCTCGTGCTCGGGGAGTCAGCCACATTACATCGCTCTCGGAGGCGCACATCGGCATGCCTTCCTCCATGACAGACGTATGACTGGCCGCGATCGTTTGGCAGAAGCTGGAGTGCCGCTGTCATCGCCAGAGAACCTGTCTTCAGAACAGCAAGAATTACTAGGCCAAGCCACAAGATGTGTGAGGAAATTCGCTTCACCGAACCAGAAAAAGGCAGGAGCGCGCGACAATGGCCATATCACAGCATGCAAGATCAGCGATGCTCGACCGGATGAGATGGTGGTCAGTTGGTCAGGTGACCACATTTACTCCTTTGATCTGATTCGAGAGTCTCCATCTGATGCTCAAGGGAGCACTTCTCCAACCAAAGGCAGTCGTGTCAAGGAAAGTCGCGACCGCAAACGGAAGCGAAAGGCAGATAGCAGTCAGGGATCTACAGGTCGAGCAGCCACTGCTCGTGCACAGGGCGATAGGCAAACTCCAATGCACGACACTGCACTCCGCATTCACTATGGAAATGGCCAGAGCGAGGACATTCCTTTCGCGAATGAACGTGTGTTGACGGAAAAAGAGCGTGGTGCTCAACGTTTCGCCAAAGCGACTGGCGAGATCAAATCAGCTCTGCTCAGTCAATCATCATCAGCGACTTCTCCGGACCCGACGGCCGACTTCACACGTGCTCTCGGTCGATGCGCGAGTATCATGTCTGACATGGACGAGGCGATTCGGAATTGGTCTTACCCAATGCGTCCGAGCCCTGAACAAGTCTATCTCCAGAAAACCCTCCGTCGAAACAGAGAGAGCACCAGACGCTTCGTACAAACCGCCGGCACACTCGCGCGAGTGCTAGGCGGCAGAATACAAACCCCCTCCAGTACAAGCCCCATGATTGCCCATTTCTCCAGTGTCGAAACGAGCAACAGCCATCTCGAACTCCCTCCCGAAGAGCGCTTCGTCTACGACTTCATCAAAGCCATTCTGCTCTGGCTCGACTCTGGTATCGGCCGGCTGATCGACGGCTTCGTCCGACCTGTAGACGTCCGACCCGGCTCAAAGGCCGGCACACGTCTCCCCATTCCCGAAGACGACGCGACCACAGAAGCCATCGAAGACTACCTCATCCCCTATCTCCTTGTTCTCGCTGGAGATGAGCCTATCATTGACGTCGAAACCAATCGCTTCGAAATTGACCAACGACGCTATGTTTTTTCGAATCGGAAGGCTGCGGTCATTGCGTTCGCTCGTGCAACTAGGACGCCTTTTGCTGATCTTAGTTCTGCGGTCGTTCAGGCGGAAGGTGAGACTTTCGCCGAAACACAGGATCGTGCCGAGGCGCATGCGTTCTGGGCGACGAAGGTCGCGAGGGGGTTGTTGCTGGATGTGGGTCGGGTTGTTACTGAACAATTCGTTAATCGTGGTTTTGGAGGTTATGTGACGAATGGTCAGGATGGTGCGGATGAGGAAATGCGAGAGACAGATGGTGCTGTGGATGAGCAAGTGGCTTTCCAGTCAAATGATGGCAACATCTCTTCTTTTGAGGAATCACCAGTCGTTGCTGACGGCGAAGACGACGATGGTGATGAAGGGGATGACGATGACGATAATGATAATGATGACGAACTAGGACTGACTAACGATGACCTGATGGAAATTCTCGAGGAAGACGAAGTGCTTGATGAAGACGAAGACGAAGTCAACGGAGAAGACGAGGAGGACGAAGAGGAAGACGAGGACGCTGATAGCGAGCCTTATGAAAGCTCCGAGCCTGACGAAGAGGATGGTGTTCCAAATCTTGGTGTCCCACGACTTGTCTACCAGTCGGCCGCTGCACGTCGAAAGCAAAAAGCTAGCGTGGAAAGAGACATCGTCAGCTATGGTCCCACTCGGACCTATAAGGGTCACTGCAACGTCCAGACAGTCAAGGACGTCAACTATTTTGGTCCGGATGACGAATATGTGGTCTCCGGCTCTGACGACGGTAATCTCTTCATCTGGGATCGGCGCACTTCCGAGCTTGTCAACATCCTCGAAGGCGACGGCGAAGTAGTCAATGTCGTCCAGGGCCACCCTTATGAAACGATGATGGCCGTCAGCGGCATCGATCACACCATCAAAATCTTCTCGCCGGATGCCCGTGCTCGTCAGGTCGCGCGTCTCGGACAGGGTGTTTCCGCCCACGATGCAGCTTCTTTTAGTTCCCTCTCGTGGCCGCGGAGAAGAGGATTGCGGCGACATATTGGTCATCGTCAATCCGCAACCGAAACCGAAAATCTAGCCGCTGAAGCCGAGGACGAGGACGGATTGGCATCGGCACAAGTCGCACAACAGCAGGCGGTACATGCCGACGAGGACGATGACTATGTCGCACCGAATGGCCTGACGAGTCGAAAGAGGATGCACGATTGCGAGCGGATTGTTCGGCAGAATCAGCGACAACGAGAGGAGGGTAACCAGGAAGCTGTGATCACGGTAAGTCTTTTCCCTCAATTTTGCAACAGCACCCTTGCCGTACCCTTTTCTTTTCCTTCTTGTCGTGAAATGTTTCCAAAAGAAAAACCCTTCTCTTACCAAACGTTTCCCTCGTCTCTTGCGCGAGGCATAAAAGATCAGCCGTCAACAACTCCTCCAAATGCTCTTCGCACACTGGGCGAACGCATGAGAAAGGCCGACTACTACCACGCTTTTCCTCCGCCGCCACCGACAAGCACCATTCCTCACTTACACATGCATGGCTGCTCCTATTGTCCCCCTCTAATCGACTCACTCGCTGACGAATTGGCTCTCTCTTTCCGCCTTTTCTCGGGAATTTCAGCGCGCTATGTTGGCTCAACTTGCTGAGAGAATTCAATTGCATCGGGCTGTGGCCGGCTTGCCGCCATCGGATGATAACGATCAGTTGAGAGTGGTTTTGAATCAGAGCTGTGCGCAGCAGTGACATCCACTTTTCGTAAAAAAAATTGGCTGTGGCAGAGTTGTGGATTGCGTTGGCAATAGGCTACCTGGAGGGTGCAAAGGAATCCCTAAAGTGATGATATTGGATCCCTGAGAGGCTCCGGGCTCGCTTTGGTACTACACAGACCATCGTCTTTACTTCATGTAGCCAAAAATGTGACGACCGCTGGTGCACTGGAAGTTCTCTCCATTGTAATTCTGTACATTCCGCGCAAGCCCCCCTGTTGCCAATCTCGAACTCCAGAAAAATCCCGACAGCTCTCCTCGTACCTCCCTAATGATACATCGCATTCCCATTTCGACTTCTCTTCTCCCTTCCAATTTATTTCGACTTGGCCGCCTTCGCTTTCAACGCCTTCTTGCGGTTACTGCGGATCATCACCAAGCTGAGGAAACTTCCCACCACGGCGCCGCCCAGCAGGAGCAGAATCACGGGAATTCGGATCGCCCAGACGCGTGGAGGAAAGAGCGATTGGACGGGATGTGAGTCGTCGACGAATGGCTGGAGACCAGGATTGTCAGTCTTTTGATTGTTGGTGATCGGTGAGGGGTGGGTTTTGAGGGCGAGTTGGGTGGTAGAGATGATGTGTGTGATCGAAGTGGGTATGCTATGGAACTGGCCCCCTTTGTGTGATGTCGAGGAGTGACTTACCATAACCAGTGTCCAGAGAGAGTAGTAAAGAAAGACGGCGGTCGCGACTCCCAACATGGCGAGTCCGACGAGGCGATCAAGCTGGAAGAAGAGAAGTCAGGTTCAGTCTCTTCCGACGATGCAACCGGCGCTGTACGTACGAGTGTGTTTGCGCCCATACTTGCTGGTAAAGATATTAAAGGAGATTGAAAGAGCGTAAGAAAAGTCGTTGTAGGCGATTGTTGTGGAATCAACTCGTGATGCCGCCAATTTCACATATGCGATCGTATCCTGGACAATTATTCACTGACGCTGTCGCGACTCTCCTTGCCCGCGCACGCGTCTGGCTGCCAGCTGTCGTTCAGGGTCCTGTTCTGTCTTCCACGGATATGGCTACACGTGCAGCGGGGCCAGCCGCAGAGCCAGACCCTAATTATCGATGCCTCCAGGACTCTAGGCAAAGAACGTCACGTACACGATCTTCACGCACAATATTGTGGCTTTCATGTCACTTTGTAGCTGCAGCTCTCCTCACACTCAGCTGATGTGGCGAATCTCGCCTCTGCTCGTCAATGTATCATGTCCACACCAGGGATGTGCTCGACCGGTGAATCCCGAACCAGCAAGAGCTGCATCCATTCACATGAACAAGTCGCGCGCCTCTTCCCTCGCCATTGGTCGGATGGTCCGATATATTATCAGAATGCGACTTGAATCGTACGCGCGATGCTACAGCACATGATCATCGCCGTGACAGTGATCATCCTGTCTGAGCTTGGCTGAAAGCGCATCAAACTTTCCGAGGTTATCTCAATTGTTCGTGTGCTGCGGATTCGTGACAGCAAAGACCGCTTGAATGTTTCCAGCGACATGGTACTAGTGAGAGCTACATCGGAAATACAAGTCCGATGATTGGCGACCCGGCTCGTTCGATCTCAGGAAGCGAATAGTCATCACACTACCCCTTTCGAGCCAGACTGGCTGAGATCTCGCTTGGTCTACTTGTCCTTGGCATGCAGAAATGTATCTTTCTCGCTATACTGCATTCACTTGGGTGGTTAGAATACACACAGACGGTAGGTTCTGTGTGACCGTGGCGCACGATGCTTTGTTTTGCTTGTAGGTCAACCAATCGGACTGCTGCAGGCTGGATGCCTCGATGCACCTTCGCTCAACAAAGCAGACGCAGTGGCAACAGTAGCTGTTCACCCCCGGGACCTTATAAATCATGAATCTCCACCACGCTTCAAGTTGATCAACTTCATCACAAGCTAGGTCGACTTTGCGGTCGACTACCTTTGCTGAATAGCATTATGAGTAGCATCATTCGGGCTGATAACAGCGCCGGAACCGAAATCACGAGCAGAAGCGCACAAATAACCCAAGCCCCACTGATCGCGAGGGCGGGTGGCCCTGCACAACTCGGCCCACTCACGACAATTTTCACTCCGCCCGCAAGCTGTACGAATTCATGGACATTTGAACCGAGCTCATATAATGGATTTTCTCCTGGCTTACTTGTCCAAAATGCACTGGCGACGAGCATCGATCCAAGCTGTTTCCCGAGCTCCTGGTTTCGTTACGGCAGATCTTCCTATGAAGCATATTATAGACCAGGTCAATGCCCCGCTGGATACTCGACTGCATTGGCAAGATTCAGTAGCTACACGCAGGCCACATGTTGTTTATCGTTAGTCTCTAACTATGAGAGTTGCAAGAGCTTACTGACCGACTCGTTTCAGTGGATTCAGTTTGAGTGTAGGTGGTGGATTGATGGGGTGCCTCAGCAGATGGTATGACGACACTCCGACGAACGTTCGAGTTGTTGAAGGTTCAACACTTGGCACGACTCTTGTAAATCCGCCCTTGACCATGTGGGCGCAAGTGATTCAAGTTGAATATTCAGCATCCGACCTTTCACTTTTCACAACTAGTACGAGCAGCGTGGTGTCGAGTAGTCCGACGGCTTCGCCCAGTCAGACTAGTAACGCCTTGTCACAAACGGGCTCTGTTTCGACCGGGATATCTACTCTCACCAGTGTGCCGGCCGCAACGCCTGGGCCTGCGGGCCTCGCTGCTGGCGCCATTGCCGGAATTGTTATCGGAGCACTCATTGGACTCGCGTTGGTGGTTGGTCTGACCATATTCTGCACGCTGCGCAGGACAAGAGCCAAGAAATCGGAAATCACAACACCGTCAACAGATGAGAAACCCGCTTCTGCGACGGATCCCGGGGACCCCAGAGAACCACGGGAGTTACCTACCGTTGGATATGGCAAATCAATACGGCGAGCCGAGGCACCGACAGACTCCCCTCGGTATGAGTTACCAGCGGAACGGGCTCCAGCCGAAGCACCCGGCGAGCGTGATCCTGCCGAGATTCCCACCCAGAAGGATTCGATCAAAGTTTCCGACGTTCCAGGACGAGTAGAGCTATACTAAAGCTCTGGCTGGTGTAAGTCTGGATCATTCGGCTCGATGGGTATGAGTTATACCAGCGAGGCTTTCTATCATAATTCTCGTACTACGTTGCGAATCCTGTATATGCACATCGATACCATACGAGCCTCAATAGCACCAATCGTGAATTCATACGCGACCGCCTCCTCCAGATGGGAACTGAACAATCTTTCAAGGCACTTGCATAGCTTGCGAGATGAGAGTAATGTTGAATCGTAGAACCACAGACGCAACGAACAACGAAGGAGCCCCACGTGTACCGGGCGATGCATGGCAGTCAAATCAGGAGAGACGGAGAGTACCCAGACGATTTTGAATACAGGTGTTGATATCGATGCTGTGAACGTCAATTGCTTTACAGCACTGACGCTCGCAGTGTGGTTACGACGAGTTGATGTCGCGCAGCATTTACTCGAGAGCGGTGCTGACGGCAATATACGCAGGGCAGACGGAAAGACTGCGCTCTATCTGGCCGCTGAGGACATTGCAGCCCAGGAGTTCATGGTTACTCTTTTGACCGAGTGGCGAGCAGATGTGGATACAAACGCATGTAGCCTCGCGCCCATCATTCTAGCTGCAAGCAGGGGTCATGAGGCGATTGTGCGTCGACTTACAACATGTGGTGCCGATCTCAAGGCTGCGGATGATTTCGGCCGTACGGCTCTATACCACGCCGCCTGGTACGGAAACAAGTCTCTCGTGGAAACATTACTGCGCAACGGTGCAGGTGTCAACATCCCTGACGAAGAAGGTAATACTCCTCTCATGAGCGCCATAGAGGATAAGCACCACAAATACATCGTGGACCTGCTTGGAGCCGCACGGACCAGGGACGAGGGCAAATACACGAGCGTAGACGACGCCCTTCTTCACCAGATGCCCAACTCAGAGGGCAGAAGTACGGGCGTGCTAAAAGCCCTTCTCTAAGGCGGTGCTGATATTGATCTGACCAACAAAGATGGCTGTACGGCTATTCATCTCGCAGTGTTGGCGAAAGACATCGCCTTTGTCCGCGAGCTTCTGAAGAACGGTGCCGCGGACGATGTCTGCAACCTTGAAGGCTTAACAGCATTAGACATCGTGCGTTCACAGTACACGAAGAACGTCCTCGAGTTTCTGAAGGGTAAAACTGTGCACGATTTCCCTGGCCTTCAGGGCTCCCCCGCAACAGTACACCGCGCACGTTTACTGTACTGGAAATACGTCGTCGAACTCCTTACTGAGAAGGACAAAATTATGCATGTTTCTGCTCCATCTCTTGAAATGGGGCGATGGCTCTGAAGATTCACATACAGTTCCCAGTACTATATCGTGAGTATTGACAAGCCCAGCCTTTCTTCAGACCTCCAAAGTGAAAAGCTGACGCCATCAGTAGATCTCTAAATGACAATCGTGATGGAGTGAGAGCAGAGTTGGCGACTTCCTTTATTATGTGGTTATCCCTTTTCTTAAGACTTAACCTAACTTATCCTCAGCAAATTTGATTGTTACGGCTCGTTATAGTTTTGAATTTCTGAATATTGAAATTTCTGAATTCGAGGCCTTCTTCATCTCATCAATGCGAGCGAAACTACGCGACCGTTGTTCTCGACCGAGAAGTCTTCAAAAGAAAACAGTGTGTAGTCCTCGTTCGCCAGTTGTCGTTCGAAGATGGCAGGGAAAGCACTCAGGCTTTCGAAAACGTGATTATCGTAGATGTCAATCGTTTTCCTCGTTCTCTATGGGACTGATCTGCGAGTGTCGCTTCTGTTGCGTTAATTTCTTGGACATTAGACCGTCAGATCTTTCTTAAATCAATGCTGTGCTTCTGTGCGAAGGCGGTCTGAAATGAAGAATAGAGGCATTCGGAAGCCCATATGCAAAATGTGTGTGGTTTGCACATTCAGGGATTGGCCGGCAGAGTTTGGGGAAGATTCATCACGATTGAGACAGGACTTTCCTTTTCACCGCCTGGTCGGTCCGAATTGTGCCATTTGGAGCGCACGCCAGCCTTCGATGAGGAAGCGCTCGGGTCCAGCACAGCTCACTGGACGACTGCCGTGTGTCCACCCCAATGGCTGGGGAACCTCGTCACCGCGTCGATGTAGCTCACTGGGACCTGCAGGTGGATACAGCATCCGGAACTTGGGTTTCCCAGGGACACGGAAAAGTATCATTCCGAAGCTTGGGGTTCTGGCATCGAAGAGGTCAATAAGAACAAGTTCCTGGAAGGGATCTTCAGAGCGGGTTAAGATGTTGAAAACTTCTTCCCATGATCTTTCGTGGATAAACACCTTCTGGAGTGTTATTTCTCGAGCTGATGTTGAGCTAAGAAACGTGCAAAGCCTGGTTGCGGAAATGTGTAGTCCACGAAGGCTGCATTTCCGGAGTAATGGCGGAGCAAAGGAGTTGAGGCAGTCTCCGAACTCGAGTCGCTCCGATTCGTGATATTCCGGCCATATTTGCCTCAAGTGACGGTCGTGATTGTTGTACCAATGCAGATCAATGCTTTCCAAATTGGGTGCTCCTTTCAAGAATTTAGAGATTCTTGCCACGCATGCCTTGTTCAAGGAGGCATTGATCTCTGCATCTTCTTGCTCCATATAATGGCTGTGCGAAACCGTTAATTTCAGATCTTGCACAGTTTGCATAATAGCATCTTCATCGCAAAGTCTAAATTCGTGCTGGAAGACATTTATCGGAATGCTGCATCCCATGAACCTGAAAGCACGAGCAGAAAGCTGACTTGATTGGATGGCTTCTAGGACTGCTCTGATCCAATACAAATGACCAACCTCATAGGATTTGGGACTATTTTTTGAGACTTGGCGAGTGCTAGCGCGAGGCCGTACAATATCGACAATCAAGACCTTCAAGCGTTGACCGCCCGAAGCGTGACCCAGAGCTTTGAAGCACTGTGTGAGTAGGTCGGTGATTTTCTGGCGCTTCTCGATAAGATGGGTCCCAACATCATCGGCTGCATATGCTTCGGGACACGCAATTGTCAACTCTTCAACTCGACGACCGTAGCTCAGCAGGACTCGCAGAACACTTCGCAGAGCATCTTCATCCAACACCAGATGCCTTTTGCGGAAGAATGTAACAAATCTGCCGCCAGACGACTTGGATGAGAGAGCGCGACTTGTAGCCCGTAGAGCACAAACAGAAGCTCGATCTCCTAGGCAACATACTATCATCTCAATGAGCTCCCCCGGTAGATCCTCTAGCGTGGCTATCATTGTTATTTCAGATGGTGGAAGATGAAGTACAATGCCGATGGAACAGGACACTGGAGATTTTCAGCTTGGCCTTGAACGGACGCGCAGTGTTTCATTAGAGAGCAACATCGCCTTTGTATTCAAGTAGTGCCAAGGAATACTGTATCGTGACATCAGGCAGAAGTCAGCATTGGCATGCATGCTAAAGCGCCACGAAAAGCCTCCTTTGCGGCGCGGTTGATAGGACTGTTACCTGAGAAGCATGTCCAGATCTCTACGAAACTGTATGTACCAATCACCAATGTGCAGAGCCTCACGGTGTAGCGACCCTCCTCGTAATCCGACACAATTAGGATGAACGTGAAGATTGACCTCACGTCACCTTTTGCTCTCCTAGGTCAACGTGTAAGAAGGCGAGATTCAAGGCAGGGTTGGTTACCGATGTCCTGGATGCCTTTTGGTGTGGTGGAGAAAATGGAGAGCACGTTGCTGTCCACGGTTTTGAAGCTTGAGGTGCAGAACATTGACCACAGCACGAACGGAACAGGCAGAACATACAGGAGAGCCTTGGTACAGCGCTTGACGATGTTGATTCACAGTCGAGCGGGGATGATAACGCAAGCTGGAGATTATGCGAAAGCGATTTGTTAGTCTATTTAGTATCGCTCTGAAACTCTCGAACGCTCATAGCACAGGCGCCCTGGTAATCTTAAACGCACCTGGGCATGGAGAAGCATACTGGCCAATCCTCAGACCTCCTGCATGCAGCATGGCCCCGTCTCCCTGTTCAATATCGAGAATCAAAGTCTCTAGTGTGCAATTCGTGGACCTGAGAGCATATTCGCTTTTGTGGACGGACGTTCGAAAGCGACACGCATTCTCGAGCACCGGTTTGGATCATGATGTTGGATGATTGAGTATCAGCGGACGAGTGTGAGCGTTACATTGCGCATTGTGATTTTTAACATTTACGATGTGTCGTTGAATCGCAAGCGGCAGCAGTTATCGATCCATGGGCCAAGCCATCGTTAGGGTTGCAGTACGACGTCTCACCAACTTGAGGTTACGAACTGTCGAGCCCGGAGAGAAAGTGTAGTAGAGGCAGTTGGGAAGAATAGATGAAATATTGCGAGGTTTAATTCATCCGTGTTTCATCTTTATTGAAATGGTGTCCCTGAACGGAGCTGATGAATGCATCAGACGCTGCACGATGTTGGAACGAGAGCCTCGAACGGAGAAAGCTGCCCATATACTTTAGCATGACTGGGCCAGAATTCAGAAAACCGTATACATTTCTTTTGCATGATGGATCTTACACGCGCTCCCGCCATGTTCAAGTTGGATGATGTTACATACCTGCTCAACGGAGTAAACTCATTCTATCTAGACAAGTCTCGCCACAAATCAGTAGAGAAATCCTCATGCTGTTCAGAAAACACCTTTTTTGCTCAAGAACGACTCATTGTACAGTGAAGAAAATCAAAGAAGTAGAGTTTCGCCGGCCTCGAGGAGATTTGGGTTCTACCATACGCGCATAAGCGGTTGACCTCCTATCCTCCTCTCCACACAATCTCGTGCCTCCATGATGCCCCTGTCGGTGGAAACAACCATGATTTCGCCGATCTGCCGTAGCCCCTTCACCTCTCCCGCTTCTTGTCCCCGGATGACACGGCTCAGATCCGAATGTGACAGCCAAATGCGTTTTGTGGGCTTGGAGATCAATTTGAGTTTGCTCAAGACAGGCATCGAGTCGTGGTATTTTAGACCGAGCCATAGTCTGCGGCTTGCGCGGTTTGCCTGTGTGACGACGCCTTCATCGTCTAGTCCGTCTGGATCTGCGTATTCGGGCTTTGCAAACGTGATAGGCTGCTTGGTGACTTCGAGGCCCATGACGTTCAGCGTCACACCCTCGCGCTCGATATAGTTGGCTGATCTCCGCTTAGATGGACCGGCGAATGCTTGGAGAGTAGCATACTCAAATTTATGCTGGGAGACTTGCGCATCGTTCCTCCCTTTCCAGATAGCGCCTTCTTTGAGGTAGGATGTCTCATCATATAACGCGCGTTGGGCATCCGTCAAGGTGGCTAGAAACTCGTACTTAACACGATTTGCGAAGTCGTGATTCTCCTTTCTCTGTGCAGCATTCTCTTCTCCCTCAAAATCCTCGTCTTCCTCAAGATCCCGGTCTTTCTCAGGATCATAGCCTTCGGGAACCTCCGCAAATTGTCTGGCACCGCTGTCTTCTCCAAAGACGGTGGTTAGAGCATTCGCCTGACGATTTCGGATATCTTTTCGCACTTTCAAGACAAATCTGACAGCTCTTGCGGCCCAGCCGTCGTTGACGAGATCGTCGTACGACATCATAATCTGCTCCTCGGCGAAATCCACGGCGTCTGATGGGAACCCATGCTGCTGCAATGCTTCTTTCGTAGCCTTGTTTCGAATCTTGAATTCTAGTGCTGCTTCCGGGGTGAATGGATTTCGTTGTGCTGGTGTGAGAAGGTGGGAGCTGATGCGATTATTATCGCTTGGACCGTTGCCGAAACATGATGCTGGAGGTGATAAACCACCAAGTTTAACCTGCGATAGAAATCCTTGTCTATGTAGTAAAAGGGCAACCGAGAGGTGTAGTTTTGTGTAAGGAATTGGCGTTAGACCGAGTCGTGCCAGTGAGGCATTTTGAAGATGTGAACAGACGTGCGCGAGGTTGACGAGAGACATCGCATTCGAGATGGTGATGGCGACGTGGTATTATCGACACTATTGCATATTGCGCCTATTTGATGAATTCACCACTGATGATTGACAATGAACTTTTGGCTGGAGCACACGAGCGATCCGGGAGTCGTGCGGATGAGTCCTGATGGGGCTTAGCGCAATTACATCCACATCGAATGGACCATTGCGCGTACGGTGTGGACCCCTCCCAGGTGCGTGCAATTGGGCTTGCATAAAGACGAATTGATTGGGCGCTGTAGCCGCCGACCTTGAGCTTCGTCCATTGTCTACGACGCATTCGAACCCGGGCATTCATACATTGCGAGGACAGGATTCGTCGCAATACAGATAATCTTCCCTTCTCCTCGTAAACTACATATACGATCCAGCTTTGGGCGACCTAAACCGCGCCGGATCATCTTTGTTCATAACCTGGCGTGCCCCGCATTCAAACTACAACGATACCAACAACTACAACTGCGAACAGGACAAGATGCCTGCCGGTCCAGGCGAGAGTCTGATCACCACTCTGTGAGCTGCTCGGCATACGCAGGGATAGGAACATTGCTGATTACAGCTGCAGCTTCGGAGATGTTCACTACTATTTCAACGACCCGACTTCGAAACCACTTCATCACCGATTTGATCGAGGGAGCTACGTCTACCTGTATCACAACGCTGTCCAGCGCCAGACCAAGTTAGAGGTCGCAAATGCGGCCGGAACCCCAGATCAAGATGCTTTCCATGGATACCTCAATCATGCCCATATCCGCTACTCGCATCTTCAACCCAACCTCATCACGCTGGTCATCAACACCTCCGCTCTGTCAGACCACTCTACCTGGCACTTGCCGAGCTTCGACCTTACGAACCAACAAAAGTACTTGCACAAGATCCACGCATTGGACATATACCTTTGGACGGAGAAAGATGCCGCGACACTGTTGAATCATTTGAAGTCTGTCGTTAGTCCTGATCGTATGGATATCAAGAACGCGCCAGCATCGAGATCATCGTATGCTTCAAATGAGCACCATGACTCCATGAGCCCAGTCGTACAACAACTGGAAAAGACGGCGATTGGTAGTCAGTTCGCTCCACGCTCGGCTAGCACAATATCTGCTAGCTCGTTCGCAGGACCTCCCACCGCTCCCGCCAGCTCATTTGCAGGACCTCCTACAGCTCCAGTAAGTTCGTTTCCCGGACCTCCAACCGCTCCAGTCAGTTCCTTTGCTGGGCCCCCAACCAGCGCTGCTCCTGTCAGTACACCACCGCCTGTTATGGGCTACAACCCCGCTGCGCCTGCTGCACCAGAACCTGTGACCTATCGCGAGCCTACGCCTCCACCTCCAGAGGACGGTACTGGCACGGGTCTGCAGAATATCGGTAGATATGACAATGGCCCACAACTCCAATCCGCGACAGGATTTCAGCCCCAGCAAAGCAGCTTCATGCCCTCAAATCAGTCGCCAGCGTACTTCACAGGTCCGCCAGCTGCTCAGCGACCTGGTCCACCAGCCCACACGCCATCATTTGGCCCCACGGCCACCAGCACAATCTCTCACAATCCCGCCAACCCAACCGCATCACCTCCACCACCACCACAACAGCAGCCCGGCCAATACGCCAATATTCCCGCCCACCTCCAACAGCAATTCGCCAGCTATCCAGGCACACCCGGCTTCAACCAAACCTCACCACCTCCGCCTCCACCAAACTCCACCCAAACCTCTCCGCCGCCACCCGTCGGCGGCTACAGCTCCTACTCATACACCAACCCACAAACCCAACAGCAAAGCCACTCTGCTGCGGATGTGCATTCACAGGTCTATCGACCCACAGAAGCAGAGAGCTCTGGACACGGACCGAAGAGCTTCTTCAAACGCACGGCGACAGATGGAAGTACGGGCTCGAAGAAGGACACCAAAAAGGACACCAAGAACCGGCTGAATGATGGAATTCAAGGAATTGACAGCAAAGTCTCGGGATTACTGGGTCGTCTGGATAAAATGTTCTGAGCCGGAATGATGAGGGGATACATGCGAATCTAATGCCGTCAGGAATGGCAGGATCTGAGCCTTGCTTTGTGTTGTTGCGAAGATTCCCACCATTTGATTTCCATCAGCTTAAAGTACTTTTACAAAACCAGAAAAGGATACATCTGCTAAACACATGATGCTTTTTCACACACTTCCTCTCGCTCGCTGGTCCAAAGCCAAACGTCTCAATCCAAATCCGGCTCCCTCCTCGAGAACAACAGTTCCGGATCCGGATCCTCGTCAGAAATGTGATCACTCGGCGTCGTAACGCGCGTCCGCCGAAACTCTTTATCCAGGCTATGGATCTCTTCATCCTGCTCTCGATCAGTCGCCTCCTGACTCTCTACTCCCGTATCCACCAAATCACCACCGTCTTCCCTTCCTCTCCGACGTTCCACCGTCTCCCCCGAGGCACGCAACACCCCCTCGAGGATCTCTCGGCCTTTCTCTAAGGCTTGGATTTCTGCGCCTAAGGCTGCGATCAGGAGGTTCCAATGTTGCTCTTCGGCGTGGGAGATCTTGGTTTGTAGGGATGATATGAGGGTTTCCATGGCGTCGAGGAGGGTTTTGAGGCGGACGGTGCTGTTGTCGGATGATGTTTGATTGTCGGATCCGTCGTCATCGTGGTGGTCCCACGCGGAGATTGGTTGAGCGGGGGTAGAGAGGAGGGTCATTTCTTCGCGGAGACGGGTCTCGAAGGCGTGGAGTTCGTGGGTGGCTTCTTGCCAGAGGGCGGCACCTTCGTCCAGGGCGCGTTTTTCGTGTTCGATGGACTGCCGTTGGCGGGTGGATGTCTCGTTCTGGGTGTGGTAGTGGTCTTTTGCTTGTTGGAGCGTTCGTTGTTTGACCGGTGTCTGTAAGAAGGGTGCTCGTGCGCTGCTGTTGCTGCTCCACGATTGGGATCGGGAAGCGCGTTGAGCAGAGGGAGGCCCGCTGCGGAGGAATTTCTGCACGTCTTCCTCCAGAAGGCGGAGGCTGGAAGTGTACGAGGCGAGTTTCGCCTGCACGGAGTTCTCGACGGCAGCCGCTTGACTCATGAGTTTGCTATGACGAAGCTTCATTTCCATGAGCTGCTCTTCGGCCTGACTGATGTTCGTTTGGAGAGTGTCTGCTTCTTGTCGTAACCTTTGCACGCGAACGGTATCGTCCTCGCTACGAACATGCTGTGTTGCTTCTTCTAGCCCCTCTCTTTTCGATTCCCACGCATATATTTGATTGAGTGTGTCCGTAGTCTTCTCGGTCTCCCCTTGCAACTCTTCAAGCTCTTCCTCCTTGAGCGCAGACAGAGCGAGAATGCTTCTGTGGATTCCCCTCCTGGTGCTCCTAAGCCCTACTCTACGGGTCGCCGGTTTCTTGCCTTTCGCAGCACGAACGGAGTGAACAGTCGGAGTCCTGCTGCCAGTGGAGCTGTAATCATCTGCTGATCCTCCTTCCAACCCACGCACGAGGCCTTCCGCTTGCGCATCGAGCAAGAATTGGAGATCTGCCTCAAGCTCCTGCTGTCTTGTCCGTGTCGAGTCTGGCCTCTCAACAATCACCGACTGCGAAGGAATCGCTGGACGCAAGTTGGCCGTGCTCTGTAGAATCGGCGGCGGGATGATTGAGGCTGTCATCGAAGTGGGTGCGCGCCAGCGTGGAAGCTCATGACTCGACTCGGAGAGTAGAGGTAGTTTCCCTGATAGGGACTGAGCCAGCCATGACTTATTTGAAGACATGACGAAGCTCCAGGCGTTCCAGGTACAATATGTTTGGCCAAAGGAAATGACGGTCGTGAATTAGTTGGATATGTACCTTGCGCGAGCTCTGTGGATGAGGAAAGCACCAGTCGGAACGGCTTGATCGCGAATGTATCTCCTCTATTGATTTGCGTCCCTACTGGAGCAATTGTACGTCGGCCGTGGCATTGTCAGGTGAAACGTTGAAAGCAGGACATGTGATGCAGTGTGGTTTGCTCGTCAGGCGACAGTAATGCGCTTCGGCGTACCTCAGTCGAGATCTCACGTCATGTGCGTCAAAGCTTCTCGGGTGAATCTATCAACTCTCTATCGCGCTTTCATTTCGAACTGCCTCTCAGCAAAATGGCAAGAACTCGTCTCATTGGACCTGGAAGCATTTTACCTGGGTAGATGCTCTGCAAACACTTTCGCATCAATTCCTCTTTCATTTGCTGCGGCAATAGCAGTATCGCCCTTGCATCTCGACCACAACCTATCAATCCTCCTCGATGATGACTGTCCTGTAAGAATGCATCGCAGCGCTATCCTAATGAGATTGCCTACATCACATCATGATCCCGTGCAGATCTGCGTGAGCAGTGAAGAACACGTTAATCGATATTGTATGGGCAACAGAGTAGCATTTGAGGTTTTGATACAGCTGGTTGACGCCGAAGCCAAAGCAAGCCGAAGCTTGACAGCTGGAGAAAGGACCTGATGAGTAAGAAATTTCACAGTTTTTGGAGATTCGCTAAGACACAGGAGGAACTCGTGAAAATATACAGGTAAAAAACACATCTCGCTGCAACCAATCAGGATTGTCTTCATGCAGCATGAAAATTACCGGGTTCCGGTGACGGCGCTGGCATACTGGAGCGACGACGTCCTCCTCGTCGGTCAAGGAACACACCTGAGAGCCTATGATACACGCACACAAGCTCGTCTGTGCGATCATTCAGTATTCGCTACTCAAGCAATTCATGGAATCTCCATACATCATGGATCGTCCAATCCAATCATACTTGTTCGAGGCGGTCAATTGATCACGATTTTGATCGCAAGTAGACTTCCAACAGGCGAATTTTCCGTGGAGCAGAGCGCAGTCTATCAATCACCCGACTGGGTGCTCGATGCGACTTTCAGCCCGGCCATAAATGGGTGTACTGCTCGGGCCGCTCTTGTCACGGCTCATAATGCCTTGACCATATGTGATTTATCATGCGAACCTCTCTGTGCTCGGTTGGATATCGCGATTCCGGGGTCGAATTGTATCCTTTACTCTGCCAATATCACATGGCTGGATGATAGCAAGTGTCTTATTGCTTCTGGCACCGCCTTTGGCGACGTGATAGTCTGGTCATGTGCGGTCTCTGCAAGCGGCGAAGAGCTTTCAGCAGCCTCTCAGACACACTACGTCTTTTCAGCACATCAAGGATCCGTCTTTGGCGTGACCATTTCATCCCCTGAAATCGCGGCTTCTTTTGGAGGACGGAGCCGAGTGCTGGCAAGCTGTAGTGACGACCGCACTGTTCGATTATGGGACATATCCGACCTCACTGTAAAAAGTCCGACTCTACTGGAGCTTCAGCGACAAACAGGTTTCGGCACCGAAGATGCGAAAGATGCGAATGGTCCGCAATGTCTCTCGTCGGTCATGGGTCATATCTCGAGAATTTGGCACGTTCGATTTGTGCAGTACAGTCCAAGTGTGACTAAAGACGGCGCCGCACCCCTGAACAAGGCCGTAGTCCTCTCGTTCGGCGAAGATGCATCGTGCATTGCTTGGTCCGCGGAACCAGGTGTAAACTCGGTCGATCATCCTTTCCGGTTGACACAGATGTCTGTTGTGAAAGCACACGCAGGTAAGAGCATCTGGTCGGTCGGTATGTCGCCCCGTATGGATGTTGCAACGGGAGGTGCAGATGGCGCAGTGGCCATATTCCCAAGCTCTAGAATCACGAATGGAAACCCACTTCAAATCATCGATCGGACGCTCATCGACCAGGGCTCGCAAGGAGATAATTTCAAGTCATATGCATTCCTCGATGAAAGTCTGCTCCTTGCGACTACTGAGCACGGAGGAATTGCACTTTTGTCACAGAAATCGGATAGCACTACCACGCACAAGACCTTCGATGCACTGCCGGGGTTACGTGGCTTTTCGATCGTGGTGTCGATCTCTGGACTGGCATTTTTTGCAGGCATCGACGGCAAGGTGTACTCCTATTCAGAAGAGCTCTCAACTGTGACCGAGATTGCCGACACTGGGCGTAAGGTCGCCGACATGTTTGTTGGGAGCAATAGAAATGACGCACAACCGGAGCTTTCAAGCAATCTCACAGTGTTGGTGACTAACGTAGGTTCAACTACTGCTCACATTATACATGCGAATCAAGCAATCGACGTAATTACAATCGGTGCAGCTTCAACTCATGCGCAATCGAAACTCGAGCTTCCAACAGGTTTCATGGTCACGAGCTTTGCTTGTAAAGCATGGACGAACAATCTCACGGTGATTGCTGTAGGATCGAGAAGCGGAGCTGTCGCAATCTACTGCTTCGATTCATCCCATCAGAATGTATCGATTCCGACGTTGTTCGCGGGTATTCATAGCAAAGAAGCTGTGACCTCGCTCATCTTTCACGTAAGCTCTGCTACATCATCGAATGGAAGCTTGAGCCTGTTATCAACAGGTCGAGATGGAACATATGCTTGCCAAAGGCTCACTGTTGAGAAAGACACGTGCCAGCTCAAGTGCATTCATCAGCTATCATTGCCCTTCGGACCGAACATTGAAAGATTGGAGGTCCAAGAAAGCGGCCACTTGTGGGCTTGGGGCTTCAGGAGTAAGCAGTTCGTCGTCTACGACATCACATCGCAGCGAGAAATCATGACTGTAGAATGTGGTGGGGCACATCGCAATTGGACCTTCCGAAGTGGAGCGCATGGCGGAGAGTTCGTCTGGACAAAGGCTTCCAAGCTTTATTATACTCACCAAGATAGTTTGCCTTTCGAGCATGTTGCCGTTGGCGGGCATGGACGGGAAATCAAGTGCATGAGTATTTCCACGGGCTCTCCCCCTATCATCGCAACAGGAGCAGAAGATACAAACATCAAACTCAGCATATATCAGAACGAACGGTTCGACGGTCTGCTTACTCTGCAAAAGCACAACACCGGCGTTCAACACCTCCAGTGGTCTCCCGACAATCGATTCCTGTTCTCAAGCGGCGGCTTCGAAGAATTCTGCATTTGGCGAATAAGCTACAACGCGCCGATTCTAGGAATCGGTGTCGTTTGCGAATCAACGCATCCGAATCATGGCACTTCCGACCTACGCATCATGAATTTCGATGTGGAAATGCTTCCCTCACAATCAAGTGAAGCGGAGACGTTCGTGATCACCATGGCGTACTCAAATTCTAACCTCATTCAATGGCGCTATACCGACAAGACATGGTCCCTGGTCGCTGAGGGATCATACCTGACCTCCTGTCTGACACAATGTCTCCATTTCGGTGCCAGAAATACTCTCCTCACTGCAAGTACAGACGGACACATCGCGTTGTGGACGAAACACCTGCGCTCCAGCAACGAGACGAAATTGCCAACTTCACACGGACAAATCTCACCTTCCTCCTTAGAGTGGACAGTCCGGCACCCGGTTCACCAAAGCGCCATTCTCGCCGCAGCACACTACACCCTGCGGACCTCACCTCCAGTGAATCTGCTCCTCACAGGCGGCGACGACAATGCAATCGGCATAACCCGCCTACCATCCCTATCCGCCGCAGACCAAAGCACAACAACGATCTCCACGAGGGAAGCCCCCATCACCCTCCTCCTCACCCGCGCCCACGCCGCAGCAGTCACAGCCGTAGCATTCCTCGGATCGCGACCCTCTACCCCGACCTCTCCTTCTCCCCCTCACGAGGGAAATTTAGCACACGTCCGCTTCGCCTCCACGGGCCTCGACCAACGCGTCAAACTCTGGGAGATCCTCATCGACCCTGAAATCCCGGGGATCGACTGCGTGAGGAGCGTGAGGAGAATCCTCTCCCCGAATCACAAGGAGGAGACTGGCGGGGGCTCCTTCACGCCTGTGGCGGATATCTCCGGGGTTTGTGTCTTTCAGATTGACGATGCTCGTGGTGGTGCAGACGGTGCCGGTGGCCTAGGCGGTGGTACGCTGCAGCAGCAAGGGCAAGAAGAAGAAGAACGTGCGACGGAGGGGCGAGGGAGCAGAGGAGAAGGGGGAACGGGCAAGAAACAGCAAGCGATCTGTATCTCGGGCGTGGGAATGGATATCTGGAAGATCGCTCCCGTAGGGGAGGAAGAAGCGGAGGGGTCCTGAACGCGAGACAATACAAGGCAACGCGAGACAATGCAATGCAACGCGGCGGCGATGGAATATAAGGGGTGCATCATCGCCGGTTTTTTTTCGTTCATTCAATGGAAAGTTTGTGGTTTGGTTTGGTTTGTTTTTTCTTCTCTATACATGGGTCCGTCCTCCTCTCAAAATCGGCCTGTGCCGATCTCCTTCTACAAAAAAGGCAGGGATAACGTGCGAGACCCACCCGTCCTTCTCCCCTCACCGGTAGGAAAGATCCGTTCACACTCGCTCGCCCCTTTGCCCGAGTCCCACTTCTTCTCTGATGTTCTCGGACGGAATTTGATCTTCCCCGGGGCGGTGTCGCCGCTCGTCCCCTCGTCCGCGAGGCGATTTCCTCGACGACGACGGAGACGGGGACTCCTGGGGAAGAGAGGCGCGGATTGCGATTCCCGGAACGGTCGCGGTGATGTTTTCCTTTCTCTCGCCTGCGCGGGCGCATGACTTGGACTCGTCCGTCCCCCTTCTGTACTCCGAAAAGAAAATCTCCCGTCGAGGAGACTCAAATCTTGGGGAAAAATCTGCGTCGCGCAATGGAAGCGTCGCTGCGCTTCTCGGGGAAAAGGGATCAAAAAGAACGGACGGGGAGATCCTCGGGCCTCCAGATCTCCCGGATGGGCCAGAGCCCTTCACTTTGAGGGGGAAATCTCAAGTTCGATCCGCGAGTCGTTCTCGTGCTTTCCGTCAAAGAGCGGTGATTGGTTCGCGGTGGGCAGAGAAGCCCGATATCTTGAGGATCCTGCTGTGGCAATGAGAAAGCCGGGATTTCCTTCCGGTCCGATTCGCCTGTGGAAGAGGAAATCTCTACGGCATCATGGAGTCGGGGGTTCCTTCGGTAGAGATGAGGCGCTTTAGCGACACGCGCGCAAAGTCTCGGCGAGAAGAGGTGCCCGCGCCGATGAGGGCTTCTTTTGGAATTGGATCGTCGTCGATGAGGTCGATCCGGGAGGACCCCCCGCCGCGTTGTGCGCAAGAGACCCGGTGCTGACTCAAGGTGAAATGCAGAACGAAGTGGATATGTGTCATATTCGTTGTTTAGCGTCATTAATTTGAGGAATGGCTTGCTCGAAGATCAAGGTAACAAGGAGCGCTTGCAATGCAGCATGGGAGGGCGCTCTGATGGAAATGAGTAGAATATGAAGTCCAGCGAAGTCGAAATTCGCGCAGAGAGTGCTTCAGGGATCGAGCAATATTTGGTGGAGAAAATAAGAATGTATCGCCAGAGTGAATCTCAATATCATCGCTTTTGGCTCAAGACTGCGATATCGACATTGTCAGACGAAGCGAGCGTCGATACGGTAATGTTGCTGCCCGCATTTCCGACCCAGCAGTTGACCGGTCGGCTGGCGGCTGGTTGATACACGGCGACGGTGCAGGGTGTGTCGCTGTGCAAGGAGTTGTAACCGGCGCAGACTTCGATGCAATCGGCGAAGCTATAGACGAAGGCCTGTGTGATGTTTGACGAGCCGTATGTGGTTGTCAACGGGCTGACTTTGCTGCAGTAACGAGTGAAGTCGAAGCCTGACTGTGGTTGTTTGACGTCGGCCGCCAGGGCTGAGACGTAACGGGTGTTGTTTGATGCCGGGCAGTCGGAGAGTGGGGTGTAGGTCGGGACCGGAGCAGAGTATATTGATGCTGCAGCGGTCGTAGCGGTCGGGTGTGACGAGGAGGTTCTGTTTGGCTGGAGGTAAGCAGTTTTCTGGCACGTCATATAGAATGTAGATCAAGCACTCACGGTGTCGGAGCGGCGCCCGGATTTGATTCCCCATTCTGAATGTGTTGTCCTCCTACACCTCCTCCCACCGCGGCTCCAACGATCACGACCAGCATGATCCCCGCAACGATCAAGAAGGTTCGGATTTTCATTCCAAAGATGATCCGCGGAGGTTTCGAGGGCTGTCCTTCGAAGGCATATCTGCCTTGCTTGGAGACGATTGACATTTCTCGCAGGACAGGGTATTTATCGGAGTGAGGGTAGTGGTTGTCATCGTATTCCAAACCGTGAGCCGGAGCGACTTCCGGAGCATTGTGATATTGGTAGAGAGCGGATAGACGTTGGAGGATCGGTTCACGCTGTAACGGGCATGGTTGTCAGTCGTTGCCATTCACTGAGAGATCCGATCGAATTTCGTTATAGGACGGCCATCACGGATTATACTTACCGGTGCCGGTTGTTCTGAAGGCATTTTCGGATATGAAACGCCCTGCGCAGGCGACGACGATGATATATCAAGGAATGAAAATGGCAGTCAATTCCAGAAGAGAGAATTGAATATATCGCGCAGCAACAGCCGACGGGAATGAACGTGGTTGCGTTGAACACGCGTGCGTATGTAGATCTGGCTAGGGAAGGACGATGTCGATGATCGTATGTTGAATCAATGCGGAGAGAAGGGAAGAAGCTCGCAGTGGAAGAGAGTCCGTCTGGTTGGGATGAGGTAATTCGTCGGTATGGAAGAGGACGTTGCAGCAGAGAATGGCGGTGGTGGGAAGAGAAGGCGGAGGAGGAGGAGGAGGAGGAAGAGGAGGAGATCGCCCTGAACCGGGGTACAGTAGAGCGGGTGGATGTATTGTACTGGGCTGTAGTAATGAGGTGCAGTAGTTCTCCAGGGCTGGTTCGGTGGTGTGAGCGGTACCTGCAGTAGCACCCGTGGACAGCAGCGGCGAGACTCGTGGACGAGAAACTCTCTTTCCTCTCTCTCTCTCTCTCTCTCTGCTTGTCACTCACGTGCGGAGATCCACCCGGACAGGAACAAGAGCAAAGAAAAAGACCGCGGTGGAAGAAGAAGGGGTCATTGTCTTCACCAGTCGTGCAACGGTCGTGCCAGTTTCCCATTTCCCGGCTCTCTTTTTCACTTTTCTTGTGGTTTGTATGTATTGTATGCGGCTCTCCTCAACCAACATACGGAGGGAGGCACATGTACCATGATCAGTGAGGCTTCCAGCCCGCCCTACTGGCAATCAATCCTATCCTCGATCCTCCTCATCCCACCAACGGCCTACCTAAGCCAAAAACAGACGTCCAAGCAACTCTCGGAATTTCGGTACACACAGGGCATCCGTCGGAGCTGATCTACATCAACGGTCCAGATGACTCTAACGCATCTTGGGCATTGAAGAACGACATCATCGCGATATGCTCCAGTAGTCTCGGCGGCCGTTGGGGTGAGGAATTCGTGCTACAAAATGTCCGAAAGACCCGAGAACGTTTCACCCGTCGGTCTACGCACCATAGGGAGGAAAGATTTCTCTTCGCTTCGTATCCACGTCGATGACACGAAAACAGTGGCAGGAGCGAAGGACCGAGTACGAAAGAAGGCCTGAGCAGTATTGTCGTATTCGGCTCTCCTGCGGGGGAAATCAAAACCACCGTCCACGTGCGACGCCCAGAGCAAATCCCAACACCAACAGCCAAGCCCATGCACGACCCAACCAGCCAGCAGCCTATGAGCCGAACAGGATGTCATCAGAGAGCGAGAGCACCTGGGCATGGGCAGGCATGCGCCCCTATCCGATCCCTGATCCAGCGACAGCAGAGCCGTGCAATCCCTCCAACGCCGCATGCGCGGGGACACCAAAGTATGAAAACGCCACCCGCGACAGGGAATCTCTTCTTCCACTGTTGGCTGCGGGATGAGATTGCGTTTCCCGATGCGGGCATGCGCGTGCCTTGTTCCCAACAGAAACCACCGTCGTCAATGCCATAATCATGCCCGCGGTATCGACAGACGGAAATGAAACGAGTCTGTGGCATCGCTCCCATGTTGTAGTAATGAGCACGTAGATGAGAATGATCGACGGAGTCCGTTCCATCCGGCTCGGACAGACCACCGAGTTACAGTCCATGTACGAAATGATCAAACCATGCCGAGGGAAGGGAAGAGAGCAGCAGCGCCGCGTGTTGGACCCGTCATGCCTGCCCGCCTGTCTGTCTAGTGCTGCGGCCGTCCTCCCAGGCCGTCGTGATAGCGTGTCTCAGGCTCTAGTGACAAGCCATTTAGACTTCGAGGGGGCGGCGGGATCCATGGAGACAACGCGCGACGACCCGAGTCCCCCTTTTGTGTGTGATGAAATGTGCGATGCGAAACTCTCTCCCATGCGGCTTCTTCTTCCCGCGTGTCGGTCGTCGGGCGGGCACCTGCATGGTGTGATGAGACAACGGGATTTCTTGATCAATGCTCCACTGCGTCGCCCGTCCGGCACGCGCACACATGCGAATAGTCATGATGAGATGCATCTGAGGAGCGGTCCTCGCATCGCATGGCCCGATCGCAAGGGACGACACAGGTCCCGCTCTTGAACGCCATGTGTGCTCTGCAGCTCTCTCTGCGGAGGGAGCATCACAGATGTCACATTCGAATGTGACGAGGGCGTGCAAGCCAGGAGCGCACGCCGGGGGACCGACGCCATAAGAATAACTACTCCTGGCTCCGTACTGTACTCCACTACCTGTGCAATGATACACACAGCAAATGATACACACAGCAGCACGCCCGATTGACCTTTTTTTGCGCTCTTCCCTCTCCCTGATTCACCACTTCCCCGAGATCTGTGAGGGAGATCCCCGTGGTGTCTATCGAGCATATCTAATGATCATCACCACAGAGGAGGGGGAAAAGGGCTCTCAGCCGAGTCTGCTGAGCTGACCTCATCTCTCCAGTGGCGGACGATGCACGATCACTGTAACAATCCTATTATCATGTAGCACGTTTTGATGACAAAGACAGAAGAAGGCACGAGAGGGTGTTTCCTCCCGCTTATCAGGCATGCTGCTTTTCTGTGTGTGTGTGTGTGTGTTCCCGCAAAGAGAGCTGCGTAAGAATGTCGACGGCATAGCTCTCTCCCGCCTTCCCTCGTTGGTCAAACAAGTGCGTGTTTCCGGAGAAGAAAAAGGATGAAAGAAGAAGAGTAGTGAGAGAAAGGGAAAATAATTGCAGAAACCTCGAAACCATCTCATCTCATCTCCATCTCCATCTCTAACCCTCCCTCCCGCTCTCTTTCTCCCTCGGGTACACAAAAGGCAGAAGAAGTGAAACCGAAGAAAAGAAAAGAAAAGAAAAAATAAATCAATTAATCATTTGCGTTTCTCTCCGTAGCAAGGACATGAGTTTTTCCACCGACCTTCCCGCAGAACATTCCCATTTCCATTTCCATTTTTTCGCAGGAATGGGGATATCACGCGGATGAAAAGAAGTCTCCTACATCGGACGATGACTGTTGGTGGTGGTGATGGTGGTAGACCCGGATAGATCACACAGCAGGCGCTGAGATGGAGGCGGGCGGGCGGGAGGAAACAAGGAAGGGGAAATCGTCTTGGTCGTGAACATGGACAACAAATCAAGAGGACGGAAGTTTGAACGCATTCCCCCACTTGGGACTGTACATAGATTGAGGGGGAGGGGCCCTCCTCCAATTCCTCCAAAGAGAGCTGATGGTCAAACTTGTCAAACCGGCGGCATTCGTGACTCGGGGTTCGAGGATCCGCGCCTCCGTCGGCGAGTCTAGACGGCTTGGTACTTGCGCAGCTGTGTGAAGGAGAAAAAGTCAGTAAGATATCCTCTCGACGAACGAAGAAAGGGGGCGGATGAGGAAAGAAAAAGAAGAGGAAAGAAAAGAAAAGAAAGAGACTCACATCCAACGTCAGCGCCCTCGAGCTGTTGACCGCCTGATCGCGCATGACGCCCACCAGCGTCTCGCTGTTCTGGAACAGGCCGGTCTTGAGCGAGATGACGACGAACTGCATGCCGGGCCCGGCGTGCGCGCGGACGTACTGCGCCAGCTGGGTGGTGTTCGCGTGGTCGAGGGCGGCGTCGACCTCGTCGAGGACGAAGAAGGGGCTGGGCGCGAAGGTGTGGACGGCGAAGAGCAGGGCCAGGGCGGCCATGGTCTTCTCGCCGCCGGACAGGTGCTCCATGTCGCGGAAGCGCTTGAGCGGCGGCATGGCGTGGTAGCGCACGCCGGAGAGGTAGGGCTCGTCCTCGTCCTCGACGTCGAGCGAGGCGGCGCCGCCGAGCGGGAAGGACGGCGTCTTGGTGAGCTCGCGGTACACCTGGCCGATCTGCTCGGCGATGTGGGAGAAGGCCGTGTTGAAGAGGTCCATGCGCTGCTGGCGGATGTGCTCGAAGTCGCGGGTGGCGCGGCGCGCGGCGGACCGGGAGTCGTTGAATTCCTTCTCCGTCGCCTTCAGGCGTTCGGAGGTCGCCTCGAGGCGTTCCGCCGAGCGCATGTTCGGGGCCATTTTGTCGAGGGAGAGTTGGAGGGTGCTGATGGCTTCGGAGAGTTGGGCGTCGATCTCGTCGGTGGCGTCTTCTCGGAGGTCGTCGTCGAGGGTGGTGAAGTCGACGTGGATTCCGTAGTCGCTGATTTTGGAGAGGGTGCCGTCGCGGTCGTCGACGTCCATGGCATCTTCGTCTTCGTCGACTTCGAGCACCGCGTCTTCCAGCGGGAGGCTGTCGATCTTGCGGCTGCCGCGCTCGAGCGGGAGGTTGATGCCTTCGACCTTGCATGTTCGGAGAAGACCGAATCGACCGGTGGCGGCTTGCTGTACTTCCGTTTCGAGTGTGCTGACCTCCTTCAGTGTCTTTTCGACGCTCTTCTCACGCTTCTGTACTTCTCGTCGAGCTTCATTGACCCGTTCGCCACGGGCATCGAATTCCGCCTTCAGCCCTTCAATCTCGCCGTTGGCCGCTTCGATCTCCGCGTTGAGCACGTCCAATTCTCCAGCGATCTCTTCCCGCTCAGCCTTCAGCCTCGCCGTCGTATCACGTTCACGTTTCATGCTCGCCTGGTTGGCTTGGATACGTCGATCGATCTGTTGAAGCTGCTGCTCCGCGAGGATCAGCTGATTGGACAACCGCGAGGTTTGCCTCGTGAACTCGGCCTTCTTCTGTTGAGCTTCCTGTTGCAGCGCACCTTGCTGCTTCTCATACTCTCGAATGTTGGCATATCCCAGACGTTGGCAGAAGGCTCCAAAGACTTGATCCTCGATCTGAGCGACCGAGCTGGAATGCTCGACCAGCGTCTCCTTCAAAGATGCGAGACGGCTAGATTGCTCCTCGTACTTCGGCTTGATCTCGGCAAGCTGACTCTTCATATGCTGCAAGGTGCGCTTCTTGCTACTGATGTTGTTGTTCAACGCATTGAGCTCGTCCTGCGCATACCTTTGCTTGGTCTCCAAGCCTGAAATCTCCGAACGGAGTTGTTCCTCTTCTGCTTGTCGCTTGTGTCCCTTCGGTAGCGTATCAAGATCGCCTTTGATCTTGTCGGCCAAGGTCCTCAAATTCTCCACTTCGCTATCCTCGAAACGTCGCTTCTTGTCGTGGAGGTCACCGCCAGTCATGTTACCACCTTTGTGGATGATGGTGCCGTCCAGGGTCACCGCCTTGGCATCGATGCCCTTTTGATAGCAGAGATTCCTGGCGATCGAGATGTTGTCACAAACGATGGAATTTCCACACGCGTAGCTCATTGCACGCTCCAGGCTAGTATCAAAGTCGATGGTGTCGATGGCGAGGCGCATGCCCTGGTGCATGCCTCGCAGATTCGCATTGGCCTGCTTGTGGATGATGGTATCGAGAGGGATGAACGTAGCTTGACCAGCGCGCTGTTCCTTGAGATATTGAATGCAATCCTTGGCAGTCTTTTCCGAATCCACGACGATAGCATCGTAATGACGACCGAGCACGGTCGCCACAGCTGTCTCATACTTCTTCTGTTTGGGATGACACAAATGGCCGAGCGTACCCTTGACACCTGAATAGAGACGCTTCATCTGGCTGACCATTTCTCGGTGTTGGGCTTCTTTGTGAGTCTCGCGCTGGTACCCGACGGCTTCGTTGAGCCTGACAAGAACTTGATGTAGCTTCTCGTCGAGTTCGCGTTTCACTTGCTCCGTTCGATCTCGATCACTCGTGAGAGAGTTGATGGCGACACGTTTCGTCTCGATCTCTTTCGTGGTTGCGCCGACAACTTTCTGCACCTCCTTCTTCCGTGTTTCGAGCCCAGAAATCTCCTCGGTCAGGCTGGTCACGGCAGATTCAGTGCTCTGCACCTTCGATTCGAGAGAAGTGACGGTCTCTTCATCAGTCTTAATCTGGCGAGTGATGTTGTCGAGCTTGGTCTGGTCGCCACCTGTCCGCTTGTATACATCGGCACGGAGCCGCTCGAGTTCTTGAAGGTCCTCATCACTCAACTCCCGACCCGCCTGTTGTTGTTGATTGCGCCACTCTTTCTCCCAGCGCTTTTGGGCTTTCTGAACTGTGTCGAGATCGCTCTTTAATTTCGCCGCATCTTTCTTGTGGGTGTCTCGTTCTCCACCAATCTCTTGAAGCAGAGACTCATACTTCTTGACGTTCGATGTGTGGATGGAAAGTTTCTCGTCGATGGGAACCAGTGCGTTCTCCTTGTCTTCTACGGCCTTCTCCCTCTGCTTTACATCACGCTCATGCTTCTTGATGTCGCGGTCTACCTTGGCCTGCTCTGCTTTTGCTTTGTCCAATTGGTCGCGATGTTTCTGCACAGTTCGATTGAATTCTTTCAACTCCGCCTGGTGCTTCTGAATCTCGGCGGTGCTGTCCTGGATGGTGCGTTGGAAATGCCACAGCTTCCAAAGGATCTGGTTGACCACCGCTTGATCCTTTTCGTCGCGCGTCTGCTCAAACTTGTCGAGCTCCTCTTTCTGCTGTTGATACTGTTTGATTTCTCCGTTGATGCCACGACGTTGTTGAAGCTTATAGGTTTGCTCCTCATCAGCCTTGTCCTTCTCCGCTTTGAGGCGTTCGTACTCCGCCTTGTACTCGAATGAACCACTGATTTGTTCAATCAGGCGCGTGAGATCTTTTGGAGACTGTGCGGCGATGGCTTCGACATCTCCTTGAAACACCAAGAAGTTTCGCGCCTTGATCAGGATGTTTTCCGCCTCCAAAGCTTCGTTATATGTTTTGGCCGTGACTGAACGATTGTTGATTCGGTACTCAGATCCGCCGTTGGATGTGATTGATCGTTTCCAGCGCTGCTCTTCACCGGCATCGTCCTCGTAAACGGCCATGACCCAAGCAGTGGTGGGATCGTTGCGCAAGCCGCTCGTCTGTGTCGACGCATCCTCGTCGTCCGACGCGGCAGCAGCCTGTGAGTCGCCGTTCACCCCATCATCCGGTCCACCCTCGATCGCTTGACCATCCGCGTCGACCTTGGAAGTCTTGAGGACACGGCCACGATAGACCAAATCTTTGAGGTGTGTCGACCTCAAATGCGACGATTTGATGCCGAGAACGAAGGAGATGGCGTCCATGGAGTTTGATTTCCCGGAGCCATTTGGACCGATGATTGATGTGAAATATGAGTCGCCGAACTGCAATACATGATGACCTTTGTATGATTTGAAATTGAACAGCTCGAGCGCAAGTAATTTGCCCATGGTGAGCTGGCTGTGGTGGGTTGTTGACGATGGTGGAGATGAATGAGGATGGTCGACGGGTTCGTCTTCGTTGGCTCGAATTACCGATTCGATCGCGTGTGTTGCGTCTCACTCATTGCATCGTGTATAGGATGTGGAGGGGATTGTGTTCGCGCAGATGTTGATTGTCGCATGCGCAAGGACGGTGATTGAGAATTGATATGGAGATGTAACGCGTAGCTCACGCGTCGGCCGATCTTCACTCACACAGCACGCCAGCCCTGGATGGAGAGACAAGAGACGGACCAAACCAGCCGCAGAGACGGGAATTGTTTGCCCCACAATCGATCTCATCTCCAGCTGTGCCTGCAGCCAGAGCGGGACGGCTCGGGTGGACGGGAATTAGTCATGCTCTCTCACCGATGTGTCCCAGGGAGGGCTCGTTCGATCACCAGAATTCCCGCAGACAAACCTGGGAAGGGAGATGGATGCCCATGGGAAACAGGAAACAGTGCCCGCCCGCGTCTAGGTACAGTGTATACAGGAGTGCTGTACACAGTGTACAGTAATAATAATCATAAAATCACCTGGGCAGCTGGAGCCTCCACTACCGCCTTCTTCTCCACCTGGGCACACTTCACTCTCTTTTCTCTCTCTCCCGTTCCGTGCCTCCCTCCAACAGTATACTACAGTGCAGTATTGCGTATCGCATGGGCGAGAGATTTCCTCCGTAGAACTGGGCGTGGCGCACCCACATCCAGGCCGAGGTTTGCCCATTCTCCCACATCGTCACCTCCTTCAGCCTTATTGATTACCTAGGGATTATTGTGTGGTGACCGTGGAGAACCGTGACGTCAGGATCCCTCAAGCGCGCTCCCCTAGCTCCCCTTGGATGCCAGCTTTATTCCATCATCTATCTGACGGACAGTTGAAGACGCAGGTTCCGCCCACGGCTGTCTGTCGCGCACACGGACCTTCGAAAGTCTTTGGAGCGCGACGGCATTTGTTCGAGTTTACTCAGTACCTGAGTTTGCTCCCGAACCTCTCCTTGACAATGTTTTCGTGGTCACGGATGAGATGGTGAGATATTGGATGTAAGGCTACCGGACAGGCACACGCGTCCTCGCAGGTGGTGGTGGTGGTGGTGGTGGTGGTGATGAATGTGGTGGTGATGAATATATCCCCGAGCGCTGCACGTGATGGAACGGGCTCGCGTGAGTGGACGCGAGACTCCCTCCCTTTCTCTTTCCCTTTTCAACAGAGAGAGGGACACGGAGATCGTTGATCGGGCTCCTCTATCTGCAACCGCGCATTACTCCATGCACGTTTTTGTGAGAGCTGCGTCTCTTGACAGCCCTGGAGTATCGCTTATTATGTGCTTCGAGAGCCCTGTTATCACTCTGCCGCAGCCCTGATCACCACCGGAGAGACAATCGGCGAGCGCGCGAGGGATCAGGCGGTCCGTGGCCTGTGATGCGCCGGTCATTGGGTGTCCGGGTGAGTTTCGTGCTCGGCGCGCGCATAACGATCAGACGATCACATCGCGCGATCCTCCAGGGCACTGAGGACACTGCTTTGATCGTCTTTTGCACCTAACAACTGGTCGCAGCAGTGGCAGTCCTCGAGGCCTGGACAAGATGATCACCATTGCACATAACGCACCCAAACATGCGCGGGTGATCCTGAGGATCTGGCAGATGACTTTGCGATCCTGTGTGCATTTGGGTGCTGTGTGTATGTATATGCTCCTCCGCCACCACGCCCTCATGAGTAATAAACAGTAGTACTGTACTGTGCTGCAGTTCAAGTCTGCGCCAGTGACGGAGATGGCTGGCAGATGGGTGATACCTGCTGTACTGTGGTTATTGTTACCCATCTCGGAGCAATTCAATTCTGATGAGCGACACCCGCTCAGACTGTCCACGTCGAATCCCCGTAGATCTGCACTTTATCTTTGTTGAATATTAGTCCCCGTGGTCGGCAAGGTGTCGCCATCTTCCGCCAAAGAAAAAAGAGCTGGAGGCATCGTACATAGAGAGAGACCCACAGGCTGAACCACTTTAGCGGAACTCTGCCAGGTCCACCACCACCACCATCATCATCATCGCCGTCACCGTGAATTCTTCGTGTCCGCGCGGGAGACAGGCACGAAAAGGCAGAAAGAGGAGAAAGGCTACGTCGTCGTGCAGGTCTACGTCGCAACTTCTTCTCCCCCACTGATCCTCTCATTAAAACCACCCGGTTCGACGACCCACCGAAAGCAATCGAGATACTGTACGGTAATAAACTCCAGAGCAGAAAAGGTACGGGGCAGTACTTTTGGTCATTCCTACAATAATAAGCACCGCACCGCACCGCACACCCACCGACCAACCAAACCACCCTCCCTCCCTTACCGACATATCGGGTAGCGCACATGGCCCAGCACGCCGCCTGTCCGTGCCTGATATGAGCGGCTTAACTTACTCATCCCAACTCCGACGCCCTTACTTTCCGGGTCACCGCAGTTCTTATCTCGACCTCATCCCCGAGGAGGACGAATACGACGACATCCCTCAGGAGGAGTTGGAGGCCTACGCCCGACTGGCCGACATTGACGCCAAACCCAAACCACCCACCACCACCGCCGCCGCCGCCGCCGCCACCACCACTACCCTCCAGCGGACGCGCAGTCGCGGTCGATATTCCAGCAGGATGACCACCGACCTCGATCAAATGGCTGCTGCCAAAGAGGAAAACTCCAAGCCGCCTCCCACGTCTTCCGAATCAGATGATGCTCTCAGGACGAACGGCCATGCGACACCCAGCAACATCAACACCGGCGATTACCTCTCCGCCGGGGGAGGTTCGGCCAGTGGTCTCAGCACACCGACCACGCCTGGGCTCTCCGCCAACTTCGACTCCTTCGACCGCGAGAGTTTCCCTCCCGTCGACCGCCTGACGATGTTCGACATCCTCGAGAACCTCGCCCTCCCGCAACGGCTCGAGCGCATGCAGAGCGCGATCCACGACAACGCCGAGAAGCTCCGCCGACAGCGGCAACGCCTCACCACCCGCGCCTTGTCGAGCAAGAACATCGTGGTGGACGAATGGAGGAAACGCGTCAAGATCGACCCGGATCAACAGTTGGAGAAGTACCGCAAGCGGATGCGCATGTCGGTGGACCGGCTGAGCAGGAGATGGAATGCCGCAAAGTCGGTGACGGTCATGGAGAAGGTCTCGTTCGTGACGGCCGTGTTGAACATCTTCATTTCCGCATACATCATCGGCGCATACCCCGAATATTTCCACTACTGGTACTCGCTTCAGCTCGCGTGAGTACAGCAAACTTGGATACATCTTATGGCCTGCCAGGGATGCTAATGATGATTTTGCAGCTACTTCATGCCCCTGCGATGGTACAAATACCATCAGATCGGATTCCACTATTTCCTCGCGGATCTATGCTACTTCGTCAACATCTTACTCGTCATGTCGATCTGGGTCTTCCCCCATTCGAAACGACTCTTGATCAGCACGTATTGCCTGGCCTTCGGGAACAACGCAGTCGCGATCGCCATGTGGCGGAACAGTCTGGTGTTCCACAGTCTCGACAAGACAACGACGTACGCAATTGAACTATCAACATATCCCCCAAACGAGAAGCCGAAACTGACGATATCGTTCTCAGGTTGTTCATCCACATCATGCCCTGCGCCACCCTCCACGTCCTCGTCCACCTCATCCCTGAATCCATGCAAAGGGCCAAATTCCCGGCCATCCACACCATCAAATTCTCCCCCGTCGACGCCCCCGAACACTACAGCCTGCTCGACATGATCATCTGGGCGACGCTCCCCTACGCCATCTGGCAGCTCTCCTACCACTTCCTCATCACCGTCCGCAAACGCTCCAAGATCGCCGCCGGCCGCCCGACCTCGTTCACCTGGCTGCGTAGGAGCTACCGGGGCAACTTCCTCGGCAAATTCGTCCTGTCCTTCCCGGACGCCTACCAGGAGTGGGTCTTCATGGGCATCCAATACTGCTACGCCCTGCTCACCATGACCCCCTGCCCCATCTGGTTCCGCAGCTCGTACGCCTCGGCCTTCTTCATGGTCGTCGTCTTCGGCTGGGCCTCCTGGAACGGCGCGACCTACTACATCGACGTCTTCGGCCGCCGCATGGAGAAGGAGCTCGAGGCCCTCCGCAAGGAGGTCGCGCGCATGGCGAAGAGCCCCGAACTCGCCGGCCAGGACGGCTCCTCTAACGGCGCCTTCAGCCCCATCTCCAGCCCCAACGGCCCTTCCGCGCTCGATGGCGCCGCGACGTCCTCGGCCTTGGACCTCGGTCCCGCGGCGCAACTCGGTTCTCCCGCCATGAGCGGCGAGGGCGGCGGCGCGTCGATGCATTATCGCGGGAAGTCCATCGAAGGCATTCCGTATCTGGATAACGAGTCGGTCGTCGACTCGGTGGATGCCACGCCCGCGGGGGAGGCCGGGATTGTCCGCACGATCGACGGCGGAGTCACCGTCAGCGGGGAGACGCCGTTTGCGAAGTTGGGTGGGGAGCAGGAGGCGGGGGAATATTTCGCGGATCATGCCAAGACGAGGTGAATGGGGACGCTGTCCCCATGATGGACTCTGATCGAGTCGGCGCCTTTTGGGCTGTTGATCTGTGCGCGTGGAGGAACGAAGAAGGAGGAAGACGGATGATTACGATGTCACGTGTATGTGTGTGTGTGTGTGTGTGTGTGCTTGGTCTCTCTGCCTGCTGCTTGCCGCTCTTGATAATTTCGAGTGTTCATCACTACTTTTAAATAATACCCCACCACTTCACATCAGAACCAGAAGGATCTCCGGATCTCTTGAAGAGTTTCCATTGCATGACTTTGAATAACTTCATGAAAGCGCTTCTTTACCCGATCGAGGATCGCAAACATCCCGCCGTCAAACATCACATCTCTGCATCGTCGTCCAGCGACTTGCTTCCAGAAAACCTCCCGATCCAGCAACTCGATTCCCTACGTCCTCCCCCTCAACTCCCTCTCCACCTCCCTCGCCTTCTCCCTCATCCCCTCCATCTCGCCCTCCTCCACGCCCTCCTGCAGCGCAGCCACACTCCCGCTCAAATCCCTCACCACACTTTCTAAACCGCCCAGCAACCTCCCGATCTCCGCTCTCTGCCGCAGAATTCTCTCCGCAAGTTCCGCATTCTCCTTACCCAACGCGTCCTGCCGCTCGCTCATCTGCGCCTGATACGTCGCCAACGAAGGCGCCAGATGCGAAATATACAACTGCCGCGCCGGCAACGTGTGGGGCGGGATCGGCTTCTGCACCGCTCCTCCGCCGTCGTCGTCTCCATCCCGCCGCGCCGCGGCCTCCGCCACGGCCGCCGCCTTCCTCCTGCGCGCCTCCTCCACCACGCGGTCCAGCTCGTTCAGGCTCGGCACCACGTTGCGGTCGAACAGGATGCCCTCGAACTCCCGCCGCAGCACGTCGCCCAGCTTCGCCGTGAACTGCTCGTGCAGGTTCCGCACCGCCCCGGGTACCTGCGCCGCCGGCGTCGGGAAACAGCTCGCGAAATTGCCGTAGTTGCACACCCGCAGCACGTGGGCGACCGCGTCGTTGTACAGCTTCTGCAGCGCGGTCGCGCGTGGGCCCGGCGCGGAGGCCGTGGGCGGCGGGTGGGCCGGGGACGGGGACCGCGTGTCAACGTCCATCGCTTGGTCTGTAGAAGAGGGTTCTTGGGTGTTGGACGATTATGAGTTCGTCATGGTCTTTCTGTTGTGGGCGTGTTGCGATTGTGGTGCTGGTGTGGCCGCATTATCATGCCCTTGCGACGCTGCGGGGGGAACGCGTTGGACGCGCGACTTGAGTGGGACTCCGCGATGGATTTCTTAGGGCTTCTTCTTCTTCTTTCTTCTCCTCCGCCGCCGTCATCGAGCGTGGAATTCGGCATGGAGGCACGGACCCTTCCGACCGATGGTTCGGGAGCTTCGCGCCGCGTCCGAGCTAGTTCCGATTCGGCTTTCGAGGCCAATTGGTGCTTCGACGCGCGCCGCGCGAATGAGAGCTCCATCACTTTTGTCAGCCATTTCATCACTTAGCTGCGACCATCCACTTCATCTCAATCGACGAGGACGCCAATTCCTTCCCAGCGCATCATTAGATTGATTCGCTCTACAGCCTCTGACGGACCTCATCCCATCCATCGCACCCTCGCGATCATGTCTGAATACGCCAAAAAGAAGAACGACGAGCTGATCGCTCTGTGTAAGGAGCGCGGCCTCGCCCATTCCGGCAAAAAAGCAGATCTCGTCAAGCGACTGGAGGAATTCGACAGCCAGCCGGCCGCGTCAGACACGGTCCCTGCTGGTGCTGCCGCCGCCGCGCCCGAAGACGAAATCGACTGGGACGAGGACGATGCGGCCAAGACCGCTACCACCGCCGCCGCCGCCAATGCGATCGCCGCAGGAGGCCTAGGACAAGTCCAGAACCCACAAGCCGTCCCCAACCAGGAAGCCGCCATCGACCCCGCCACCACCAGCGACCTCACAACCCAGCCCGCGCCCGCCGCATCCGCGCCGGAGGAGCAGAAGGAGGAGGTGGATTTCAGCACCGGGCTCGCCGCACGCACCATCGACGAGGAGATCGAGAAGCGCAAGGCGCGCGCCCGGAAGTTCGGCCTGCCGGAGGACACCGAAGAGATCAAAGCCCTGGAGCGCGCCAAGCGCTTCGGCACCACTGGTGCCACCGAGATCCCAGGCTTGGGCCTACTCAATGGTGCGCTTCCCGAAAAGCGAGAGCGGAAGCAGAGGGGTGGCGATGCGACCGAGAGCGATGGAGGAATCCGCAAGAAGGGCCAGGAACGCTCGCGCGGCGCTCGGGGTAAAGTCCGCGCGGCGGCGTCCGGCGGTGGTGAGAAGAAGGCCAAGCCTGCCTCTGCGGCCGCTGCCGGTGAAGGAGGACAATATCCTGGTTGGATGACGCAGAAGGACCGAGAGGCGGCCGATAGGCGGAAGGCGAAGTATGCGTCATGAGAAGAGCATTCTTTCCGGAGTTCACGCTCTCTTCTCCCCATGGCTGTTGGACAGCCTCGACGAGCGAAGGTTGCCAAGCGGAAGACGTTCCCCGAGACTTCACACTCTGGTGGAAAGGAGATGAATCGAGTAGCTTCGGCATCGAAGTTACCACTACATATGCCGCAGAGCATACTCTTGGAGCTCAGCTGGGTCTATGAGTCGCAGTCGAGCCTGGTTTCTGTTTTGGATCGAGGTCGGATACATGGTTACTTCAGCGTCCTTTTTGTCCGAATCTTCGCTGTCGGAAATTCTTCCGAGCAATCTCTCAAGTACGATCCCCGCTAGCCTCTCCGGACCTGTAAAGTCGAGAGGAGAATCCCTCCAATTTAAAACTGCTCATATCTTGGACATTAAATTTCGCCTCCAGACTTCTATCTCGGGCATCCCATGATACACCCCGGGAGGGAAGAATCGCGGACCGAGCGTCTTCTTCTCGACCTTTCCCGTTCCCGACTTTGGTATCTCGTCAGTGATCACGCGCAAGACCGTCGGCATCTTGTAACCCGCCAGTCTCGTCTTGAGGTCACCTCGCAAGCGACTGAGATCTGGTCGATCTGGGAGCAGGGGGTTCTTCCCGTCCGAGGTTACAACGCCTGGCTCTCCCCTCAGCCTGATCAGTGCCGCCACGCGCTCGCCGTACTCTTCGTCGGGCACGCCGACCACCATCACTTCGCCCACGTACTCCAGCCCGAGAATCTCCCGTTCGATGTCCAGCGAGCTGATCTTATACCCCCCACTCTTGATGATATCCACACTCGCCCGGCCGAGGATGAAATAATATCCTCCCTCCCGCCGCGCGATGTCGCCCGTCCGGTATCGTCCGTCCGCGGTGAGAGCCGCCGCCGTCGCCTCGGGGTCGTAGAGGAACTTGCTCATCATCCCCGGCGACCTCGCGAGGATCTCGCCCTCTTCGCCCTCGGAGAGGATCACATCGCACCCCGGCGCGACTTTCCCGATCGAGCCGTCCGGCACACCCTGGTCCCCGAGCCGCATCTTGATCACGGCGCCGACCTCGGTCATGCCGAAGCGCGACAGGATCTTCTGGCCCAGGAGATCCGACCAGAAATCCGCGATCGGCGCAGGCAGTGCGGACGTCCCGCAGATGCACACTCGAATCGCACGTGCGCCCCGGAGGTAGTCCGCAGCGTCGGCTCGCGGGGCGATGCTCTGTTGGTAATGCCGCATCATCCGCATGTAGATGGTCGGCACGCCCGAGAAGAACAGTTCCTGGGGATGCGGTGCGCCTCGTTTCCACCGTTCCCAGGTCCATGCGGGATCGAAATTCCCGCTTTTGAATTCTTGTAGTGCGCCGCCGATCAGGAAGGGGAAGAACATCATCCCGATCCCTGTCGCGTGGTGGACGGGGAGGAGATGCAGGAGGACATCGTTTCGCGTCACGCGGTAGTGGTCGACGACGGCCATGGCTTCGTCGTGTACGAAGCTCAGCGGCATGACCGCTCCCTTTGGCGGACCTGCACATCCTCGTCAGCCTGATGCCGCAACATTCGGGACCACGACACACTGACCCGTCGTTCCCGACGTGAAGATCACCACCCCGGGCGCACGATCATCCAAGAACATCGTCCTCGAAGTCGTGATCCCGCCCGGACTCAGCGGTTCCGTCCCTATCGCCGGCCGGACCGGCACACAGCCAAACGCACTCCGCGGATCCTCGTTCTTGACCAGCTTCTCCACCTCCAATCCCAGCCTCAACGCCGCATCCGACACCAACACGGCGACCGCGCGGGATTTCCTCGCGAAATACAACGCCTCCTTCGGCGGCAGCAGCACCGTCATGGGCACCACTGCCGCCCCCAACGCCAGCGCCGCCAGGATCGCCACGGCGAATTCATAGCCCCCGGCGGCTAAGACGGCGACGTATACTTCATCTCGCTGCCGCAGAAGTCTCCTGGCCTCTTCGCCTAGACTGTCCCAGATGCGTTGCCGGAAGACGAGCACGTCCGTTAGCAGTTGGGAATGGGTTGCGGAGACATTCGCATTGAGGTCGTGAATACAGAGCCGTGGTGGTTGTTCGTGGGCGAAGCGGAGGAGGCGGTTGAAGAGCGGATGGAACGGGAGTACGGTGGGTTCGAATGGGGGACGATCATTATTGTGGGACATTGTCTTTCATATCCTGCGCGATGGTCTGTCTTATGTTGGCCTTGACGATGCAGCGAGCTTACGATGGCCAATCTCCAAATGTTGGAATATATCCTCTTTGCACGTGCAGCACCTTTTGCACGATACACCCTGTCAGCTGAGATGTTCCTGGTCACTTTTCCAACATCAGTTCGTATTTGTAACGTGCCTTTATCTTCCAATGCCAATGTGTTTTAGTGGGTGGACCCATTAAGCTGAGATCCGATCATCGGTGGCGTTAGTCCGAGTACAGCTACCACTGACACGCAACCGCTGACATCAAGACAATATTACCTCGATCATCGCCAACCACGAGATATTTCACGATTTGAGATCCGTCGAGGAAAAATATCTTTCGGATCAATGCCAGGAAAAATAAAACAAAAGTCGAGACAATTTGTAAAATAAAAGCCATTTCGATACAACCATTTACAATCCAAGAGCCTATCCAATATGCCCGACTTCACCGACCACCTCAAACCCGCCTCGCCCTCAGGACCAGAAACATTATCCCACGAACGCGCCCAATCCGACCTTCCCGTCGAAGAATTGTCCCAACACCTCCTCTCCCGCAACGACTTCCTCCTCCGACAACAACGCATCCTCCCCATCCTCGAACAGGACCCTCTCTTCAACAAACTCAAACAAAGCAACCTCTCCCGCCCGGAGCGCTATCAACTCGGCCTGGCGCGTGCGAAGAAGCTGCGACGCTATGCCGATCAGTATGGCTGGGATCGCCTCGATCAGGAAATGTCCACGTACCTCTGTGACGATGTCAGTCCGTATATGGTCCATGCGACCATGTTCGAGACGACGGTGAGGGAGCAGGGCGATGAGCGGCAGAGGGCGTATTGGTTGCCGAAGATCGAGGCGTGGGAGGCGATCGGATGTTATGCGCAGTAAGTTTTGAAAAATTCACAATCGTTTGTGTGTTGTTGTCGTTGCACATTTTTGTTTGTTGGATTCCGTCCGTCGTGGGATCATCTGCTGATGGTGAATGGATTTGAGTTGTCTGTCTTGTTGATCCCCAGACTGATGCGACGTGAAACCTGCAGGACGGAGTTGGGCCACGGGAGCAATGTTCGTGCGATCGAAACGGAGGCTCGATGGGATCCGAGCTCGAAGACTTTCACTTTACACTCTCCCACATTGACCGCAAGCAAGTGGTGGAATGGCAGTATGGGCCGCACAGCAAACCATGCCATCGTGGTCGCGCAGCTCTTGATTCCTCGTCAAGATCGTCCGGGAGAGTTCAAAAGCCATGGACCACACCCTTTCATTATACAAATCCGAGATCTCAAGACACATCAACCTCTCACGGGAATCGTGGTTGGAGACATAGGACCTAAATATGGATATGCTCCCATGGATAATGGTTACATGTTGTTTGATCATCTCCAAGTCCCTCATTCGGCAATGCTTTCTAATTACTCCCGAGTCGATGTCAACACTGGAACTTACACCAAGCCTTCGAATCCAGCTGTGGTTTATGGAAGTCTAACAGCCGTGCGAGCAGCAATCATCATGCACGCACGTCTGATCATCGCACGGGCTGTGACGATCGCTGTACGATATACATGCGTGCGAAAACAATTTCGAGATCGGGACAGTCGGGATCCCTCATCGCCCGAACTCTCCGTGCTCGACTACTCGACGGTACAGATTCGAATTCTTCCTCTACTTGCTACTGCTTTTGCGTTCCACTACACCGGCGAGGCCATGTACAACCTATACACCAACACACGAGCAAACATCAGCCAGGGCGATTTCAGCAAGTTGACAATCCTGCATGCGCAGTCGTCCGGCTTGAAAAGCTATTGCACCGAAATCGCCGCGAACAGCATCGAGACGTGTCGTCGTGCTATGGGCGGGCATGGCTTCGGTGGAGCCAGTGGTTTCATCCAGCTCAACAACGACTATCTTTCGAAGCCGACCGTGGAAGGCGATAACTGGATGATCACGCAGCAAACAGCCAGCTATCTGATCAAACGCATGGAAGCAGCCGTCAAAAACGAAGGTCCCGCACAGGATGAAATGGAAGCCTCCTGTCGCTCGTGGCTGCTTCACGAGCAGAAGGATCCCAAACCATATGCCATCTTTGACGATGATGAGGCTCTAGTCCAGGCCTTCCGCCGTCGATCCCGCTATCTAACATATCAAGCGCACGTCCAACGCAACGTCCAAAAGCGCGAGTGGAACAGCATCCTCGTCCTCCTCCGACAGATCAGCCACGCGGAATCCCAACACCTCCTCGTCTCCAACTTCCACGCCGCGCTCACCTCCGACTCCCTCTCGCCGACGCTCCGTCAACACCTGACCCTCCAATTCCGCCTCTTCGCCTATACAACCCTCGAGACCTCCGCGCGCGACTTCTCCAAATCATCCGCCGTCTCCGAATCAGACCTCGACTTCTTGCCCACAAAGATCCAGGAAACAATGCAATCGATCCGGCCGCACGCGGTGCGTTTGGTGGATGCCTGGAAAATCCCGGATTTCCTGTTGGATTCTGCCCTGGGGAGGTATGACGGGAGGGTCTATGAGGACCTGTTCGATCGCGCGCATCGGAGGAATCCGCTGAATGAAGTCACGTTTGACCCGGATTATCGGAGGGAGGATGTTGTGATGGGAGATGGAGGAGAGGGGCTCAGGAGGCTTTTGGCGAAACTGTAATAAATGCTGTTCCATCGTCTATGACAAGATCTCGTTTTGTATTGTTCGTTGTCTTTTTTTGTTTTTCCAAAATCGTGGATCTCGTGCTTGACGTGTAATTATGCGCTTACAACCCTAGAAGAACGTTCAAAATAAATCCCCACCATCACGAGCAACACGAGGAACAGTACACGGTGCTTCAGTCGGCGAAATGTCTCCTTTCAGATCTTCGCCTTCGCCGCCGTCCCCGTCCTCACCCCGTGCACATAGCTGATCTCGCGAAACGCCCTCCCGGCCTCGCCGTAAAGTTCATTCCTGAGCACGCTAAACACTCCCATCTTCGCCTTCGGCGCCATCCTCTTGGCCAAAGTCAACGCCTCCTCCAACATCCCCTCGGGCTCGGCGACAGCATCCACGATTCCATCCGCAAGGGCCGTTTCGCCCGTCCAACGATGCGCCTCAAGCAGCATTTTCCTCGCAACGGGCGCGCGGAGCTTCAAGCGGAGCAGACTTCCTATCCCTGGGAAGTGCAAACCGAGATTTACTGGCGGCATGGAGATGTAGCCTCGTTTGGAGTTCATGATGCGGTAGTCGTGGCTCAGCGCGAAGGGGCACGCGCCGCCGAAGGTATGGCCTGTGAGAAGTGCGATCGTGGGCAAGGGGTAGTCGAGGAGGGTCGCGAGGAGAGGGAAGAATCCCTCGCTGTTGGCGTAGGGGTTTGCGTCGGCTTCGTCGAGGACGAGGCCCTGTGAGTTGGAGAGGATCAGTTTCTCGGTGATGCTGTTCTGGAGAGATGGATCTGGCTACGAGGGATGGTGGGTTTCTCAACATACTGTACACCAAAATTTGGCATCGCTTCCCCTCGTGATGACGGCGCCATCTGCGTCTTCGCCTACGATCTTTCGGATGGTGTTGTACGCGGCGATCAATTTCTGGGCGTAGGCCGAGTCGATTCGATTTTCGGGTCTCTTCTTCATGGTCAATACGAAGACGTTCCCTTCGTAGCGGTCGACGGCGAGGTCGGGCTCGTCGATGATGGATTGCGTTGATGCCATCTCTTGGGATTGTCTTGTGATGGGTTCACTTGAGGTTTATTGTGTTACCGGTATTGGATAGGCTTGGCGGTATCTGTCTTATGGCTGTACAGTGCTGACTATGTGATGGAGCATCGATAGGGATAGTTCGGTGGACAGCACTGTCTAGATCATCTTGATTATTGTTCGGAGGGCGTCGATGGATGATGACGTCCTAGGCCGAAGCGAAAGAGTCGCATTGGGCATGTCGTTCGGTCCGGCATCTCATCCATTGTTTTACTCCGAACGGAGATCCTGACTCGGTTGTCGTTCGGCAGATCACACCGATGGTGACGCTTCAACACTTCAACAGTCCAGAGTGGTCGAGTCCACCGTTTACCATTCCGCGCGCGTATGATATATCTGGTCATGCAACAAACACGACCAACTCAAGTTCTAGAGAGTTCTGATCGTTCCTGATCCAGCATTGTACATGATTTCAGGGTTCGCTGTGGGGTCAAGACTCGCGTGTGGTGGGATTGCAAATAGCGGGGCAGGGTGTCATGGTTTCGGATGGAGGGATCCGATGGGATATGTACGATGATGAGTCGTTCGGGGTTTGGGGCGAATATATTGTATAACTGATTATATTTATACAGTCAGCTTCGCCTCGTCTATCTATATAGATAAGTAACAGACCAAGATCTACCCATCTTTCGAAATCACATTGAGAAAGTGAGGACAAGACTGAACGACACCGTACGTAACTGGACTCATACAGTGCCTTTTTCACCGGTCATCGCCAATGCTGACAAGCCTCTCCACAGCAGGCCTATCACAGAACCCAAGAAGGATCTCCACCTCCTCCAAGAATCACCCATCACCGGACACAAAGCAAAACAAGAACAGAATGGCGCCAACAACCGTAACAGTCCTCTACCCCTCCACCAGCACCTTCGACATGACCTACTACAAATCCACCCACATGCCGCTGGTCCAGAAGTCCTGGGGCCAATACGGCCTGCAGTCCTGGCGCATCATCCAGCTCGCTCCGGGCGCTCCATACTCCGTGCAAGCGATCCTCGAATTTTCCTCTGCGGAAGATCTTCAAAAGGCCCAGGCCAGTCCCGAGGCGAAGGATGTCATGGAGGACATCCCCAAGTTTTCGAGCGAGAAGCCGGTCTTCTTGGGTGGCGAGTTGGCGTTCACGCAGGCCGACGTGTGAGTTCGCTTGGAAAGGGTTGGAGGAAGACAGCGAAGGACGGAGCGAGAGAAAGAAGTCTTGACGGAATCGAATTGCATCGGATTGGTCATGGATGAAGTCTTGAACTGTTTTACTGTCGCGAGCCCGAAAGCCCAAATGAGATCAATCCGGGTATGCCAATTCTGTAGGACTTTGGTTTCCTGCATCGGTATAAGCAGTCTGTGGACGTGACTGTTCGAACTCTCGTCGTGCGTGACCTTAATGTACGAAAATGAAATTGCACAGATTATCCCGGGCTGGATTCAGAAGTATGCGAAACGAAGTCAAACGGTGCCTCATCATTGCCCAAAGGAGGAGCGGCATTATCAGACGGATTATGAATAGAAGGAATAGATATCATTTTCCCCCCGAGAACTGCAATCTCCTCACAAAAGAATTGTCCCTAGTACGCGAGCATCCAGTACGAAATAAGAGTTCCCGTCCCATGTCCTGATTGAGCAGAGAAGGAAAATAACGCAGTATGAGCAAAAGCGCCGTGTGGCTCTCGATGCGGAAGAAATCGACAGAAAGACGAAAGACGAAGTCTCAAAAATCGCTCATCATCACCAACAACAACAATCATAGTCGAGTGAATCGTCAAACTCAAGACAAAGTAAGAGGCGACAATCTTTTCGTTCACCTCATCTCTCCCAGTCTCGCTCCGGCTCCACTGCACGCGAGGATCCCAGAAGAAAATTCCAAAAACAAGAACAAAAACTAAATCGGGAAAAAGAGGCGCAAACTCCCCACCCTAAACGACCTCCACACCCTTCTCATCCACCATCGACAGTCCCGCGCTGCTCAACGACGCACTCGTCGCAGCGGCGCCCGCCGGTAAATTCGCATCCTGACCCGTCAATCGCCTCGCCAGTGCGCGCTCGACTTTAGCGCCGAGGGCGATTTTCGCAAGTTCCTCGACCTTGTCGCCGCTGGGAACGTATCTTTGTCGGTCCAGGCGCGGCTCGATCATTTTGTCTAATTGGCTGGCGAAGGAGTGGAGGTCGGCGATGCGGGGGTCGGAGAGCGTGAGAGTGCTGCTGCTGGCGCCGAGGAAGGGGGAGTATGAGTTCATGGTTAAGGGATTCTTGTTGTTGTGGATGTTGGCTTCTTGTTGTTTTGGGTGATCGGTAGAGGTTGGGTTTGATGGGTAGGGCTTTGAAATTGTCGATTGTGATGTCGATGAATTCGTCGTAGTGAGTGATGGTCGAAGGGAGGGTGCGGTGCTGGAATACTAATTTATTTCAAGCACGGGCGCGTGTGTTATTTCGTGTTCTTCTGGGATGGGTGGTCGCTTTTGTCTTGTTCGATATGGGTCTGAATGATGCGCGCACGTGGACGATTCTCAATTTGTTTCTGCGAAAGGGAAGGAGGGACAAGAAAGAGGGATTGAGGGTCGCGGGTGATGGTGATGACAGACAAAGTCTCAGTCGGGCGGTTTCAAGCAATCTTACCATTTGGGCCGAAACACAAGATTGGCACCGGCGCGGACTGGGTCGCGGCGGCGAAGACGGTGCAACGGTGGGGCGCGTGCGCGAGGATGGACGGCGAGCGGAATGTCGATCCCACCCCGGCGTTCCTTTTCTTCTCTTCTTCGCCACAAAAGCCAGATAGAGGATGTCGTTTCGTTGACTCCGCCGCAGAGGTGCCGAGTAAAATTCAACCCGAGTGTATGATTGCGTGGGCGGTGGTGGTGTAAGTGATGGTTGTGTGTAATATCGAGGATGGAAATAGGAATAGGAATAGTTTCGGTTCCCTTTGTCCTGGTCGCCACGTGTGCTCCACGCACGGTACTTTCGGGAGCGGAAACGTGGGAAATGCAATGCAGCAGGGAGTGGTGACGGGTGTAACAATCCCAGTTCTCTACTCCATCGCAGGGTCTCTCGTGTCTTCGCCACTACATACGTGAGACTGGATTTCCGACTCTGGTGATTACTCAATAGATACTCTCTGGTGCCTTGACTTTACATTGTCAGAGAGCATTTCTTCGAGGGGGCGCAGTGTCAATTGAGGGATTGAGACCCCTCCATCCGCAAAAGACCCATCTCGTCCGAAGGTCCTCCCCCGAATTGGAGCGGGGAAATGAGACAAAGGATGAGAGACAAATCCGGGCGGAGTCGGTGTGACAGGCGCGGCTTGATTACCCTTCAGCTGTTGGCTCTTCCATTCTACCCTTGTTCCATATGATGATCAATGGTAACACATATCCAGCATTCAGGGTACAGAAGCCGAGGCTGCAATGACATCCATCGACGATTATCACTCGAAGTCATCGGTCGTCATCACATGTATGCGAGAACTGCACAATGGATTGATGCGCGGGATGGAATATCAACGGTCGTGAGTGCAAGATAAGGCCCACGCCTGCGCCCAGACTCGATAACCGCGTTGGTGTCGGGCTTGATCTCCCGCCGTCGCCGATCCTCCATGCACGACCGTTACATATTTAGGCATCCGAAATAACCCTTCAAATACGAACATGCCAGCAATCCAATGGTACAGCGAATTAGCCATCAACCATTTTCATCCAAGGTGTAGAATAAAGCAACTTTCAACATAAGAGACGTAGGTCAGTGGGAGATAAATCATGAATTCACCATCGCGGTGGGCACTCTGTGGCCTAGAGTAACCTCCAATTCACAGAGGAAATTCCATTCACAGCCCTTTCTATACAGTTTTGTTATAAGACATCACGCGACGAATGCTTAGCTCACTTCACTTAGCTCATTCGCAAAGCTCACCTGTGATAAGTGAAAACCCGACAATAGGACAAGCTGATATGATCAACCTTGTACGTGCTACCAGCCGATCGAACAGAGGTGAATAAGGTTGAGGCCAGGAATGCTACGACTGTGTCCGGGAGGACACTCTGATTTCGAAAACCCTTTCATCGCGTGCAGAGACATCAGCTCGACTTCTACCCTTAACAATATCGAAAGGTCTACCTCTTGCCAGCATGGCGTACAGTCAATCATACAGGCCACGACGCGATGAACGACCGGCTTCAACTGTTGACGTCCCAGCTCATTCTGTGGGATTTTGAAGATGCAAACAGGGCGCGCGAGAAATTCGGTAACATCTCTGAGTCGTACTGCATTCCTTCCGAAGTCTGACCTCGCTAAGGTCGAGAGGGGAGACTATGCGAGGCATGGAGCAGAGGCCGCTTATAGCTCTGGCAGATTCGATACCAGGATCATTTTTGATTGATGCTACTTCCAACGTAGATGATGATCCTCCCATCTGGTAGCCGAGCCTATGTAAGGTATATAACCCAGCCTCAGAGGGCCTGCGAAGTGGAACTTAGCAGTTCGAACCCCCCTTCGTAATTTAATTCCAGAATCGGTCGGCCGAGTATGTGTTTCGCCCCCGAGTATGAACTTGACAGTGCAAGTTTAATCTCGGAGTCATTGTTAACTTTACGCAGTCTATGTACTCGTCTGATGTCAATAGATAACTTCTCCCCGGCAATGACGCTTCGTGCCTCTTCCTCCCAACTATTTCATATCGAATAGAGACCGTTCTTAAGGGTCCTGTGGGATGCGTTGTCTAGAACAGGGAGAGTACGATCGGTGAATGCACGTAGAAGGTGTAGAGTACGTGTACCTCGTCTCGAGAGGCGAGTAGCACCGTTCTTGTTATACTTACTGCTTCCTCAGCAGTTGAGTCATCGTTGTGCCTCTTTTTGAGCGGACGACAGGTCCGCCTACGTCAGGCGCCGTATCTTATTACATGTGCTAGCATCTGTCACCTCGGACGGGTCTCTCCGATGACTAATTTAATATCTGCCCATGTCATGACTAATACAGCGTTCGCCGGCCATTTCTCAAGCGGAGAAAAACACCGACCTGGGTGGGCACTGACCTCGGTTAGCAAGCTGTCAGAGTGTAACGATCGGTTTGACCATCACCTGGATTGCCAAATTACAGATCACATTGCCTAGAGGACAACTTATCATGTCGAGAAATAACGTGCTAAAAATGCATATCTATCTTGGGAGGCGGCATTCGACCGCCCTGTTGTTGGCTCAGAAATCAAATTGTAATCGTACAGAAAAGTAGTATATGCTACTTAAATCACCAGGCCACTATGGAATAAGTTCGCACTGCTACACCTGAGCAGCCTCGACCGATTGTAGCCGCCAGTCTAGAGCGGAGTGATCGTGCCGATGAAGCGGCATCGGACCCCTTAAGTCCGGGTGCCGCTCTATCCGCCCGAATTTGGGACATCGGGCCATTGAGCCCTGTCAGATTTGACGTCAAGGCCGATCTTCACCTCCAAATCCGAGCCGGGAACGGTTTCGGGCATTTTTGACGCGATAGTATTTCTTACGAGAGCGACTTCGGTGGGTGTAGATTGCACTTTTCAAATTCTACCAGTAAAGGCGCAGAACGATCTTGAGTCATACTGTAGCCTCCGCACTTCAGCGAGTCACCATCCACAAACCACCGCGTTGGGACGTCTGAGTGATAATACACCACCGACGTCGGGGTCACCTACTGAACAAATACTGCGTTCTCGCGTCATCGCAGAAGGTATTGCCTTGACACATTAGATCGAGATGGAGCGAGCAGACCTCACCTCTTCCGACTCGACAGAGTTGCAGGAGCGGAATTCCCTAGCAGATGTGGACGAAGAAAAAAGTGTTCACGAAACGCCAAAAGTATGAAACTTTTCACCCTGATCGTGATTAACGCTAATGAAATCCATACGAAGGACTCAAACGAAGATCCATCGTGGAAATCGCGCCTGTCAGCGACAGGCAGGCAATATGGATTCACCCATGCCCTCGCAACTGAAGAAATGGGTGCGCAGTACTTGGTTGATTTCGAGGGACCGACCGATCCGTTCGCCTCCCATCGATATACTTCCGAGTCAACTCATATACTGACCTTGATTCAGCTACAATCCTCTTAATTGGACATCACGCCGAAAGGCGAAAACTCTCGTTATTTATTCCTCGATTGCATTGATCACCGCATTCAACACGGCTGTGTTCGAGCCGGCCGTCCCGCAGATTGCCGAGGAGTTTGGAGTCAGCGAGGAGATCGCAACCCTTGGTACCACCCTCAATCTTCTGGCGACTGGCCTGTTCCCTCTTCTCCTCGCTCCATTATCGGAGGTTTACGGTCGCAAATGGACCGTCACTGCTCCCGCATTTATCGCGGCGTGTTTCGCGTTCGCTTGCGGCTCTTCGAAGGACCTTCAATCCATCCTCATCACTCGGTTCTTTCAGGGAGGTTTCGGCGCGGGCGTCATCGCAAATCTCGGCGGCATATTGGGCGATATCTACAGCCCGCAGCAACGCGGTGCAGCTATGGTCATGTATTCGACTTGCGTGGTGGCGGGACCACTGACCGCTCCGATCATCGGTAGTGCGGTCGTCACGTCCCATCTTGGTTGGCGGTGGACCATGTTCCTCGTTGGAATTTTCCAGGTACGGGTTCTGCGCGTCGCGGAACGAGGTATTGCACGTCTGGCTGACCATGGCTGAGTAGATGGTTTTCTCGGTCTCGGCTATGCTGTTTGTGAGCGAGACGTATACACCAGTCCTGCTGTCACGTAAGGCTTCGGAACTGCGACATGCCACCCGGAACTGGGCGCTCCACAGCAAACACGAGGAGTGGAACGTGTCGTTCCGTGAGCTGGCGCGGAAATACCTCATCCGCCCATTCTTGTTGATGATCAATCCCGTATGCTTCCTGGTGAGTGAGATCTGCTCGAGTCGATCAGAACTTCATTGTTATCAGAATTCCTCTTGTGCATCTGTATATTCATGGTTGCGCCCTTTCCTCAAAGTTATTTCAGCATGCCTCGGTCATTCAAAGATGCGCGGATGCTGTTCACGAGGCGTGAAACTGATCCAGGGCTTCACAGATGAGCTTCTATGCTTCGTTCGTTTACGGATTAATTTACGGCAGTCTCGCAGCTGTCCCATATATCTTCGAAAACTACCGAGGATGGCATCCAGTTGTCGCCTCGCTGCCGTTCTTGGCATTGTTGATCGGTTGTTTTATTGGCTTGATTGTCAACCTGGGCAACACGAAGCTCTACGTCAAGGCAATGGAGGCGAATGGCGGCAAGGCCGTACCTGAAGCAAGACTTTACCCCATGATGGGTGGCAGCTTTTTCCTGACAGGAGGCATTTTCTTGCTTGGTTGGACCGGTGCAACTGGAATCTCATGGGTAGTGCCCTGCATTGGCCTTCTGTTCGTTGGCGGAGGCTTCTTCCCGATATTCCAAGGTTCCCTAAACTACGTAAGTTTGGCCGACGACGAAAACGGAGCAAAAGTTGATGGATTTGTAGCTCATTGACACATTTCTTCCGGTGGCTGCTTCGGCCTTGGCCACCACCACATTCATGCGGTGCATGTTGGCCGCAGTATTTCCTCTCTTCATGGTAAGGTTTTCAAACTTGAGAGGAGAGATAAGTGCTAACGGTAACAATAGACACCCATGCTAGAAGCCTTAGGCGTCGGATGGGGACTTTCAATATTGGGCTTTGTCGGTGTGGTGATGATACCTGTACCATTCTTGTTCTTCACGTTTGGTCCACGGCTACGTGCAAAGGGAATAGCAATGCCTGTATGAGCTGGGAAATAATTGTTCAGCGATGAAGCCGAGCGAGGGTTGAGTGCAGAACATGCTGCGCGTCGCTTGGCCCGAGCAAGGCGATGTCCTCGCGGAGGCGAAGGTCGTATATCAAAAGCACTAAGCGTCTTCAATAAACGCGATAATAGTTGATTGTCAGGTTCACGTTCGAAGGACTCCAATTTTTATCCGAACTTCGTAAACCCCTGGCCTGAGAGGCTTCACGTGAAGTCCTCGAGGTCCAGATTTCGCTACGATCGCCTCAAGCATGATGTAGCCTGTGCCATATTTTTGGACAAGTGTTAGCCGTCTCTTGAGACTGGAATATTATAATTGATCACGTTTTGCGAATGCTCGAGCTCTCGATTGTGAGGGTTCATGATCATGCTGGCTTTGCGCTCTGCTGACTAAAATGTTCACCATACTTCACCTTTGCCTTTCTTTTATGTGCGCTGAAATTTTGAGGATAGTACATGAATCTGATATTTTTCTTACCCGAAATGCGTGAAATCTGTCAACCGAGAAAGATGAAGAAGACGAAGCTCCCGTCACGGGACATTAGACAGCGTCCAACTTGATATCAGCGAAAGATGCGGTCGCGCGGAGCTTCGGCCGCGCGCGGAAGTGTCCGCCGCCCGAAGATTACATATTAAAGCCGTGGATCGTGCACAGGGCCCGACGCGCTCACGTCTCCACCGGGGCAACGCTTGGAATTTGCATCAACAAAAGATTGCGAGGGCGCTCAGAGCGATAGGCATTTCGAGAGACAACCGCATTGTCGTAGAGTAAACCCGTCAACATGTATTCACTACGCAACCCACGCCCACTCGGCATGCAGGTCCACGCTGTGCCGGAGTCCGAGAGATTTGTCGACGAGACAGGTCGCAGACTCCCTTGGGGATACGAGTACACACCAAACACTGTCAACGAAGCCGAACAACAGAACGAGCAAGAGAAGGGCCCATTTGGACGGAATTCGAGAAGGAGTAGGACAGGCCTCTCGAGGAGCCGATCGAAAACCGCCGAGCCGAGACGTGAGGAGGACAGACAAAGGGCGGAGAATGTCGCAGCGGAGGACGCAGTGTTCGGCTCGTTGCGAAGGGTCACTGCTAAGGATGATGGAAGACGAGATGCGGCTGCAGATAGTGATGCGCTGAATGCAGGTGCGCGATTGCATCAAGAGGCAGAGGTCGAGCCCACGGAGGTGCTGCTCTACGGGTTCGGCGAAGACTTGCAATGGGCTGCTATTGATTTTTATGAGCGGGTTTCAAATGGCCTTGTTCTGGAGGATTACGATCGCCAGCCTCCGGGACAACGCTACGATGCGTCCCTATCACTGGGGAGAGCCGCAGCGCAGAATACCTTGTCGAGAGCCGCGATGCGGAAACGAAACAAATACGCGGGCGGAAACCACTGGATCAAAATCACATTCGACTCACGGCAGGCGGCAGAACTCGCGATTGCCAGCGGACCGCACATCATCAAAGGATACCTCGTCTACGCGGAGCCTTATCAGAATCGAGGCCCACAGCGAGACGAGCCCGTTCTCGCAACTCAGGCAGGGGCGCAAGTGACATCAGATGTTCTGCCCGCAACCTTTTCGACAGAGAACATGGACATCAGCCCGGATGGCAGTCCATCAACATTATCATCCACAACTGCGACGGCGATGAGCGGACCTATTGGCTCGCGGTCGTCCAGGACCAGACTTGGCCTCAACGACTCCCCGACGAACAGCGATTCTACAATCCGAGGAAATTTGATATCACAACCAGCCCGACCGCTGGCACAGCCACTCTTCGCACCCCGATCGAACACCACCGCGTTCCAAAGGAGCAGTCAAGTGCAGCCACAGGCTCGGCGCGCTCGCATAGAAGGCACCACGCCGGCGACAGTCTTACCCGCAGACATGGCATTGGCGCCGAAACAGCCACAGCCGTCCTGGTCGTCATGGATAGGCGCGAGCGAGATCATCGGCTCCGCTCTGCCGCGCAAAGAGGATGGCAGCTTCGACTGGAACCGGGCGAGTTTGTACTGGCGGATTTTCTTCTACATCGATATGCTGTTCGGCACGGACTTCTGCGGGTTGAGGACGGAGGAGTGATCGATTTGTACATTATTGTATCTCAGCGTGGGCGTTCAGAGGAATTTCCCTGGGAACGGGAGGCTAGGATTATTATTAATCTCGAGGTATTCTGGAAGTCAATTATCCTGTCGGATTGCATTTGGCATGACTCTGATCGAATGGCAAATTGACGACGGCCGTACCCTATGTTCACTGCCTGTGTCTTTGCAATATCTGTGCGTCGTTTTTCGCTTCATCGTCCGTGCCTTTCATGCTAGTAATGATAATGATAAACGAACCAACGTTGATGTCTGCGACGTGGAATTTGGGCATGACGATGACACACTCGGCTGCGTCGGAGAATTTTGGGAGCGTCGCACTCATTACCCCCCAGGCACGAGACCGGCACCTCATCGCATGGGAGGCAGATGCAGGTGACGGAAACAAATCCAAGCAGAAGACCATTCCACGAAATATTTCGAGATCCACAAGATTTCTCTCTTTTTCTTGTGCCTCTCCCCCCGGTCGAGAAAATGTCTCCAGCCTTCGACCGCAGGAAAGAGGCCATCCTAGCCCAGCTGGCGATCCCCGAGGGCGAATACACCGATCTCTCGCCCAAGGGGACCGTCGACGCCGGCGTCCGCGACCTCGTGGATGAGATCAACGCGCTCGCGGGCTTCGTCACGACCAGCAGTTGCGCCGGCCGCGTCGCGGTCTTCCTCGAGGGCGCGAAAAAGAAGGCTGCTGCTGCTACTACTACCACTACTACTGCTTCTACTTCTGCTTCTACTTCTGCTACTGCAACAGGAGAGGTAGATCATGACTCTGGTGATGCCATCGCCGGTGTCGGCGGCAAGGGCGGTGGGCGCTGGTTGTTCGTCTCGCACGATCCGGTTGATTTGGGGAAGCTCGGGGACGACGGGGAGCTGCTATCGGCGCTCGGCGTGCCGGTGCAGGAGGATCAAGGGACGACGGGTCACGGTAGCCTCGATTTAAGGACATGCCAATTGCTACATTTGAAATTCGAACCGCTGGTACGTGGATTACATAGATTCCGCTTCTTCTCCCACGACTCCCGATCTTTTGCAGATTTCCCCCCCCCCCCCAGTTCTCCCATCGTGCATCTCGCTCACGCCGGGATCTAGATCTTGCACATCCTGACCTCCTCCCTCGATGACGCGCAGTGCGCGCTGTCCGCGGGCATGGAGGCCGGCTTCCGAGAGAGCGGCATAGGCAGCGTGACGGGCAGCGATGCGACGCCCCTGGTGGCCGTGCGAAGCGGCGGCCTGGCCTTCGACTGCGTGATCGGATACGCCGCGGACGCGGATGGGATCCGGCTGCTGGTGCCGCCTGCGTACATCCGCATGATGCTGGGGGTCGCCAATCGGCGCTTCGCCGCCAACGGCGAGCGCAGGGAGCGCTTCCGACACGCGTTGCGGAGGGGCCTGGCGGGCGGCGGATCGGACGGCGCTCGACCTGCTGGCTGGGAGCCGGAGGATGTCCGACGGGAGCGCAAGCGGGCGGAGGGGCTTCGCCGTCGAGAGGAGCTCGCGTCTCGTCGGCCACGGCAAGAAATGAGCGACGCGCCGACGGAACAGGACGCAGTGGATTTGGGAGTAGCCCTGAACGACGAGGTCTAAGCTCCGCTTGGCTGCTCGACAGCGACGAGCCGGGCGCGCCAGGTTCTCCGAATGCTAGCGGCGGAGAGGATTTGACTCGACGCGGCCGCGTGAACCGACGACGATTGTCCTGGCTGACTTGGGGCCGCGTTAAACGGAGTATGCATCGTGTCGATCCATGAATTGACATTGTATCTTCTGGGCGGTCTAGCGTGGCGTCTCTGTGTGTGCGCGTGCTTTCGGCCGGGCCAAAGTCACCGTGAATGAAAACACGAGGTCGTCTTTGACGCTCTTTGTCGCCTTTGAAGGACCGGAGTCCGGAGATTCGTCGATCTTCTTGACCTCTGCTTCGCTCTTAGAATCTGCAGAGCCGTTTTCGTCTTTGCCGCTTGCCGCTTTCTTCTCGACTTCATCCAATTTGCTCGCTGAAGTGGTTCCGGTCAGCCAACTCCACCAGCCGCTGCTCTGATCGGATGAAACCTTCTCCTTGTCGCTAGTCTTGGCTTCGTTCGATTTCGAGTTGTGGTCCTCTTCCAGGTCGATGCCCTCGGAGAACTCCCACATCAGCTTCAACTCGCCGCGGACAAGGCTGGCCGTCCATAAGCTCGTCAAGACGCCGGGGACGAGATAGAGCAGGGCAGGCTGTGGGTGATCGGAAACGTTCATGGCGACGAGCGTCGCGATCATGCCCGCCACATATCCGCAAAGCGATGCTCGAAAGTACGTCTTGGGGAATGCGGTCGTGTATCGCGGCGGCAAGGACGCAGGATTGACACCTGCAGTGTAAAGACGCGTGCCCCAGTTCCCGGTGACCGGTACGTAGGCCGCCTTGCTGAGAGGTTGTCCAGCGGACTTGTCATCTTGCCCTTCTTTAGATTGAGCGGATGGAACTTGCTTCTTCAGGTAGAACAGGTACAAATCGAACCTCAAAGCCATGGCGATCATGATCCCCGGGATCACGATGTCGCCTAACCCGAGCATGCTGAAACTCCTCGCATCATCCGGCCGCGGGAAGACCAGCTTGATCGGGACGTCGAGGTTCTTCGCCACGGTGACCATGAGCGGCGTGAAGAACACCGCCCAGACATCGTAGACGAACAGCGCGGAGAGGATGAGACTGCCCGTGCCGAACGAAGTGGGCGACATCAATTGCAGGGCGCCATACGAGACGGCGAACCCTTGAAGGTTGGTGAGGTACCAAGCCTTCACGACCGTGTTCGCGGAGACGACGACGACGGCGCCCAGGACGGCGCAGAAGACGTTGTGGCGCGTCAGCGTCGCCTTGAAATCGACACTGGGCTTACGCGCATCGCACTTGACGAGATACTTGGTTTTCAAGGCTCCCCGTTGGCGCCAGAGGAAATCCCGCGCGAGCTTCGGGATCGGCACGCGGCCCAACGGACCTGGCAACGGGGACGATCGCGATCCTCGGGACTCCCCCAGCACCTCGGTCTTCCGGTCGAGGGTCGATACTCTCCAGACTTTCCCCTGGTCCACGTAGAAATCGGGCAGGACGAGGTCCCAGGCGATGGTCAGGGCGTCGTTGATGAAGAGGCTCACGCTGTAGACGCCCACGAGGGCGAAGTACCAGCCGAGGATGAAGTTGATCACCACGGCGCCGTATCTCTGGATCAGAAAGTACAGGCCAGCGAGCACCGCGCCGGCCGTGAGGGGGAAGACAATGGCGTCGGAGGGCGTGAGGCCTTCCATCTTCTGAGGTTCCTCGTCTTCGTCATCGTCGTCGTCGTCTTTGTTGTGTTCTTGTCGTGATCGCGGGACGGATTTCGCAGCCGAAGATGGACGTGATAGGGATGCGAGCGATCCGGTGACGATGGGCAACAATGCGGATAGTACCAGATGGATGTACATTGGCAGAAACGGCAGCATGTCTTCCCCGAGGTCGATGAGACGGTCGAGCAGATCGGACAAATCAATGTGCGACCCCATCTTTTCCACCAATGGGACTTATCGGCGATGCTACTTCGGACACGTCGGCTCGCCGTTGAGGTGTTGATGCAGGCGGAAAGGCTGTTCGAGATGCTTTGGGGTTATAAGTGCAGGTGGATAAAGTCATGGTTGTAGCCTCAGGCCTAAACTTGCGTCCCCGTACGATGCGCAAACACTGTGGGACCACGATGGTGTGGATATATCGTGAGTGAATCGTCGTGCGCGACTATGCTTTCTCCCGTCTACATCAACGACATTTGAACATGCGCAGATTCTTCCGAGAGGTCTACTGGTTTGCAGAAAGTCGTTATTGCTCAAATAGCTTTTCCCCATACGCAATCATGATCAAACTATCTGGTTACATGGACATCGACGAGCGAGCGAGCGAGACCGGACGGATACATTGCTGCAAGAATGAAGCCATACTCCGCCATGACCTTGGACGATGGAACAATCACGCGGCGCCCAGGTTTACTCGTCGCCCTTGACGTTGACGCCCTTGCCACCCTCGGGGTACTCGTCAACCTTCTTCTCGAATCTCGCTTCGATGGACTTGAGGACCTGCTCGTCGCGCTCGGAGCTGACGAAGCTGATAGCAACACCCTTGGTACCGAAACGACCAGCGCGACCGACACGATGGAGGTAAGTGTCGGCGGCCTGGGCGACGGAGTCCTTGTCCGAAGCGCCAGGGTTGGCGGGAGAGTCGGGCATATCGTAGTTGATGGCGAGGTTGATGCGCTCGATGTCGATACCACGGCCGAAGACATCGGTGCTGACACAGATTCGCTTGTCGTAGTTCTTGAAGGCGGTGTAGCGTTTGATACTGTGATAATAGTCAGAATTGCGGCTCGAGAGATTTTATGTTGGACTGTTGCTACTGACCGCTCCTCCTGGCTGACACCAGAGTGTACCGCAATGGACGGGAAGTTACACTCGCGCAAAAGTCGGTCGAGCTCGGTGGCACGGACGGTGCTCTTGACGAAGATGATGACTTGGTTGTACATCAGCTCATCAAGCAAGTCGTTGAGACGTCGGTTCTTCTCAGCCTCGGAGAGGCGGACGTAGTATTGTTGAAGACCGTGCAGTGTGAGCTTGGTCTCGTCATCGACGTAAATCTCGAGGGGGTTCTGCATGAACTTCTTGCACACAGGTCGGGTTTGGGCGGAGAGCGTGGCAGAAAACATCATGACTTGCTTTTGGGTGGGAGTCGCACGGAAAATCTCTTGCACATCGCGGCGCATGTCTGTGATTCATCAATAACAATTCGGGAGGTTGAGAAGCCGAAGAGACAACTTACCAACTTGATCGAGCATCTTGTCACATTCGTCGAGAACGAAGCGAGAAACGCTGCCTAGACGAAGCTTCTTGTCGCGAACGAGAGCGTTGAGACGTCCCGGTGTCGCCACGATGATGTGCGGGTGCGTCTCCTTGTCACGGAGAAGCTTCTCGTTGTCTTTGATATCGGTACCACCGTAGAAGACGGCGGTCTTGACCTCAGGCATGTACTTGCTGAAGCGCTGGTATTCGTTGCGAATCTGGAAAGCCAACTCGCGGGTATGGCACATGACAAGGACGCTGACTTCTCCGTTGACGGGCTCAATTTGTTGCAAAGTCGAGAGCACAAACACGGCGGTCTTTCCCAATCCAGATTTGGCTTGGCAGAGGACATCTGTTCCCAAGATGGCTTGCGGAATGCATACTTGCTGGACTGTTCAGAGCGAATTAGCAGAGTTCGCCGAGATGACTGTCAGAAGGCGAATGCGTTCGACGAGTGGAGCGTCCATGTATTGTATCCATCCTGTGGCATGGAGATTCAACCTCCTGAGCCGACCGCGTCTCACAACAGTTCCATCTCTTCCTGATGGCCGGTCATGAACACATCTCATGGCATCGGCCTGTGGTAATGCCTGCAGATGTACGCCGTGCGCCAATTCCAAGCATGGAAACATGCCACTTGAGCAGGTCACGCGTTTTCTTGATCAAAGATGAGCGTGAGAACCATCCCATCAAGCAGCACATCACTCAAGAATCTCTCACGACGGACTGGTCCACGTCGGAGGATAGGATCGTCGTTCGGTCCGGGTGTCTTGTTGGACAACCCAGATGTGGTAACACGCGGGACGCTCCAAGCTCGTAGGGTGTAACGCAAGCATGTTCTGGACGGAGATGTATTATGACTAACCCTCTGATGGATGCTCGAAACCGCAGTCCGTGATGGCCTTGAGAAGTTCGGGCTTCAAGAGAAAGTCCCTGAAGCTGGTAGAGTGGATACCGACATAACTGCCTTTGCCTTTGTCGGCACCTGCGCCAGACACAGAAAGATCGCCCTTCTTGGCCGCGCCGTTGGAGCCGGCGGCGGCGCCGTTGCCAGTCGCGGTACCCTCGGTGGGCTGGAGCTCCTCGTCGGAGTAGTCGATGAGATCCTCCTCGGCAGACATTGTGAGTGGATGTAAATGTGGTGGAGAAAGGTCTGAGGCTGAAGCGGAGCGGGTAACGATTCGGAGGGTGGAAAAGTGTACAAATGCGAGAGAAGATCGATCAAGACGCTCGAGCGCGGAGTATTTTGACGAGGATGGTGGTTGTTCGGAGTCGGGTTCGGCGAACTGAACACGTCGTGGCGGACGGGAGAAGATCGGTGAAGGTGACGGGCGTTCGAGGTGGGTACAGAAGAATGTTGAGCGCGCGACACCCTTGAAGCTCAGTGTCAGCTCAGAGAAGGCGGCGAGGCGTGAAAAGAAGAGGGCACGCTCTGACCACCTGCACCTGTGGGTTTTGCGGCGAACACGTGATCGTCACCAATGCAACAACAACTCCATGTGTACCGCATTACATAAGTAGGCACTACTATACTGAGGAGGGCACCTGCACACAATCATCACGAACCCTTTCTCGAGTGCACAACCACCACCACCACCACCACCTGGGCATGCGGTGAAAACCCCTTCAACTCAGCAACCGAAGCCGCCAAATTTCAGAGGAAGGAGGAGGCGATGAATGCGACCGCATCCCACCCCGCCCACAGTCCGTCAATGCGACGCCGAATTATCATCACCGTCCATCCGATCGAGAGGAAAGACATTGCTCGGCCTCAGGGTGCAATCGTGCGTTGAGGCAGGTGCCCAGGTGCAGGTGTCGAGGAGTCTTAGGGTTGTCGTCGAGAACAAAGACTACCCTAACTAATAAACCCATCAATATCATAAAGTGTATAGTGGTCCTCTGACATGGCCTGTGTTGGTAATTCACGGTCCACAACAGTCTGACGCTCGTGTTCGATATAGACGTGACATCTCCCTGGTTCTTTGTCGTAAGAGTCCCTTCTCCCAGAAGGCCTTCTTCGCATGCATCCCGCATGACAACCGCGCAGACACAGGTGGTCGTTTCAGTAAGAATAAATGCGGAGGACCGAATCCGAGTTGACAACGAAACATGGATGGCAAAGATCACCCGCGGCCACCTGGTTTTAGTAATAGCAAGGAGACATTCACAGGGACAACATAACCCCTTGACTCCTCATCGGTTGTATGGTTGATTTATGGTGTGCGGTAGTCATTTGGGAAAAGGTCATACAGTATAACATTAATAATAATAATAATAATAATAATAATAATAATAATAATAATAATAATGATAATAATGATAATAACTGGCTGATGATGATGATGTGACGAGATGGAAGGGGCATTGATGAACGATACCAATCGTAGTGGGGGAGGGGGACTCCCAGAGTGCCTGAAGTGCCTGAAGTGCCTGAAGTGCCTAAGTACATGTCCTGTGTGTCAGTGTATGATGTGATGAGGGAGAAAGAGTAGAAACAGTGGTGGGTGGTGGTGGCGGTGGTGGTGGCCCGCCGAGGCTGACATTGGTTTGTTATTACAGTATGACATTTTATTATTCCTACGCGACAGGTACGGTACATACACAACCTCAGCGCCTTCATTGGATCTGTCTCCCTGCTTACGTGATTTTTGAAATAATTCCAGGTGATATTAAATCATCACCGCTTGTATGTACTGTACAATACATCGTCTGGTTTCGTAGAGTGATGAGCGTATCCGGTTTGCTGCACGCCAACCGGGGAATCTGTCCGTCATTAGCTCACCTACCTGCTACCTACTGTACATAGCGAGGGACAGCACTTTTACTATGGAAATCATAATTTCAGGATCCCGGATCCTCGCCTGACGCCTGCACGTACGTACGTCATACCATTCATTCAGCGACCTGTTGGGCACGACATCTTTCGAAATCTCCTCGCTGTCGCGTACGGGCCACGACGACGATGGAAATCAAAGATCTGAGCCAAGCGCAGTGCATCTTGCTGGCGGTACACCTCGCATCCGAGTCCAACGTCGCGGCGTTACATTCCTTCACGCCCACTCGGCCTGAGGTCTTCGATCCCGAACTTGTCCTGCGCATTCTCTTGACCTACCTCCCAGAGTCCATCGAGCCCGCCAAATATACGAAATATGTGCAAGAGGTCGTCTCCCGTCTCTATCTCGACGTCGATCGCGAAGATGTCGCCGTCGACACCACCCCGGTCGCGGACGTCACCGATGAGCAGGCGCAAAGGCGTGTGAAGAAGCTCCATCTGCTCCAGATCCGCCCCCCCGGTTTCCCACCAGGTGCGCCCGATGACCTCCTGACAAGGTTCATCTGTCATCGGGCAGCCAGGATCGACTCGGAGACGGGAATGCTCAGTTTACTCCCCACACTCATCGAGCCATATCTGAACCGCAACGACTACATCCGCACCTGGTACATTTCCGTCGTTTTCCCGCTGATCCGACACCATCTCGAATATTATCCCGACCACGAGGCTCTCGATGTCTCCGTCGGCGCGCTGGAATCGATCGAGGGAAGCGAAGGTATCGACCTCTTGTTGAAGAAGGCGACCCAAACCTATTCGGACACGGCACAGAGCAACGTCGCTCGTGACATACGAGGGTTGGTGGGGCCGTGGATGTATGGCCACACGGAGCGGAAAAGGCGTAAGCTAGGCCATAACTACAAACCCGAAGAGAGGAAGTCGTCGCTAAACAGTCTTGACGAAGGCGTTCGCAAGATCGCTTTGACGGGCGTCAGTGAGGAGGACAAGACCGGCCACGACTGGGAATACATATATCGTTGGATGGTCCAGCACGCCATCGACAACATCAAGCTGGTCGCGTCTGCTATTGACAACTGGGACGGACCTGGGGATGTGGACCTGGGTGGTTTCGAGCGTGGTAGCGTGCAATACCTCGACGAGGAAATTCAGATCAAGCTGGAGCTTCAATACGCACAAGCTGCTTTCGCGGCCTGCTATGCCGCCAAAACAGACTCTGAAGAGACCGTGCGCCGTGCTCACGAGATTCTCGCCCGCTTGGCCATCCTGCTGGATTTCGTACCGCCGCCTGATCTCGCGACCAGCGTGGAATCTCTGCCTCTTGTGGAACGACACATAGCACGACATAAGGAGGATGGCGAAATCCCATCATTATCACCCGGGAATTTGCTTGCGCCGGATCATCCTCTCACGACTCCCAAAATCGACACTTACATGCTACTCCAGATGATGGTCTACAGTGCATACCAACTCTGTAACCTCGGAATGCCCTCCTCGTTAGCAAAGGTGGCTAAGCTAGCTTTCACTGGCACGGCTGAGGAGCAAATGGAGATGTTGCGATCGATACTGCGGAAAGTCAAGCATTCTACAGATGGCCAGGAGGACACGCGGGTAGCTGCCGATCGGGCGAAATTGCTATGGCTTTGGAATTGGGGCATCAAACTGGACGATGACCTCTCAGACCAGGGCCTTGGTATTCTCGGAAGGATACCGAGGGAGAAATTTGAGCAGGAGATGTTGAAGACGTTCGTGGAAACAAACAGTAAGTGCACTGAACCGGCGCCACTTTTCCCTAGATTGCCATATACCACACATTGGTTGAAGAATCCGTATCCCAGCGTATCGGTAGGAATCAGCTTTGGCTGATGTGCTGCCAGCAGATAACCTGGATCCTGCGCAAAACGTCGACGGGCTTGCAGGAGTTGAGGAAGAAGAACTCAAATTTCCCTTCACCGTCTCCACAGAAGAGGCAGAAGCTGTTGCAAATGGAGGCGTTACTAATAATGCTTGATTTGCAGACTCGGCTTTGGCGATAAAGGTTTACATCACGGACGATCCACAGCCCCTACCATTGGCAACTGTTGAGAGAATCATCTTCGATCAGGCCATGAAGGCATACGACGGAGCAAGCAACGGCAACAAGAACAGGGGTGGCGTGAAAAGAGCAAACGACATGTGAGTGACGACTGTGGTAGATCTCGATGATGTGGTTACTGACAGAATCAGCATCTCCACATGGCGGCCATACTTTCCAGACAGCACTTCATTCCGAGAGGTTACGGCACTGATCGCTGCAACACACGCGTTATCATTCTATTCCCTCACGCTACAACATGGCGTGCCGTTTCAACCTGTCAGCATCCGTGTCAGCCATGACCCGGTATCGCTCATTTCAAGAGTCCTCGAACAGAACCCACGCAGTTATGCCAAGCTAGATGACCTCGTCAGCATCGCGCAAAACCTCGTCTCCAGCGGGGTCGCGAAGCACGACGACGACGAGGAGGAAGACGCGACCAGCAGTCACGATGTCGCTGTGAAGCGGAAGGAAGCCGGCCGACGGGTGACCTTCATGGCCATCGAAGCCGCATTACGAGAGGACGATTTCGAGACGGCATACTCGTACATTGTAAGCCGGCTCTCGCCGTCGGGCGCCATTTCGCCCAACACATCCCAGAATGGACAGAACGGCAAACATCTCGGCCACGTGAAACGCAGCAGCCAAGCTCGGAACAACATCGAAGACGACATCTCATGGCGCGCCGCTTTCCTCGCGGGCCGGTACAGGCCCTCGTCCGCCACCGCGCCCTCGGTGCGCCGCCTCGAGCAGCGCACCGAACTGCTCTCCCTGGCCCTCCTCCTGGCCCCGACCTCCGCCCTCACCGAGATCCTCGCCGCCTGGCGACGCTGCGAGGAGGAAATGACCGCCCAGCAGGCCTCCCAGCAAGCCTCCGAGGACGCGTTCGACGACCAAGCCGACCGACGCCTCCCCAGCGCTTTCCCGGGGGACTTCACCGTCGCCGGCGGCGACCAGCCCGCGCTCCTCCTCAACCAGAAGCGCCGCGAGATGGGCCGCCTCGGCCACGCCGCGGACGACGCCCCGCTCAGCATGTTCGACCTCACGCGCAACGCCGCCCGCGCGCTCAGCAGCAACGCCTTCCCCCTGGCCGGCTCGTCCGGGAGGGCCTCCCTGGACCACAGCCGCGAGTCGCTCGGGTCAGATGTCCCGTCCAGCCTCTCGGCCGCGAACCAGGATCGTCTGCGGAAGAGGGATCTCGTCGCGAATGCGGTCAGCGGCGGCCTGGCGAGTGGGTTGGGTTGGGTCCTGGGGGCGACGCCGGTGAATCAGCAGCAGCAGCAGCAATAGCAATAGCGGTAGCGGTAGCGTTGCAATTTATCCCATCCATCCATCCATTCATTCATATAGACCAAATACATCACGACCTGAGAGCTCATATATACACACATCTATCATTATTAGTGCATTCTCAATAGACCAAAAGCCACAGTGATATAAAGAGACCGTCGTATTCCTCCATGTTACCCCTAACGAAAACTTAGCACACACATAACCACCTCCTCCCCCGTCCCTATCCCTGTCCCGGCACCACCCCCCAAGCCCCAAGAGGATCCTCCCTCCCCGTGGCCCCCGCCCGCCCAGCCGCCTGCGTCAACGCCCTCACCCGCTTGACCAGCAGGCCGACCGCCACGGGCCCGAGGACGGTACAGATCAGGATCGCCCAGGTCACGACCAGGAAAAGATCCGAGGACGCCGACGACGGCTGCTTTCCTCCACCGCCGCCGTCGCCGTCGCCGTCGCCGTCGAAAATCCCGTTGCTCGCCGCGAGCGAACTCACCAGGAACCCGATCTCGCCCCGCGCGATCATCGCGCTGCCGAGGATGCCGGCGGGGTAGAGGGAGAGCGGCTTCGGGGTCCGGAGAGGCTTCTTCTGGGGCGGCATGGCTGGGTTTTGGGGAGCGGCGGGTTCGCGCGGTGGCGCTGCGGTCGGGGTGATGGTGGGAGTCGTTCGCTCCGAGGATGCTGTTGCTGTTGCTGTTGCTGTCGTCGCGGCGGCGGTGGTGGTGGTGGTATCCCCAGTCCGGTGAGGAGGTCGTGCCAACGGAAAGAAGTGACGTCTCAGCCGCAGCGGCGATGGGAATCGCCAGCTTCGAGGGAATCCCGGGAGTGACGCGCGCGGAACCCCGTCGAAGCGCACGAGACACAGCCCGCAGAGGAATTTCCCCAGTGCCATCAGCGTGGCGTACACCAGGCCCCGCCAGATCACCTTCCCGACGAACATCTGCGTGATGGGGATGGAGAAGCCGATCGAGGCGAAAAAGAACGGCTTCAGGATGAGGGTGGTCACGGTGCTGTAGTAGTGGTCGTAGATTTCGGTGCCGGTGGATTTTGGCTTGGTTGGGGTATTTGTAGGAGTGGTGGAGGAGGAGAGGTTTGATGATTGTTCGGGATGCCTCTTATTCGACGTGTGCTGTTCGGTTTGACCAGAGCCTGTGGGCTGAGTGTTGTCTTGAACGTTTGCAGCCGGTTCACTTGCCAGATCAATTTGTGGACTCTCGACTCCAGACTTTGGCTTTATTCGTTCTTGTGAGGAACTTCTTGCCGATCGGGCCTCGGAGGTCGCCTTCTTGTCGCCTAGTTCGTCGAACCAGGTCACGACGACACCGGCTAAATACGCCGCGAACAGATTCGATGTGCCGGCGTAAGATGATGCCGCGACCATGCCAATCAGCACAGACGTGTGGAGCAGAAACAAACCATGCTCGGATCGTATAAAGTTCATCATAGATGTCGTCGAGCCTGCACTGGAATTCTGAATGAAGTGGTGCGCCACCGGCCTCACAATAAAAGTGCATGCGAGAGGTGTCAAAACAGCAAAAGCGAGAGAGACGCCGATTGGTCGTACGACCGTGACAGCATTGAAAGAGGACCCGCCGCCGCCGCCGAGGTTCGAGATGACTTGTACCATTATGAGGCCGATGACATCGTCAATCATGGCCGCACTGGTCAAGATCACGCCGAGCCGGCTCTCGGTCAATCCGCTGGTCGTGAGGATGGTGAAGGTTGTGCCCAATGAAGTCGAGCAAAGTGCAGCTCCAGCCGCGAATGCTTGCAGTGGGGTGACATCGAGGAGGAGACGAAGTGTGAAGGAGAGGCCGATTGGAGCACCGACGCCAATGGCTGCGACCAGACTTGAGAGGGAGAGATTCGCTCGGAGGACTCTGAGATTTGTGGAAAGACCACCTTTGCATGGATGTCAGTACGACGGACACGCAGGCTTGCTTGGTGGACATGCACTCACCTTCATATACGATGAGAATCAAACCCAGGTAGCCTAACTTCATGACCGTGTCTTGCACTTCAGCTCCAAGCCAATTTGTACCTGGAAGCCCCCAGCCGATGCCGATGAAAATTTGGCCGATGAGACCGCAGAAGATGATGTTGTCCAGTACATAATTGACGAGATTCAGCAGGAGAAGAAACGATGTCAAGATTAAGATTGTTTCGATTGGAGGCTCATGGTAGGAGAGAGCTACGTCCATCGAAGATGGCATATCCAGTATTCTTGTCAATGACTTGTGAGATGCTGCAGTGTTGGACTCGGTGGCATCGCGATAGAAGTCTCAAGACAACGGTGCTAGGTCGATGGAAACATCTTGACCGGTGGTATACTGATATGCAGTTATATTTGCCAATGCTGACTTTAGTGACGGATGAGAGACCGTCTTGGCTGTCAGTCCGATATAGAAGGCGATTTCCAGGGTTGCTGGACAGTACTGTATATATTATATGTATGTACATATGACCTCGCGCCCTACGAAGACTGACGTTGTCGTATATATAATGCGGAGACGAACACCAGCTTGCTTGTGATGTTCATTTACAGTACAGCTCATAGATAACGACACCGATGACTCACGATGAGTACTCAATCATAGCACAATTCGGAACCGCCTTCACTGCAAGATAAATACCGGTTTCCAGCTTCTAAGATTAACACTGGCCACGACTTCGCACGCACATATACACACACACATCCACACAATGGCGCCTCCTCGACCTTTTACCGTCGAACAGGTATGATAGAAGCATCGATCAAGACAATCAGATATGACCATACCAACACTGAGCACATTTGCATAGTGGATGGACAAATACGAATTAACCGCAAAATACAACCTCGCGGAGACGTGTTGCGCGAGCATTTCCATCGACGAGCTGCTGGCGCTCTCGGAGAAAAAGGATGCCAAGATCAGCGACATCCTCTGCAGCTCGACGGTGCAAAACTACGGCGAGATCCGCGGGAACACGCAACTCCGCGAGAACCTCTCCCGGCTGTACTCGGCCAAGGTCGCCGGCGCGGCGTTGTCCGTCGATCAGATCCTCATCACGCCCGGGGCCATCGCGGCGAATCACCTCGTGCTGTATTCGCTGGTCCACCCGGGCGACCATGTGATCTGCCATTACCCGACGTATCAGCAGTTGTACACGATTCCGGAGTCCCTGGGCGCGGAGGTGAGTCTGTGGAAGTGCCGGGCAGAGGAAGGGTGGTTGCCGAAGTTGGAGGAACTGGAAGGCCTGGTGCGGGAGAACACGAAGTTGATCATCATCAAGTGAGTGAGCGAGCGGGTTGCTGCAAAGCAAATCGCACCTTTGACGATGCCCCCGCCGGATATGGCGGGAATTCGGGACATGCATTCTCACCGAGACGATAGCAACCCCCAAAACCCGACGGGAGCCATCCTGCCCAAATCCCACCTCGACGCGATCGTCCGGCTCGCGCGAGCGCGCAACATCACGATCCTCTCCGACGAGGTCTACCGGCCCCTCTTCCACGGCGTGGGCCCGATGGACCCGGATTTCCCGCCCTCCATGCTCTCCGTCGGCGGGGACGACGCCAACGTCATTGTGACCGGGAGTCTCTCCAAGGCCTACTCGCTCGCAGGGCTGCGGGTCGGCTGGATCGCTAGCCGCAGCGCGGAGCTGATCGAGAGATGCGCGTCGACGAGGGACTACACGACGATCTCCGTGTCGCTGCTCGACCAGGCCGTCGCGACGTTCGCGCTGGGCCCGGACACGATCCACGCTCTGCTGGGGCGGAATGTGGCGCTGGCGAGGGCAAATCTGGAGATGCTGGAGCGCTGGGTGATGAAGCATGATGAGTTTTGCGAGTGGGTGAAGCCCGTGGCGGGGACGACGGCGTTTGTGAGGTTCTTCAGGGGAGAGGGAGAGAGCAGGAAGGCGGTGGATGCGAGGGTTTTTTGTGAGAGGCTGCAGGAGAGGACGGGCGTGATGCTCTTGCCCGGGGATGTCGGGTTCGGCGAGGAGTTTCGGGGTTACGTGCGGTTCGGATATGTGAATCGCACTGAGATCATCAGAGAGGGGTTGGAGGAGCTCCGGAAGTTCATGAGGGAGGAATTTAATGATATTCCGCTGTGCGAGTGAAAGGGATGTAGATTTCTTTTTTCGGAAGGGCGTGAAAAGCCTTTGGTTGGAGGGAGGGTTGATCTATTTTCCGATTTACTTATGATGATTCGTGACATTTCACGAACGCACGAGAAAACATCGACGTCTTCTCCTATTTGATGAGCTAGATATTCAGTGATCTGTGAAAGAAATTCATACATTCTCTTTCATCATCAGTGGGTATACTACTCCGCATGCATTCCAGATCCGTGGCCATATATTTAGCGACTAGTGCGGTTGAATCGTCGGAGATAGAGTCTCACCAATAGCCAACAACACCCTCGGGGCTTCGTGGTGACTCGCCAAATCGGGCAGATCATCACTCCCATTTCACTGGACTCGCTGAAAGGGTGAAATAGCTGTCAGCGAGGCTTGGTGGGTAGCGCGTTTGCCCTCCTGGTTGGGGAAGCAGCAAGCATCATTGGCCTACGCCTTGCAACGGCTTGAAGCTGAAGTAATCGCTGCGGGGCAATGCTGCGAGGTTGTAGGAAACCCAGCTGTGTATTCGATGATTGGTTCGCTCATCTCATCAGAGCGGATTATGACATAGCGATCGTGACGAAACAAAAGCATGTGTATGTTGTGGGAAGGAGGCTGCTGAGACATGCAGTGTGCTGCTGCTGAAAACCATGGATCTCTGGACGGGATGTCAAGGGTTCCGTCCCCATGACACGCATTTCATCGAACTCCCAATGTGTCGGACACAATCGGCGATCGACGACGAATCCGTATTCGGATGAAAATGTCGACATTGTTCAAGTCTCCTTCACGATGAGCGAATCTTGCGGTTTGACACGCATGGCCCATTCGGTCCACGAGCCATCATAGATCCTACGGCCTTCGGTGGTGTAGCCCGCCTCGGTCAGAGCGGCATCGATGACTGCTGCAGTGACGCCGGTCCCACAAGACGACACGATGGGTTGCGATGCATTCACTCCTCTCTCCTCGAAGATACGGCGGAGCTCATCCGGTGGCAGGAAAGCCTTGGTGGTCGGGTCGAGGAGAAGCGGGACCGGCAGAGAGATACTGCCGGGCATGTGTCCAGAGGACAGACCTGGGCGAGGCTCGGGCTCGGTACCCTTCCATCTGCCCGTCGAACGAGCGTCCAAGATCTGGACCTCCTCGCGACCTTCCTTGTTGTGATCTTTTGCGATCTCGACCACCTCCTCGAAAGAAGCGACCTTGCTCCGGTCCAATTGGGGAGTAGCATATTCGACCGGATCGAATCCGTGTTCCTTCCCGTCGACCACCGGCAGACCTTCTTCCACCCACAGCTTGAAATTGTTGAGGATGTGCACGGCCGGGTGGCCGAAGATTTTGAAGGTCCAGGCGACGCGTGGAGCGGAGAAGATGCCCAGCTCGGCGGAGTCGTAGACGACCACGGTATCGTGGGCGCGGATCCCGGCTTTGCCGACCGCGTCTGCGAACGTCTCGGCGCTCGGCAGCATGTGCGGGTACGGGCTGGACGTGTCGGAGACGGCATCGAGGTCGAAGAAGCGTGCGTCGGGGATGTGGGCCTTCTCGAAGACCTGGCGCCCGGTCCGTTTGGCGGGATCGTTGGGGAGGAACCAAGAGCCGCAGAGAGGGATGACCCTCGGGGAGGTGGAGATTGAAGAGGAGGAGTTCTGTTTGAGGGCGGCATGGAGTTCTTTCGGGGTGACGAGGTAGGAGGGGAATGAGGTGTGCTCTTGTCGTGTCGACATGGCGATGCCGATGGACGGCGACTTGGCTCGTAGGCCTGCAAGCTGTGGTCGGCACGCAGAGAGATGGCGGGCGACGAGAGCCATTGGCGCCAGTCGGGATCTGTCTTGTTGTCGTGGATGGCTAGAAGAGTCCCTCTCCGCAGTTATGCTGGGTGAAGCGTTCCGATTCGCGTGAGTGATGTTAATATGGTCGCGTGTGAAGAGTGTTCAAAATGGTCGAGCAATGGGCATTCACTGGAGACCATCACTTGATAAGGTACAGCAGAAGCGAAAGGCGATGATGTGCTGTAGTTATTATATTACACCAGAAGCTCCAAGCTCCAAAGCTCAAGCTCCAACTCCAACTCCAGCAGCTCTTGCGCCTTTGTGCCATCCATTCCCAACCGCGGTTTCCCCATCAATTCATCAGTATGACAGTCTCTCATCAATGCCTACAGTGTGGGTCGCGGTGGTCGATCGTCCCGAGTGATAGGTGAAAACATACCTATCTGCCGCCCAGCTCTGTGGGCTGAAATTGATGGCAGATTGGTGGGGCAGCATCAATCGCCATCAATCATTACAGCACATTCCGCTCCATCCAGCGGGCTTGATGTAGATGTATATACATACATTATGTGATGCGATGCTCGTATTTGCTGGGCCAGAATGCTACTTACTTACTAGTCATTACTACTCGTACTTGATCCATCTCAAGCATTTCACCATGTTTGTCGAGCGCGGATGTTATGCCGATTTGACAATTTTTGGCTGGATCTCCTCATCCGATCGTGACTGCTTTCCATTGTTTCCCTGGAGAAATACCACCACGATAGAAGTGAAATGATCGAACTAAGCCGAACTCTCGTCTCATCGCGCTTCAAACCTTCCTGTTTCGTACTGATGCGTGATCCTCTTGCTATGCCACTGTCAATGAAACCTTCCAGCACCACCACCACCTCCTCCTCCTCCATCACCCTGAGAAATGCTACAGTAAATTACACGAAAACCCCGGGAAAGCTCGCCGGTGTCCATCCCATTGATACAAAGAAATCATTCAGAGTGCAAGATTCATATGATGCAAGCTCAAAGGATCCAAGAAAACGCGTGATCGCCACGGCCAATATCAACAATCAATTACCATCACCCGTTGTGGTTCAAAAGGCTCTTCTTCTTCTTTTTCCGGGTCCTACGCCTCACGAACGAGTCCTCACGAACAAAGCATAAGTGTGACCAGCCACAATCTGTATCGGATCCTCTTGTCGCATCAGCATAATCATCGTCTCCGACAACAAAACAAGAAACAATAGCGACCAATTACACACCACGACGGCAAACAATAAAATTCCTCCCAGCCTCGTCATCAATCCAAGAGAGTGTCATCTCTTCAACAACAATAAGGGAAAGAAAACAAAACAAAACAAAACAAAGCCGCCCACAATGAAGGTCAAGATCAAAGCCTACCACGCCCTCGCCACCTGGAAATGGGACCTCCCCGACGACTCTGACGACACCTGTGGCATCTGCCGCGTGAATTTCGAAGGGACGTGTTCGAAGTGCAAATACCCCGGCAGCGACTGTCCCATCAGTGAGTAGTTCCTTCCTCCCATCCATCGATGGATCAGTCGGCTTCTCAATCCTCCTCACATTGACTAACAAGCAAAACCAAAACAAATCAGTCATCGGCCAATGCACCCACACCTTCCACATCCACTGCATCGCGAACTGGCTCGAGAGCGAAGCAAGCCTCGGGAAATGCCCCATGTGCCGCCAGAAGTTCCAGGAGAAAGTCGCCGTCGTCGCCGCCGCGCCTCCTCCCATCACGCCCGCTGCTGCTGGTCTTGCTCCGAGGAGGAATTTCGGCAGTTCCATCGTCGCGCCCGGTGGTGCGATGACGCCTGATACCGCGGCGGCGATGCCGACGACCGGGAGGATCACCAGGTCCGCTGCTGCTGCTGCGGGGAGAGCAGGAGCAGGAGGAGGGGGTTATTCACTCGGGAGGGCGACGCCGGCGTCGGCGACGAGACATCGTTGAGATGACATCGTTGAGATTGGGCGACGACCTGCTCGAGGACTGTTGATTCGCTGCCTGGAGGCCATGTCGGGATGTGATGGGATTGTGAATGACTGAATGAATGAATGAATGATGGGCTGTTGTCCTCGGGTTTTTTGGCGCTCATCAATCTCCTCGAGTTTGATGAATGATATGGTACTGTAAGAACTTTTCGATGGCGAACGAAACCATGAACGGAACCCTTTTTGAAAAGAAAAGATCAATGGCGCATGCAGCGAGGGCGTCTCCTTGGGGGTCATTGAATTCTCCTTTCATCCCGTCGTCGTCGTCGTCGTCGGGACCTTCTTCTGCCACGCACGCACGACTCTGCTACTGAGCCGGGCGATTCAATACCTTGGTGTTACTCTTACTACTACTAGTACTACTACTTTTTCTCTTCCCTATGAGTCCCGGGCTGACCATTTTTCTTGAAAAAAGATTTGTACTTGGATATTTAAAAATGGAAAAAATAATTGCTTTGCTTGCCTAGAAGTTGAGATGAAATGACATGGCGCGGGAAACTTTGTGCCCAGAAAAAAAAATAGAGAAAGAAAAAGAGAAAGAAATCGCGGTCCGCGAAAAATTGTTCGACAGCTCTGACAGCGGGTAGGCAGACAAGAGAGACAACATTTCAAACAAGAACTTTTCCTTCCCTCTTCCATCCCTCCATCCAATCAGTCCCTGCCCCGGTTTTCAAGGCGCCGAATCGGGATATCTCGCCTTCTTCCCGTTCCCTTTCCCTTTGCCTTTCCCTCTCGCCCTCGCCGAGCCCTCCCCATGACCTCCTCCTCCTCCTCCATGCCCATCGTTACTACTACCGCCCTCGGGCCCGAAATCCACATAGGGTCGTTCATTCTCATCATCATTAACACAATCATCATCATGAGGGTCGTCATTGTTGTGGTCCCTGTCGGGGTTCCGTCGCGAGAGGGTCCGCCGGAGTTCCATGTCCTGCAGCATCGCGGCGAGGAGCTCGTCGTCGCGGCAGAGCTGTTCGATCGAAGAGGGAGGGGGATGGGGATGGTGGGACGCCGGCGGGTCGTGTGGTGGAGGTGCGGTCTGTCGTGTTGTTGGCGATTCGGGTTGAGCGGGAGGAGGATGAGGATAGTCGTAGCTTCGACCGGGGGGATAGTCTTGGTATTCGTGGTGTCGAGTGGGAAGGTCGCGCTGACGGCGCCCGTATGTGCGGGAGACGTTGGAGATGGAGTCGCGGGGGTGGATGCTCTCTTCGTCGTCATCGTCATCATCATCAGAAGAGGAGGGGGGTTCGTTCCGATCGTCGCCGGCGGGCTGCGTGTCGATGATGATGATGTTGTTGTTATGCGCATCGGTGTAGATACGGCTGTTCGGGTTGTGGCGAACATCTGGACTTGTGGGATGGGATGGATGGCTGAAGTGAGGGTCTTCTTGACGAGGAGAAGCGTGCCTTGCGCTGTATCCCGAACTTTGTCTCGGATCATGTGGTCGGAGGACGCCATCGGATTGGACTCCTGAGCTGCGGATGGGATGATTAGTAGGCCGTCTATGTACTTCGGGCGCAGACCTCGTCGCCATGAGCGGCACTCGACTGCTATGCAGCCCAGCTAGAGGATGTTGTGGCGGCGGTGGCGGAGGGAAAAGACCGTCTGGACGGAAGGCATCCGGTGCAGTAGCCGGAAAGCCTGGGCGGTGTAAATGAGGCGGACGTCTACTCCCTGCCGCGTCGTGAGGATGCTGATGATGCGGGTAGCCATAACTATGACTCCTCCTCGGGCCGCGGCGAGGATCCACAAACTCCTCCGACCGCGCGGTCTCGTGGGCCGGACCGGCGTAATCAGGCTCTCGGAATGAAACATGCGAACCGAAACTCCCCGAAGGCAGTGTCATCGCATAACCGCTGTGATAGGTCGCGCCCGATGCCGCCGAGCTTGGCCGGGATTGTTGCTGTTGTCTTCGGGTCCTATCGAGGAGATCGTCGATTCGACGGATGTCCGAATCGGTGTATTGCGCGCTGGGTGCTCTGTCTCTGCCACGACCGGCACCACGTGTGTCGTCGAGCCATTGCTGCAAAGTCGGCGAGGCATTCGGATAAGGACTGACCGGCGGCGGCGCAGGAGGCGGAGGACGTGAGTGGTGCGACGGGCCATGCGGTCGAGTTGGTGGCCTTGGAGGTGGTGGAAACGGAGATCGTGGACCACCAGGAGGATATAAAGGTAATGGCTCGGGAGGAGGCCAACCTCCTCCTCCGCCGCCGCCGCCGCCTGTCGCTGTTCTTGATCTGGAGCCGCCACCGATATGAATGCTACTGACGAATCCTCCCGAGGGTAATGTATACGAGTTGTGGGTAATGTGAGTATTCGGATCTACACGCCCGGACGGCGGGACAATGTACGTAGAATGGATGATGCGAGAATTGCCCGTCTGAGAAGTGATTTCGGTCGCCGTGTACATGACATTCGAGCTCAGATATGAGACGGCATCTGCTCTCGGGTTGATTAATATTCGGGGATGACAGGCCCCAGGTGCACAAAATATGGTTTTCGTAAATGGACTCTTCCGGACTATTCGTCTGGTCTTGTGTGTGTAATCACTACAGCGATTCTGCTCGGCAAAAGGACCGGTGTATAGCCACTCGCATGCAGGCTGACTTTGGTGGCACAGCTGACGAAGAATTCACGACTGGGTCATGCATGAGCAATGGAATGTGCTGCTGCATATCGCTACACCGCAATGTATCTTGTGCCGAAATTCGGACACAAGAAACACGTTATGCGTCGCATTTGATGTGTGGTTCATGGTCGAGAATAGTCGACCTCGTCCAGGTCGTTATCGTCGCCATGGAGAGAGAATACAGTACCTTACTTAAGAGCAGAGGACATTGACATCCAGGCAAGATTCTCACTGCACGCCTATCTAAGTACCTAGGTAGGTTTCGGGCCGCCATTCTCACAGCATATCTGCACAAGGGAAAATCTGCACGATCGGCAGGTCTCACGTGGTAGACAAAATCGTCAAATTGGCACTCTCCGTAAAAAATATACCTGATAACTATCTGCACGGGGAAATCGTCGGCTGGGAAGAGAGAAGACTTTTTCTCTGTCTCATCGCTGCATGCTATACGACCACGGGGACAGAGGACACACTCCGGGACATGTCGCAGCAGGAGTAAGGATATCTCTGCAGACACAAGTGATGGATCCTATAGGTAGTGATCGAATCGTCATTCCCGCAATGACGAGCCAAGTCTTCAAGAGATGTTCGCACTTCAATCTCCCGCCTCTCCCCCGTCGCGAGAAAGAGGGCAACAAAAGAGGTCGCCTCGAGATGTAACGGTGTACACCGAGTGCATGCACAATTGATATAAGCACTTCTTTTGAGCGGCACAACGGAAGCCATGAGGAGAAGAGGCAACATTGCAATTTGACATCCGTGCTAGGGATAGAAAAGGTCCTGTCATCGAGGTGTACGATGGTATTGAAAGGGGAGGGAATAAAACGAGCTGGAGATCGTGCATCGGTTGCGGATCTCGAGAAGCAATCGCTTTTGGCTGTGTTCTGGCTGTTTCGAGGAAAAGGCATGTTCCAGGAGCGTGTGCATAGATGTCGGTTGCAGATGTCATGATCAGTGTCGGCAGAAGAGACGAAGGAGAAGGTTAAAGGTTTCTCGAGAAACCATTAGTACATGAGGCTCTTCCATCTCATGGCAAGATAAAAAAGGGTATTACAATAATGTCGAAAGTGTACTGCGCAAACGTCCTGGCGGGATCAACGGAGAAGTCTTCCTCTCTGTTCAGAGCTCACCATGTCGCCCAGCGTATGCGCTCGTGACACTCTTGGCAGCAGACGAGACAGAAGCGACGACCTTTTCGCCGTTGTTGCTGTTGGTGAGGGAGGAAAGGCTTTCCTTGAGTGCATCAAACGCGAGATCGAAGCGGGCGCCGAAAAACCAAGCCGCGCCAATCTGGATTCGGGTTAGTGGATTATTCCTCGATGATGACTAATCGCATTGTTCAACCCGCCGTAGAGGGAAGGGCACAGATCGACTTACCATAGTCGCGGTGATAATACCCAGAGTCACCATGGTCGCGCCGATCAAGTAGATCGCATCCAATCGGGCCTCCTTCTCTTCGCTCGCCTTTCGAGCCGCCTCGTCCGGGGTCAGCGTCGGGCCGGCAAGACCCGCCTGCAGCGTCCGAGCCGACTGGGTCGGGAAGATCGTCTCGATGAACTTCTCGATGCGTGCACAAGCGATGCTGATCTCGAGGAAGTTCGGGTCGCTGGGCTTGTTCCTCCGGTGGATCTTGCGGGCGTAGCGGCGGAAGACCTCGCAGACCAGCTGCAGGTTCTGCGTGGACTGGGTCATCAGCTCGCAGGCGGAGCCCTTGGTGATCTTGACGTTGCGGTGGAAGATGTCCTTGTTCTGGAAGCAGAGCTCCAGGGTGGCGATGGCCATGCTCTGTGGGATCGCGACGAAGTTGAACACCGATTGCTCCTTCACGCCGGCCATGTAGAAGAGGCAGTCGTCGGCGCGTTTGAGCGCGGTCAGGACCATCTCGCTGCTGCACTGTAGCGCCTTTTCTTCGTATTGCTTCTCGAAGAGGTCGCTGAATTTGTCGACATGTTTCGACCAGATGGCCTTGGGCCAGAAGTATCGCTTGTCGTCGTGGTCCTCGCGGATGTCTCGGATGATGTTGGTCTGTTGGAGGAATTGGCCCATGGACTCCATAAGCTCTGGTCTCTGGAGCAAGGCCGGGTTGGCCAGCTTCGCCTCGACGAACAACCTCGTCAGACCCTCGCCGACAAGACCTGCTACGTAATGGCAGTACAGCTCGTAGTCCTTGACGGTCTTGACGCCGTTGGCCAGATGGTCCGCGTTCTTTGCGTAGTCCGCCATACCATTGCCCATTCGCTTGGTGATGTCTCGGATGATGTCCTTGTACGGCTCTTTGATCTTGGCGAACTCCTTTCCAATGTTGTCAAAGTGGACCAACAGGGGCCGGTCCTTCTCATTCGGACCGTTGCCGTCGAAGGTCCAGTTCGGATCATCCACGATCTTCCAGAAATCTCGCAACAGCGGTTCCTTCTCTTCCAGGCTGATGGTCATGTCATCCTCGATGGTGTCCAGACCGCGCAGCTCCAGGTAGAACAATGTGACGGGGACCAACAGCTCCGGATGTAATTCCTTGATGACCGCGGCGAATGAGCGCGAGGTCATATCGAGGTAGTAAAAGCATTGCTTCAATGTCTCCGACTCTTTGCTGGGGTCGCGCTCATGGACGGGGCTGTGCCAGAGTTTCCATTGGATCATGGCCCGCACCTCTGACAGGTGGAGGAGATAGTAGAGGTAGCCTTTGTTGGACGGCATTTCGACCGATGTGATGGCGATATGTAAGGCGAAGGTTGAGAAAGACTCGCTGTCGGGCGATCTTCAGCAGATCGGACGAATGGGAGAAGGGTGATTGATTTTCGGCTCCTATCCAGGACGAATTGACATGAGTTGTTCAACGGTTCTGAGCGGGCAGATCTGGGTGCACTTCAGCACACCGATGCAAATTGCGACAGAGTGTCTCGAGATTCACTTTCGGTAGAGTCGTGATGTGGAAATGTCCTGTGCCTAGATATTGTTAGGAGAGGTCTCGCAAAGCATATAATTATCATGTTTGTCAGGGTTCAGGGAGCTAGCGATGCAGCTTAAAAGTGCCGCTTGGGACAATCCAAAATCGTTCGATTGTGGATCGCAGTCTATCCAACTAGGAGAAAGCTTGTGGCTGAGAGGTCCTCCAACCTCAGGTGCTTTCGTTATCAACACTTCAGTATCACACTCCTGCATGATATTGCAAATGAGCTGATTCTTACATTACTCGGCAAATCCATTATTATCATATGTCGCAGGGATATAGTAAATGAGCTGATTTTTGCATCAACAGGCCAATGCAGCATTATCACATGTCGCAGGAACATGTAGCAGATGATCTGATTCTCGCATTGCTAGGCAAATGGAGTACTATCACATGATCGCAGGAACATGCAGCAAATGGATTCCGTCATGTCATTTCATACAGGCCCACAAGGCAGACCGCATATCAATAATTTTCCGCACGAGGCCAGTGATACATTCCTCCCACGGAAACAAAAAAATGCTAGCAGCAGCAGCACAGAATGGGGTATCCGATTCGAAATCCAGGAAACGATAGCGAGCGACAGCCGCGGCAAAACAATGATAGACCACACATCTTCCTTTTCAACTCTAATCGCTTCCCCGGCTTCGTAGCCTCCTGCCGATCCCCGTGGGGCCCACACTCGCGCTCAAATTCACATTCTCCTTCTCTCGTCCCTCCTTGCCCTTGCCTTCGACTCCCAGGCCCATCGCCGCAGCCATGCGCGTGCTTCGTTTGGAAGCGGGAGCTTTGATGGGGTCGGATCCGGCGTTGAAGGGAGGCGGGGTGAGGTAAGATGCTGTCGACGCGCTCAGAGGGTGGGTATTCAGTCTTCTGAGGAGTGAAGGTGGAGGCGGCAGTGCTGAAGGTTTGCAGTCGGCTTCCTCGGTAGACGTGTCGAGATCGATGGTCGTGGAGGAGAGGTTGCCGATGACATTAACATCGCGCTCCCGCAGACTGTTGGTGCTGCTGATGCTGCTTTGGGTGCTGGCCGTGGCGGGCCGTGAAGGTGGGAGGTTGGTAGCGGCGGGTGCAGTGAATACCGGGCGGAGCGGCGGAGGAGCATCGTGGAAGACTGTGGTGGACTTCAAAGGGCTGCCAGGGCGTTTGCTCGGGCTTGTGTTGCTTTTGGGCCGAGCCAGAGCAGGACGCTTGTGGGGCGACTTGATCGGGGACGTTGAAGTCTTATTCCCCGCGGCAGGCCTTTCTATGCCGCGCATGCGATCCAACAGTACATCGTGGCTCTCTGTCCTGGGCAGGACCGTCGGGTAGTTGTATTGTGTCTTGGCTGGTGTTTCTCCCGTGACAGAATATTCCTCAATCTGAGAGGCCGCCACTTCCTGTCGCAGTGCCCGGAGAGGTTCGCGGATCTCGCTGTCAGCATTGAGACTGGGCAAGGTCTGGATCAGGGCATCGGCGTGATCGTCCACATCTGCCTCGAGAGCCTTGGTCCTGCTGTATGACGTTTCGAAATGCTCGCCGATACTTCGGTAGCTTTCTTGCACATCATTTGCGAGCTGACCGAGGCTCGACATGTGCGACTGATGATGTTCCTCGTTCTGCTCACGGACACGCGAGACGATCTCGTCCAGGGCCACCAGCTGACTATCCATCTGGACCATCTGTCCGTCAACAATGCGAATGGTTTCGCCGTGAACAGCAGTGGTCGTTTCAGTGATTTTGATGGTCTGTTCATTGGCATTTGTCCAATCAGCTTTGAGCTTGCTCTTGATCGCTTCTCTTGCTTGAGCAGTGTCGTCGATGAGTGATTGCGCATTCTCGTTCCAGTGATCCATGCCGCTGTCGTAGGAATGCTGCGCGACTCGATATTCGTCTTCCGAAGTTTTGATCCGTTTGCTAGCGCTTTCGAAATAGCCGGAAAGACGTGACTCTTGAGCGGTGGCGGAGTTGTTGACTAGTGAGGTGATCTGGGAGAGCAGGGTTTCTCTCTCCTTCGCAGCAGTCTCTCGCTCCCTGTCGATCGCCTGTTTCAAGTGGTCATGAGAAAGTTGCCCAGCGTCGATGAAGCTGCTGTTCGCATCCGCAATCTCCTTGCGCAGCTTTTGCACTTCGGCTTGTTGATCATGCATGCGTTTGATCAAGTCCTCAAAGAGCGTCTTGAAGTCTCGTCCGAGTGAAACATAAGATTCTTGAAGCTTTCCATGGAAATCGTCCAGCTCTGTTGCAATACCAGCACTGATACGCTGAGCTGCGGCCGAAAGATCGTTCAATCCCGCACCGACCTTCTGCTTTACATCCTCACGGAGCGTCCCGATCTCTTGTAGAACGACGTTCATATCGTCTCGAGCTTTGCTGGTCTGGGAGTTTACTTCAGACCTGGAAGACTCGAATGCAGCGGCTTTTTCTTGGATGAGGTCCTGCGACAGTTGAAGCTCTTCGAGTTCGTCTGCCACAAAAGATTGCATGCGACCCGATAACGCGGCGATCAGACCCTCTTGCCGTCCTCTCAGTGCATCCAATCGCTCTTCGACGGTCAAGGTCGCACCCGCAACCTGTTCCTGTGATTCCGCCCATCTTGTGCGGTTGATCGACTGTAAATCTGACCGCCGCTTGAGTTTCGATCGCAGTCTGTCCACATGATTCGTCGTTGTGTCTAGGCTGCTGATGAGCTCGCCGCCCACTTGATGAAGTTTCCGTTCCGTCTCTTGATGCGCCCTTCGAATGTGCGCCTCCTCTGCAAGAGAGCGCTTGGTATGTTGCAGCACAATTTCGGTTTTTTCCAGAACATTCTTGGTGCCTTCCAGGTTGACGCGCGTCTGTTCGTTGTCTTTCTTCAATGTATGGAAATTAGTTGTGAGAACAAATAGCTCCTGGATTTTGTTCCGCAAGTCGTTTTCCATGATTTCCAGAGTGTCGCGCTGCTCCTGGCTCAAGATCCGGCGAGATTCGGACTCCGTGGTCAATTCTTCGTATGCTTCTGCTGTGAGGTATACGCCATTGCGGGCGCGCGTCGCAATCAGTTCCGTTTTCAGCTTTTCTATCTCTGCCGTGAACTCCTTCAGCAATGTTTTCTTTGACACCATCTGGTTGACTTGAGGCTTGTTGCGAATGTTTTTGGCACGAAACGCGTAATCCAAGGTGCTGATGGTCTCCTCAAGATTACTCTTCGCAGGTGATACAGTGGCAATGATACACGTCTTTGTCCGGCCTCCAAGTGAGTCTTGCAGAAGGCGCGTCAACTTCGACTCTCTGTAGGGAATGTGACTGCCACGATCGACGAGCGCGTTGATCACACGTCCAAGTGTGAGGAGGGACTTGTTGATCAATCCTGCTTCTACAGCACGTTTGTTTTCTGCCCCCGAACGTCCGATGTTCTCCGATCCTGCCAAGTCGACAAGATTGAGCTTGCCCGAGGAGACGTAATCCTCTCCACTGTCAGAAACCCGTTTCATGTAGACTGTGATGGTGAAGACCGTATGTGAGCGGGATGATAGATCGTTGCATTTCGTCGCAGCGACCTGACGCTTGTGACTTCCGTCGCGAAGTAGCTGAATACCCTTGGCAGCTGTTCGGATGTGACGTTCCTCCATTCCTTGGACCAAGGTTGTCGTCCTGCCATTCTTGTTGGCTTCGTCGAAGATTTTGAGCTTGGCTCCATCGTCGACCCCTAGTAAATCGCGCAGCTCCTCGTTGTATAATTCGATAAATGAGCACTTCACGCTGTATTCGGCTTTTTCTTGGTCATCGTCTCCCAGCTTGTCAAAGAGACCGTGTAACACACGCGGGATGATACCCGCAGCATCGGGCGTAGGAAGGATGTCGCTGATGTCACCTGACATTGTGTATGTTTTACCTGTGCCAGTCTGACCATATGCAAAAATGGTGCAGTTGAATCCGGCGAGGACCTGTGACAGCATTAGACATCGGATCGACACCTCGCCGACATGATCCACTGTATTACCTCGTCCATAATAGGTGCGACAACATCCTCAAATATCATCCGTTGGTTGGCCGCGGGTGAGAAGACCTTGTCGAACTGATACGTCTTGTTGCTGAGAGCATTGGGTCCCATGGACAGAACAACCTTGTCGCCCTTGGTGCCATCGGTGGACACGACGACACCGCTGTTCTCGCGCACCTCGCGATCGTTGCGCCCACGACATCGGACGACGACGTTGATGTTAGTCTCTTCGCCAGCTTCGACAGGTGGGGGTTCGGCGGCGAGTTTTCGCTTCGGCGTGCGGACTCGAGATGAGGCGATGCTGTCGGCGGGTGATAATCTTCCGGTCAAGGTCGGGGTGGCGGTTTGGGCGCGGGTCGGACCTGGTCGCGCTGCTGGTGGTCGCATGGTGGGCACTTTGCGCGTATGGCTCACGACTCTTGTCGAGCCTGAAGCAGCCATTCGAGCGTATCCACGAAGAGTGGTGCGCAGAGAAGAATGACGACGAAGACTAGAAATGCAAGAGCGTTGACAAGGAAGTAGTAGGCGGCGGCAGCGGCGACATGCCTGAAGTAGTAGCTACAGTATCAAAAATGGCTAGTAGACAAAATGCACCGTTGGTCGGGACAATGCTGGAAAGGAAAGAGCTTCATCAGTGCGCCGACCGAGCGCTGTTTACTTGTTCTGCACGCTTTGTTTACATCGGATCAATACAGCAGAGCAACCGTGCAGGTAAGCCGAGGATTATCTAATCAATCGCGGCGGCTGGACCAGATCTCCAAACCCTAATAACCTAACGAACCTTGGAACCTTGGAACCTTGGAACCTGATAAACCTAACAAAGTCCCGCCCCCGGCTTGCGCGCGTGTGACGAACGAACGCGTCCCGCTGATGACTTAACACTGACCCCTCGTCGTCAGTGTCATTCCCGACGCCCTTAAGGTTATGTGGTTGTTCTTGGGCTGGCAACGACGGGGAAATATATCACCAAGACATTCAATCGTATGTATGATCAGAGAGAGATCTCTCATGCTCACTGTAGACAATGAACCGGCGTTGAAGGATACTTAGGTATGTTATAGATGGCAGCGTTCGAACTGAAATGCTGGCGCGAGTCAAACATGACGCTCCCCACTGGAATGAGGCGTGGGAGGAGACGATAAGCTGGCTGTAGTCGGATGTGGATGTTGACGTGGACATTGGGGTTATATCACCATGGGCCATGTCTGTGATTTACAACTGAACAGGATATTCCAGCGACATCGTGATAAGAGAACACACACGTTGCAGCCAGCTCCAGTGGGGTCTTGTCGCTGGGCATACTGTAGTGGACTGTATCAGAGGATAAGCAGCCGCCCTTGGGAACGTGACCGAGATGACTACCACCACATGACCAGCTCTCCAACCCACAGATACGTGTGGACGTGCGCGCAAAGACTACAGGTTTCAGAGTCGGCAGTCAGCCGTGGACTACATTTCTATATCAAATTGATGTGACCGCTTAATGTGTAAAGGCCAACGACTCCCGGCAGGATCGTGTTCGGCAGTGACCTCGAGTGGAGACTGGGACGATTATTACTCTCGCACGGCACTACATCGTCCGACCTCTGCAACATCCACAAATCAAATATGGCGGCCAGACACTCGCTCGCGGTAGTGCCAGGCCATGGCCTTGGGTTCATGGGTGAGCAACAGACTCTTCTTGCACTCACAACGGAGTTCCTGCTGATAGTCTTATCGCAAAGCACTCGGAGGGTCCCTACAAGACATCCTCTCCAGGATCAAAGAGGATAAGCTTCATTTTCCCAAGATTGACCTTTCCTTCTCCCAATCCGAGCCGGTCTCTGCTCCGGTCATCATCGCATTGCCAGAGAACGGCATTCGCCTGCGCTTCGACGGAGCCGAGCAACGTCTACGCCTCATCGAAGTGCTCGACTTCCAACGCGTCTCTCTCACATACAAAGGCAATGAATTAGCCAAGGATGGAGTTACGGTCCCGTACAAGCGCATCTACCAATTGTTCGGTGCATCTTATCCGGGAGAGTATATGCCTCCAGAATCTGGCAAGGTCGGCACTTACGTGGTTTCATACCCGGGCATCGCCTTTACGTTTCCGCTACAGCATGTCGCCTTTGGTGCAGAAAAGGACCATGTTCAATTGCTGGGCTCAAACGCTGCATCATCTGCGACGTTCATGGCCATCTTCGAAGGTCCGAGTTGGCCAGAAGCCCGAGATCAGCTGTTCGTCAACGTGCCGTCGGGACCAAGGACTCCTGCCATCTCCAGCCAACCCAAGGACAGCCTCGCACCTGAGCTCGAGATGGCATACACGGATGGATCCGGAAACATTGCTCTCCTACGAAGAGCCCCTGCGCCGCCTTTCGACATTATCCTAGGACAGACTACACCTCAGGATCTCGTCACAGAACTCGGTCCTCCTGACGCGACGCACAGAAGAAATGCGCAGACCATCATCGAACCTTTTGTGGACTCTCGCCCGCGCAGCAAGTCACGCACACTGTCGTCGACAAACGGCCGTCATCGGCCCACACCACCATCCAGCTATTCATCCACAGGCACAGATACCTTTGACACAGATTTCGATTCCGGTGATGCAGATGACGATCCGGCCGAACGGAGCAGCCGCGAGACATACTGGTGTTACTTCCACCACGGAATCGACATCCTCGTCGGCCCCCCCAGCAACGAGACCACAACCGCGACAATAGGCGACGACACCAACAATACCAACAGTGGTGCCTTACCCATCACCCCCCTCATCACCAGCCCACATCTCGTCGTCCGCAAACTCATCATCCACGGAAACGTCCCCGGCAGCTACGTCTTCAACCGGCACCGCCGCCTCCGCTGGACGATCGCCCTCCCCTCATCATCCCCATCCCCGAACAGCCACAACGACCTTCCCACCTCCCCAATCCTGACCTCCGAATCCCCCTTCGAAACAGCCCTCCAACCCGCCCTGCTCGCCGCCTACTCCCACATCCGCCCGGCATCGGAGATGCAACGCGGCAAAGTCGTCAACCGGACCTGGGGCGACGACGGGCCGAGCGGAGGGAGGACCGGCGGGGGTCCCGGCGGCGCAGATGGCGGTGGGGGCGGCGATGTCGGCGACAGCACCTTCTTCCTGCCCGATGCCGACCGGGACCTGGTCGAGGGCTCCGGGAGCGAGCAGTGGTTGGGTAATACGAAACTTTATGCTTTCCCGGGTTTTACGCTTGAGGTCCTGGGGAGCGGGGCCGTGGGCGCTTTGACGATCTCGTGAGGAGAGGGAGAGAGAGAGCGATTTGTGTTTTGTGGGAAGTTGGAACGGGAAGGGTGGGGAGGGGGTATTCTCTCGAGTCAGGGCGCAGTGGACTTTCGCAAGTTGTTATACAGGCTCTGTTGACGAAGTCCGCCTGGAGTTATTGATTGCGTGGTTGGTCGGATCAGGTAGGGAATCGATCCAACTTTTTTTCGCCTGGCTATGACTTTCGGCCTTCGGTCTTGGTTCTCATTGTTGGTGTTGTTCTTGTTTCTTTGCGCGAGACCGAGCATGTCTCGTCTCTGTCTCGTGTGTATCTCTCGCTGACAAGCCAATCCCAACAACCCCTCAATGACATTCATCTACACCATTATGTCCTCGATATTTTCCGTTGAGCAACCAGGCACATACGAAAGACCACGGAGATTTCAAGCATGTCTTGCACAGTCACCGATCTATCGACCAACGAATTTTCGTAGTTTAAATGAACGTTTCACTTTGGGCGCCCCTCCAGCACCTAACTAGGTACCTACCTGGGTACGACGAAACACTAGGGTTGCGCCCAGCTGCGGCCCCGTCCCAGAAGAGATGAAGACATGATCAGCTCGCATGCAAAGGAGGAAATGTTCGAGGACACACGACGGGGGACATCGCGATGATGATGATGATGATGACGACGATGATGGTTCCGGATCGACAAAGAACCTTCACGATCAGTAAATAAGTCGCACGGAAGATGAGGCAGGGCGTCTTTTGGAAGTCTCCGGGATGCATCAGTGATAAGCAGCTTACCTGGAGATTTCCGAACTTTGTCCTCAATACCGTGGCACCAGAAGTGCACAGAGAGGGCAACTCACAAAATGGTCAATACACACCAAGGTCACAGGGACGAAGAAAGACGAAGAAGGGACGATGACGCTTTCTTTTCATGACAGATGGGGACAAAAAATAAAACTGTTGTTCACATTTCTTTTTTTTCCCTCGCTCCCCATATGCTAAACACCAGGGCCCATGAGACCGGCCTCGGCTCAGTGCAAGTTCCACGCCCTTTTCGAAACCCCAAAAACGCCCGTTTCGCCGACGCTCTTGCGAAAGATAGAACAAAGGCCTCCCGGCTGCTAAAAGGATAAATACAATGGTAGTCCGCTTCCTTTGCCCAAGACACGCCAAAAAACCCCAGAGCAATCATTCATCGTAAAAAAAACCCAGGAGCCATCGTCACAAGTCATCAGTCATCAACCGTTTCATGCCCATCTCCCATCCCATCCCATCCCATCAGGAAAACCCGACCGGACGAGAGAAAGGATCACCGGATTACGCCCCACTCGCCGACGATGCCGCCACGGGATTTCCCCGCGCCGCCCGGACCGGCGTTCTTGCCTTTGTTCTGGAAGACGTCCCAGAAGCGCAGGGTCTCGTCGCCGGCGCCGGTGACGATGACGGAGCCGTCGGGGCTCATGGCGAGGTAGAGGACGCGGTAGGTGTGGCCGGTGAGGCTGACGACGGGGGTCATGCCGGGGTATTTCCAGATGTTGATGGCGTGCTGCGAGTAGCCGTGGGTGCTGACCAGCTCGGAGGTCTTGTGGGAGAAGAGCAGGTTGCACACTTGGCTGCCGGTGTCGTGGGATTTGATCAGGTGCGGGTTGTTGTGGCTGCTGGTTGTGTTGTTGGTTGGGTTGGAGAGGAGGGAGGGTGAGCTGAGGCTGGAGAGGGACGGTCGGGTGAAGTCGAGGTCGACCCCGAGTTGTTCGGGCGGGATGGAGTGGCCGTTGTGGCCTTTCATGGTCTGGGCGGTGGAGATGGTGTTCCAGAACTTGATGCAGCGGTCGGCGGTACCTCCGCCTGACGCTAGGAGTCCGCGGCTGTGTGGACTCCATGCGATGGCTTTGACGGCGGCTTTGTGGCCACCTTCTTGCTCGCCCCAACGATGCAGCCACCGCTCCTCCATTTTCTCCCATACGAAGATTTTGTTGTCGTTGCCGCCGGATGCGAGTTGTTCGGTGTCGGTGTTCCATTTCAGCCCGCAAACCTCTTGTTTGTGGCCTGTTAATTTCCGGAGATACATCTGTGACATGCGAACATCACGATGGAGGATGGTCCGGTCTCTTGATCCCGTTGAAAGGATGTGCGCATTCCAGGCAAGAGAACTGATTCGTAGGCTGTGTCCATGCATGGTTCGTAATCGTCTCTGGTTAGTAGTATCGTATATGTAGAGCTCGCCTTTCGATGAGCCAACTGCTAGATGTGTTCCTCGTTGTATCCAGCTGACGCTTGTCACTGTTTCATCGTCGAGCTCACAGAGTCGCTGTACCTGTCCCGTTTCGCGACTCCATAAGTAGACAGACTTGCCAAGTCCGACCGCAAGAATGTCGTTGGAGCCCCAATCGACGAGATTGAGGTAGAAATCGTCCGCCAGATCGGGTGCATCCAGAACTTTGTATGGAACCTTACTGACGGCACGCGGAGTCTTCCTTGGCGATAAAAGCATCGTTTGTGATGAGTGCTTTACAGGTGACAGACTGTAAAGTTCTGAACATGGATTCAAAATTGAGCCTCGCCCACGGGATGATGATCGAGGAGTCAGCGCATGCGATTTACTTGAGCCATAGTTGAACATGTTCTTGTGGGGTGTTGATGGTGCGACATTCGATCCGGAACGAGCGGAGCTGTTGCCTCCAAAGGGCGGGGTGCGCGATCGTGAGGCCGTCTGCGCATTAATCGACTGCGGCACTTCCTCATCGAACATTTCTGAGCGCAAGATTTCTGAGTAGGTCTTGTTGGCGGCGCGGGTTTGGAAATGGAGATCGCTTGGAGGGTTCCGCGACACCTTGGAGGTCGCAGGTGACGCATCTTCGTGAAGTAGATTGTAACTGGCAGACAAGTCCTGACCGGCTCGGTTCGGAATGAAGCGATCTCCACCTCCAAACATCCTCTGCCGCTTCCGACTCGGGCTGGCGACTGAGGGACTCGAGTTCCGTCGTCCTGGTTCGCCGAGCGCACGAAGCGCCTTGTTCAAAGCGACAGGATTCACCGGGCTGTCATGAGGCCGCCCAACCTCTTCTCCCACACTCTCTTCCCGCGGGTGTTTGCCCGTCGATGTGCGTCGCGGCGATTTACTCCGAGGCGGCGAGATCATGCGTGCACCATCATCGACGACCTTGACGGATTGCCCATCGGATAATGCGCCCGTCTCCAAGGGTCCCACTGGTGTGTCCATTGTGCGGTCGCTGCGCGCAGGCGCAATTCGGAGTCGTCAAAGAGCGGGTGGGCTCAACGGTGTAATGAGTGATGTCGCTTCGCATGCCCGGTGCGGTGTAGTAATGAGGGACAGTGATGCAGGTTCGGAACGGCTTTTTGGGCGAAAGTTGGACGGTGATGATGTTTGTTGATTGAGGTTGCGAGGGAAGCCCTGAGAGGTGGATTGATCCGCCAAGGTCCGTGCACGAGGCTTGAGCAAGAACGCGCGCTGAATTATTCGAAGCGGGCGCTTTCACAGTCGCACACTCTAGTACTATGTATGTACAGTAGAACGACAACAAGAATGACAATAACAATAACATGCAAGCATCACGCGTCGTATTGTCCTATAAGAACTTGTTCAATACGGCCTCAATTGATCACAACATTGACCCGGATCACATTTGCTGTCGCTGTCTGCGAACATCCTTGTACTGCATACCTAGATATCGTTGTTTCGACGACAATACCGCCAGCGCTTTCACGAGCCGGTCGCTTTGTTCCCTTTCATCCAGCCACGACCTAGCAGGCAATTCACTGCCCTCGTACCCACAGAGACAGCCTGTAGTGAAGAACACAATACGGTCCACCAGCTGCTCATCCAGCTGCACTCGATACGACCCTGGAATGCTGCGATTGCCAAAGGTCAGTCGTGACATTTCCACATCAATCGCGCGCTCTCGATGGTAGAAGCAGCCGTCGCGTCGAGTCCAGATCAATTTAACGTCGAGGACCGCACGCGCGCGAGACGCGTTCACGCGCAACAAAGTCCACAAACATTGAGTTTCAATGCAAGGACGCGTTGGAGGAAACGATTGGCTGGCAGGCATTCCGAACCACACGGGTACGCTCGGACCACTGGTTTTCGGCCCGTGTTTCGCGATCAACGCGTTCTCACGAAGGCGCGCTTTCGCTCTGCACTTTTGTCGCGTCGCATGCGTGCTTTCTGTGTTATCTGCCGTATTATTAAGATGATCGTAAACAACAGTGTCGCGATACTGTAGATACATAACATACTGGAATAGTACAGCGGGCATGTCAACTGCACGAAATTTCAGGTACGGTGCGAGCACATCGCCAGCAAACAGACGCCCCATCGAGAGTCACTGTACATTCCTGTTCCTGGGATCCTTTCAACTCGATTACCTCACACGAGCGACATGATTTTGCTCACTTGCGAGGTGCTGTACCAATCGTATCTTCGTGCGTGACTTCTACGCCGTTTCGATCAACTGCGAGGCGCAGCACCGACGTCGGTGATGACGACCTGTGCGAACGAGCCGCAGACAGAGACGGCCACCTGGGCAGGAAAAGGCATCAAACGTGTATCGGGGCCCGCCGCTCATCGAGGTGCTATATCACAGGTACAACTGACGCCTGGGAATGGCCCTTATTAGCCTACTAGACAAATTACCTAGGTAGTAGAAGATTAAAAAGTGCCCCCACTAGAAGAAGAAAATTGATGCTATACAATGAAATTATCAAACACGTGCTAACCACTGCAACGCTATAACGCCTGAAGCCCAAGTGTCCTACACCGTTCGTTTCACCTCCCGATATGTGGAGAGTTGTTACTCGATAACTCGACCGGTGCCTGACCGGCATACAGCTCGTTCCGATAGTGACTCGAGTCCAGTTCGTGGAAGCCGCGGGCCGTTGTTTGGTGATCAGCTTCATAGAATGGCTGTTGTGCAGCCCCGTAGGATGGAGGAGGCTGGCTTTTTGTTTCATATGGAAGCTCAGTGGTCAAAAGCTCGGGTTTGTCCTCGGCCTCGCTTCGCCTCCGTCGGGACAGCAGCACCAAGGCTACGATCAGAGCTGCGATCCCGATGAGCCCAAGAGATGCGCCTACACCTATTCCAGCCTGGGCGCCAACGGAGAGCGAATTGCTAGAGTCGGGGATCGTTGTGGTGGTAGGACTCGGGCTGCTAGTGGAGGCCAGATTGCTGTTTTGGGAGCCATTTGCAGAGCTTCCGGGAAGCGCACTGTTGGTCGACGTCACAAAGGTTTGTGTGCTCGCTGGTGTACTCGTTGGTGTGGGTGCCATCACCGCTTGAACGTTCCATCCTTGCACTGCGATTGCACCGACGGACGAAGCCCGCTCGAGTGTTGTCGTCGTTATCGCCCACGAATTGGTATTGATGCCAGTCGATGCATAGGTTATGACTTGGCCTTTCGAGACCATGGAAACGCAATTGCCGTTTGCAGAGCCTGGTGATTGGCCAACGAGAGAATAGCTTCTACTATTTGTTAGTATCGTGGCCGGATCTCACACCGGGCACTGCGAATACTCACTGTGGACAGCAAAAAGCAAACGTGGACGATTTGTCGGACACGGACGATGCAAGTGTCTGCCAGCCGCTTGGGCAGACCAAGGGTCCCAGTTGGATATCGGTGTGATCAGCCGTGTTGACTCCCAGGAGTGCTTGAAGCCACCAGGAGGTGACGGCAGATGGATTGCAGACGACTTTCGAATCGACTCGCAATGCGTAAGCTGGATCAAAAGCGACCAGGTCCGGACCTTCCAATTGAAAGATGCTTGAACATGATGCCGGCGCTGTGTATGTCGTTGTAAGTGGAAGGAACGATGTCACAGTGCCGCCTTGTGTTTTCGGTGAAATCGACATTCTGCCTGAATCCGAATGGTTTGGTGTTGAGCAGGCGCTGTGTTACTCTGGATGGTTGTATATGAGACGGTTCGCCGCCAGAGAGGTAACAGACTGGAGCACCAGGTGGGACGGGCCAAAATAATACTCTCAGCATTGCCCCGAAGCTGCACATGCCGTACACACACCGGTCAAAATTCTCCATTTCGTCGAGGATATTTGACAAACGGGCGAGAAATTGCGAGTGTTGATTGGATATCCCCTCGGTCTGTAAGCGCCTGATCATGATGTCCCATGCAGATCACTGCGACGGGACGCCTTCGGGCCACACTCGGGCCTCAAGTTAGGTCCATCACATCCTATTTCCTGCAACGCTAAGTCTAGCGGACGAGTGCGTAGCGCACTAGATGCACTGCGCGTGTTGCGATCAAGCGCGAACAAGGACCAATTTGTGTCGTTCGTGCAGAAACATCACCTGTTCGTGGCGCTGTCTGGAAGGGGCCATCAGTCACTGGAGATCTGGCTGTCCTCACGGGGTTGCAGCTGGAGGTGAGGGAAGGCGTCGAGCTCGCAATCGAGACACTTGTGCGTGGAAGAAGTGGGATGCGAGGATGGAGTGGGGGGTGAAAAAGGCAATAAAACCTTACCCAGACCCTTGTCCTGTATTATTTCACACGCCTGGTCGATTCTACCTCGGCTATCGCGAGATTATAGGCGTTACTGCAACAACGCGCTCTCGTGCTAGTCCAATCGACACATTCCAAGGTTGCTTATCACATAGGCCGGCGGTTCTGGTCGGGACCTATGGTACCCGTATTGGAGGCTCGTTGACAGCTCGCGTCAATTGATACTACATATATAGGTATCGGTCAAATCGGAACGGGCACTCCGAAGTGTACTGAAACACGAGACAGGTGACAAATTTTATAACGGATGCAACGCATTGCCCATCCGATTTGATCAATGCGTGTCCATCGAGATGTCCCGTCCGATCTGGAGTCCGATCTGAGCGAATCTTGGAACATGAAAATGAATACAGTAAAAAGACGCTTGTGAGCAGAACCGCCGATGTATACCAGAACACCGATTAAACAAAGGTCACGGGGAAAGAGTTCCTGGATATGATGGTACTGTTGAACGTTGTAGAGAGGATCCAATTCTTAAAACGGAGGCTAGATACTTCTTAGGGCCGCGGTCGGTCAAACCCGACAGCTTCTGGGTGAAAAGCGAGGTGTTTGGTCGTTTTGGTGGCACCGGCTACGACTCCGGCCAACTCGACTGCTTATTATCCGGGCTGACCCATTCATCAGGGCCCGTCCCAGTGAAGTACTAATACTGCAGACATCCAAGGGCGAAGGGGCCAGTTCGGGAGGTGGAAAAAATGGCCGTCTGTCCCCCAGCTCTTTAGCGCACAATAGATATGTTTAGAAACACACCTGGGCACCGTCCAGACACCTGCATGTTTCACCATTCGAGAATCCACAGGGTGATTTGTTGTGAGACCTGTTGAGATGTACCTAAGGCACTCGGGTTTTCGTTAGCTGGATTTTGCTCGAACGGCGGCTTCACAGCAGCAGTGATCTGTTCAGCACTGACGTAAAGTGGATGTCGCCTGGGATGAGTTGTAGCCTGTCCGGCATTAGTCGTAGTTTGCGTGCGGGTCTGATGCGCCCACTTTCTTTCCATTGATCATAGTCTTTTGTGTCTGTCCCTTGCTGCCGTCGTCTGTCCGATCCTTCATTCTCTGTATTGCTCAAAATCGAATCCTCACAGCGAGTACTTCTTAGAGCGAAAATTCTCATGGCCAGCACGCGAAGAGGGGCCAACAAGAAACGTGCTGTCGCAGTCCACGAGCGATCGGACGCGAGCGTTGTGCAACCCCAGTCGAATGCTGTGCAACCTCACCCGAACGCCGTCCACAAGAAGCAGAACATGCCCTCTCAGCGCCCGGTGCGGCTCTTCGCCCTACTTTGCATTGCTGCACTTGGCTGGTCATTTTGGCCGCGCAGCACTGCAGCACCAGTGGACTGGGACGAACGCCGCGGCGAAGTGAAAAATGCATTTCTTCAAAGTTGGACAGCATATTCTGCCTATGCCTGGGGTGGGTAGACCCGCCAATGCGAGCGCTCGCGTCCCGTGCTGACGACCGTACGCAGGCAACGACAAATTTCACCCCATCGCGAAGACAGGCTCGCAGATGAGCCCGAAAGGCTTAGGTTGGATCATTGTCGATAGCCTCGATACACTCATGATCATGAACCTGACCACGGAGCTGGCGGATGCCCGGCGCTGGGTTGCTCGAAAACTGGATTACAACCAAGAGCAGGATGTGAACACGTTCGAAACGACGATCCGTATGCTGGGCGGATTGCTCTCTGCGCACTATCTTGCTGGCGCACTGCCCGGCACTTCTTCTCGCCGCGACAATGTATACCTCACCAAGGCCATTGATCTAGCAGATAGGCTACTCGGCGCCTACGATTCGCCGTCGGGCGTTCCGTACGCAAGCATTTATCTGAGCTCTCGGAAAGGCATTCCCTCTCACGACGGTGGCGCATCTTCAACTGCGGAAACAACGACGCTGCAGATCGAGATGAAGTATCTGTCGAACCTCACGGGAAACGAGATTTATTGGCGGAAGGCGGAGAATGTGATGCGAGTCGTGGACGGAAATCGTGCCAAGGATGGACTATTGCCCATTTTCATCGACCCTCAAAGTGGTCGTTTCACGACCAGTGAGATCCGACTTGGGAGCCGTGGCGACTCCTACTACGGCAGGTTCCGCGATCACAAAATCATGCAAGGGCGTCTGTGTACTAATTATGGATCACAGAATATCTGGTCAAGCAATACCTGCATACGGCCGAGCAAGAGCCAATCTACCAGGACATGTGGCAAGAGGCGTTGGAAGGAATTGAAAAGCATTTGTTGATCCCGACGAAGAAATCGAAACTGACATTCGTGGCCGAACTGCCGTACGGTATAGGGGGACAGCTCTCTCCCAAGATGGACCATCTGGTATGCTTCCTCCCGGGGACCATCGCCCTCGGCGCAACTGGTGGTCGAACGGAAGCAGAAGCACGAAAACTACCCACGTGGACCAACAAGAAAGAGAGGGAGATGCATATTGCTAGGGAGCTGATGAAGACCTGCTACGGGATGTACGCTGTCACGGCCACTGGTCTCGCCCCTGAGATCACCTGGTTCCACGCCACAGAGAAATCGCTCCAGCCGAACTCGGGTCCTGCCCGCCCGTTGCCCAGAAGCTCCGATTCGGTGAAGGACTGGCTCGAAGACTACGAGATCCGTCCGCTCGACGCCCATAACCTGCAGCGTCCCGAGACGGTCGAGAGTCTTTTCCTGATGTGGCGCATCACGCAGGACCCCATATATCGCGAGTGGGGGTGGACCATCTTCCGCGCATTTCAAGAGCACACTCGGCTCCTTGACGGGGAAGGCTTCACTTCGCTCCAGGATGTGAGGCAGGTCCCACCGCCCCGGCGGGACAACATGGAAAGTTTCTGGCTGGTGAGTCTTGCGTCCAGAGCTCTTGTTTCGCGTGCCCGACAGGACCCGTCGGGCCTTAGCCAATGTGTTAAGCTAACGAGGGATCTTTTAGGCCGAAACACTGAAATACCTTTACCTGCTCTTCTCGCCGGACGATCTGCTCCCACTCACCGAGGTCGTATTTAACACTGAAGCGCACGTATTGCCGGTTTTGCGACAGACGCAGTTCACTACAGGATGGCAGCGGACGCCTCGGTGAGGACGGGGAATCCATCCAGCACGTCTTCTCGGATGGCAAGGGACCATCGCCCTGAACATGGCGTCGACTCGCCTGAACGCATGACAAGTCGCACATTGCCAACGTTGGCAGGCCCAGATACCAGCCATCGAATCCGCGTGCCACCGGGCTGTCCCGGTGGACAGGCAATGGAATCACCACACACCCAGCTGCTCGATATATATGCCGTGGAGCAAATCTTAATTCGCGAAGACTTCTGTCAACAGGACCATTGTGCCTCAAGAGGCAGCAGCGACTAGGGAGGCGATGGACGAGGGACATTGAGCAACAGGCCGTATCGTACCCATGTCTCTCTTCCAGTATCTACAAATGCCCCTGCGTTCTCTCCATACAAGACTGGATTGCTTTGTTTCTCGATGTTGCTGGGCCGTCCCACATGAACACGGATTCGTTCCACTCCCTGCGCCTTTCAGGCCTATCTCGCTATTTATCTTATTATTAAAAAGGGTGTACTGTGGAGAAGTGCGTGATAAACTTCGGGCACCGCGTCTCCACGTGTCTTAGATCTGCGATTTGGGCCGAGTCAACAGTACTGAGGAGTTCGTAGTACAGTACCTTTCCGTGTTCGACGGGGATGCACCGTATGCTGAGATCTATTCGGCTAGCTGCCCAACCGGGGCTCCATAATCACTTCCGGAGCCATGTGGTCTACAAGAGAAAACAACTCGTGGCGTCAGGATGTAAGAGGAGCATGTGAATGCCCCCATGCTTGACTGTGAGATGAGACGAAACAATCGTTGTCTCGCGGGACTTTCTCGGTCAAGGAAAGACATTGAAGCATGGACAGAGAGGGGCGTGCATGCTGCAGACGAAGTCCCGCCGGCCGGTGCACGTGTGAATATGATCGACGCGCAATCTGGCCGTTCGAGGCATTTTTTCCATGTCTTGCATGTCCCTCTCGGTATGGATGTGGAGTCATGAACGAATGATCGGGTTCGCGCGTTTTTTTGGGTTGGTATTAGGGTTGCTAATGTGCTCTTGGGGTTGCATTCGTCAATCGATGAGGTGAACAACTGGGCACCGTTGCATCGTCATAGACTTCATAACAGCAGCATGACGAATGGTCGAACCAGGATCGTACATGTGAGTATATTCTCGTGGTCATATGATGAGTCAATCGGGTGAGAGTCTTCCGAGAACATCATTCAGCAGGACCATAGCAGCTATGCGCAAGTCCCGATGCATGTCGTGCATCACGCACCACCTCAGAAAACATCGTACATGCAGCAACACCACACACATACATGCAACTTGCCTGTAGTCTCCCATCTACACATCAGCTTCTGGACTACCGAACACCATAGCCGTAGCTTACGGGTCCTAAGTTGCAAACCGCTAGAGACAGCTTCCTCGATGCCGAGAGCCTGGACTCGGCGTTTCCTCCATGATCAAGTTTTCTCCCGACCAACTGAACATGTTTAACATCATACGACGAGCAAAATTCTTTCCTGTGGAACGCCGCGCGCCCACAGATGGGCGACCGCTGCATCCTTCACAGTAAGAATCGAGGGACTCGTGACTAGCCGCTCAGCACACACACACCTCTCCAAGCCCTCCTCCTCCACCCACCACCCATCATCCATCATCTTTCCGAGAAAGGGATCCATGAAAACATCGGGGCGGTTCGCTGCTACGGGACGGAGCCAGCTAGCTGGCCAGCCCTCGACATGACATCTCACACTCTTTTGCCGTCCTGCCACCTTGAAGAATCCCATTCGACGACATCGGCCCGCCAGTGCGAATTCGCAAACGAGGCGCGCGCGCTCATTTCCATCCTTTCTGGTTCCAGACGTTTTTTTGTATCTCTCCTACCGCTGTGTGCGACGTTGGACCCGGGCTTTTTGGCCGTGACCGGCGTGTGTGCCGCCTTATCCCCAAGTTCCGAGACTTTCCCATCAATGGTCTTGCTCGAACCGTTCCTTTTCTCTGAAAGAAATGTGGTGGGACCGTGGGTGGTCGTGGTGAGCTCAACACGTGGGACGGTTGCTAAGTGTTCTACAGAGAGAGAGACAGAGACGACGGGTCTAATAGAGTTGTCTCGAAACACACCAGTCGTCTTCGATGTCGGGAACATTTACTACTCCATGGGGTTTTTCTTAGAGTGTCGTGAAAAAGAGAGTTTCTGTATCCTGGATCTATTCTGGGACACATCAGATAGCACCTGGGCAGGGTTTGTTGGAGGAGCGGTCCTATTGGCCATTCCGCTATATATTCCTGTAGCAACAAGTAGTGATAGTGGTAATCAAAACCAATACGCCCGTCAGAATTATGGCTTGTCCCAGGGTTAGTGACGATGCTGCTAGTAGAACTCCCCGCAATCCCGCAGGGTGACATTTCCACCAATATGCAGGCAATGAAGTGAACATTAACAAATAATAATAACGATAAAATAATAAATGAAACAAGGGATGCCCGCCCCCGCCAGTCGGCGGCGGAAGGAGTTTTTGGTGGGGCAACACTGGTTCTGATGGGCGACTACGCCAGCCAAGAGGCTAGGATCTTTCTTCGCCAACCTATCGCTACCCTCTCTCCGCAGCAGTCGCTCCCTTGACATTCTTGGACTTCGACTGTTGTGTCTCGCTCCGACATCGAAGGGCCCGTTCATGTTGTACAACAGATGTACCTTGCAGCGAATGGGTGTTACGATAGGAGAATTGCGGAATGAGAGAGAGAGGGAGAGAGAGCGGTGTGCAAAATCTGTGAGCGCACTGCACTGGATGGATAGGCGGTGCCGTCGTGTACGGTGTCACACACATACGCACGCACACACACACACACAAGAACAGACGTGAGGTTGCACTCTCGCAGTCCCGATTGGTTCGTCGTGGGGATGCACCACACGGGCTCGGACGACCTTCTACACGCCTGATCATCATTCATCCCTTAGACACGGGCATGATGTGTTCGTCTGCCTACCTGACCATTCATCATCGATAATCGGTTGTCTCAGCCGATCACATTTTTCCTCCCTAGGGAATGCTATGGGAAGGTTGTAAGTGGTCAGTCGGGCCTGGCACATATCTCCGATGTACTGCGACAATTGCTGCTGCCGCTGCCGCTGCCGTTGTTCCTCCACCTCCCTTCTCTCTCTCTCGGAGGTCAAGCACATGGCGCCGGGTCAAAGTCTCAGCCCGCATCCGTCTCGTGGTCATGTGCGGATTGGAAGAAGGCCTAGCGCTTTGGTTTGCTGACACGTTTTTCATCATGACATGCCTGCCCAGATATAGAAGGGCCTGCCGGTCCGTTATAGACACATTGTCTCGGCATGAGAGCGATCGTCATCAGTATTACGTGCAGACAGTGGGCAACAATAAACGTCGTGGTGGGGACAGCGCACATTGGCAGCGAGCAACCCTGATCCCGAGACATTTTGCATCCCGGTCTCAGGTTCAAGGGTGTGGCTTAGGACTTAACTCCGTCGTGCTGCTCTTGTTGCTGCTGCTGCTACATGCTGCTGCTGTGTTACCCAGGTTGTATTCCGCAGATGCAGAATGTTAGCATTCAATCCAATCTTCGACGAATCACACGGCGTCTCGAAAGCTAAAGACTGTGCACTGCACGGAACGGGACATCACCTCGCAGATCGTAAGTGTGCATGTGAAAGCATCGTGGCCTCGTCATTCGGCAGCATCAAATGCTCCGAAACCTCTGCGACTAATCATCGCTTCAAACGTGCTGGTGCTGGTGCCGGTGCTGCTGGGATCTGGAATTACCGTTGTCGTGATAATGATAGATCATCATCTCGAGAACCAGGCTAGTGCTGCAAGCCAGCGGCACGCGTGGGGGAGGGGACAGAGGAGGCTGTCAGCGGGTCAGATCTCGTCGAACCTCTACACATGTTCGAAGACTTGGCGACCGCATAAGCGGCGAGGAAGAAGCGACTTGCGACGACCTGCAACGACCAAAGCAGGGAATTGTTATGCATCATGTATCGTAGAAGCCGAAACCGCCCGAAGGCAGGACACACTTGCAGCGACACACGGACGGATTTGGAGTGGTGAGTGATGAGAGATGTGCCATGTTGCATTCTGGTCCGCCGCCGCTATGGATGTGGTCTGAGCTTTGCATCGTGAAGCGAAGCAAAAAGCAGATGATGAGACGGGAGCGCGAGATGGACCCGGCCGTCTCGACACTCGAGCGCGCGCCCAGTAACACCGTCGTCCAACCCGGGCGCTCGCCCGCCCCGCCGACCACGGCCATGCAGCATGTGAGATGAAATCATCCGTGGCTGGAGGTGCACGGGGGAAAATGTGTCACACTCCAATAAAAATAACAATAGTGCCTCCTCGGATCTTCTACACACTCGCATGCACGGATCGGGATGGGATGACAAAGTGTCGTTATGCTTCGCTTCGGAGCGAAGAGGCTTTGCGAAAAGGCAATCGGCAATACATATCGGCATCATCATCTTCTCCCTTGCATGACTTGCAGAAGCTCCGCAGGACGTGAGCTGGGAACACCGTGCATATGTAGACAGTAGCGTTTTGGCTTTTGGCGACGACGATGATGATGATGATGGAGCACGGAATTGAAATGAGAAAGCCTATCAAACGTGATGATCACGACTCGACGATTGGCTTGGCCGTTCACGCCGGCATCGTACCGGTCATTGGCGCGCAAGCATGGGTCAAACGCAATTCGGAGCGAGGCCAACGTCTTTCTCGTCTGTCGTGTCTGTGCAATGCACGCCGCACACACCCTCCGCCTAAACGACAATGCAGCACACCACCATGATGACGGGCAACCACCACCATCACCAAGCATTTCCACCCCACCAGATTGCGCACGCAGGTATCTACAGTATGCCTCGCAGACTTGTCGCCATTCCTGTCCACCGCTGTCCGCCTATCGGACTGTAGCAGTGCAGTGCAGCGCTATACAGACACCATGGTCCTGAACTGTAAGCATCGCATCTTCTGGGTGTGCTTGTGCATGTGCGTGTGCGTCAGGCCTGTGTGTGGAATGTACCGTCCGTGTGTTATGTTGACGATCCGGAACCAAGAAAACAACAAGCCCTTCCCTCATCACCAGTGCGGTGCATCTGGTCCTTCGTCACGGCCGCGTGAGAGGATGTGTGAGAAATCCGTGTAAGCTGCTCTTCGTAAAGGCATCAATTCACAAATCAGCTGCGGTGAGGAGAGCAGCCGACTGTGCCCAAGAGCTACGGTGTCTCATCGACATCCCCGTCCAATCTCATCACCGTCACGGGCATCAAATTGCGCTCGCCAGGAAGCGCAGATCAACGCCTGAAAAGGGCGCGATAGTACATACCTGGGACATCTGGAGAGATTGCTACAGCTTTTGTTGTCCCTTCCCATCATCGCCCGTTTGCCCATTCAGCGTCACGACACAATTCCCGAATCCCACCAACAACAACAACAACAAGGACACATCAAACAGTAACGACAGACAACAGTGAAGAAAAGACTATTTCGCTGCTATTCTGGTCTGGACTGCACCATTACCCGCAGAGGACCTATCAATGTACGTATCCACAGTCCCCCCTCACCAAGGAAATCCTCCTGAAGTTCCCTCGCTGCCCCAAATTTCCGCCCAGCCTGCACCACATCTTCACACGTTCTCCCCTTCACCAAGCGCCCGCCCTCGCCCTCGCCCTCGCCGCCGCCGCCAGTCTGCAATTTGCATAGTGCGCCAGCAGACATTGATTTTCCCTCAAATCGATCTGCCATCACGATGAGAGTCGCCCTTTGATAGCTGACACTCATCACCCTTCATGGCGGCGGTGTTGAGTGCAGACAACACACATGTGTTATATCCAGCGTTCATCATTCTTTGTTTTCACCTCATCATCACCACCACCCATCTGCTGTCCTCCCCACCCGTACCCATTACCTGCAGCAGCAGCAGCATCACCATCACCACATCCGATCGCCGCCATCATCTTCCATTCTTCATACCAAATGTGTCCAGTCGGCTTCTGACCTGATCAGTCCCCGCGTGCGCGCGCGCGTCCGCCGCAGCTAGACCACATCCATACCCGCAGCCTGCAACCATCGAGACGAAACCCTGGCCACGCCATTGCAGAATCCTGCAAGCTAGATTTCTTGCATGAGCCTAAAAGGTCACTGTCATTGGCCAATAACCTAATCATCGAGTCGGAATCTGGAAGGTGGGCGCCTTTTTGGTTAGAGAGAGCCCTTCTGCAGACCCATTGTCCAAGGTTCTTAATCGGCCCCTCCGCCGCCGCCCTGCTCTCACCACAACCGCCGGGCCTTGTGAGGCATCGTTCTGACGCTGGTCAGTCAGTTCGTCGCGAACTGTCCTCGAGCGGCTTCGTCGAGGGTTGCGTGTTCGCTGTGTGTTTCGTGGTGAGCCTCACCGTTGCATCGCTTCTTCTCGATCGCTCTCCTCTGGCCCGTTCGACACTGCCCGATTGAGAGACTGCACGCCGTCGATCAATCACCCTGTGGCTGACTTCCAAATTTCCTGCAGGCGTTCCTGTTCTGCAGAGTTTGTCTAGATTCCACCATCATCCTGCATCGCCGTCGACAGACCGTGTGCAATTTTTGAATATTTCCGTCCTCACGGAACATCACTCGCCTGAGTCACAGACTCGCACCTCGAGAGATCATCATCTCACGTAACAGGCATCGTATTGCCCACCCGGTCTCCCGACCACAATCGCCATCATTCCATCCGACTGTGCCTGCACCCATGTATGATATGAACGAGAAGCCATGGAATCGGAAGACGGCGTGCTATTCGTAAAGGTATGGGCCCACTACGCTGATTTGCTGACCGTGGTGTTCTGCTGCTACTCGCATTTGACTAACAACACTTCCGCTCTTCAGAATCTAGCAAACTTCGTTCGAACCCATGAGCGGGCGTTGGCAAACGCCCTCCAATCTCAATATCGCTTGCGAAACAAAGATGGCAAAGAGCAGGTGGTCTCTGGCGGCCCTGCCAGTCCCATCTCTCAATCGGCACCTACCTCAACGTCCTTGACCGAACTGCTCTCACGGCCTTACTTCTCATTGGCATCGCGCACCATCAAACCGGCCAAACTCACCTTGACACCTCACCACCTCTACTACCTCCTCGACCGCTTCGAAGACCTCGGCGTCGATGTCGGACCTATGAAAGTCCGCCTTGAGAACTTGCACGGCGACGCTGGACCTATGAACTATGTGTCCTTCCTGGGCAATGCACCAAAGTCAAAAGGTCGGCAAGCCGATTCCGACTCCCTTCGCTCCGTGTCTAGCATCCGGAGTGTCATGTCGAGCGTCTCATCGGTGTGGTCAAACCTGACCATGTCGAACAGCGCTGCAAAAGCTGCGAAGCAAATGTCACAAAACCGGGAGGATCTCACATATCTATACTCTTGCTTCACAAAGATTCCTGCGTTGCGGCTGGCACCTGATCATCGCGCGCGACTCGTCGCGGGCTTCGAGGAGTTTCCCTTTGACACTGCGGTCCCCCTGTTCGCCTTCAAAAACCTGAGCGCCCTGGAAATCTGTGACCTCGACTTTCGACAGTTTCACGGATGGGATCGATTGGCGGAGCAACTTCGCACTCTTACTGTCAAGCGTGCAGGCGTGGAGGATCCTTTCGATCTGCTGTACAGCATTGTCTTAGACGATGCGGAGCGCCGTCGCAAACGGTCCTCTAAGACACAGGTCCCTACCACTCCATCCACACCTGGCGTGCCGTGGCCGACCGTGAGCCCAAAGAGTAAGCAAGTCGAGCTTGCGCGGTCGCTTTCGTCGCCCATCGCCATCTACATGGACCAACGACGCGGATCGACGGGCAGCCCAAACGCCACCACGAGAACCATCTCTTCCGAGGGCAAGAGGCCTGTGCCGCTGAACAGACAACCGAGTAATTCTCCGCCGCGAGCGACTATATCCCGAAATGGATCTGCATCGCATCCGCACCGACCACACACCGGTCGCAGCCAGCATTCCAAAAATCGGCGATCCTCTGGCAGCTCCGAATCCAGCACGCATGAAACCACTCCCAGGCACAGCGCTTCGGATCTCATGTCCTTTGGTATACTACCGCCCTCGAAATGGCGATTCTTACGACATTTGAGCTTGGCAGAGAATAGCTTGACGCACTTATTCGCGAGCAGCTTGGCGCCGGTTGCAAACACTCTGCACTCACTGGACCTGTCTGGTAATTTGTTCAGCGAGATCCCAGATGCTCTGGCGAGTTTGACACACTTACGAGCGTTGAACCTCAGCAATTGCATGATCGATAGCCTGCAGTCGCTTTCGAGAAACCCGCTGCCGGCCATAACAACGCTGAACCTGCGTTCAAACCGACTGCATTCACTTGCCGGCATCGAACGTCTCTACTCGCTCGAAAGATTGGATCTGCGGGACAACAAGTTGCACGACCCGACCGAGCTTGCACGGTTGACTGGTATTCCTGACATCATCGACCTTTACGTTATCAAAAATCCCTTCACTAGGACACACGGCAACTACCGAGTCACCATCTTTAACCTTTTCCGAAGCACGCCTGGCCATGTTGACGATGTGACGATCGACACCCTGGGACCATTGTACAACGAGAAGAAACATCTCGTGGACAGGGTTTTCGAGCCCGCGTATCAGAAGCCTGTTATCCAGCCACCCCTCGAGGATGATGATGGACCTCTACCCTCATCGCCCATTGTTGCTCCTATGATACATGATCACGATCGGACACCGCCATCCAGTGAGCAATTCAGCCATAGACGTTCGACATCGGATATAGGACCGCGATCGACAGCTCGTCGTCGAAAAGTCCCAAGGAGAAGGATTGTTGAGCTCTCACAGGCAGACTTTCCACGGCCCGCACAGCAAGAGGTTACACCTGCTCCTGCAGACCCGCCTGTTCCCGAACTCACTCAAGTTCACCCTATGCCACGAACGCCAAAGGGTGACAGTGAGCCTCCTGAAATGCTCGAAACACCTGGAACCACCCCGCGCGACACGGAAACACCCGTTCAACCCATCCGCCCTCCACTCGCCGTCCGGCCACCCAAACTGGACACGGCATTCGCATCACCTCCACATTCGCCCAAGATTCGTGATCTGTCCGACAACGACAACTCCCCGATTCAAGCTCTAGAAGATGATCTCGAGAACCTCCCGGCAATGTTCCGCCAGAAGATCGACTCGCTTCAAGACGACCATGGATCGAACTGGCTCTCTGCTTTGCACGAGGGAAAGCTAGCCGGCTCTGGTAACAAAACTGTTGGCGGTGTGATCACGACTGCAGATCGTGATTACAGTCCTGCATCAACCATCCGGACGGAGCAAGCTTCCCGAAGCGTCAGCGTTGGTACGAGGACCCTCGGCTGAGGATGCCTCCTGATCGAAACCAAGTCGAGCGTCGTGGCATCCTCCAAGCGACATCTTTGAAACCTTTTGAACATTGCACTGAATTGATACCCACTGACTCACCATCACCACCACCACCACCATCGCCACCATATCCATCGTATACAACTCTCACCTCTCGACTCGTTGGCGTTTGCGCGGTCCGCGTTGCCTCTCCGCTCTTCTCGCCCTTTTCGCATCGCGCTCTTGTTATAAAATTTTTTGTCGCGCGTCCAGTTTCGAAAAACTCCCCCGCTTTCTCTCTTTTGACTAATCGACAAATGAAAAAGACGACATGATTGAAAGAAATCTCTTGGGGATAGCGAGGCGTTCTGACACTTTTTTCTTTTGCTTTTCTCTTCTGCTTCTTGACGACCTTATTGGCTGGGGGTAATTTGAGTTCCCTCGAGAGAAAGAAACAAAGAACCAGAAAGAAATTTCTCGTGCGAATTTCTGCTTGGATCACTTTCGGACTCGTCCGAGGATTCCACACTTGTTCCTTGTGGATGGAGTTATTTCCCCCCCATTGTTGAGCTCCTCTGCGCTCGACGACGACGACGATGACGACAACGCCGATGATGTCAGGATTTTCCGAGACCGATATCTCATGTTCGGAAACAGTCGAGTACATGGGGTTTTCACGACGGCGAGGAACGGACGAAAAAAGAAGCTTTTGATTTTTTGCCTTTCATGATGATACACCTGATTGTTGTTTTATTCTCTATATTGGGGCTCGGGGCAATTTTTGTGCCTCTGTGTTGAATTTTCCGCCTTTGTTTTCCTCATGATTGCAAGCGAGGCGTTTTTTGTTTCGCGCTTTGTTTTCTCTTGCCTCCTCTCTCCAATGGGAGGTTTTGGAGTGGTTCATGGAGGACCTTTTGTTGTTCTCGAACCGCGGGATGGGAAATTTTTATTATAATTTATCATCATGCATCATTATTCTTTCGCTTCTCGTCATCACCGTCAGCTGTGCTGCCTCAATATCTCCCGACTTTCTTGCCCATCATTGTAGTAGTGGTGACAAGAAGGCCTAAACGTATCAGGTCCGCTCACTCAGTACCAGACGACTGCCGACGTCTACAAACCTGCCTGGTATCTATGTGCTGTCCAACAGCCCGATGCATATAGCATACAACACTGATCTTCCCCCGCGAGATGTACAGGATGTATTACCGGCCGATCGGCCCGGTCGTGTGTATGCGTCATGTATACTTGTACAGCAACAGCACCGTATCACGAGCATACAGTGCAGTACCGTTGCGCAGTACGCAGGGTCTAGATCTGCAGGACTTCTCCAATACATGTACTGCACTGCACTTTACCGTGCTGTACTGTTGAGGGTCGGATCGGATGGGTGGAAGTGGACTTCCGATGGGGACGTTTCTCCCCTCGAGAGAGGCGCGAGAGGAACCACTACCCACTACCCATAATCTGCTCTTTTCTTTTTCAAGCGAGGATTCTTTGGGAGCGAGAGCGTCATTTGGGCTTGGAGATGGTTGTTGATGTGTTTTTGGATTGGGAGTATGACGCCCTTGGTGCCTCTGAGACAATGCTTACGCAGCTGGAGTTGCTCTCTCAATACCTGGGTAGACATTGATGCAATCCTGTTCAATCTCTGATCTTGCATTCGGGCTTTGCTTCGACGTTTGACATTATTAGTTCTGTGATCGAGAGCTGCTGTGAGCATGGGGGAGCTTCAGGACCAGCGGTATCCAATCATCGTTGCGCGATCCGAGTATCTTCACGGAGCGTTCGTTGTACGCGGTCACATTTCTGCCCTGTCCGAGTGAACACCGATTGCCAGGATTGCAGAGATACCAAGGTAATGGCGCAGCGGCCGTACGGAATGACCTGCAGATGAGGGATCGCGTTAGGTCGCGAAGCATTATTATATGCATGCATGAACGAGAGAGGTCCGGCAGAATTGCTACGCAGCAGGGCGGCTCTTCGCTGTTGCTCGATCTCTATCATGTACAGCTGCCCGAAAGGCAAAAACAGCCTGGTCAATCCCGGGGCCGCGTGAATACATGTTCCTCCATCCGGACAGCCAATCCCAAGGGGCTTGCTGCTTGACGCAATCGGTATAAAGACATGCCGTCCCAGAGGATAGGTACAGGCAAGGAGCAGCAGCAGCAGTAGTGGCGGCAGTAGTGAGAAGCAGGAGACGGAAGTGTAAAAAAAAGTGGCCCTCATTCACAGAATCCCACCTAGTAGTCGCAGTGCTCCCCATGCAGCAGAGGGAGAGAGAGAGGGAGAGCGGGAAACAGAAAGTGTGCAGTGTGGGAAGTAGAGGTCCGTGCCCCATCCTCGCCGCGAAAGCGAAACATGCTTCTTGCCCTCTCTTTCATCACACGTCGTCGCCCTTGTCGCTGCTGCCACCACCACCTCCACCACTATTTCCGCCCATCACCGCCGCCGTCATCAACGACTCACGTCAAGACAATAAACATCTTCCACGCTTCTGCGCCATCAACCGCTTCACCAGCTCCTTGAATCAAATTCGCCGAGTCGCGCCGAATTTTCACCCTTGATTGTCAAACCCCATCAGGTTATCTCTGTGAAACGATTTTTCACTCCCAACCGTGCTCGACCGTCTCCGCCTGCAAAAAATCACATTTCTCACCAGTTTCCAACCCTCGACAGCAACGCCATCGTCGCCGCACAACATCTCTCAAGTGCGCGACATTCGTGAAAAACCGACCGGGTCGTCACACGATCTCGCTCAAGAAAAGAGCTTGGCAGCATCGGGATCTCCGAGAAGTGTGCTTGGCACAACAACGCGGTCACATCCATTTGCGTTGTTGGAGTCTCTCGCGGGAGTCGATTTCACCGGATAAGGTACACTGCGCTTAGATTGAGAGGAGAGAGATCGCGCCTTCGCAGGAGCCTTTGCGCTCGTCTGGTTCGCTTTTAGGTAAGCCGCAATCCTCCATTTCTCCTGCGATCCAATGGTCAGGTTTGTGCGGTGCCCAGACGGACAAACGGGACTTGATTGCGCACGCAATGTGCGTGTCGATGAGTTTTCCGATCTTCTTCGCGCGCACACAGGATCGACTCGGTGCGAAAGACACACATTTCAGTCGGTCGGCGTCTGAGGACTGTCCTCCATCGGCATTGTAATCTTTTGCGCCATTTTTAAATCTTGAAGCTGACAGACCTGATGGTGCAGTCGTTCGCTCGTTTCCCTAGGCAGCTTGGCTCGCTTTTATCTAACGCAACGCCACCTTTACCTACCACCCGTCATTCCCTCCGCTCGTCATGGCGGATCAAAATGACGTGGACTTGGACTCCATCATCGACCGCCTGCTCGAAGTGCGCGGAAGCAGACCTGGCAAGCAAGTTCAGCTGCTCGAGGCTGAGATCCGATTCCTTTGCACCAAGGCTCGCGAGATTTTCATCTCTCAGCCCATCTTGTTGGAACTTGAGGCTCCCATAAAGGTATGTGGTAATTAAATGCAACTAAAACTGCACTCCCGACTGACGTAGATTGAAGATCTGCGGTGATATTCATGGACAATATTACGATTTGCTCCGACTTTTCGAGTACGGTGGATTTCCTCCGGAAGCCAACTACCTCTTCTTGGGAGACTATGTCGATCGCGGCAAGCAATCACTCGAGACCATTTGCTTGTTGCTCGCCTACAAGATCAAGTACCCAGAGAATTTCTTCATCTTGCGCGGCAATCACGAATGCGCTTCGATTAACCGTATCTATGGTTTCTATGATGAGTGCAAGAGGCGCTACAACATCAAGCTATGGAAGACATTCACGGATTGCTTCAACTGCTTGCCCATCGCCGCCATCATCGACGAGAAGATCTTCACCATGCACGGAGGTTTGAGCCCGGATCTCAACTCGATGGAGCAGATTCGTCGCGTGATGCGCCCTACGGATGTGAGTGAAATCGGATGCCCGCCCATTCATTGACCCTAGAATCTCATGCTAATGATGTACAGATTCCCGACTGTGGCCTGCTTTGCGATCTGCTATGGTCTGATCCGGACAAGGACATCACTGGCTGGAGCGAAAACGACCGTGGTGTATCCTTCACATTCGGCCCCGACGTTGTGTCGCGATTCCTGCAAAAACACGACATGGATCTAATCTGCCGTGCGCATCAAGTCGTGGAAGATGGTTACGAATTCTTTTCGAAACGTCAGCTCGTGACCCTCTTTTCTGCACCAAACTACTGCGGTGAATTCGACAACGCTGGTGCCATGATGAGCGTAGACGAGAGTCTGCTGTGCTCCTTCCAGATTCTCAAGCCCGCCGAGAAGAAACAGAAGTAAGTCATCTATGTTCGGGACACAACCTTCTGTCTTGATGTTGGAGCTTGAAACCTCCGAGCAAACAAACTAGAGTGCAAGCTGACGAGTGCCACAGCAGGTTCGGCCGCCGATAAGCGACTCTCTCTCGTACGATCCACCGTTTCTCTTGACACCCGATTCATTCGGGCATCGTCCGGCAGGCCAAGACGATGCCATGGTTGTGTGTCACACATGGCACCTTTCGGCGATAAGAACACGGGCACTACACATCGATTTTCTCAGCATTAATATTTTGAGGAGAAAGAGATGCAGTGGTCAGAGACATGATGGAGATGAAGAGACATATACCTCCACAGAGGCTTGATTCGCGCCGCGATTCTGGGAGAGACCCCGGTATCGATGTCGATTCAAGTCGCTCACAACAATGTATGTTGACCGGGCGGGAATGTTGCTGCTACGCCTGACATTCAACGGGAATGGTGGTACCCTTTGCGCTGGATGGAAGGGTCAAGGACATGACTGAACTGCCCTTCTCTCTATGCGTTATGGATCTCAGACTTACTTCAATGACGAAACTTTCTTCTTTTTTGTGCTTTTCTTGATAGAGCTTATTGCCATCTCCCTGGCATACATTCTGTCTTTGTCACTCATCACTTTCCTGTCCTACCCGTTTCCATCGCATGTCATCGAGACTCTGATCTATGAGACTGTCTCCGCACCGATCTTAAATTGACCTTGCTCATACGCCGAAACATCGTAACTGCCCTCCAAGATCCTCAATCGGCTGGATCTAGAGGGTAGGAGAACACTTGATCCTCGTCAATTTCAGGGAAGGCCTTAATCTCGCATCCTAGCATATTCCTCGATAGGCAAATGACCTCCTGCTTCGCCATCTCCGCCGTGATATCGATGTCCGACTGAGTGAATGACTCGTAGATCATCGATTCGATCACGGGGCCTTTCCGGCTGGAGAGATTCCGCACGATGATCAAGGTGTAGTGCGGGTCGCCCGTCCAACTCCGCGTCCAGCTGATGCTGTAGGCGTGGCTTTCTCGTAGGTAGGTTGGCCGGACTGACCATCGGTCGTCCATCGATCTTGGTTTGCAGCCTTTTTTCAAGATCTCGAAGTCGGAGGCGCTGATGGGGAGATCCCATTGTATCGTCTCGGGACGTCTCATGTCCTTGGATTGGATCATCGCTGATTGTGGACTGGAGTAAGCTCGTTGTCGATCGTAAATTTTGCTGTTACGTGCTTGATAAGTTCCTGATCGGATATTTGAAATCCACATAGATTACATACGCCTGTGTCTAGTTTTGGAAATTTCGTGGATAAGGTGAAGTCAGGTTTCGGGGCTTGTGAGCTACGTCCAATATATACCTTTGAAGGTACGTAAATTGGAACGGGAGTGTGTAAAGGCGCAGGCGATGAGTGAGCGAGCGATTCGCGCTCGTGAAATAAGCTCAGCCCTACCGCATGGGAGGCGCTTACTGACATGTGCATACCTAGGTAATTTATAGGCACCAACAGGGCCTCTTTTCGATCTTGCGACGTCACTCGTTCGTTTCGATGTTACAACTTGATGAGCTACAGCTTGATGATATTTCCAAGAGTTTATGCCACCTCCTGGCAGATCCTGCATCTACTGGTTTCATCACGATGCCCCCAAATGCTTCATGTATCGCTCCGGACCGGACATCGCACCTGTCGTGGCGCATTAGGGCGCAAGCGCTAGACTGGAACATAAACAAACCATGTTTAATCAAGTTTGGTATACTTACTTTATTATATCACGCACTAATATTGGAAGCGCCATACTTGAGAGACACGCTCCCGTACAGCTCATACGTGAATTCTGCACATCTATGCTGTCCACAAGACTCACGCAGAACATGCCCGCGGTTGATGGAACACCAGCGTCTGGCGATGTGTCGGAAGCGCCCAATTGCGAACTACCAATACGTTTCCAATGCGTGATGAAGTTGGCACAGGTGACCATTCAGGACGGATACAGATTTCCCATGCGCTTTGTCAAACAAAGCGAATGATTCTGGGTCTAACGCTCCCGATTCGAACATGATTTCCTTGTGCCTGATGATGCATGTCAAATATAACATCATACCGACTGCAGCCACCAGCGCCGGAGGATGAAACTTCAGCAAGCTGGATACTGTAACAAGGCTTCATGCGGCGCATAAATTGAAAACATAGAAATAGGCCCAATCTCTCATCAGCCAAGACTGGATGCCATTCTGACACGCCATATTCACTCTTTCGCGCACCATTTCCGCTCACAGATGCGCATATCAGCATTTGCCATAACGCTCTTGAGCGCGGTCTCTACTCTATCAGGCCAAGTCCATGCCATCGAGTATCTGTACCGCGGCGATAGTCGTGGACCCACCGTTCTCAAAGGAGAAAATCCAGCTGGCTTCAAGGCGTGGGGCTACGACAGACCAGATGGAACGTTAGAGGGGCATATCACCAAGAAGCTTCAATATCCACTGCGTGACCCGTTCATCTCTACCAGTCGCGACCACAAGATCGCAGTGGAGTTTTCTCAACGGCCACACAATCCTAATCCTGTAGGATGGGTTTATTACCTTGACCCGAACAAGATTGAAGAAGAGAAGCACGATGCGGCTGCTTACTGGACTCAAAAGGGAAAGAAGAACCCATACCAGAGAGAGCAGGAGATTGCAATCCATCATTATATCCCTTGGTCTGCAGTGGTCAAAGTAGAACGCGTAGAGGACTTCAAAGCGAGGGCGTGGAAAGTCCCAGGGCTTGGATCAGAGGCTGGTCCATCAAAAATAGACACCAAGAAGCCAGACTCTCACGCACCTGAAACTAGGCCCCAGAGCCCAGCTCCTGGAGACAAGCCAGCGTCTGTAAGCGTCAATCCTGCTCCCGTGACGAACAATGGGAGCAAGTTGCCTATCCCGGTGCCCAAGACCGGTGAGACGCCCGATAATGATTCGGTAGTCAAACCTGCTCCGGGAACCAAGCCCGGTCCAGCGACCAACGCAAGTAGCAAGATTCCTGTACTGGTGCCTAAGCCGGCAAGGAAGCCTGGAAAGAAGGGTGATAAGCGACACGCTCGCGATTTCTCGCACGACGATGAGACCGGAGCCAATATCAACGCTGATGAAGAGATTCTCTGAAGAATCCTTATCAGAGCAATGTGGTCGCGCGAGGGTGTTGGGTGTTCGAATGGGATGGTGGGAAACTTGTGGGTGCGCTCAGGCGAGATATTGTTCCACTATCTCCATGCGCTCTGCCATCCCATAACACACTGGAGTGTTGAAATGCCATCCGTTCGAAAACGACTTCTGTCTGTCGAGCCCACTACCTGTATCTTTTCGCTCAACTGCTTGCTAATGATAATCATGTTGATATCGAGTTATTGAACGTCTATGGGACGAGAAGCTTGCAGGTCTTTCTATACGACCTGGATGAGCACTAGCGGTGATATGAGATGGGGGGCTCGTTCGGCTGTCGGACCGATCCGCCGGGCATCTACGTCAGGCCGTTTCCATCGCGCAGCAGTGAGCTCGGCTCGGAAGAAGCTCCCACTGATCGCTTGCGGTGACTGTTCTGCTAATGGTCGATGTGTTGGTGATTCCGTGAATTGCTCATTTTCAATTTACCACCTTTGTTTCATACCTACACACAGCAATCATGTCGTTTTTCAAGAATTTGTTCAAGCAAGTAAGTCAATGATGAGAAATCAAAGCACAACCATTGCAAGACGCATCCAGCCGTTCCCGATGCCACCATTGCAGCATGCTCGCATTCAGCGCCCATAAATCTACAACACTCCACCCAGCGCAAACAACATATCCTGAGACCGAATGAAACTTCTCACTGACAATCTTTCTTCGATTGTGTTTCTAGAGAGGCATCAAGGATGTCGTCACCCTCTTCCACGATCCCTCAAGCGCGGCGTCTGTTCGCGTGCACACCTTCCTGAAGCAGGCGAGCGCCAACCAGGTTGCGACTGCGACACTCGACCAGGCCAGCGAGCATGACACGAAGAGCAAGCAGGGACGGACGGACTACGAGCTTGGTATGTTTGGTGCGATCGAGCGTGAGGACGGGGAGAGACACGGGAGAAAGCGCAAACCAAGAATGTGGAAAGACATGGGTCAAAGCGAAGACCCTCCCGAGCAACTCGACAAGAGAAGGAATATTTTGAGCGATGCCTGAACGATGCCGTGGAGACCTACTGACACAAGAATTGTCCGATACAGAAATCCAAGAATCGGCACCGACCGGCGACCAGCTCAACAGCATCCTCGAATACCTGGGCCCCGATGCTGCTGAAACCGTAGTCGAAGGCGCGAGTGGTGCCGGCGATGCCCTGAAGATCTTCAAGCAGGACGAGGTCGCGCTACGACGACCGATCGTGGTGGATTGGAACAATGGTCGAGCTGGTATGTACAATGCAGGATAAGACGGGAACAGAGAGGGTCAGGAAAACGTGATCATGATGGCGGTGCTGATATTCCTTTGATACGCAGTTGTTGGAGAGGATCAAAGCAAGATTCTTGCCTTGCTCAAGGCCATTCCCAAGGAGTAATGCGCATCGACCTGTGCAGTACAGTGAGGATTGTTCACTGGTGTAAGATATGTTTGTGAGGCGGCAGCCCGCACAATTGTGGGAAATGACAATCTGTGAATATGAGAACATATCTCAACTCCTAACAACTGTTCAGTGTCTGAAAGATGAACGAAATCCCGTGCACGTGAAGCCGCGGATATCTCTGATCTTCCAGTGTTGTGAAGGCATTGACCATGGCATTAGGTTTGCGAGTGCAAATGACCATTCTCTAGATCATGAATGCCAAAACTTGTCGCTCATGATACGATTGCTAAGCTCCAAAGTGGCAGCTCAAGTGAATTCTGACAAGCAATCTGCCCGCGGTTGCATTGACCGGACGCAACAAGAACGCAAGCCCATGTCGCTCGCGCTGCTGATTGAGGCAGGAGCCAACACTTTCGTGCCTGTTGACCTTCTTGGCCCGCAAGCAAGCACCGCAAAAGCACGACACACACAAAGTTGTGACTTCCACGTTGAAGCAAAAAAGTATGCTTGTGTCACATTGGCGACCTCTTTCTTCGTTGAGTTGATTGCAAGTGTTTTCTCCTTTCACTGATTACCCTGGCCCCCACCAACATCCTTCACTCCGATCGCGACACGAAACTGCTTATCTTTTGCAATATCCTGTTCACGTTTGTTGGTTGTACTCCTATTCGTTTCCAACTACGTTCACTGGCTCTCGACGAAGGGCCTTTGGATCATTCATTCGCTCATTCATCCCTTTCGCATGATTGATACTTTTTCGACCCATTCACTGGAATCGCATCAACCGATTACCTTGACAGATTTCACCGCCAATCGAATTCTCTCTTGCTACAATGGCCACCGACTTCGTGGCTGATCCGGTGATTGTCAGAAACAATACATTCCGTGACGTCGCTTGCTACGTCCACCACCTTTACGCCGAAGATAGTCTCAAGTGGGGATCAATATGGCCCTGGGAGTTTCCACAAAATGCCACCCAAGACGATGAAGAAAATTTCATCAGAGAATGGTTTAGCGAACGAGAAATACACCTTCATGGCGGTGCTGCACCCCCAGGCAATGGGTTTAGGTTCCTCAAACAGGCCTGGTACTCAGCAGCGCTTTACAATCTCAACGATCGTGTGCCCCTCACCGTTCAATGGTGGTTTGATACCAACCAAGAGCTGTGGCGAGATCCAAGCATGACCGAGCACTTCTTCAAGCCGGACGTCGAAGTTGCCACGTTCTTCTTGCAGCCTCAAGTAAGAATCTTTGGAACCAAGTTCTTGAAGGTGGTAGTCGGTGAGATCCAGAAACGACTCCTGACCACTCTGTCAGAGAAGCGAGACTCCCCTGTTCCATTCGCCGAGAAAGAGGCAGCTTCGGAATCACCAGTGACGCCACTACAAGCACAGTTTGATGCACCAGTCAAGTCTATCCATCAGAAACTTGTCGACCAAGCCGAAACGAAAGAGCTAGCTGAAGTCGAAGCTCGAAAACTTGAGCAGGAGCGGCTTGTTCCTCCTAAAGATTTGAGATTGACTACTGATGATCTGGCCGTTGTTGAGAAGTCAGTCTCTCCGAAGACAAAGTCCTATCCGAACCTTGGGCCAGGAAGTCTACCGCCAAAGCCACCTGCAACGACACCTACCAAGTCCACGATTCGCGAAGTGCCGCAGAGGGTGTCGACGATCGATGGGAGTGCACAAGCTTTTCAACCGATTCGCCGTGTGACCGGCTACGCGCCCAGAATACATCATTCTGGGCCATTTGAAGGCGCCGGTAATGGTTTCAACACCAACTGGAAGAGAACGGGTTTCAGTCGCCAGGACGGCCATGCTCGACGTAACACTTCATGGGCAGGTCCCCGCCAGGACTCCACAGGCTATCCTGCGAGCTTTGCCATCCAACCCTTAATGGATAGCACCACTTCTTGGGTGCCCGCTCAGTCGTTCAATCATCATCATCAGTTGCCGCAAAGGAATCCTGCCCAGCCAGAATGGGATTATAGCCACCAGAGTGAAGCAGCGACTCGAGAGTATCGGGGACAGACTCATGTAATGGACCCTGGAAGCTTCCAGCGGAACCTTAACAACCATTCCGCTTCGTCTGCCTCACGATCTCGATACGATGATGGCAATCGCTTTAGGAAGAGCTCAAATTATCCTCACTCAGACACAGCGTCGTGGTCAAATCATGAGAATTTTCGGCGTTCCTCGAATAATCCACCTCGTGGGCATGGTGGCTTCAAGGGTCGCACGCAACCAAGCCCCCATCATTTTGTAGACCACAAGCAGAATTACTCACACGATCAATACTCTGGCCACCAATTCCAGACTCCCGTCGAAGGCGCCAATCCATCGATCCGCCCCAAGCCCTGGGTGTCTCGCCATTTCAACGATGATTTAAGAAGTCAAGCCCCGCCGCCAACAGACCATCAGCAAACACTCATTAATCTCCTCAGTGTACACCCACCCGGTCTACATACACACGCAGCAAGCGTTATGCCGCCGCCACACAATCCATTCCATGACCAGACGAATCAACTGCAGCCTCCAAGAAATATGGTACACGGAAAGGGAGAGAAATATGTGCCTCATCACAAATTTGATTCTGCAAACAAGAACAAAGAGCCACCAAATGCATGTGGCTACTGGTGTTGCGCGATGGGTATCGATATCCGTTGCCAGACTGCTACGCAGCTTGTCGTGTATCACATACCTTCGTCACTTTCGGAGAGCACGTTGTATCACATGTTCCAGAAATTCGGCAGTGTATGCGACATCTATCGCACTGACCACATCACTTTTGTGAACTACGAGCGTAGGGAAAGCGCGCACTCGTGTCTCTCTAGGCAGAGGGAGTTGAAATCTTGGGGCATGAACATCGCGGTGGAATTATCAAGGATGCACTGGGATCTTAATTTCGTCATGAGCCCACAGGAGGCCAACAAGAAGATCCCCCAACCGTGCTATGGATCCTACGATCGACTGGCGGCATGGCTCGTCGAACACAAAGAACATCAAAAACTCATGTCGGATGAATTCCAATCGTGGTTGAAAGGCTCCCGATTTCACCCAGCACAAATTGTGGACGAGAATGCGCCACCAAAGAAGGCCAAGAAGATCCCGAACAAGAAGAAAACCGAACGCCACGAAGTGCTGACAGACACGAGTTCCGCTGCTCCATCATCCTCACCCGAAATGTCAAGGAAGCAGGATCCGGATCCTGAATCACGTGGTAAGCTGGGCAAGAAGAAGAATCAGCAGCAGCAGCAGCAACAGCAGCAGCGGCCGCCGCCGCCACGTGGCCGTGCCGAAAAGGCCGGCATTCACCAGAACAAGTCGTCGATGCAACAAGAACTTCCTTCGCCCGCCGCTTCCGAGCCTGCTCAGCAGGCTAAGGTACCGTCTCCTCCTATCGAGGCCGAAACCATTCCTGATCCAGTCGTGGTGGAAGACGCCAAGGAGACTGAATTGCCGCAAGCTCAACCCGCAGACAGGGTACATCTCGAGGATGCTGATCACGGATGCGTGATCGTCCCCTCCAAGGGCTCTGAACTGCCATCATCGAATGTCGCAAACGAACAGCATCCTGAATCTCTGGATATCGATGAGTCGATCAACATCAGCGAGCCAAATACTCCTGACGCTGCTCATCATGTCAATCTCACAGAGGCTGGAAAACTGCCGCCTCGTGTGTCGTCGACCGAAGCACAAGTCACACCTTCGCTGGAAGTGGTTTCAGATCCTGCAGACATTACAGCATCCAACCCTCCCGCTCTTTTGGAAGCAGAAACCGACCAGCAGGATGAGGAGAAGTCTGCCTCTGTTCCTAAGACTCCTCAACCCGAGCTTGACCAAGCTCCAGTAACGGTAAAATTGGAGAGCATTTCGCAAGCTGCAGGTCCCATGCAGGAAATCGCGCCAAGCTCGCCCCCTGTCGATCTCGACACTGATAATACTCTGGGCGACAAGAATACCCAATCTTCAATGGCAGTGAAGAAAGATGTAGCAGCGGAAGCATCGACTAGAGTGGTCAGCGGAAAGAAGCAAACCAAGCCAAAAGGTGCGCCTGTGACCGAATCTCTCAGTCAGTTCGGCCGAAAGAACGAGAAGAAGTCGAAACCATCGAAAGGCAAAGGCACACTGAAGGGCAAGCCGAAGATACTGGATGCGAAACCAGCCACTAGTCCTGAGCCGCAGGCGATGTTTACCAAAGATAAGAACATGAAGAGCATCGACGCCAACAGTTCCAAGGGTACCTCAATGTCGGGGGTCTCAATGGCGGAGGGCGGGCCAGTTCCAGAAACGGAGCGTGATACCAAGTCCCACAGGGCTGAGACTCAACACGATGATTCTGCTAAAAGCAGTGTGACTAAGAGTGCTGGTAGCTGGCTTCCAACTTTGTCTGGGCTTCTCGGAAAGTCGAAACCAGCCGCGAGGATCGCGCCAGCGAAGGTTGATGTGTCGGAGATTGTCAGTATGAACGACGACGAAGTCACGATTACAGCGAAGCAACCGGAGACAGGGGATACAAAACAAGCTTTAGAAACCGAATCGACTTCCGGCCAAATGCCCTCATCTCCAGCGGTCAGGATCATCGTCGAGGCGCACGTACCACCAGATCCTAGACTACCTGATGCGACCGAGGGGATCTGTTCGTCTGCACAGAGTGTGCCGGACATTGAAAAGCAAGCTACCAAGCCGCCTCATATCGAATCGACCGATGACGTTGCTGAAACGGACGATCTGCCTTCAGCTGAGGTGAAGACAATTGAGACAAAGACCATTGATATTTACCAAGGCCCAGCAACCTCAGATGCACGGGACTCAACCATGGAAATTCCTGCAGAGCAGATTGAAGTAAGCCACGGGCTTGAAGTGCCCAACTTGCGGCGAGATGCTGACGAGGTTACAGAATCCCAATAAGATTGAGATTGACCAAGCAGCCAAATCAACGCCTGCAATAGATACGGCCGAAGCACAGGCGACCAAGGCCAAGAAGAAAAAGAAGAAGACTAAAGCTAAGAAGAACAAGAACAAGTCATTGGTTCCACCGGAAGCGTTGATTGAATTCATCAGCGATCACCCAGCACCTCATCGTCAATCTGTGCCCATTGTTCAGGTTATGATGCCAGACGATCTCGAAGTTCAGAAGAGCGACGACACGGTGTCCGAAGGCTCCACGCAGACTCTGCCTGCTATACCCGTGACATCTGAACAGTCGACCGTGGCGAAGAAGATAGAGCAAGCTGTGAGGCATTCCAGTAGTCTCGTCGAAGCACCCCCGGCCCGTCGAAAACTAAAGCGGACCAGTCTGGCCAACACAAAAGAGGCACACTCGTCAGACAGCAAAGCCTTATCACTTCGCCAAACCCGAGCTGTGACCCCGGCCAGCGATGAAGATAGTGATGTGCGTTCGAAATCTAACGTCCTATTAATATTCACTCCTCCCAAACAATCCAAAAAGAAGAAAGAAGAAGATGATGCAAAGAAAACTCTAATCCCACAACTTTCATCTCCCGAGTCGAGCGCTGACCTTGTCACTTCAGACCGATTGAATGAGACCGATCAGAGGAACGCCTACAACCGGTGGGCACGCAAGGACCGCAATTCCATCATGAAAGGCTCTTCGACTAGACCTGCAACGGAAAGCTTATGGCCGACCTTTCTCGACGATGAACCAGACCTGAAGAAGCACTACACAGATGTCATACTTTCACAAATGGACGAGCTGACTTTGGAGCGATCGACAGAGAGTCAGGGGCGATTCGAGGAAGTGGTATCAGATGAGGAGGAAAGGGAGCCGTGCGATAGCGACGGCATGGCTACGGAATCAATAGCTGATTCGGTGATTGCATGTCAAGACGAGGCTCGAAGTCCGATGACTTCATCGATGCAGCAGAACTCCACGGCTGCGGAGAAGCCACATGAATGAGGCATCAGATTCGATCGTGTGGCCTTTGACCGTGTAATTAACATCAATTTATCCAGATCTTTTCCTTTCCCGCTTGTCATGATCACTCGTGAATCGGTGATGAAGCAGACACAGTCCTCAATTTCGTTTCCCCATTCCAAAACTTCTACCCGACACGAATGTCGCGAATTACATATCAAATCATTGAGACTATCCCTTCATTCAGTCGCCGTGAGGAAGACCCGGCATTTACCCGTAATCTACGGGACTTAGATCGACTTCGCCCTCGCCCTCCTCGTCTCATTGCCCTTTGCTGTCATCGCGACGACCTTCTCGACGGTTTCCGGCAGCGGCGGGGATGATTGATGGGCATTGGCGGTAGCAGCGTCCTTCTCGGCGCTGGAGCTTTCGCTCTGTTTGCTGCTGGCTACATCGTCTGCTACGGACTGGTACACACGCGCGATTGAGGTGAAGATCGCTTCGTCCTCGGCGAACCCGCCGTCGGAGTGGAATGTTGCGGCGATCTAGATGGGAGACGAGAAAACAGCATGTTAGCGGAGGTGACGGGAACTCCTCTCAATGACTTCTTTTCGAGAGGACAAGGCCTTTGTGGGAAAGTTGATCCTTAACATACCTCGTCCATCTCTGCTACCCACCGGTACGCCTTCGGCACCATACTCACCACGCCCTTGCGGCATCTCACTCCGATCGCAGGCGCCATCATTTCCAAGTGCTTGTGTAATTCGTCCAAGACGCCGAGATTCTGCGCAGTGGTGAAGGATTGCAGCGCGAGCGCTGTCATGCCCTTGGTCAGCGCGGCGAAGCACATTTTCAAACCGGTGGCCGTGCCGATCGTTGGACCAATGTGTTTGATGTTGAGGACTTCCGCGAGAGATGGTTCGGATGTACCTGGAGATGATGGATAGGGTAGTCGGTGAGGCCCGGATGTGGGAATGCTGGGTTTGTACCAGGTGCCTTCAGATGTAAGGTGGGGTGGTCCTCCGATGATGCCGCCGTCGATCGACAGGATTGCTGAAGTTGCATCGTTGAAGAGTGAGTGGATTCTGCGCGCCGAGTCGGGACTGATCGCATTGAGATCGAGGTAGTAGAGTGGATTGATGTCGTTTTTGTGTTGAAATGCGGCATGTTGCGATGCAGCGGCAATTCTTTGAGCGGTGGCGAGCGCATCTCGAGGCGGGACGATGGAGAGTACGATGTCAGCAGTATTGCAAAGGTCAAGGTCGTTGGAAATTGTTTCTATAGAGTTGTTCTGGGCTCGATCTTGGGTGGCTTGACTGTAGATGTTTGGATCAGGATGATTGCTTTGCGATTTCTCTTGCTCAGGACACCGTTTCACTCGCTGGACGAAGGAACTAACCTTCTATCCGCTACGTTTGTGATCACACGATAGTTGTTTGCCATGAGCAGTTTTGCGACTCCGAGGCCCATGTCACCAATTGATACGATTGCGATCGTCGGTCGTGCCATCTTGAAAGCGATGAGGCGTGAATCTGCTATTGGCCAAGGTCGAAGCTTAGGACGGATGGATTTTCTTCTATTACATAGAGTGAATAGTGTTTGGCATTGATCTGATTTTGAGGTCCGTGGCTTAGCTGATAATGGCTGCTGGCCGAAAGTTGTGCAGTGAGGCGAGCTTTAGCAAGCTTCAAGCTTGCTAAGTTTGACTATCAAGCCCGATCGCGAACTTGTTTCCTCTCGAGCGAAATGCTCACTTCAATGAATTAAGTCCAATGATCCTTCATCCACCATAGCAAACACCGCCTTGTAATCTGCGGATACGGTGTGGTCTGCAGCGAATTCAAGGCATCGCTATTCATAATCTGATTTTATTGACATTGGCGTCGAGAGCAGCAACACGAGTTTTCCAGCCGCCGACACCGATGATACCACCATCGGACGAAGCAGAATCCATCGACCACGTACGTATAGGTTCAATGCTCAGGTCAGACTCGTGTCCGGCATTCCACATTTCAAGCGCTGCCCATGCAATCATCAGCGCATTGTCCGTGCACAAAGCAATCGGCGGGCACAAAACTTCAACGTCTTGATGGCCACGCACGTCCAGTATTGAGCGCAGGATGTGACGCAGGTATCGGTTCGATGCGACACCGCCGGAAACGACCAACGATTTGACTCCATTGTTCTGATTCGAGGATAAATATAGAACAACTCGCGATGCTAGATGCTCAAAGGCGACGCGCTGCACTTCACGAGCCATTTCCTGCCTTTCCTCAAGGCTCACATCCACAGGATTACGAGGTAACTTGGTGCTGATGCCATCTGTAGTCGTCTCAAATTCCATGAAACGCTTGATGGTAGTCTCCAACCCTGCGAAAGTGTACAGCATTCGATTGGGACTTTTGTCACCACCGCCGCTCTCGGCGAGTGGGATTGGCATGGACCATTTCCATTGTGTTGGTCTGCGCGCGAGATCGTCCTGCCGTCGCCGGGGCGGGTCGTAATGATAGTCTGCCGATCCATTTGGGAAGGCGAAATCCTCCAATGCTTTTCCATATGGTGATTTGAAAAGCTCCGCTGGTAATATCCTGCGAGCAGCTTTGTCTAACAGGCTGCCGAGTGAAATATCGCCCGTCTCGGCCAGTGTCTTGTGCTCGATCAACGTCTGCGAATCGATCAACATGGTGTGGCCGCCACTCGCGAGCACACTAAGAAACGGGAACGTGGGAGTCAGAAATTCATCTTTACATCCGTTCTCGTTCATCGCCGATACTAATCTCGGCGTGAGCGCGTGTGCCTGCATATGGTGAACGCCGATGAAGGGAACATCCCAGGCCAAAGCGAGTCCCTTGGCAGTGTGTAGACCGACATGGAGATTACTACGCATTCCTGGGCCACGAGTGGCCGCTACAAGGTCGGGCTTGGGAGATGTTTTCAATGCCCTTGCGATTAAGGGGGCCAGGGTTGCGGCGTGTGATTGTAAGGCTGTGATGGGGTTGATGCCGCCGAATTCATCGTTGTTGGACGTAATCTTTTCGTGAAAATGAACCTTGAGACGCGCTGATTGTTCTGATGATGATGATGATGATGAGATTGGAAGTAGCTCCGCGATGGCCACTGAAGTGTCATCGCATGATGTCTCGATTGCTAAAGTGACGATGTCACGAATGGCCAAGCGATGAGAGGATAGCTTCAAAAAGCGCTTCGGACCTTGTTGCCGATGCCAAAGCGACGTCGCGCGCTTTATCATCAATGGCGGCATATAGAACAGACGGCAGTCACGTTGACCTTTCGATAATGTCTTCCGATCTACGCGTCCGTCGATGATGGACAATATAATAGTGTTCCGATGATATTTCTAGCGGATACATCTGAGACAAACCGTTGCGACAAATACTAGCGTATGCATCCCTTCTGCCATACGGATCCCGTGTGTTCCTCGAGCCTGACGACGAACTTCACGATCTGCATCCTAGATCCAACGGCTACCCGAGAACAACCTCCGACAAGGGTGTGGAAATCGTGGGTCGGATACATTCCAGGATTGGTACGGAAGTGGACGCATGCCGCTCCACCTCTCTCCTCGTATATTGATGTCCTAGACTCCCACACCCCCAAAGCGCGGGCGGGCTCGTCATCATTCTTCCGCCAGTGCAGCAGGTAAAGCTTCCCGATCCTGTGAATTATGACCTCACACCTTGCCAACCCAAATTCCGCTAAATCCAGCTCGTCGCGTCTACCGATCTCTATTCAACATTCAACAGACACACAGTCATGATTTCCTGGTGATCAGTAAATTAACGAGCAACCGGTGCCGTCTATCAAATCTACGTCTGGCGAGACGCGATTATACCATCCCCGATCGCAGCCGCGAGCTGGTGGTGACACTGTCCCCGCCATGGCTGATATCGACAAGACCACCGACGGTCCCACGGTAATCGAACAAAGCGCCTACGACTATACCAAATTACCAGACTGGGACAACGATTTCGTTGACGAAGATGACTTTTTGGCTTTTGCATCGGCGCTCGCCGCGCCCGAGCAGTTCACATCACCATCCGAAGAGGACTTGCTAAGTCCTTCGAAGCAACAAAACGCCGAGTTCATCACCGCACTCAACGACTGGCGACCAGTACGGCAGCGACGTATACGCAAAGCTGGAGAGTTAAAACGGCGGACAAAGAAGAAGAGTGGTGCGCGGAGAGGTGTGGATGAGACGCGAGAAGGTTGGACTTATTCAGTCTTCAAATACCCGCTGCTCTTCTTGGTTCTTGGCTGGATTGTCCTTCTCGGGATATGCTACATCCTGACGCGGTTCTACATCTATCTCTACGAGTCGCTCGTAACATGGCGTGGTCGGAGACATGCCTTGCGGAAGACCCTACGAGCGCAAGTCAACTATGAAGATTGGGTCAAGGCTGCTCAAAATTTGGACAGTCACCTAGGCAATGACAAATGGAAGGCGGACGATGAGGGCTCATACTACGACTGGAAGATGCTCAGGCGTATCCTTCGGGATATCCGTCGCCTACGTAAGGCTGCAGAAGAGGAGGAGAAGCAAGGGGACAAACCTGGTCCTCGGGCTATCGATGAGCTGCGGGCTACGCTCGAGGTCTGCATCAAGACCAATTTTGCTGGGATCGAGAATCCTCGTTTATACTCGGAAACATACTATGGCACGAAGAATCTGCTACAGACTTACACCGATGAGATTGCCGATGCGGTCAAATTCGTCTTTGCAAGTGAGCAGCTGACTGCTGCCGACAAGAGGACTCTCGCCAAACACATGTCTGCAAACTTCGGACGGACCGCTTTGTGTCTCAGTGGTGGTGCTACTTTTGCGTATTATCATTTTGGAATCGCAAAGGGCTTGCTAGACGCGGATCTACTCCCGACCATTATCACTGGCACATCTGGTGGTGCGCTCGTCGCTGGTTTGGTCGCTACGAGAACGAACGATGAGTTGAAGCAATTACTTGTGCCTGCTCTGGCATCGAGGATTACTGCATGTGAAGACGGCATTTCCATCTGGTTGAAACGATATTGGCGCACCGGCGCTCGATTCGATGCAGTATCCTGGGCGAAGAAATGCGCTTGGTTTTGTCATGGAAGTCTGACATTTGCCGAAGCCTACGAGCGGACAGGTCGTATCCTTAACGTCTCATGTGTGCCGTCAGATCCTCACTCTCCAACAATTCTTGCAAATTATTTGACTGCTCCCGACTGCGTGGTCTGGTCGGCGGTGCTTGCTTCCGCGGCTGTACCGGGCATCCTTAACCCTGTTGTGCTGATGCGCAAGAATCGTGACGGAAAACTCGAGCCATACAGCTTTGGTCACAAATGGAAGGACGGCTCTCTGAGGACGGATATTCCGCTGAAAAGCTTGAATCTGCACTTCAACGTCAACTTCAGCATCGTATCACAGGTCAACCCTCACGTCTCTTTATGGTTCTTTTCGTCGAGAGGCACAGTTGGCCGTCCCGTGACGCATCGTCGCGGACGTGGATGGCGAGGAGGCTTCTTAGGATCTGCTATCGAACAGTTCATCAAACTCGATCTGAACAAATGGCTGAAGGTAGCTCGACACCTTGAACTTCTGCCACGACCTCTTGGTCAAGATTGGAGTCAAGTCTTCCTGCAACGTTTCTCTGGAACTATCACTATCTGGCCCAAAACCCGCACGATGGACTTCTATTACATTCTCTCCGACCCTACCATGACCCGTCTCGCTGCAATGATCCGCAGCGGCCAACTCGCCGCCTGGCCAAAGTTGAAGTTCCTCAGCAACCGACTCGTGATAGAGAAAGTTATCGCCGAGGCCCGCGCTGCCACGCGGCCACCGGACCAACCTGTCCTGCCCACACCCGGACCCCGGCCAGAGCTACGTAGCATGTTCAGCGAAGAAGATCTTCAATCCCTTCTTCGCAAGGCCCGTAACAACAATGGTCTGGTCGAAGTCCCCGCCAGTATGCTTTCTCCTGCCCCTCAAGAGAAATCCCAACACTCCTACTTTCCGGCTCCGGACAACGACAGCCGCGACAGCTTCTCTCCGCCACAACCGCAATCCCGCAACGAGTCCCCCTCCATCTCTCAACGCGTCTCTGGATGGTGGGGTTCTTTGCAGCCCAACCCATCTCCATCGTCATTGGCTTCACGACGTATGAGTACCGACACCGTCGTCGGCGCATCGACACAAAACAATAAAGAGAATCTCTCACCCTATTCCATGCACTCTCCTCCAACCCTGCATCATCATCGTAGTAGCGGTAGTCGACTGGAGGAAATGGCTCGCCAAAGCCGTGTGTTCTTCGATGACTACGATGAGTCTGAAGCTGAAGCTCCCTCCGATGCTGGCGAGAGGACGGACGAGACAGATTACGAATCGGAATTTGAGGAAAAGGCGGAAGAGTCGGCGATTATTCTCGACGATGAGGATGAGAAGCGGACGCTGATGTGAATTTTTTAGTTTTGATTTTCGACGAGACGAATTTGGATTTCACGCTTAGAGCTGTGCTCGGAGATGGACAATAACACTTTGGCATCCATCACTTCTAGTTTGGCAGACTGACCAAAAAGCTCTTCGTTTTGTTGTTTTTGGGCGTACACACAATAGATATACCACCATTTGGAACAGAAAGGGAAAGGAAAATCGAATTGTTAATCACAACTGATTGCTTTCGGAGCGCATTCATAGATTCACCATTGCCGTCACCGTCACCTTGATTTTGCCAATAGAAGAAGCGGTCCTTGTTTCTTATTGAATTACCACCGCCTCAAATATTAATAGATTATTAAATATTAGAGATAATCGATGTCTTTCGCTATCAATCACTTCTTAGGCAAAAAATAGTGGAGCCATGCTACCTGCCACTCGACAACCACAATGGGTATCTTTCCCAAAACAGGCGTTCTATGGTTCCGATCCACGTCAACAGTCGTCCTGCTTCTACCACTTCAATGAACATCTCATCACCACAGTCATCATAACTTCCCTACATCGTATTTTCCTCGTACCAGCAAAACAACACGATAGAACCAATTGTCGCACAGCATGCCCGCAATAGGAGGACAGTCTGTCACTCACCTCATCCCTGTCGAATACCTACCTAGGAGGCATCCAGAACCACATCAAGAGGTGACTGTGAAGCCAACACAATGCCTGAACCGTGCGCCGAACGCCTCGCTCCACGGCACGTAATTCTAGAACAACGCCCAGCCCGTCTCCTTCATCAAGAACGCCATGTCTCGTGCCCGGGACTGCCCTGCCGGAATATTATTGTCCTACGCCTCTTTAGAATGGTATCGTCAGCGCGTATCCACTCTTCTCACTCGGCCGCTTCGGCAACGCTAGAAAATCGTGGTTGTGGCTGCCATGCGTCACTTCCACGACTGCGCTTACGAGGGGATACGATGGTGTGTCACGGCGCGGTTGGACCACGGGAATTCACTTTTCGGCTGATAGACCCATCTCAACATCCTGGCATCGCAGCGGTGTCTTCAAGATGTCTTTCCTAGTTCCAGACCTGTACAATTCAGTCATCATCCTTCTAGAAATTCCGAAATCCTCTCATCCATCCAATCCGCGTCCGCTGGATCGACGCCAGCTCCCGCCATATGCCCCCAAACAGACGAAATAGGCCGATAGACGCCGTGTCGCAGATATTCAACTTCAGTCTTCCCATCTTCCGCCGAAAAGTACTGGTCCGTCTCACAAGGCATGACCAGAACCCTCGCCGTAATTCCCGCCAGCGCTTGCTTGTAATCTACCCCTCCCGCAACAATGCCCACATCTCCCGCCTGCCACATCCGCGCCATGGTGAGGAGATCCTCCGGATCCCAATCTTCATAGCTCGACGTGCCGATCGGAGGGTTCATCCACTCGTGTACGCTTTGCGCACCGGATTTCCTCCAGAGCTCCTGTCGGAACCATTCGGCGCTCGGCACCCATGCCGCGTAGACTCGGCCGAACGCTCGTAGCCCTTCGGTGGGCTTCACGCCGTTCTGCTTGTACCGGCCCTGATCGTAGTCACGACTGGCGAGCAGTGCGGCTGTCGGACCCTCTAAAAAGGCATAGTTCAATCCGGAGGTTTTGGCACTCCCGCAGATGACCACTGCCGTTTTTACGAAGGGGTTCGAGCCCGAGCCATGCATGACCGCCCAGTGATACGCTTGTTGGCCACCCATAGAGAAGCCTATCACGGCCTCGAGACCCCGAACACCGAGGTGTTGTGTGAGAAGGGCATACTGCGAATTGATACAATCCTGTAAATTTGGCCAAATTTAGCACGATTCCACACTCGCGAGGCACCGAACCATGATCCAGGCGAAATAGGATCATTCGTATTGGAACGACTCACCTCGTAGCGCAGTGAGTAATCTGACGGGAAATTGATGTCATTCGAGGGACTGGAGCTCTCTCCATTGCCGAGCATAGCAACCACAATCACATGGTAGTCTTTCAAGGCGCCGGAGGTGAAATTGCGCGTCTTGTCAATCCGACCTGAGAAACATGTCGGTATGAGGACTGTTCCTTTCGAGGCGCCGCGATTGAACGATCGGTAGGCAATTTGACATCCCGGACGGCTCCTCCGACGAATTTGAAGTCGAGGATCGTATAGAGTTCGAAAGGTTCTGTCGTGGGAGATGTCATGGCGGAGAATAAAATGGTAGAGTCGGGTGAGAAGCTTGTAGCTGTTGTATTGTATACTCTAAGCTGAGGCCCCAGCCGAAATTATTATTATTTGTTACTGTTGTATGCCTTGTCTACGTCCCCGGGTCGGTCCACAGTTGATACTTATCTAGGTATATACAATGTAACGATAATGATTCTCAGGCAATGGCGGGGAATGCGAGCTTCAATCGCAGCAGCAGCGACTTCAGCTCATCTGTCGCCATTTGGCATGATCCCTGTGCCTGATCCTGTTGTCTAAAGATTTTTCCCTCGCGGCTGCACTGCACGCAATTACGTGAAAATGACCGCGGAACCTGGAGATCACGATATATGTATGCCCGCACTACCTTGAATTTACGACCAGCTGTGGCAGACGTCGACGGTGGTGGTCAGATTTCTGACAGCGGCGCTTTTTTTACGGCGGTATTACGTTCCGTTATTTTGGATGATGACGGCAGTGGAAATGATGCAACTTGTCGCTGCACCTAATCCTTCTCGATGGGGAAAGTGCTGTGGGTAGGAACCCAATTCGAGTGGCGTGATGTGGAGGGTGTTTCATTCATCATTCGTGGTGTTTTCAAGGCTTTCCTATGCAGGAAAGTTCAGGTACGGATGATGGTGCATGGTGACGGTCGGGAGACAACAGGTGAGGCGTAGGGCTGGATGGCGGGAGACAGTTGTGGCGTGAAAATGAATGGATCAAGTTTGTTTGAGGCTTGAGAAGCTCGGTCAAAAGAGGGAAATGGTGGGTGGTGGTTTTGTGAAGGGACGAAAGCGGTACTGATGATGAGAACGATGTTTGAATTGATCTGTCAAGGGTGACGACGGTCTCTGAGGCGCTGGAGGCACTGTTGAATTGAAGCCTAGAGGTACCGATTCTTGCAGTGGTTGAGATGGAAGCCTATGAATATGGGTATACGGTCGAGTGTGGTTCACTTCAGTCAAACAAATGTGTGGCGACGGAGGGAAGGGAGAGTGAGAGGTATGAAAATCGGTCGTGCATGACCCATAGCACCGATGTCGTCTCTTGTTGCGGTATCGTAGACTCCAAGATCAACTTTGCATCACCCAGGCCTGTCCGATGTCATCACCACGCGATGTCTGTGATCCTTTACCCCAGCTGTATGCAAGATGATTGGCCTCTTCAACTGCAGATCCTCAAGATCTTATCACAAAGTTCGGAGCTGTCTATGTACATGCAGAACAGCTGACCTATTGTCAGCGAATCAGGCTGCCAAAGCACAGTCACGTACCCAATGGACACCAGATAAGTCGACGACTCCAAAAAGAACGAATGCGGAGAAGATATCCCGATCTTGCATGCAAGATTGACGATCGCGGAGCGTTGACCGCAAAGAGAAACCCTTGCGTCTGCCTGCCTATCGAACCAAATCTTCTCCGACGAAGCATGCTTGTTTTGCCCAATCACTAACGGAAGAGCAAGCATTTCATTCACCTCGTGGCCAGAAGCTTAGCCATCAACGGTCGAGCGTATGAGTCATCCGTTGGTCCTGCGAGATGGTCCGACCGGATACGCCGTGTCTTGATTAGTGCGACCAATGTTCAGCGCATCGTCATTTTCGTAGGGTGGCATGAGGGAGAGAAAAGTAACATTAGACGGAGGAGATTATTTGCTAGGATCTGCTTCTCTGGCGGGAGTTCCGGGACTAATGATTAGTTGTCTCGGTTGCATTTGATTGTTTAATTGGAGCTCGGGAGCGTGGGACAGAGATCTGCGCCAAATGCATAGAATGGCAAGCGGTCCTTGATCGACCGACGGCGAATCACACTATATCATCGAGGGAATGCTGCGAATGCGGATGTTCCCTTGACCTTGATGGACGCATACACCACCAGCAGCGGTAGCGGAAACAAGCAGCGTTCGGGTAGGAAGTTAGAAAACGGACACAAATCCGAAGAAACGACAGGCGCACGGCACAGGGAAGAGGTCCACCTGCAGCACAATTAGAACGCACAGCGCGCTCTGACAGCGACACGCTGCGGTGGGCCTGAAGAATGCGCCGAAGTGCACGTGCGTGGTAGTGAGGAGGAGGTTCCTAAGACAGGACAGTAACAAGGCCTCTTTGCTTTGACTCCAGCTCTTTGGCCATGGAACCTACGCCGCAGGTTACAGCAGCTGGAAAATACGTTTGATCACTCGATCTCGGGGCCCTGCTCAATGCTCACTTTTACGGACAGGCTGACATTTGGAAGGACATGGGCTGTGTTTTGAGGCTGTTGTTGTTGTTGGACTGACGGTGGTTCGACGCGCGACGGGGAGGATCGATATCGACGACGCAATTGGGTACTCTCTGACGACAGCTAGAGTTCTAAGCTCCAGTAAAATCAACCCTTCAGCAAGGTGCGGTGTGCATGAATAGTCAGTCAATTGCTGTGATCCTGCCTGTCCTGTCTCTCACTGTGACCGCTCGAAGAGGACTTTGGCCGAGGAACGCCGCGATACCAATCGTCGCCGGCCCATGACACGGACCCTTTGTGCCGAGCGTGGGCGGCCTGGCCGTCCGGCTGGCTGGCTGGCGACAGAACGGCAGAAGGACAGGTTTGCATACAACTACCTACCGTCGCACAGGATTGCCCACTTGAAGAGAGGATGTCCTACGACCTAGACGGGAGTGACGTCCGGCTTACGATATCCTCACTTGCATTCCAAGGTTATGTAGATGTTGATTTATTTTTGACGATGCCAATGTTTAGTGCCAAGAGGAGGAACAGCAGGACTACACGTCTACTATTATTACTCTGTTGTTGTTGCTGCTGACTTCTGCTCGGCTAATCTGATGCCGCACATGTGCTTGCAATTATACTTTCTACTGTGCCTCGGAGGAGAATATTCTCAAACATACCCGAGACTCTTGAGGCTGTGTGTGTTTGTCGCAGGAAGGATGGGGAGGGGGCGCGGGGGGAAGCAAATGACACGAGCCACTCACCACGGTAGAAGCATGGGTGCAGGCTTCGGAAGAGCTTCTAGAAGGAAGGACGAACAACCTTGGGAACGGCCGTATCCATCTAGTCCTCTTCGCTGCGAGGCTGCAACATTCCTTCCCGCGCACACTTGCATGCATGCATTGTGCTAGACCTACCGCTTCCTCGTTCTTGTCATCGTTCACAGTCCGCCATCGGCTGATGTTGGCAGCAGGTCATCGCATACTTGCCCGTATGTTGCTCCCTTGATGTAAAGATTATGATTCACGTGATGACCTTAAAAATATTTTGCTCGGCTATGACAGTCACGATCTGCGATCGATATCGTCTTCTTGTCCGTCACAGGCATGTTGGAAAACATCGCGTCGACAGAGAGTTTTGCGCCCGGCCGGCCCCCGAATCGGATGTGCATCCCCAAACCGGAGGACTTAGCGTGCCCGCATTCTCCCCATCAGCGGTCCGACAGCCGTGCCGTACGCCACTGCCGTCTCGTGACCGACAGAGAAAAAGACGACGATCCCTGCGCGCGAATTTCCTACCAGGTGCCAGTCTGGAATCAGTACAGACACTACCTAGGTACCGAGTCATGCTAGGAAGTCCTGTAGATCTGCGGAACAAAGTCCCAAAAAGCGGTAGCCAGAGTACCTAGGTATAAATGTAACAAGGTCTATCTGCGCTGCGACAACCTTGCAGGGAGTGGTGGTGTTGCTTATCATCACACGGCAGCAACATCAGTACTGTAGTATGTCGTGAAAGGAAAGGGAAAGTATTCCCACTCCGATATCTCATGTGAGCAGCCTGCCCAGGTTCGCATCGCGCGACAACATCACTAGCAGGGGACGATCAAGCCAGTTTTATTGAACGATTACCTTGGAATGGTGGTATCCTGCACATGCACCACCAACACTCTAGCGACCGAGATCGAGGAAATATACATAGCAGTACCTATTCCCTTGCGCAATTCCTCCCGCTGCGATCGTTTCCGCGCCGCCAGCAAAGCCTCATCTGTCTGACACACGCACACGCACACGCACCTTTCCCTCTCTTCTCTTTCTGCTCCGCCCGTCTCTCACCAGCCCTGTTTCATCTCACAGTCTGCCCTACAAGCAAGACGTTGCAAATCTCGGGCTATAGAATCAAACCTTCCGTCATCTGCTGCACACCTGTCTGCTGTCTGTCCCTGCCCTACAACTGCAACTGCCTTCCCTGCTGCCACCTTCCTCCGATGGTGCACACCCAGCTACAGCTTCTACTGCTACTGCTGCTGCCCGCTTTCCCGCCGCCGCCGCCGGTCGCTGCTGCTGCATTGACCAAATAGACACCACATCCACAGTTGAGCCCGTTGTTCTTGCTTCCAAGGTTCCTTCCATTGCATACCTCCTCTCACCACTCACCACTCACCACTCACCACTCACCACTCACCACCACCCCAAAACCAATTCGAGGACTGTCAAGACTCCCACCAGCCTCATCATCAAACCTACCTCATTCACCCAACTGCTCTGCGCACGCGCACGCGACACACGGAAGCATACACGATCGCAGAATCGCTCGAGACATCGCAAATCACACGCCATTTGTTCTTTGCGCAGCATCACAACATCTGACTTCCACATGCTGTCGCATCAACTACGACTGTCCGTAATGTGATGCTCGCTTTACATCTGCGCCCCATCTTTGTTGCTGCTGTTGCGTCATTTGGGTAGAAAACGACCTGGAATCAGGATAGCTGTCGGGACCGCAACCGCTCACACGACATCCGGGACTGTTCCTTCTTCGCGAATTTCCGCAGGACCCATTCTGCGCAACAACGACCATCCTTCCACCCGCTTTGCAGCGCGACGATCTTCACGGCGGACGTCGAACTTTTGCTTCACAAATGGAAGAGTTCGCAGATGAACGGTGTAGCGTCATTTACGTGCGTTCAGACTTGGAAGCGCAGTCGTCAAAATTATACACACCCTCTACTATACCCAGTGCGGTGTCGCACACACCAGTGGTCACCTCATCACACAATCTCATACAACAGAATGTGCGCATTCTGTTAGACGAGCATGTCGGGGATTTTCCTGAAGGTGAGCGATCCGCTTGCGACTTTCTGCGCACATGTCTCTCGCATGAACTAAACTGTCCTAGTGTTTGTCAGCTCACAATTCGATCACTGCCGGGATCACATCAATAGTCTGGCACCAGGAAGACATGTCGTAGTCATTCTAGATCCCGCCTGTGGTCTACTTAACCAGGATTCAATAGACGGATCATTACTATCACTTCGCCAGCTCATCGACCATTGCTCGTCTGCGAATCATACGCGAAAAGTCCTACCGTTTCTCCTGGCCATGCATGGCACTCAGTCTGATTATGAGATACCCTCAGAGACCACACCGAAAATCACAGACGCGGGTGTCTTGGGAGTTGCTGGGAATCCCCTGTCATGCTCTGTTTTGACTCGTGTAGTGAGTCGCATCGCAGAAATCAGGAAACCCACTGGACAGCAACTTGGTCGCGGAATGGCGCGAAGACTGGTGCGAGGGATAGAAGACCGATCCGATGTACGCATTGCTACTCACAGGCCGGACGAGGTTCTCACATCGGAGAGGCGGACATTCGTCGAAAAATCCATCACTACCTGGAGATTCCCTGCGCATGACCTGGATATGGACGAATTGACGTATGCCGCGGTGCTCATGTTGGAGCATGTACTGAAAAATCCCGAGCTGGAACCGTTCCGTCTTTCCCGACCTCAACTCATGACATTCATGCTTGCCACTCGGCGGCAGTATGGTCATGAAAAAAACGTCTTCTATCACAATTGGCGTCATGCCGTGGACGTTACGCAGTCATTATATTGCTTCTTGTGCGATGTTCATTTGTGTCCGCCACTGGGCGGTCGACCTATTTCCAAGAAGGAAATGAACGCACTAGAACGTCTTTTCACCCCACTAGACGCTTTGATCCTACTCGTCTCGGCTATCGGCCACGATGTCGGACATCCAGGCGTCAACAACGCATTCCTCGTCGCTTCCAACCACCACCTTGCTCAAATGTACAATGATCGATCTGTTCTCGAAAATTACCACGGTGCCGCTTACTCTCAGCTCCTGCGACGACACTGGTCATCGCTATCACAGGTCCCACATTTCCGCACGACGATGATTTCGACTATCCTTGCCACCGACATGCAGAGACATTTCGAATACATGGGTCAGCTTAGCGATCTCAAGCGCAAGGTCTCCGAGGCCGACGAGGAGCTATCCAACTGGAACGACAAGGACAAAGATCACGCCAAAGAGGTCGCTATGGCGCTGCTTATCAAAGCTGCCGATATTTCAAACGTCGCACGTCCCTTTGACATTTCTGCTCACTGGGCTTTGGTATTAATGAATGAGTTCGCCAACCAGGGTCAGCTGGAGAGCGAGTTACAAATACCTACCTGCCTTTTCGGTGGTCCACCAAACACAGAAGATCGGGTGGCTGCCGCACAAAGTCAGAAAGGATTTATGGATGTATTTGGATTCCCACTCTTCCGCGGTCTTTGTGATGTCATGCCAAATGTGTCATGTACATTGCCAGAATTGGAGAAGAATAGAGCAATCTGGGAACAAAGGATATCTGAGGAGACTGCACTGCGTGATGCTGCTCGTTCCGACGCTCATTCACCACAGAGTGCTTCAGTGGAGGTGGACAATGCAGCAGCAAGGACACGAACTCGAGCTTCGGAACCCAGCGTCACTCCACTAGATTCATCACGATCGTCGACACCAGTCATTGTAGCTCCGTCTGAACTCGGTGGCGCAGGATCGCCTACCCGGATCACAGCCAATCCACAACGCTTGCAGTTGTCAACAGGGGGCGTCGCGAATGAACCAAAACGACCCGCGGCGGCGTTCTTATCGGCAGCTAACGACGTGCCGACTTCCCCAATCGAATCCTCGCGTAGATCGAGCAAAGACGTGGCCCTCACACAATTGCACGATTACAGTGTCTTTGCGCAGCTTAACATGCGGCAAAATTTTCAGTCTGGTGATCGAAGAGGTTCAGCCGATGCGAGTTGGTCTATCCACCAGAGCTATCCACCTTCAAGAAGGGGCAGCAAAGACGAGAGCCTGACGACTATTCTTGTCACCAGCCAGCCTAATCCAATCTCCCGCAGCGTACCTGGTTCACCTGTCAAGACAAGCAAACCTAGTTCCTCAAGTAAAGTCGGAGGCGTTGGTCTGAGGTCTGCACAAGTCAAACAATCCTCTAGCACACACCGCTCATCCGTTCCCTCTATTCGTTCTCAGGTCGTCAGCTCGGTAGCGACACCCACAGACCAGCCCTCCCCATTAACAATTCCTTCCTCGATCGGAGGAGGCACCAAGGACGAGAGTGTTCCGCCACACGTCGTCCTCAGCTCATCAAATGACCCTGTTGAAGGAATGCCGTCCGCCATTCCTGGAACCTGGCCTCTCAGTCTCGACGGCACCCATCAAAGATCTTCCTCTTCTCCAACAATTTCCTCCAGCATTCCATCCACGCCTCTCGTCTCTGGATCTACCAATCAGCCTACTTCCCCTACATCCCGACCAGCCAGTGGCGACTTGCCCGATGAGTCTCCTGATCCCACCACTAGCCCCAAATCCGACAGCAGCACCATCCTCCGCGAATCACGCAGTCGAAGTCGTCTACGTGGGCTAAAATTTTGGAAACGTCGGCGTGAAGTCTCAGGAATGGAGAGCCTGCCGTCTTCGATTTCATCAAACAATCGTAGCTCGCCGTCCTTGGCGAGACAGACGGATCTACCACCACAAACGCGTGCGTCGCATCCTTCGCTGCCGGATTTACCGTCATGAAAACGAACCAGGGAATGAAACATTTCAATACACGAGCGCGACCCTTTTTGTCATTACGGGATCGGACGATATCTAGTGATCACGAATCCAATGAATGAAATGCCAGACCTAGAAGCTTTCTACCGCCATGAGCCGTGCACAATCTTTGGGCACAGACCTCCAAACCTTCACTTTCGTTTCACAGAAGACCAGAAAGATAACATTGGAAGGTTCCATACGAGACAATGATTATGACATTTACGGGGATCATCGGCGTCTACAGCAAACGCCTCTCACGAGCCTACAGCTGACGGACAGATCCGAAGGGGAACATATATGGAGTTCCGGATTACACGTAGGATTTGGGCATTTTTGCTTGCTATTCATAACAACGCGGGGTCTCCAATGCTTATTCCTCGTGAAGCAAGGAAAGGGAGTTTCGCACGAGAGGTGGTATTTTTCTCATGACGCGGAAATGAAGATCTGCGCGTGCAAAGGATTGCACGTGTTTGTGGTGTACTATTAGATTTTGGCATCGCTTTACAGACCATCATTGAATCTGGATTTTGGAAGAAGGCGTTGTCCTTCGTCATGCCTGCACGAATGTTATTTTCTCGTTATAATATATGTGACGACTCAACGCTTGCCTAGGTATCCATTAAGTATGGATATGTGAGATTATCGGTGGTTGACATTGCGTCAAATGATGATGACCACCAAAGACCAGCCCGGGGTAATGCCAAGGCCTGGATTCGGGCCTCTCCAACCACCAGCCCCCAGTCTCCCGCTACCGGAACTTGACGTGCCACATTATCGGGACGGCAGTACGATATGATTCCATTCCGATTTCACTATGACACCTTGAGATTTTTGTCTCAACAAACACAAGCAGCATACACGACGTGAACAGGGATAGATTTCAATACGTTCAGCATATCCATTATACAGCGCACTCTTTCATATTGTCAGCGGTTTCCCCATGGGGTCGACGTCACCGCCATTGACGCCCATTCGGCAGTATGAGGCCCCTGTCGACACCACATCTGGCGACACATACCAAGACGATTTTAAACGACGCTCAAGTAGCTTCGCATCAAATCACGAAAGAAGCCCTGTGACGTCTAAAGCACGACATCGCTTCTCCAACGCTTCTCACGCATCCAACGACTTCGATTACCCCACCGACGATGCTGGCGGGGGAGCAGGTGGAGGTGGAGGAGGTGGGATGGGAATGGGCAATCTCGCCGACGAGCTCGATCAGCTCGACGATGAATATGACTATGAGGAGGACGCTGGCGACACGACACAGTTAAGGACAGACGGTGGCCCGGATGACTCGATAATCGAGGGAGCTCGTGATTCGGGAATTGATGTATCCTACCCTCCTGGCAGTCATAACTCACCGTCACGGGCGCGAAACTTTTCAAAACCGCTCGGACAAGAAGACAAGCCGCCTGATGCGGCTGGCGACGAGGAGGGAAATGAGGATCGATTCTCGCCGGATCTCGAAGACCTGGTCGCGACCATTGCTCGGATGACCGCCTACACGACAACGAGTGAAGATCCGATCATTCCACGTACCACTGCTTTGCTACACGATCTCGGTCCACAATCCAATCTCGAAGCCGGCATACAACGCTTCAACACTGCGACTAACAGCATGACTGCCTATTCCACCGCACAGACAAAATCCATGCAAGTCCTAGCACAGAGCCTCTTCTCACCGCTCTTCTTCGCCTACAATAGCAACGCCTTTGACTTTGACGCCGCACTCATCGAAGACACCATCCCGCTGATTGATACGCTGCTACAAGATATTCCCGGCGGCATTAGCAACAGCGTCAACCTCCCTGGCCAAACGCAATCTTCTTCCGAACCACCGTCCTCCTCGCCTTCGTCACAATCCCTCGTCATCTCCAACCTCGCCCGCTTGACTCGCGACACTGCCGACGTCCTCGCCGCCCTCTCCCAGCTTACGGATACCCTCCAAATGGGCAAACAAATCACCACCACTGCAGCCCGGCACCTCCGTACCACACAGACGATGGTCGCGGAACTCCTCCGCGAACGGGAACGTGCGGAGGTCGCGCGTGTGGATCTCCTGGCCGGAGGCTGGAACGAGAAAGTCCAGGCGAGGGTCTGTGGTAAGGAATGTAGGAGTATCGTCGAGGGATTCCGGGAAACATGTGAAAGGTTGAGAGGCGTGGAGGACGATGGTGTCGTTGCGCCGGTGGCCGTTGTTTCGTGATATGAGAGGGAGGGGGAAAGCGGAATGATATTTGAGGTAGAGAGATTAACGACATCACAATGATGAAGGACTTTTATAATATTTCTAGAACGACGTTTACTTTATGCGATGTCTGTCCCCAGCATTTTTGAGCAGCACAGTGCCTCACTTTCCGACCAGTGGTGATTAATTCGGCAGCGATTGGGCATTATCTAATCAACCTCTTGCTCAGGGCCCGAAAAGCCCCTCACCGCACCCTCGAAGCTGCAATTCACAGACTCCGACATCACATTCGCAATCGAAGGGTGCTTAGGTAATCAAGCACGGCCGAGCAAATCCGTACTAGACCCGACCGATGTCCCGTCTTTCCGTCGAGCCAATCACATGTCGATCGCGCATTGCTCTCGCTGCGTGGAAGTCCCCACCCGGGCGCTTAACATCTTTATCACACACGCCTTGCAGTTTGTGAAACAGTGCGGTGGGCATGTGTGTGGTAGGTGGTGGCCACCTCTCATGCCCGTGTGCGGCACAGTTCTCTCGCGAGATCACTTTCTCATCCTCTGGCAAGTCGAAGCTTTTGATCTTTTGCCCCTGTATTGGTGAAAGAGCTGCCGTCTCTTCAGTGTGAGAATACAGCCACGCACGAGTCCCCGAGACCGTCGCATCAAGGGACGAGTTCATCTCCATCCATCAGGCACTCCTACCAGTGCTTTTGGGCTGTCAGAGACTCTGCGCGCGTTTCGCTTCTCAACGCGGATTCAGAACAACACGGGACTCGCAAATCATCGCCGGAAAATAGCGACCTAGAAACTGAGTGTAACCTCGACGAGACGTGCATCCGGGAAATCACCCACCAAGCAGAGTCTGACCATCTGGACTGGCCGGTCCAGTCGAACACAACTCGCCACGCGACCGCATCCTCAAGATCCATCCATCCCTCATATCGAATCCGGCAGCTTTCGAACACATCAAGATGCGCGTCCTCATCGCCCACGACTGGCGCATGCCGAAATTGATGGTTGGCTTGCTCATCCTCGAATTACCCTTGACTGTCCTATGTCTGGTGCTCATGGGTGTCGCGGACCCCAATACCTATCGCACGAAACTCTGGGCCGATGGTGGCAAGGCTGGCCTCAACAGTAACCCGAACATTATCCTCTATAGCTATGCGAATTACAAGCCCTTGGAACCGCCGCTGGTATGGAGTCAATAGTGAGTCCATCCAATCATTCACTTCATTTCGCAAGATGGGGTAGAAAGTCTGCTCGTCTGCGACATTTGATGTTGGCGAGGAATTCTAACTGATCGATCGCAGCATGACTACCTTTAACACCGTCATCTCCGTGCTCAGCTTGTTCGTCCTGCTCGTCAAGACGGCCATGTACACCATGCATTTCTTCTTCCCTGCTCTCAGCGCTGTCGTTCACGCGATCCTCGTCGCCCTGTATGCCAACGCCTTGTACAACCAGACCGCAGGAGATTACCTCGACACGGAACATGTTGCGCGCCGGCCATGGTATCTCACGCAGAGCTGCAAGACCTATGCTTCCCCTGGCAATCTAGGATTCTGCTACCAGGCTCGAGCGAGCGTCTATGTTACGGCAGTCATGGTGTACGTTTCCTGAAATCCTCAGGATCAATCACCCCTACATACTTTTGCCTAACTAACACATCTTCATCCACAGAATTCTCTTCAGCGTCTACCTTGGTCACGCTATTTGGTCAGCCATCCCAACTGAACAAGAACGTCGCGAGCGTGAATCAGAATACCTGGCCAACATCGAGATCAAGAAACTCTCGACCTACGTCGGTGGCGGCAACGACAATGAATTCGAAATGGACAACAAGACCGTCTTCCTCAACCTTCCGAAGACTCCGAAGACAACGACATTTGGTGGACTGAACCCCATGACGCCGCGGACGACGGCGTTCACGAGACTGAACGGTGGAAAAGCGCCGGAGTCCAGGGTCGTGGCTATCAGCAGTCCTCCGAGCGCGAGTGCCAGTGCCAGTGCCAGTGCAAGCACGAGGAGTCCAACCGCCGCCTCACGAGCGCTGCCTTTCCGGGAGCAATTTGGAAGCAGCGATAACGTTTAAGCTTTTTTGTTCTTCTTTTATATATACATCACCTTTTAACGATATCAATTTGAGTGAAGGGAGGTCACTGGCGCTTTTTATGGATGGATAGGAGGAGCATCTCCGCCCGAGTCATGTTCCAAATGTGCGAAGAATTTGAGCGAAATTATCATGAATCATCCTACGGTTTATCTAGCATTCATGAGCCTACATCTGGCTTTCGGCCTCGTATGTCGGATCGGTATTTCTTGAATCGGGCCGGCAGTTGCCTGCTCGGCTGACTGTACTGTGACGATGGTGGGGACGAATTTCCCAATTCCTGCGGGGTTTTTTCTGAGACAACTGGACTACCGATCCTGTATACAGTCAGGCACGAGACCCGTCAAATTACCTCATCACCTTCGGACGTCTCTACATTTTCTCTTATTGACAAAAGATCCGTGGATAATCAGAAATTTTGTATCGTACGACCAAGCGAGATATACTTCACTTGTCTCGTTCCATCTCCTCTGACGACATTGTTCCGGCGACTGCGACCGCGGCCCAACTGTGAATTTATCCATTGAGTCACCGCCAATATGCAATAGCTGGTGACCACTCCAGTCGACAGCGTTTCCATCGCGCTGCCATGTCCTTCTTTAGCTTCGACTTCGCAAACACATATTTCGCCGATCAGCGGTGACCATGGACACACAAATCGAGCAAGCGATCGAGCTGGCCTTCGATCCACGCACCGACCAAAACCTCAAAGCTCAAGCCTATGAATTCCTGAACCGACTTCGCGAGGATGCCAATGGATGGCAGGTATGCCTGGCCGTCTTCGTCAAAGATCCTCCCAGCTCAGAGGTCGTCCGGGTGGTCTGTCTCGAGCTCGTCAACAATGCGGTCCAGACCCAGGGCATTGGACAGGCGGGCCTGAACCAAGTCCGACACCAACTGATGGATTATATCCGCCGACGATATGCACCCAATACGACACAATACGACCCGCCGGGTATCCAGAACAAAGTCACCCAGACCATTACTTATCTCTTCACCTCATTATATGCGTCCGATTGGCCGAACTTTTTTGATGAAATGCTCGCCCTCACCACCGCCAGTCCGGAGACTGGAGCGGCAAATCCTGCTGCTATTCTAATGTTTCTCCGACTTCTCAGCTCGATCCACGATGAAATCGCCGACTTGTTGATCCCCCGCAGTCGAGAAGAGCAGAAACGGAACAATGATTTGAAAGATTTGGTTAGGGCGCGCGATGCAAACAAGATTTCGGGAACGTGGCAGAACATCCTGACAAATTGGAGATCGACAGACTTGCTTTTGGTCGAGATGTGTCTGCGGACAATCGCCAAGTGGGTAAGCTGGATCGACATTAGCTTGGTCATCAACGAGCAGATTCAGGGCGCTCTGCTAGAAATCGCGGGCCAGCAAGGCTCGATTTCTGCAGACAGTAAAGAAGCCAAGGCTCGCGATGCTGCAATCGACACCTTTTCGGAGACGGTGGGGAAGAAGATGGCGGACAATGCTAAGATTCAATTGATCGGGTATCTCAACCTCGCCAACGTTGTCGGACAGCTAGTCGCCAGTCCAGCCTTGTCAGAATTACAAGGATCGGCAGAGTACGATACTGACCTGGCAGAGGCTGTCGCCAAACTTGTCAACAACGTCGTGTTTGATGTGGTCAAGGTTCTCGATTCGGACAACGTGGACGACTCAACCCGAACAGTTGCAGACCAGTATCTTCAAACATTCGTACCCTTCGTCCTGAGATTTTTCTCGGATGAGTACGACGAGATCTGCTCCGCCGTGATCCCCTCTCTGACGGATATGCTCACTATGTTCCGCAAGACGGTCAAAGCGAGAGGCAGCCTCCCTGAAAATTACGCGGTCATGTTGCAACCAATTCTCGACAGCATCATCATGAAGATGAAATACGATGAGACCGCGTCTTGGGGCGACGAAGATGAACAGGAAGACGAAGCGGAATTCTCAGAGCTTCGCAAACGATTGCATGTACTACAGCAGACTGTGGCTGCCGTTGACGAAAAGATCTATACCGACACTCTGAGTAATTTGGTAGGACACACTCTCAGCAGACTGAAATCTCCGAACGACAAACCAAATTGGCGGGATCTGGATCTTGCTCTGCTTGAAATGCATCACTTTGGCGAGCTGGCCATTAAAAACGGTGGCATCTATACCAAGAGCAAACCGTCCTCCGAAGCATCCGGAAGATTGGTGGAAATGATGACGACTCTCGTCGATTCTGACTTGGCTTCATATCCTCATCCCGCAGTGCAACTGCAATACATGGAAGTCTGCGTTCGATACGTGCAATTCTTCGAACATAATACTGCCGGCACGCCGAAAGTCTTGGAAAGCTTCGTCCGCCTTGTCCATAGCGATCATGATAAGGTCCGACTACGAGCATGGTATTTATTCCAACGCTTTATTCGACACCTCCGAACACAACTCAGCGAGTATGCCCAGACGGTGGTGCAAGCCATCGCAGATCTTTTGACCATCCGCGCCGAAGTCCCTGCCGATCGTGACGACGACGATGTCTCCTCGGAGGATAATGGCCGCTCGGCCGATGCCGTCTTCACAAGTCAGCTCTATCTCTTCGAAGCAATTGGTACGGTCGCCTCTGGTCGACAAGTTCCGACCGAAACCACTGCTGCCATTGCGCGATCTGTTATTGAACAGCTCTCTCTTGACCTTAATAATAACTTGGTGGCTGCAAAAGGCGGCGACGCCAGGGCTACCCTGCAGATACACCATGTCATCATGGCTTTGGGATCTCTTGCAGCCGGCTCCTCTGATTGGCAGCCCGGCGTGACCTCCCATGGCTCGCCACCTGCCGTTGAAGTCTCGCGAGAATTTGTGAACGCGAGCAATAGCATCCTTGTGGCCCTGGAGAATCTCAAAAACCAGTCGGATATCCGCGCGGCCGCTCGTCATGCGTTCTCCCGATTACTCGGCGTTCTCGGCTCACAGGTCCTACCACAGCTACCACGCTGGATCGATGGCCTCTTGTCGTCCGCATCGACCAATGATGAAATGGCCATGTTTCTGCGCACTCTCGGCCAAGTCGTCTACGGCTTCAAAGGTGAAATCTACAACATCCTCGACCAGCTCCTCTCACCGCTCTTCCAGCGTGTGTTTGCTGGCTTCTCTCAGCCTCTGACCGGAACCGATGACGAGATCCAAATGCGCGAGTTGAAACAACAATATCTCGGGTTTGTCCTTGTCATCCTCAACAACGACCTTGCCGCCGTCCTTGTCAGTCCCTCCAACCAAGCCACCTTCGACCCATTCATCACCTCCATCACCAAATTCTCCTGCGACCCCTCCGACCCCTCAAGTGCCCGCTCCGCCTTTTCCGTCCTCACCAAACTCACTACCATCTGGGCCGGCCCCGATGTCTCCACCGAAGGCATCACCCCGTCACCCTCGACCACCGATACTTCACCTACTGCCTCCGCCCAACCCCTCCCGGGTTTCTCCGACTTCATCCTTGCCCAATTCGCCCCCCTCACATGGACTCTCGTCTCCACACCCAACTTCAACCCCAATGATGCCCAGATGCGTAGCGTCCTCCAAGAAGCCGCCACGCTACAATGGACGATCCTGCGCAAAAACGGCGCTCCTTACCGCGATCGTCTTCAGCAGGAATTATCGGATTTGGGCGTCAGTCCGGACGGTGTGCAGGGTTACATCAGGAGCGTGTCGGGCGAGTTATTGGCTTTCAAGAAATTCTTCGCGGGATTCGTGCAGCAGGCGAGAGCACAGTGAGCGATTACTGTTTGCCGGTTAATCGACGGCGATTCTCTCCATGTTTCGTTTTTATCGGAAATGAGGCTGTGGTGCACGTAGATAGATTCAAGAGATAGCTAGATGTTCATTTGATGGCGGGTCTTTATGGAAAAGCGTATGCATTCATTCATTCATTTGTTGCCATTGGAGTCCCCTTCGTGGTTCGCGTTCCATCCCATCAAACCTGTCTTTGGTTTTTCAGCGACGTGATTCGATAGCGAGAAAAGTGTGAAACCGTCATATTGATCGAGCAGAGCAATGAAAAGCCTTGAAATAATACTGTGAGGAGAAACAAACAAAGATCAGAAAGCCCTCTGGCATAAAACGGAAAATAAAATTACATCTTCCAAGAAATCGTCATCAACATTATCATCGAATATCGTCACCGGAGTCAACATCAACGTCGTTAGCAATCATCAGCAATCAACAAATAGCACAAACAAACAACAGACAGCAGATAACAGACACGAAAATTCCACTTGCCCTCAAACCTCAATGACACTCAACCTCATCTCCCCGAACTCCACCTCTTGCTTGACTGTGAGGAAATTCCTCGTCCCGAGCGAAAGAACATGCAGAAACGCCTGCGCCGCGACAACAGCGGAGTTCTCCTCGGGTGGAAGCAAAGCATGGAAAGTCACGCTCTTCCCATCTCCAGTAGGATCTTCGGTGTAAGAAATCGAAGGCATCGTCTCGTCGGCTTGACCGCTTGCTTCCCCTGTGGTAGCAGCAGTAGCTGATGACTCGATCGCCGTTCTTACAAAATCTAGGAAATTAGCACTTTCGCCGTACAGCGCCGTACGTTGCCATTGGGAATCGCCTGCGGTCTGCGTGTCGACGCGGGCGGCGGGACCGAAGAGTTCATAGGATTCGTCTCCTCCTCCTGCGTAGCTGTCATCGCCGCCACCGCTGGTGAGGAGCGTATCTGGCATGGGCAGTTGAAATGCTTCGTCTCCGTCGTGCATGTCAATGGACGTGGGTTGATAGAGGGGATGAGCGCCGTGGGTCTGTAAGGGTGAGGCGGAGATGAGGTGGCTTCCGCGTCGGCTGAAGAGGCCACCGCCGCCTGGTTGTCTGCCGTGGGTGGAAGTTGATCGGGCCCGGGATCCGGCGCTCACGTTCCAGGGGAGCAGGCTGGAGAGGCGACGGTCCTCAAGGGGCGTGGGTGCGTCTCGACCGTATTCGATGGTGTCGTCTTCGTCTAGCACGGCGTTGATCTGATCGTTGAGGTTCATACCGCGACCGACTTCGTTGTCGAGTGGGTCGCTCCGGGCTCGTACACGACGTTGGTATGTACCATCCTCAGGATCTGCTTCTCTTGCACGCTTTGCTCTCGCGGTCAGGAGATCAATGCCGGTGAACGCTTCGATGATGCGAGCTCCCGAGAATATGTCGAGGGGACCACGACGACCCATGCCAAGGACGGAGCCGAGCACCCATTCTTCGGCGTTGGTTTTGGCTATGGCTGCAAGCTTGAGGAGGTCTTTGTGGCGAGCAGCATTGCGCATAGTCTCGAGATAGTCTCTGTTCCATTGATTCAAATCACTGTTGTGCAGCTCAGTGGTGCCATCGAGAGGTACATGCTTGATTGGTACATGTCGTTTGCGACGGATAGCAACTTGTGCTGTCTCAGTGGATGTCTCGTCTTGCATCTCAACGTCGTCTACGGTCGGTTGCGTTGGACCTGAAATCCCACCCTGTGTGCCTGCGACATGCTCATTGGCATCTGGGAGGAAGACCTGTGGACTCAATTAGTCTTGCGCTTGAGCATGTGCCATAAGAAACTTACATCATGGATAGGGGCGGCATCATCGTCAAAGATGACAGGAGGTGCACTGAAACGATCACTGTGCAAATGCGCAGTACTTCCATATCCCCTCGAACGACGATGCTCCTCAAGATGATCATCAAACCCAAGATCAAGCTCAAGATCCTCGTCATCGAGTAAGCGAACAGGCTGTTGACTTCTTGCAAAAGCCGAGGAATCGCGTCCAATGCCGAACAGATCTAGCCCCCCTCTCGCAGGCGTCATCGAGCTCGCAGAAGCAGGAATCAACAGTCCACCGATCGAATTCTGCGAGCTTTGCAGCTGCGTACTATCTCTTGCCGAGGAGATCAATTGTGTTCCGTCGTCATCTTTCTGGTCGATCTCGTTGAGAAATTCGAGATTGCTTAGGTCGGCAGGGGCGAGATCGAGATCGAGTAGAAACGCCGGGTCGTCACGAAGCACAAGATGATCTTTCTTTCCTCTATGTGCTCCTTCGGCTTCCAGACCTGCTGCGCGGACAACGTTGACGAGTGCGCGAAGACCGTTCTTTGCATTCTCGGCATCCGTGAGAACGTAACCGCATTGTTGGGAGTAAACTCGAGCGACGCCGTATCTGTGATCATCAAGTCAGTGCCCGTACAGATTGCTAGATACAGAAAAATCACAGTCTCCGGTCTTCAACGGCAATGCTTACAGAAGATTGCTTTGTAACCTTAACGCCATGGGCACGCCAGGCTCGATGATACTTTCGCACGCCTTGGTCACGTCGACATCGAGGATAGCGCGACGGGAGACTTTCTTCAAGGCGGATTTGGAGCCTAGAGTTGCCACAAGCCTGTAAACAATCGTCGTGAGTATTTTATTTTCGTATGCCCTCGATGCGTGGAGTGCTCTCATGATTTGAAGATCGATGCTGGCGTCGATGGATGAATGTATGAGGATGACGGGAGAATATCGGCTTACCAGATCGTTGCAACGCCGTATTTGCGCGATGTGAGGACTGTGATAAGTGTTAGCGAGACTGCCGGTGACTGACCACCCACTCAGTCAGGATCATCGTCCTGAAGAGAGAGTCTTGGACCGGTGGTGCTCATTGTCCTGATCACTTCTCACCTTCATGACTGTAGAACATCGTTCTGACTTTTCGACGGGTAACTTGTTATGAGGGAGCGTCAAGCAAGAAGGTTGTATTGACGAGAGACTCAGAGTCTTCCGAGTGGCATCAATAGGGAAACTCGGTTCCTTGTCGTTGAGGATTCTCTCGGTCCACGGATGGCATGTCTTGTCTCCTATGATTTCGTTTCCTAGTATGATCAACGAACGAAGAAAGGATGAATAGAGAGGAATATGGATAGAAGGAATAAACCGTGTCGCGTGAAGTCGCGAAATTGATGCCTAGAAATGAAAAGCTTTCGTGCGGATCACTTCGACATGATGAAGGCCTCCTGCTGGAAAATCTCGGGGGCGTGGGCGAAGTAAATGGGATCATAGCTCGGGATACTCGGGACATTCACTTTCTGGGGACTTTTTTTCGTTAACTCCAGAATGTCACAGTGTGATCATCAAGTGTGTGTCATGCGGTGAGAGCGGGCCTGTTTGAAGGCGCTGAAGTCCTTCGCGAGACACGCATTTGCATGCAATAGTCTCCTTGAAGAACAAATCCCCAACTTCTGCATCATCTGAAAATCATTCAATTCATAATCTCTACTTCAAGTCCGTCTTTCGAGACAGAAGTGCATGCCCCTCGTCTAACTCTTATTTCGCGCGGAAAAGGCCCGTCACTCGATGACAGGCAGCTCCACCGCCCTATACAGCAAAATCAGCGCAGAATGACTCTCTCCACCACCCGCCAGCGTCTCAATTTTCTCGCTTTCAACCTCCTGCACCTTATCATCGTTGAACCACCACCACTTGCCATCCTCGACTTTTCCTGGTGCCGCGGTCTTCTTCACATACGCTGTGTAGTGGCCAGAGTCTGCTGATGAGCCTTGATGTGTGACTACTCCGCGAAGTTCGTAAAGACCTGTCTGGTTGGCCGAATGATCGCGCGCAAGATCCGGGTGGACGAGTGATAGGAGCTCTTTCTTCAAGGCGAGGATTGAGGCCGCGCGCTCAGCGTCGATTTCGGCGTCGGTTTTGTAGACCTCGGTGCCGGCGTCAGTGGTGCCGGTCATGGCGACGTCTTCACTACCGCTGGGTTTCTTGACGTTGGCAGACGAAGAGGGTTCGCCGGCAGCTTTGGCTTCCCGTTCCTTCTCCTTCTCTTTCTTCTTTTGGAGAGGCTCGTCGCTGCGCACTGCGGCGGGGGCATCCCCTGCGGCTTCGGCATCCTGTCGCATGCGCTTCTGGCGCTTCTTGGCTCGCTCGACATCCTCCTCCTCTTTGCGGACTTCTCGGATCTTGTCTCGGATCGGGATGATCTTCTTTCGAAGCTCATCGGTGCAAAACTCAAGGACGTCAATCTCATGTTGGAAGGTGACTCTGCGCAGAATTTTGGCCTTCTTGCCGGTGTCTTTCCGCCAGAAGAAGCGAATGAGGTGGACGGGGGCGTATTTGGGCAACCGGGAGATGCGTGAGGTACGCGTGTAGTTGGCCATGGCGTTCAGTGTTGGGGAGTTCTTCTCGATCGTCTCGTTAAGCGCAATCGAGAGACCTTCCCGCAAGTGATTCGTCTCGCTGGTGATGTTGCACTTCAAGTCGTTGAAGTCCTCACTGTTAGTGGTGACTTCCTCCTCGGGTGCGTCATCGCATTTAGTTGTAACCTCAAACTTGCCGCCCATGTATTTGTCTATCCAGCTCTTGAAAGCCGGGCCCGACTCCTCAGAGTCTTTGAGCTTCAAGCTCGTGCCCAGCGTCTGAATCAACTGTGACCACACCTCTTCGGCGTCCTGCTGTGCGTATCCATGCCCACTCTTAGCCTTCTCTGCGAACTGAGGAAACTTTTGCCGAAGCGTCGTCAAGAAGAGAAGCGGTGGAAAACCTTGCTGAGTCTCGGCCATCTGCTTGTAGAGGTCCCCTAGCGCGGCGGTAAGGTCGTTGCCTCCCCCTAGTCCACCAATTCCATGCTGTGCAAGTTGCTGTGGTGAGAATAACGAACTGGCCGGACCCGCAGTAGCTGCGCCTGGCTTATAGCTCTTCAACTCTTCCAACAGCTCCGGTACAGCACGCAATGTCTGCAACGTGGCGTTGGCATAGCACGTGTTGCCCATATTTTGCAGACCCGCCGGAATCGCTCCATCTAACTGCGCCAGCTCCGCCTCCGTCATATCCTCCGCAAACTTGACTTTATCCTTGGGGACCTCGGTGACCACATTCGCAGAAGGATTTCCGATCAAGGTGATGACGGTGCCGGCCTTGAATCCTAACGATGCAAGCGGAGTGTCGTCCTTGATGATCTTCTTCGCCAGTACTTTTTGGTTCTCGGGCTCGACGTTTGTGAGGGAGTAGATTTGCATCTTCAAGATCTCTCCGGTTGCCGACGTGTCGACTTCCAGGTCGTAGACCTTGCCTTGGTGCTTGACTTTGATAGGCACTTCGGCCATGATTGCGTTGTGATGCAGATGTTGTTTGTATTTAATGAACGTTGAAGAAAAGTTTCACGAACAACGTTTGAGATAGGGAGAGTGAGTGTGTGCAAAAGAGAGAGAGGCTGCTTAGCTGGAAAGCTATGGAATGTATGCGACTCGTGTATTTCGTGGCGATCAACAGATCGATTCCTCCAGCTCATAGCCACCTGCAAAGATCCAGCCCACTTGCTCGCATGTGGCGGTGGATGACGCTGACTCCTTGCCTGAGGCCTGGATTTTGGCTGTCAAAATCACAACCCTACCGGACGACGTCGACGAGTGTGTGCAGAAGCATCAAGAGAGATACTTTCGTACTCCACATAGAGACATTCCCAGTGACAGATTGAAATCAATAGTAATACAATGCTTCTCATAAGCACTCTTTATGCATAATAATCTCATCCACGACGTCTCTAACCCCGTAAACAAGCCGGCAACAACGACGACTTCGACTTCGACGTTGCTGCTGCAACTGCCGAAGCAGGAATTCCATGCCTCCTCAACAAAGCCTTCAATGCCAATACTTCCGCCTTCAAGACCATGACTTCTCCTTCTAGGCTGGTAACACGTGCGCGCGTGTTGTGGCATTTGGGACATGTTTCTGCACTTGCGTCTTGGTGGTCGTGGTCGTGGTCGTCGTCTTCGAGGTCGTGGTTATCATGATTGAGATCAAAGCTCTGCCGGCGGTCCTCTTGCCCTCGTGGGTCTCTGTGTCGTTGAGGCCCGCGTTGGCGTTGTGGTGCTGTTTGTGCTTGATCAAGCTTCTTTCGTGGATGTTCCGCTGATTTTATTGCAAGTGACATGAGTGTACTGGCGGCACCGCTCTGGCGAAACCGTGGTGGAGGAGAATGCCTTGCCGTTTCCCCCTTTCTTTCTTGTGTGCCGTCTTCTACAGCGTGATCTTTTCGACGCGTCCGACGTGGTGAGCGCGATGACATCCGTGGAAAGTGTTTTCGGACATCTTCCGAAGTGGGGCCCATGTCGTTCTCGTCAAGAAGTGAAGTCGCGATCGTGGGAGAACGGAGCTTGTGCTCACTATTCTGCTCTAAGTCATCATTCGACATCGGTGGATCGGTAAATCTAAGTTGTGCATGGTCTCGGTATGTCGAAGCAGAATGAGGCATTGTCGTAGGCTCGCTATACCCTATGCCGGAATCAAAGTCTTCAGGAAACAAATTTGAGCTCTTCGAAATTCGCTTCTGGCGATGGCCTCGACGTCGAGGGGGATTTGGCCGGGACTCTTCGGCTTCAGATGTCAACCAGATGTCGTCAACTTCCTCATCACCGAAGGACGGGATTGATGCAGAATCTGTCGGCCATGTGTCCGGATCATTGACGTGAACTTGGCGCTGCTGTTTGGGAGAATCATGACTCGACTGTTCCTTTGGCACGCTGATTTTGTCTACTTTCGTCACGTGTGATGAAGTCGAGGGCTTCAGCTTTTGCTGTGCTACAGCATAGGAAGATAATGTGCCATTTCGCCTGGACGCAGATCCATGAGGGCCTGCAAGCTTCCGCAGATCGGCCAAGACTCTAGCGTTTGTATTGGGGGCTACGGCGATGGCGTTAGCGAAGCCACGCCCCTGTGTTCGAGGTGTAGCAGCTTTGAAAGCTACTTGACGTTTCTTTGGGTTGAGCGGTGAGCCGGGTAATCCTTCCTGGCGTACTGCAGGCTTCAGCTTAAGTCGGGTCGAGAGGTCTGCGGAAGGTACTCCCACAGAAATTACTGCCGTCTCGCTATCTGTAGAAGGGAACAGGGCGATATTTCGCTGCCGCGCGATATTGGATTGTTTTCCGGGCTCCGGTGGAGGGCTGTGGATAAAACTCTGGTTGGATATGCCAGGGCGATGTCGTTTGGGGCTATCTCCTTTTGATTTCAGATCGCCTCCTACTCGCGGCGGAGAGTGTGCCTTGATTGGCGAGAACAGGTCTTCAAGGTTGGGTCGCGTAAGTGATGGAAGGATAGGCACAGCAGACGTCGGAGGGCTATGGATACGCGTCGTGCCTGTGTCAACCTCTTCGGATATCTGCGCACTACCCTCAGGCGCACACTGATCGGACTCGAGGGTTACAGTATCTGAGGACTCGAAAGAGTCCTTGGAAGCGGAGCTGAAATGCTTTTCAATGTTGGAGTTGTTGAGTGACGCTGGTGACGTCCCCCTCGTCCATGCAACACTCAAGATTCTCTCATCATAAGAAGTGATGATCTTCTGGCTCAGTAAGAGGCCTATAGTGTTGTAGATCTGAACCGTTCCATCGATGTGCGACACGGCAATCAGTGGGTCTCCGGCCAACGAACGTGGATTCAGCAACCGCTCCTGGACAGAAGGAGGTGCGTGACCTGTACCTACTTGGTCAATTGTAGAGCCGATGACGTCTAGTGAAGTTATAGGCATCTTGGTATGCCAGGTTCGTATTGTGCTGCCGCCTTGTGCAACGTCGACAAGACGGCAACGCCCATCGACCCCGGCTGCCACTACGCGAGTCTTGAAGCCAGGAATGAACGCTACTCCGACGATAGGAACATCGCTCGCGATCTGCGCGCCTGGAACTGAGGCTCCTGTGACTGCCTTATACAGGCCAGTTGCTCTTCCTATCTCTCCTTTATTTCGCGATTCTCCCGAAGCTGACCCAGTGGCCGCTTTGGTGATCCTCGTTGCATCGTACGCTACAATAGTGCCATCGATAAAAGCTAAAACGAATATATTTGGACGCTCTGGATGGACTGCGATTGATGAAACCGCTGCATCTGATGCTTGTGGTTTGACGATGACTGCAGCGCTGTTGTGCTCCAGATTTCGCAAATGCACAACATTCGGGTTATCTGTCGCTGAGACCAACAAATGTCCTGTTGGAGAAATGGCCATTGCCGTTGGCGGACAAGGGTTGGTATGCACAGGGTCCAGAAGTCTCGTGCGATCAACGGAATAGTGCTGGATGCTGCCATCCAGATTGGTGGAATAGTAAAGCGAGTGGGCATCATTCGCGAAATCCAGGTGTCGGACGTTACCCTGAGGTAATCTCCTGATCAGCACATTCCACCAAAGAACGAAGTTTTGACGATGGAGGCTCGTGGCATCTCCGACGCACATCGTTGGCATTCAATCCCCAGCTATCTTCGCGATTCCTTCGGGGATCGTGCATCACAACTACATGCTGACTCGCCACAGCCATGATGCCGGAGCCGTTGTTGGCTTCTCTGGCCGCAACGATGCCACTTCGAGCGCTCGTGAAGACGACGTGGAGGCCATGGCGGTCCCAGGTATAAATGTGTTTGGGCGTTGTGATTAAGAGATGCGCGTGAGATGGCAGTTCGAAGCATCTTTCCGCGGGCGCAGGTTCTGACACAGACGCGACGACTTTTCCACCTCGTCCGACATCCTTGATATTTGTAGACGGCATCGCATGATCGCCTGAATGCTGGACGGAAGATATCTTTGTATTGCTCTAAGAAATGTCAAGATAATTCGGTTGCTAACGGACTCGTCAGGGACGTAAACATTGTGATGTCACATGGTGGGCTGCAGGTGCACTTTTCCTATCGCCGGGCGTGAATTGATAATAATCGATGATTGAAATTTGCTGATTGGTGGGGCAATGACGGGGTCTAGCGGGGTGCGACGGGCAGGGGTAATTCGCAGAGCCTCATCACAACCCTAATATGGGAATCACCTGCACCTGCACCTGGGCACCTGTGGACCCACTTCAACAGACATGGAACATAACCCCGACGAATGGTTTTCGAGACGTTTGATACCGTCTGTCGGTTATTATTGAGGAGTCGCGCCGTGGCACGTCCGTGGACTCAAAGACATGTTCCAACCGTTCGCTCGAGATTTGTTGACTGACGTTCAGCATCATCGCTGGTGTCATGTGTTCAGGTGAACGGAGGCGTGGTCAATCGAACATGTTCATGGGAGGGAATTGACATTGACCATAGGTTTCCACAGCCTCGACAGATCGTTAGAAGCGACGGGCACACACGCCTTTCGGCCGAATCATCGGTGTCACAAGGCGAATCTCATCAGTGATAATGCTTTGTCGTACCCTGTGGCTTATTACATGCACGTTGTCCTATCTGACGGTGGCTGTATGTGAAATAATGCCTACGACACGACCATCATGAGACAAAAGTTGACACGATGCCCGACATCGGCAGCCGACCAATGCCGGGCGGCTGTGTCAACCGAAGGAAAAGTGCGGAGAATAGCAGAGCCCATTCATGTGGATATCGGTTCGCTTGACTCGCCGTGGATTTGTGTGCTGTACGGAGGGCGGGATGAAGAAGAAAACCTACCGAGAGACCGTGGACGTGCTTTTCTTGTCCCGCTTCCAGGCGCAAACTGTTCGAGACATGTGTAGATTTTGTATGGCAACCTTGGAAATCCCAGGGTGCGTTCAGTAGTATGTCGTAGCAACGGCCGAAGCTTTCCCCCAACCTCCAGCTATGGCTAACTGCTACTCTCTGCCAATGCCTTTCTTCGGCTGGAAGGGAAACAATTCGTCGCCGTCTTCCTCTTTATCTTGACTTCCTCGTCAGTGTAGTGTGTGTCAAAACAACTCTCTCCCACTCCGAGATCTCGTCTTCCTTCGTCTTTGTGGGACTTGCATTCTGCTGTCCATCATAAACAATACGCAGACATCCATCATCATGTCCTCCATTGTCGCCCGAGGTGCGCTGCGAACAGCTTCGCGCGGCCTATCTCGCACCAGCAGAGCTCCCCTCTGCGCCAGCAGCAACACCACCTGCTCTTCTTCCACTTTTTCCCTCTCCTCCACCTTTTCCAAATCATCCTCTGCCTCAACACAATCACCACGATCCGCCGGTGTTCGACACTTCTCTGCCACCATGTCACCACACTCCAATGCCCCGCCTTCGGGCCCGCGCCCCGAGTACGACCAAGAGATCAAGGACATGGCCGACTACATTCACAACTACAAGATCGAATCAGAGCTCGCGGTATGTAGAAGGAATTTGCTGTGTCTTCGTAGAGAGGATTCTTGCGCACACCCATTGCTTCCTCACAAGGCTTACATCAAGGCTAACGGAATGTCTCCATCATACAGCTCGACACTGCTCGTTACGTCTTCCTCGACACACTTGGATGTGGTCTTGAGGCCCTCCAATTCGAATCCTGCACCAACTTGCTCGGACCTATCGTCCCCGGCACCGTCGTCCCCAATGGTACTCGCGTGCCCGGTACCCCTTACATCCTCGACCCCATCAATGGTGCATTCAACATTGGTGCTATGATCCGTTGGTTGGACTTCAACGACTGCTGGTTGGCTGCGGAGTGGGGTCACCCATCGGACAACTTGGGAGCCATCCTCGCCGTGACTGACTGGATCAACCGAACCAACAAGTCTGGCTCTGCTGCCAAGATTGCTGGCGGCAAGATCTTCACTGTTCACGATGTGCTCGAGGGTATGATCAAGGCTCACGAGATTCAGGGCTGCTTGGCGCTCGAGAACAGCTTCAACAAGGTCGGTCTGGACCACGTCGTCAACGTCAAGGTCGCTTCCACCGCTGTCGTCGCCAAGATGCTCGGTCTCAACGAGTCTCAGACCCGTGATGCCATCTCCCAGGCCTGGGTCGACGGCCAGAGCATGCGTACCTACCGTCACACTCCCAACACCATGTCCCGAAAGTCCTGGGCTGCCGGCGATGCGTGCGCCCGTGCCGTCGACATGGCGTTGAAGGTGCTCAAGGGTGAGGGTGGTATGGCCACTGTTCTGTCCACTCCTACCTGGGGTTTCTACGACGTCAACTTCGGTGGCAAGAAGTTCCAGTTCCAGCGTCCTTACGGCAGCTACGTCATGGAGAACGTCCTCTTCAAGGTCTCCTACCCTGCCGAGTTCCACTCGCAAACCGCCGTCGAGGCCGCGGAGCGGATCCACCACCAGCTCAAGGCCCAGGGCAAGTCCGCCGCCGACATCGAGTCCGTCGTTAACCGCACCCACGAGGCTTGCATCCGCATCATCGACAAGCAATTCAAGCCCATGGACAACTACGCCGACCGTGACCACTGCGTCCAATACATGGCCGCCGTCATGCTCGTCTTCGGCCGCCTCGAAGCCGGCGACTACCCAGACGCCAGCGAGGCCGCCACCAGCCCCTTGGTCGAGGACCTCCGCAAGCGCATCTCCTGCGTGGAGGAGCCGCAGTTCACCGCCGACTACCATGACCCGGCCAAGCGCACCATCACCAACGGCCTGACCGTCACCCTCAAGGACGGCACCGTCCTCGACGAGGTCCTCATCGAGGCCCCGCTCGGTCACCGTCTCCGCCGCGAAGAGGCTAAGCCCGTCATCCTTGAGAAGTACCGCCGCCACATCGCCCCTCACTTCAGCGCCGAGCACACCAAGAAGCTCGTCGACTTGGGTAACGACTCTGCGACTCTGTACAAGATGTCGGTCGATGAGTACGTTGACCTCTACGTCAAGGAGCGCATCTTGTAAGCGAACGATGATCGATTGAGAGATGTGTCGAGGATGGAGAGGTACATACGATCATATCGGTCATGATTGGCTTTCATGATATGATATGATGATCGGGAACGACTGTGGATAGAAGATTTCGTCCCCGAGATCTTTACAGATCTTATATATGTCTTTGTATGTAAAATGAATTGAAAGCAAAAATACTACAATCAAGCAATGGCCTCTGAGTATCAAGCAATTTGTGATGAATACTCATGCCATCGAGGTCATTACGGGCATGGAGAGAACCGTCAAGCCGTTTCTAATCCAAAAAGGGACACTAAATCGATAGGAGCATGCTGTGAGCAGAGAGCGCTCGAAAAAGGCCCTACGTTATAACAAGCAAGACACAGCCCACCGGCAGCGACATCATTTCCCAAGTACATCTCCTTGACAACTCGCCCATTGCCATCGTCATGCCCCCTAGATTGCGAGCATTGAGGAAGATCCGCCCTTGGCTCGGGCATACTCAAATATCCAAGCCTCGCAATTTGCTCCGTGAGATTCACCGCAGGATCGACGGGCAAGGCTTTGGCATCGCGGAGGATTTCATATGCTTTGGCTTGGCGCCATGAGGACCAGAGACATTCCCGGCTGGAGTGACATGCTTTGTCCTGCACATTCATTGCCAGGGCAAATTCGAGCGCATGACGGATGGAGTTGCGTTTTTCCTCGAGGCGTACTTCATCACGTTCCCGTACATGTCAGCATCTGAAGAGGCTGGATCTTGGGGTTTCTTCGCTTGAAATAGCAACTTACAAATGATCGCCCAGCCAATCCGATCAATCAACCCTGGGATATCTACAAGCACAGAATACGAGCCCGAATAATCATAGATCAACTGTTTCGTCACATCCGAAAAATTCTCGGCAAGCTCATAGATGTACGAGACAATCATAAGCAGCCCTAGATCTTTCACGTCGATACCAGGGCATTCACGCTGTAGCCACGCCCTCATCGCGAAACTCGTCGGCGCGGTGCAATCATAATTGTCCGTCAAGAGCGCGACCCGGTGCATCTGGCTCGGTGGGAGTTTCATCGGGAACATTCTTGCTGCGATGGTGGATGATGTCGCAGACGATCTGCATCGCGGCTGGATCATCATCGGGGAGGGCGATGGTCCTATCACTTCCTCCGCCGGACGATTGTCTTCCTTCTCGGAAATGCGGTCCGAGGAGGGATGCGAATGGCCTGGAAACGCTCTGGAGGACGTGCGATGAGGCGAGAACTTGGGTTTGGTCCTCGCCGACGAGGAACGTGATGTCGTTCTTGAATCCTTGTTCCATCTTTGTGCGCGTTGATGGAGAGACGATGATGGTTCGCAATCTCTGAGCGGCTATATCAGCTCTGTTCGGGAAATATTGTCGTCGTCGAGTGGTCGAGGAGAATCGGCATGATGACGAGCCGCCTGCGGACTTTTCATTGTGCACGCAGACGTCAGCTGTGATTTTCACGAGTTGTGGCACAGATGCATTCCACAGGCTTCCACTGGTCAAATAGTGGCGTGAACCTATCGATACCGTCCACGAATACAAGACTCTCAGGAGTACTTACCAGGTACTCCGGCCATTCACATGCGCCCACAAGCCGGGCCGCCAGCTGCCATGTGGCCGACCGCAAAGAGATCTCCAGAGCTCAGGTGCGGCCTCACCGGTCGTATCTAGGCAATGATACATCGCAGAGATAACCGCTCGAAGAGAAGGGCGTGTCAAATGCTGATTGGATATGATCATGTCGCATATGATTATGCTTGCAATTTCTGGCAATTTGCTCTAAGCATTTAAATTCAATTCACTTTCCCTCAACTGAAAAATCGACACATTTCGGAATCATCAATCAAGTATACCTCTTAACTCAACCAAACGCGCAGATCAGTCATTGGACCTCACGTTTATTCCAATAAATACCTAAAATGGCTAGGAAGAAGAATGATAACCAATACTATGTTGTTATTCGAGGAAGAGAAATAAACATCCCAACCATCTTCCCATCGTGGTGAGTCCAACCTCAAGTTATGTATTCGGAAGCTTCGACCCTCGTCCCGTTGCTGACAGGTCCTCGTCCAGGAGCCACGTCCAACCCTTAATAACCGGGTTCAAAAATAATATCCACAAAGCATTCGTGCGTGAAGAAGAAGCAATTTCATGGCTCAACGAGAAGGAATGTTACATATTCGAGTATCATCCCGATATGCAGAAACCCAACACAAAAACGCTGCCTGATTCGGCGGCTCCTTGCTACGGTGTCGCCCATGGTCAACCCGCTGGCATCTACCACACCTACGCGTAAGTCATTACAGTAGGTCCTCGACTGTGGTAATTTGCTCAATGGGAAACAGGGAGGTTAAAAACGAGGCCGATTACGTCCCCCATGCATGTCACCAGAAGTTTAACAGTCGTGAGAAAGCCGAAGAAGCTGGCAAGGTTTGGCGCGAGACTGCCGCCCGCGTGCATTACGACCCTCCGACAAGCAAACCTCGCTGTCGACAAGCAAGTACTGGCGGCCTCGCGAACCAAGACGCAGTGTCCGACCTGGCGGCCCTGATGAAAGAGAGCCATCTCAGTGGTGGTTTGGAAATAAAGAACGAGGTGGGACTTGAATCGGCTTAAATCTTAAGATATTTAAACAACCTGATAAAACTTGAATTATTTCATATGTTCTTCAATCAGGCTGAGCGAGGAGTTCGGTACTGTTGCGACTGTTGCCTGCATACCCATTTGGCTCGTCTCTTTGCCTTTGCCAGAGGAGCTGCTGCGATTAGGATTTGAGCCCGACGCAAGCGTGATCAAGTCGTCGTCGCAACACATCAACCTCGCCATTGCACCCAAGACGATGTGACTTTCTACCGGATGTCGCTTCGGCCTATGCTAATAAGTGATGATTACGCGATGGTCGGACGAAAGTGTTAAGAGAAGGTTGAAATCGAAAAGATTGACGACGATGATGATCGTGATGATGCAAGAAGTGGCTACGTCAATCGCACGGCCCCTCCAGTTTTGGGCGTCGTCGGCGACCCTGAGCTGTTTGTTGGCTCGCCCTCCCACGCTCCGATTGAACTTCGTCACTCCCGAATTATTCTCAGTCAGCTTCACCCTGATGATCCCAATTCTCCCAGCTGTCATCCCGAACACGCCCTCAATCGCTGATCACTACGGCGACACATCGCTTCTACACATTGAGACGATCCCCGTGAGCGATTGATCCACGACAGACAACTACTTTCAGTACCCAACACAACGCCGACGAGTACCCTCATTCCTCCTATCATCATTACTACACGAAGGCTTCAGTCCGACCACTGCCACCTCGGCATGCCCTTCTGCTTCTCCTGCGCGGCACTCCGACTAGTTTAGGACACTATTCTCAAAATGCCCAACACTCACCTTCCTGGTCATCTCGACAGTGCGCGACAAAAGCTGCGACCGAAACACCAACTGCTGGTGCTGAAATGCTACCCACGACTCCCTAAGAACTCAGCCGCCGATGTCGTTCCCAATGGCTCCGAACTTTCCTACCTCCTCTTCTACGCTTCCACGCGCCGCACCAAATTGCAGAAACTCGGCGCATTCCTCGAACAAAAGACTGCCGCCGATGTCTGGAGGTACCAGAGCGCGCGCGTGCTTGTTACCTTGCAGATCCTCAATGCGCTGTTGGAACACAAGGTCATCAGCAAGGCCAAAGGGTTCTCTCTGATCGCACCATCGGTAGGTTGAAACCGAAGCAGTGCGCTGTATTCTCTACATTGCTACTCTCGTCTGACAAGGCGTCGTAGGTTCTTCGCATCATCCGCGAGATCATCACCAGCACCAATGACATCAGCCTCATTGAAGCTTCAGTCGGCACCTGGGACGCCGTTTGCCAACACCAAGACCATGCTACTCTCGCTGCTGACGTTTCCTATCGTACCCTCTTCGAAGAAAATGTCGCGCTCTACGCATCCCTCGCCAAGAACAGTACCAAGAAACTTGGCAAATCGACACAACCTGTGGCACGTCATGACGCGACACGACTAAGGAAGGCTGGCGTAACAGCGATCAAATGCCTGTTCCAACCGGTTGAGCCAGGCACATGGTGGACCGCTCATCTTGATGCGACCTTGCCCGCTGTCATCAGCAACCTGCGCCACGATGAGGCGACATACCTCGAGCACATCCAAAGCTTGAGTGACAAAAGCGAGGATGATGATAAAGTCAAGTCGTTGACACGCAGAATGAGCGTCGCTGCTTCAAGGACCTTCTCTGGACTACAGGAGGCTGCGGAATCGGATCCAAGAGCGGCTGAAGGCACTGCGCAAGATGCGGATAATCTGGAAGAAGAGGAGGTGGGAGTCCTCGCGATCAGCTGCCTGCGCGCCATTTTCCAGACTCAGAATCGGGCACAAACACGCGGCGCGGCCATGGTATTCTTGAAATATGTCTCAGATGAACAGGAACGCCTTTCTCCGCGACCAGCGACGGAAGAGCTGGTAGGCCTGCCATTCACTGAATGGGCGACGACGATTTTCCGGATGATCACTTCTTGGACGCCCGTGCAAGAACGATTTATCCTTCTGATTACAGCCGTTGAAACACTGCGACAATCGCCTTTGCAAAACACCGATCTCCGAGCGAATCTCCTTTTCGCTGATCTCATCGATGCAGTACTTCGGTCACAGCTAAATCTTATTGGTTTGTCGGTCATGGATGTTCTCCTCGGTTTGCTAGACCAACTTGGTCGCCTCGCCGCAATCAGCACTTCCTCCACCGAGCATGCTCCGATCGCATCGTCGCTCCTTAAGCAGCGCCTACAGAGTTGCATCGCTGATCTTGCCACCCACGTCTACTATTCGGATCAAATCACCGATATGATCTCTACCATCATTGCACGAATCAAACCCGATGCGATCCCATCTGGCCAGACGAGTCCTCCTTCCGAGGGTAATGGCACAGTGGCCGACTCCTCTATGGCAAATCCCAAATCATCAACACAAGATTTCGGCTACGCTCCCGCGACAGTCCCAACCAACTCCAGCCGACCGACCACTCGCGAGCGCAATGGAGGCATTGGCACCCCGTCCGGATCTGGCAGCAGTTACGCCTTCTTCTCCACCTCCGAAACCCGTCAAATCGCCCTCTTCATCATCCACGACATTCTCTCCGTCGCCGCCCAACAGCAAGGCTCCACTTCTCTTTCCTCATCCTCCGCCACTATGCCTACCTCTCGCAGTCCCGTCCCCGTATCAGTCTGGTACGCCACCAATTGGCTCCTCGAAGACCCCGATCCGGCCGTCCCACGCGCCTACCGCGCCGCATTAGTCTCCTGGGCCGAATCCGAATCAGACGAAAAGTCCGCCAGCATCCTCGATCTCGATTCCCCCGACCCGATCGGCAAACTCCTTGAAAAATCCCGCCCCTCTGCCCTCACGTCCATCGCAACCGCACCCTCCCTCCGCGGAAGTCTTGGCCCCAGTATCCAAAGCAACCACCGCGCCCTCCTCCTCGCACCCCTCAACAACGGCACCTCCTCTCCCGGCGGCACCCCCGCCAACGCGACCACCTCCTCCGCCGTCGCCGACGCCCGCGGCCGCAGCGCAAGCAAAGTCTCTAGCAACGGCAGCAACCCTGATATCACCCTCGGTCTCTCGTCATCACTCCTCGGCGGCAGCGGCGTCGCCGCCGACCGCGCAAAACCTCGCGTTCGATATCAGGACCTCAAGGATATCTGTGAAGGGCGGAATCTGGGGTATTCCACCCCGTCATCGACCGCGGGCGCGAGTGTGAGTTTCGCCGCGGAGACGGAATTCGCTTCTGTCGGGAAGGAGGTGCAGAATGGTGCTGGTGGTGCGGCGGACAGTGTGGGGAAGATGTTACGACTTTTGGATTCTTTGGGCTTAGAAGAGACGGAATCGAGACCGCTTGGTGTTGCGCCTTGAAGAACTCATTTGTTTATTTTCGTTTGGTTTGGAGAGAATTCTTTTTTTTCCTATCGGAGGAGAGGTTAAGACATGGTTTAGAGGCATGGTTTGGCGGAAGAAGAGGGGACAGAAGAAAGATTGATAATGTATAGACCCCATATATACAGAAATTGGAAAAGCGGAAAATCAGAATGAGGTTGATTTGCCCTTCTCGAGCCGTCGCGCATATGAGTTAGAAATACGGAGAATGAGAACAGGATTCACAGGGTCTGGAACACTTTTCGTGGGATGAGAATTCTTGCGGGAACGCATGTTCAGTTTACATTCTTGCCCACATGCAATAGATCTCATAACTGTACATGATCCCCTGAGGGAGGATGCCTTCCTTAGTCGTACAAGAAGAGTCGAGAGATATCAAAAATCGTCTTCCTACCTCCCCGATCCCGTCAACTCACTACTCCCAAACTCTCACGCTTCCCATCCCTCCTCCCACTGCTCTCATCTGCCCGTTAATTTCCAACGGAGATCCTTCCCAGACCACGAACTCCCCAAGCGCCTCCCCTTCCTCTTCCTTTCCACCCAAGCCTAGAATCTCATAAATATTCCTCGATGCCAAATTAATCGCCTCCCCAGCCCCAATTTTCCCACCAGGGCTATTCGCCGCAATGATCCCCGCCTGGACAAACAGATCCCTTGCTTCCCAATCCTCATCAACACCCAATGCGACCTTCACCCCCGCGGCGTGCAAGACGTCAATGGCCGTACCGTTGGTCAAGGGCGCGCCGGAGAGACTGCGACGTTGGTCCCAGGTGGTGGAATATGCGAAGACTGGGGCGAGGATGACGGGGACATTCGCCAATGCTAGCTCAGGAGCGAGGAGGTGGGATTCGGCGCCGCCGAGGATCACGAGGCGGAGGGCTGTGTTGCTTTTGGCGTCGAACTCGGATTTCAGGCGCAGGAGAGAGGCAATGGCGTCGGCGGAGTGGACGTCGATTATCAGGGAGGCGTTGCCTGATGCGACGCTGGCAAGAGAGGAATCTTCGAGGGATTTCTCCAAGGAGTCATCGTTGCTCTCGGAAGATTTGGGGCGCGAGGCTTTGAGAAGTTTGGATTTGAGATCGTTAATGGCGCTGGAGAAGCTGGGCGTTCGTCCTTGCTTTGCACCTAGACCTAGGCTGTAGTGGACTGCGACGGCAGAGCTCCATACTGCGCCGGGTTGCAAGGCATGTTTGGCTGCGATGCGAATGCCAGCGCTGATACCCTTGTGGCCGCCGCCATTGAAGGCTGGTGCAGAGATGGCTCGGGTGACGCCGTGAGAAAGCGCGGCATCGAGGTTTTTGCCCTCGAACGCGAGACCATCAAGTGCGGCACTAAAGGAATCCTGATCGTTGGCGCCATCGGAAGTATCATCTTCAGCTTGGATTTCTTCGAGGCCGAGGAGCGAGCCAAACGCGGTCAGTGAGGGTGTGACGTGGCCGTTCCGAAGGTAAATGCGCCTGGCATTGGTAGCGGCAGTAATTTCGGAAGCACAAGTTCCAACACAGACAATCTTTCCTTGATGTATGACCATGTTGCCTGGAAATTCGTGTCCAGCAAGGCTCCCGAATCGGTCGGCGCCGAGGATCTTGGTCACTCCGGACACAATCAGATCTTGTACATCAACATGCTCGGTACGAACATCATTGTCCTCAAGGTGTTGGATTGATTTTGATATTGGTTTGCCAATTGTGACTGGTTCCTTAAATTGTGGAATGCCGTCAATGAATACCTGTAACGGTGTCGCCCCGAGTGATAACGGATCTGAGTCCCAGATCACAACATCGGCATCGAAGCCGGCCTTGACCTTGCCCATTCGATTACCGAGTCCGAGAATCTCTGCAGAGGCACTGGTGACTCCTGCTAAGGCGACATGATATTTAAGTCCATTCTTGTACGCTTTCGCCGCTTCCAGGAGCACATGCTGCGAGTTAATGACAGGATTGTCGGAGACGTAGACTGTTCCACATGTGAGCTACGAAGTCATCGACGGGAGCGCGAAGTACCTACCTGGAGTCACGCCAGCTTCATGTAGAATCTTCCCGGCTTGCTCCGAGGCGATGTATGCTTCAGCCTGTGACGTGTCAGACGCTTTCAGTCTAACAGATTCCAATTTACACTTACCTTATAATTCATATTGTCGGCGAACAGTGCCACGGCTGGCGTGCGACCTCCATGTGCTCTTTTCAGCACTTCGGGTATGAGATACGCTTGGTGTGCATGGTGGAACGCTCGGATGGAGAAGTTGAATTCGTTTGTGTGACCAATAAACGACTCGAAGTCAGTGACCTGAAGAGATGTTAAGAAATGAAGGCAGACAATCACATTGTACCACCTACCGTGTAGCAGTGCGTGTTGAGTAGTACTTGGCCGCGCAGGAGCGCTGCAAGGGATTCCCATTTCAGCTCCAAAGGTAAACGAGATGGCATATTGCGAGCTCCAATACGATCAGCAGTTTCACACCAGTCATCTTGGGCATTCTTGAGCTTCGTTGCTTGCTCAAAAGCATGTCTGAAATACCACGCCTCACCGAGCCTAGCCAAGGGCCCATGTCAATGATTTAAAGTCCATCAAGCAAAATTTTAGTTGATCACGAACCTTGAAAATGGTCCAAAGTCCCTTCCTTCTTTGCCATACACGCTTTTGGCGTTCTCACCGCATGCCATCTTCATATAACGCCAGGTATGATCGGGGTCTGCGAGCATATCTTCGATGCTCAACTCGGATCGACCACTGGCCTTTCCAACGTTGAGCTTGACAACGTACGCTTCGCCCCCCATGTTGTTTCCACTCCCGGGGAGGATGAGACTCGTTGTGACCCCTCCGGATTTGATGACTTTGATGTGCGGATCCAACGGGTTGAAGCCGTCAATGGATCGTACGAATGGCGTTGTGTCGCGAGAGAGCTCATTGGTATCGTCATTACCTGGAAGGATATCAGAATGTCGACGGGATTGAGAACTTGGCCTGACTCACCATGCAGGCCTGGCAAAGAGTCGACGCCCGCGTGGCTGTGCATGTCTACGATTCCTGCAGTCAACTGTCGACCATGAGCATCAACAATCTCGACACCATGAGGGAGGTCTTCATTCTTGATAGTCGATTCAACCTTGACAATCAGGCCATTTTGGAGAAGCACGTCTGATCGAATCCATTCGTAACCTTTGCCATCTCGGGCTTCTTCTGCCGTGACATCGGCTGAAGGTTCGCCAGTCCATACCGTGGCATTGCGTATCAAGATAGGTTTCTGACCGGGAACGTGCCGGGCACTAACATCACGGAACCCATGAGGATCTTGAGGTATATACCTCAATTTGGTGCAATGATCATGGTCGTTTTGTAGTGCTTGTTTTGTGATAGCTGTGTTCTCGGGTGGTGCGAGGACGCGATCCTCACGCCAAAATGTTTGGTATGCAACATATCCCAGGCATAACAACAGCACGACTCGGAGAGCTCTCCGACGTTGACGACGGCGGCAAGGAGGCTGCGCCACGTGATCAATGATGCTATACTTTGGGAGTTCTTCGGACTTATCCATGGCGAACGGGTGGACAAGAACTGTTGTAGAAGAGAGGAGAGAGAGCGTACACTGTCGGAAATGGAGCAGGCATCTACCAAGTGGACATCGCAACCCTAAGTACCGCGTAGACGGGTCCCATCTCCACCGATAACCAAACGCGGATCACTGGTCGCGTGCACCTCTGATGATAACCGACAAACACTCAACAGGCCGACCCGAGGAGCACCAGAAAACTTGGTCGTACCGATAACTATTGTTATAGAGTTCCAGCTATATTGGTCAGGCTTTGTTGCGCATTCAAGGTGATCGATAAGTACGTCTGTAAATGTGTTGAGTGCTGAGGTCGAGCTCAAAACCGCCGAGGTCTCACTAGCGTGGAATGTGCATGGCGGCGGCGGCGGGCAAGTTGAGAGTGACGACGACCGCTTCCACCGCTCGAGCCTCACCCAGGCACACAGGCAATACCTGTCATGAGTCCCTTCGGACGGCAATACAGCCATAATCGCCAACCAATCGCCAGAGGATATCGTCATTGATGCGCCATCAGAGTGGGGACAACAAAAGCGTTACGCCCGCGTTCGCGGTCCCTGCGGCATCTTGAGACTCGGACAAAGAACCTCGCTCACATTTGGGGCGACAACAATACAAGTTGAGGCCAATACCTCAGCGAATATGAGCACAAATCAGAGGGACGAGGTGCGAGCTCCCAAAGCGAAAAAGACGATACTTCCAGTACAAGCCGGGAGCAACGCTGGACCGACCACCTTCTTCCTTAAAACAGAAAAAGAGATGGAGCAGAGCGTTCAGCGGGGCCGGAAGCTTTCACGTAGCAGCGTTGCTGCGGAGAACAAACCGGAGAACAGACCGCCTGCAGTGGATATGTCGACTTCGATAGCAGAAACGACGTACGGGGTGCAAAGTCTTGAAGATACTATCAATTCTGGATTTTCGTCGAGTAGTGATTTGTCTAGAGCGTCAAGCCAGAGCAACGATGAGCACAGTCCTACTGCTGGTCGAGATGGAAAGACGCTTTTGTACAAGAAACGAAAAGCTGGAAATCGAGTTCATCCGACCATCAGGTCTGCTGGTCATCGCATTATTTCCTCCGAAAATTCACCTCATTCTCCCTCGATGACAGCATCTCCCATCTCGGCCAGGTCAACCGAATCTCCGTTGCGGACTCATTCCTTCCGGAGAGGTTCAAATTCGTCGTCGATCAACTTCAATCACCTCCTTACACCTGTGAAATCTAATCCAAAACCATTCTCGGCAGCACCAAGCACACCTCGATCAGCTTCAGTCAAATCCTTTCAGCTAAGCGATGAAGAGGCTTGCTTGGCAGACGAGATCGGCAGCCAAGCTATCTTCTCTTCTCATGGTGACGATGACGTCGATCTTGAACGAACACCGCAATTGGTCATGCCGAGCCTAGCAATGCCGGAACGACGAGCTTTCACACAACAAGGTCGATCGATGGGAAGGTTAAAAGTAATGGTCATTGGTCCTCGAAGAAGCGGAAAGACCAGCTTGATATCAAACATTCTAGCTACGTCAGAGCACGTTGTACATGTTGATTCGGCATTGTCAGCTTTCTCAGATCAAGCATCTACTCGAGCCTTCCTCGAAATCTCTGCATCCACCAAGCCTCTGCCTACATGGTGGGCCGACCTCGACTCCAAAAGCTCAGCGCGTCGAAGAATGAGTGTCGGTGACGTTCTAGACCGAAACATAATCTTCATCGATTCGCCCCCTGCCGAAGACGATGACCAGATCAGAAGAGTCTCAGAGTACATCGCTCAATCAACCCGGAGAGCAGTCCACATTGACGGCATGAGCGACGTTGAGATCATGGGAATGCTTGCAGGCGATGGTGGCGTGCAAATGGATGCCGTGATCTACATATTCGCGTCGACCGACACTACATCGCCCCCACTCCTCACCGACGCTCAACAAGAATGCCTTCGATTGATCGCCGAATGCACGAACCTCATACCCGTCATAGGACATGCAGACCAAATGACGAATGAAAGTTTGAGCGTCAGGAAGTGCCAGATAGAGGAAATATTAAAGTCGTCGAGGGTGGAGACTTACCGACTTGCGGATGGGACCATTGAACCACTCGCGGTCTCATCAGCTCGCGGCAGCGATGCCGACGTCATCGACGCCAGCCTTCTCATGTCCTCAAAATACATGCCTCCACTGGTATCCAGTGAATTACATTATTTAGTTGAACATCTCTTCGATCCCTCCAACATGGCACGATTACGACACCTGTCAGCCCAAAAGGCAGCAGCATATCGCAAGAACCATCCAGCACATCCTCAACCTCTCTTTCACCACACCCACCATCAACAATCTCACACAGGCCATCTCAGTCCAGTGATAAGTACAGGCAGCGTTCTCGATGAAGCAAGCAAAGTTCTCATCCCATATGGCACATCCAGTTACTACCGATCCACCTCTCCCACTATCTCTGATTTTTCCGCGCCATCGTCCAGCGCATGCGCCGTCGCCCGCTATAACGAATCTCCTAGGGATCCCAACCAGCCCATCCGCGAAATTGTCACGGCTCAATGGGCTGAGGATCTCACCCATCGCGGCCGCGATCCCACTATTGTCAAACCCATCTCACAAACGTTCCCCCAATACTTTTCCTCCGGACTGCCTTCAGATACGGAGTCCGACCCCAAAGCCCTCACGCTCCCGCAACACCAGCATTCGTCCACATCTCAGCCTCAGCGACCTTCCCGCGGCCGACTCGGTGGTGCTCTCTGCGTCATCGACCCCCGTGATCCTCTTGGCGTTCTCGCCTTCGGTCAGCGGAGCTATTTCGCGCTGCGCGTGGCAGGAGGCTGTGGGTTGCTGGGTGCACTGTGTTATTGCGTTGTGCGGTTCTGGACACTCGGGTGGGAGTTGAGCGCTATCGGCGGAGGACAGGTGCATGCCATGGCTGTACCTGCGCCTACCAGGACGTGGGAGGGCGCCCTTAAGGGAGTATTCCCCGGCTGGGCCAGATGAAAGGAAGAAGTTACCCGTGACGCAAAGATTCCGTTTCACATTTTCAAATTTTCGCGTCAACATTCGGATATTTTCCATGGCGCCGATTCATTTAAGCATGTTTAAGGGCGCAACCATCAACATCACTACTCGACCAAGTTCTCCCTCGCCGTTGGGCCTCATCTGAGCTTCTTTTTGATTGGCGACAGGGTTCTGTCCCTCTTTCTCTCTTTGTTTGCGAAGGGTCTGTGATATCCACTCTTGCGCGTTTGCTTGCTTTCCACATTTCAATAATTCCCTCCTTCATCACATCCGGGCGTGAGCCGCACATGTGCCCTGCCAGCTGTGAGGAGCGGTGCGTCATAGCCTCAGCTCAAACAATTTACTACTCATGAAAGAAAGGTATCGAAACAATAGTCGTTGCCGACCCATTGTAAGTACATCCATTCTGTCGAAACCTTACGCATAAACTCCAAAATTGCCAAGAATCCCCGTCACGAGTAGCACACATTTGCTAGTGGCGCACGAGAGTGTCGAAGTTCTCTACATTTCACTCGATAAAACTTGGGGCGGCACATATTCTTGTATGTAAATGCAGGCATCCTTGATACGAGATCGACGCGTGCGCACTGTGCAAAGTCCAAATGTTGGCCCTTTCTGTTCGCATCTCTCTTTATTGGACTTCATTCATTCATTACAATGATTTCGTATCTGAAAGTCCTACTTCAAATCATGCTCGGCCTGCGAAGCAACGCCTTCGCCCTTGTCGTAGTCATTACACAATCGTTCGACACCATCGATCAGATCAATTCGGGAGTTCACAGCGCCAGTGACACCATTTGCACTCATGCACTCTCTGACGCACATCACCAAGACATCTGGTTGCCTCCCGCCATTTAAGCACGCACCACACGCCGCAAGAAGCTCATCCCGTAGCCCGGTCCACTTATCTCATCCTCTGCGAAGGCACCGGCGACGTGATCACAGTACAAGAAGCCTTTTCTGTTTCCGTAACCCTGTGTCAACTTCATTATTCTTCAGTGCCAGTGGAAATACAGGGGCTAGCGACAAATCCCCATGTATTGAACAGAACGGCTATTTCCGGGTTATTAACGCCCACTCTGGCACGTGTCTCGGTCATGATGACGCAGGTCGTTTTCGAGCTACGGCGAGAGTTTGCAGGCTTGGGTGATGTTCACGCCTAGAAGACATCCTCGTGGCGGATATGAGCTGCTCTTGCCGTGTTGGGCTGATGGGCTTTGGTTTGTCGATGTGAATATAAACAGGGTTATGAGGGAGAAGAGCGCATGGACGGTCTGGGCATTTAAGGTAGTGGACAGATGATTATGGCCAAGGAATCATGACTATAGAGTCGCCATTAGAATTCTGTGAATTCGATCTTAATCCTGCCTGGCTGGCTACTGTTCAATCTACTTGAAGCCCTGCAAGTATGTGCCAGGATTGTAAGCACGGGATCTTGACAGCCTAGGTCTACATGTAAGCAAGTCTCAAGTCAGACATCTGAGTATTCCTCGAGCGGAGAGCGAGCCATTGATTACCCTTATCATAGTCTCCGTTTGGATCTCGCCTCACTCCTTATGTGTGACTGTATTATGACAGCAAGAGCGAGGCGGTCTGAAGTCTATCAACATCGACATGAGTTCGGGAGGCTGCTCAGCTGCAAAGTGGCAGTGTGTGGTGTGAGCTACAATTGGTCTCTAGAGTCCATGTAGACGTGTTAGTTGCTTCGATCCCTACTTCGGCACGTTGTGAGAGTGACGTGTTCGCATATGCAAATGACTAGTTTGAGAATGTTGTCGGATTGCCGTGATCAACGGACGACCTGATCTGCGCCAAAGGACTATAGGTCAGCAATTGTTAAATCCCCATACTGGCCGGCAGATTGCCCTGTTGCATACTGTTAACTTAGGTAGGTAGGTAGGTAGGTATACCACATCCAGAGTGTAACCTCATCACGTACTAAAACTACAATATAGGGCTCTTTCTATACATGAAAAGTAATAATTCCGGTCGGTATCCCGGTCTGGTTAGACCTATCCCGCGCTTACTGTGGCTGAGCAGCTGGTCACCTGAAGCAGTAGTAGCACATGCGTCTATATTCGCACCAAAATCTTAGCCTACCCAATTTTTTGGGCGCAGACGATTGTATCATCATCTCCATACTACACTTACGTTGGAAAGAGAGATCATCCATGTCAATGTGTTGGTTCAATGCTTCTAGTACCCATGCAAAAACGTGCACAGCCGCGATGAACCAGTGCCCTAAGAACAGCCTTCGGAACGTGAAGTACTCCCCAAGCTGAGAGAACATAGGCCTCAGCTAGTATCCGGGAATTTTTATTTAAATGGTTCGCCCGTGGCATCATGAAAATCGGACAAGAATCGAAACCGCATACAGCACTTTGAAATTGCAAACCGATACCATGGCGCTTACCCATCTTTTCTCGCGTTCGGTTTTGGGTATCCCTTTAAGCCTGATGATCACTCTCTTCGCCATACTCACTGTCGCCATCTACCGGTATCTCATCAGCTTGAGAATACCTCACATCAACAGGCATCGGAATGATTGGTTTGGAATCAAGGCCAAGGCCACTTTCGTGGCTCGTTGTTCGGAGCTTCTCGTGGAGGGCAGGAAAAGGTTTGGCGAGTCTCCGTTCATGTTGACTGCCATATTTGGCGAGCGTCTGGTCCTTCCAGAGGAGTGGCTAGGCTGGGTTGCAAGCCATCCCGATCTTGATCATCAGGCACACGTTGCAGAAGTCAGTTATAGCGTGCGAAGATGACCCACTTGACAGAATGCTAAGCCAAATACTCCGTCAGGAATTCTTCGGTTATCTGCCTGGCTTCGAGGCAATCGCGGCCATCAACGACCCCCACGCATTTGTTATCAGTTTAATCAAGTCAAGGATGTCTTCAATGACGCCCAGCATGCTGAAATCATTTCGCGAACAAGCTGACAATGTCCTTGCGGAAGAGTTTGGCGATGATGAATGTAGGTGCAGTGGGCGTTCATACCTGGGAGAATCGATACTGATCATGAAACAGCTTTTCATCCTATCAACTGGACGAGTGCGTGCATTAAGCTTGTTTCTCACATGTCTGCTTCCATCTTCGTCGGCCCTGAGCTTGCTAGCAATGCGAAGTGGCAAGAGATCACCCTCACCTACACGCGCAATATGTTCAACGCATGCGTTGTGCTTCGTTCTTGGCCGACACCTTTGCGACGCTTCGCTGTCTGGTTTATCCCAGAAGGCAAAGTCTGTCGTGATCAAATAGCGGAGGCTCGCGCGCTCGTCGCAAATTACCTCCGGGGCAATCGTGAAAAGCTGAAAGGCACTGCATTCGAATGGATGGATCCTCGTGCCGACCCGACAACGACACAGCTAGCACTCGCAATGGCCTCGATCCATACCACATCGCAGCTGCTAAATCAGGCTTTACTCGACATCGCATTCGCTGCGCAAGACCAAAATCACATAGTATCGCAGCTGCGAGAAGAACTACAAGGATGCCTTGAGAGCGCTCACGGTGAAATTGGGCCTGCAACACTTCCCAAACTCGGGCTCCTGGAGGCCTGTATCAAGGAGACACAGCGGCTCAAGCCGCAGACAGCGGTGAACCTCGAGCGCATGGCATTGCGATCCGTTGTCCTTCCTAATGGCATGCGCATAGCCGCTGGCTCAATGGTGTGTGTCAACGCGACGAAGATGTGGCGTCAGGATATCTGGGGCGACGACAGCGAGTCTTGGAATCCTTCGCGCTGGGCTGCCCGCGACAGCGAAAGCCTCGCAACAGGAACGAAGACGAACACGCCTCTGTTGCCGGCTGGAGATAAGCTGGTCAACAGCAGCGCGCGACATTTCGCGTTTGGCAAAGGTCGGGCCATATGTCCAGGACGCTTTATGGTCAACGCGGAACTGAAAATTGCTCTGGGGGCAATCCTAGACGGCTGGGATTGCCGACTAAGTGAGAGCGACTTTGCGACGGCGAAAGCAACCGGACGCAACCGGGTTGACTGGGTACCGTATGGATTTGAGACCTTAGTGAACGAAAACGTTGTCGTCGAAGTCCGAAGGCGTAAGTAGGAAGGATTCTGTTAAGGCTCTGTTCTGCGGCAACAGTTAGATCGTTAGATTAGCAACATCTAGCGACTTTAACTAATACTACTACAGGAGGTCGAATTTGAAGACCTTTAGTAAATTAGATATATATAAAATACGGCCGTACAGGGATTTCTAAATACGCTAGAGACCTTTAGAGAATTTAAAAATAGGACCTATAGTACTTAGATAATTCTTGTTTAAATATACCGTAAAAATTATAGGTTTTAATATTTATATATAGCGTATCTATATTTAAATCTTACGTTGATTAAAACTAAAATATACCCGTAATAGTAAGCCTCCAAGTAAGACTTACTATAAGGCTTATAGTAAGCCTCTAAGTAAGCCTCTAAGTAAGACTTACTAATAAGCTTACTAAAGAAACATTTTATATATATATGCCTTGAATATAGATAGACAGAATAACCTTACGTTATTCTATTTTTAACTTACATTCTACACTTACTAATTAGAATCTCGACCTTACTCCGTATTCGTATTATTGTACCGTTCTCTAAAACTCTCTTCTAGTAGTACAAACCCCTAATCTAGATATGGAATCTTAATAATAGGGTAGAGAATGGGGGTTTTAGAGGATGCACGTATAGGACAAGGAAGTAGCTCGGTCTACAAGAAGTGATCTTCGATACCTCTATAAAAAGCGCATTGTTGAAATTTGCTTACCGAATCGAATTGTTAATTAGCTTATGCGCTTACAACAAGCGAAGATCCTCAGCGCCACCGGGGATATCGTGTGCGGTTATGATATCCCCTAAGCTCTCGAAGATCGAAGAAATTGTGTTCTCATCAACGCCTTTGAGAGAGTACTCCGTCCCATCCTGAAGGACAAGGACATCTGGTACCTGACACTCTCCAATGTCCTCTTGGGCGCTTCCTCCGATCTCTCCCCTCTTCTTGTTGTTGAAACCGTAACCAGCCCCAGTGAAGGGACCTTCGTAAAAGCATCGCCACGAGAAACCCTTGGACCTAAGAGTCTTGGTACGCCGAGAACACGACCCGCCCTGATAGCCACGGAGTTGGAGGTCCCATTCTGCCGGAAGGTAGTCAAATTTGACTGAGTTATATTGAAGCCTGGGATGACCGCAACATTTCTGCACGACACCTGTAAGCACAAGGTTTGATACACGTTTTCAAGATGTCTTGAAAGCAAGGAGAAGTCCCACAAACGTGAAATCAGGCCCGAGGAATCTCTGGTACTTACGTCTTGGGCATGATTGCGACATGTTGCGTATGTGCCTTCGCAAACGAATGGTCCGTAAAGATTGATATCGATTGCGTTGACAGACGCGATAATGCCAAGGGCGGCAAGGGCTGTTGTCAACTGCATGATTTTGGACAAGATGATTTCGAGTAGAAGTCGAGAATTGGAGAGGTATCAATGATGTTGTTGTATTTGATGTTAATAGTCGAGAGATGTGAGCACGATACAGGCAGTTTGCCCATCTTTAAGTATCATCGAGAGAGGTCGACCGGTATCAAGGCATAAAGTAGCCTAAGCCTGGTTTTTGAGACTTCGATGATATCTTTTCCGTGTCGCACGGAGCATATAACACCGGTGAACTGAAAAGGGAAACTGCTGAAACTTGGCAAATTGCCGCAAGCCAAAGGGCTAAGTAGCACTGCCCTCCCCTCGCATATGACACTGGTGAACTGAAAAGGGAGAATGCTAAAACTCCAAGTGCTTGGCAAACTCCCATGAAAGGACCAAGTAGCACCGCCCTTGCATATAAGCCTCTGCGCTGACAACCTACTAGGCAGGTTGGCCGAGCGTTTTCTCTATCTAGCATAGTATGCCTTCGCCACTTTCCAATTACAGTACCTACCTAGGTATATACATAGTTGTTGACCCAAAGAAGATGTCGTAAGCGCGGTCGGCTGAAAGTACTGTGTTGACTACCAACTTAGGTGCAGAGCGCTCTATCCCTTCTCCAATCTCAATGCTCATACGAATTCACCCAACTTAAGCTGAGACATACTCCTTGCCTTGCTGCCCGCCCAGTCCGAAGTTTTCCTTTCCACTAGGACACACTTCCAAAATGAACACCCAATTTGTGTGGATCGACGTAGAGGTGTCCGATGCTGCAAGTGGATGTCTCGGCAATGTTGCTCTCTCTCGGGTGCGTGCCCAAGCTGGTCGCGAGACTCGCCGGCGTCAGAGATTACAATTCCACCAATCACGTAGGTGCCTACCGTGTCATCCAGTGATTGTTGGCTGAATTCGAAGGTTAGGGTTAGGGTTAGGGTTAGGGTTAGGGTTAGGGTTAGGGTTAGGGTTAGGGTTAGGGTTAGGGTTAGGGTTAGGGTTAGGGTTAGGGTTA